GTTCAGGTGGAAGTTAAAGATCCCAAGGGATTATTCGAAAAGGGAATGGAGTTTCTCCTGCAGTCCATGCCAATTCCCTAAATAAAAAATAATGGTGATTCATTTCATGGCTGTTTGTGAGACATTGCTATGCACAAACTGCCTGTTGTGTTTTGCCTACAAATGCACAGTAAAAACTTGTGAAGTACTTTTCGACATCTTAATGATGTGACCAGGTTCCATATAAAATCCAAGGATTATCATTTTGCAGAGTTCCTGTAAAAGTCCAAGATTTATTGGATTCCTGTATTTGCATGAGTCTCCACAGGGCTGAGATTTTAATGCCCATTCATATTTGTATAACAGCTGCAATGTGTGAGCTTCTTGTTTTCTTCCACGAACCTGTGTTTTGTCAGGTTCTTGATTGGATTTGCTGTATAGTGTAGTGGCTGTGTATTTTGTAGGTGAATGCAACAGCTAAGATAATAATAATATTCCTTGCATTTGATATAGCGCTTTTCATGTCTTCTAGATGTCTCAAACCGCTTCGCAGGATATACTGTAAAGTGAATTGATTGCATATTTATGGGCGAATCGTGGCAGCCAATTGCGCACAGTAGTGTACACAGAATAATGTCCCACGGATAGCCATGGAAGTGAATGACCAATTTTATCTGAGAGGTTGCTGGTCAGGACCCAAGGAACAACTCCCTTCTCTTTTTGAATAGTTAATGTCTACCTGAACAGGCACAAAATGTCACAAAATTATGATACTTTTGCAGAAAACCCTGTAGTTTCACAAAACCTCAGCTAAAACCTCAGCAGATTCCTTTTAATATTTGTGATTGAAGATAATGCCAATAATTCTGTCATCTGCAACTGATTTGGTAATTTTGTTTTGTAAATGATCTGCTGTCAGTAGAGAAAAGTGCACTGAAATTACTGGTAATATTTCATTATGTATTGCATAGATTATGAATTTAATGAACAGCTTGTGCAAACCACTAAAGCTCACTTTCTGTCATTAACTTTATAGTTAATGGATATCTTGACTGGAACAGTCTGCGCCTGTGTTTATGCCACTGTAGGACATAGAAGCTATTCATTATAGCAGAGGGCTTAAGTATATGTCTGGAAGATTTGAGCAAGGATTTAATATTGTGATCCATTTAAAGTAGTAACAAAGATTCCTGTTCATTTCTCAATGTTCGCCAGACCAATAATATTTTATACAAGCCCCTGTAAAAATCGTTATTTCTACATTCTTTTCTAACTAATCACCAGTGAAAATACAGCCAGTATTATTACACACTGCTGCCCTTCGACGGAATGGGATTTCCCGTCACTGCTATCCACTGTTCGGGAAATGGTTAACTAATCAAACTTCATTGAAGAAATACACCTATAAAGGAAAAGAATACCAATCTTCTTCACTCAGTCATATTATGCACAGACATCAGATGAGGGCAAATCATTATTACCTCCTTCCTTTCCCCGTGCTCCGCCATTGTCAAGTGCTCTGGGATACTACCCATGAGGGGCCCTTTATAAATACAAGTTGTTGTTGTCATTATCCAACACACAATGTTTTTTTCTTGAGCATCTGAATTAAGCTCTTACATTCCCCTTCACTGGTAGGAGATTGGATTTGAATTTAATAGGAGGCAATGCCATGAATTTCTTTCATCCACAGCACTATTTAGCCTTCAAGAGGACAGAAATAATAATAAATAATAATAATAATCCTTGCATTTGATATAGCGCTTTTCACGTCTTCTAGACGTCCCAAAGCGCTTCACAGAATATACTGCAAAGTGAATTGCCTGTATATTTGTGGGCGAACGCGGCAGCCAATTGCGCACAGCAATGTCCCACAAACAGTCGTGGATTGAAAATGACCAATTTATTATTGTTTTTGTTTTTTGGAGGGATTATTATTAGGTGTGTGGAGTAAGGAAACTTGCCCAAGGTTTCGCCCTGTCTGGAATTGAACTCAGGTCTCTCACTTGCAAAGCGAGTGCTCTAACCACTGAGCTAGAAATGGCATATAACAAATAACAAATGCTTAACTAATTCAGAGATCTGGAACTTAGGAGAGCCTGAGACTACCCTATGATTTTGGAGGTAAAATCCTAACTTCCCTTTTAAGTTATATCTTTGTAATATGTATCTTACAGCCTAGGATACACAACGTTGAATTAACAATTATGAATAAGTCATTTTGTACATTAGGATATTTGCGAGATTTTTCAATAACATATAATATGGAAGCTGAATGCTTTATAAGCACTGTTGCATTTGGAATTAAAATACTTGGCACCTAAAGAGAAAGCAGTAAAACAAGATGATAAGTAGATTTTGTTTTAATTGTTCGAAAATGTAGCTCTGGAAGCCAAGTCACTCCTTAATCAGCTGAACCATCTGCGAAATGTAATTGGATATTGTGCAAGATGAAAAATAATTTCATATGTGAAGACAGACTCCGGGCTCAAACACAGCTGCACAGGAAGAAATTAATCAGATTATAGTGGTGTTCTGATATAAATAGTAATCCATTCCATGATGGAATCATCAGAACCTGCGGTATCCAATGTGTTGCATTGTTGCTTGGGACTGAAAACAAAACAAGTGAGTTGCTCTCCCATGAGAGACTCAATTTCACTCTTGCCCACTAATTAGTATCATTTGGGAACAGAATTCAGTAGGTGAGATTACCAGGCAGTGAAGAGAATCTTTGTGGCAGCAGAACTGAGTTTGCATGTACAATAGCACTAAACCCATTTTAGTAACTTTAAAAGAAACATATTTGCTTGATATTATTTACGTTCCTTAACATGGTGTTTAAGGAGGGGTATTTGAGTGTGTTTGGTCAGATACACTCCAGAGGACAAGGGGTCACCCTCAAGAACCTATCGCCATACTTAAACAAAACAACTGAGTGTTCCACACGTGTTCCTCAGATGCCCAATCGGGAAAGGTATTCAGTGGAAGCCTAAGTATGAATACTGATCTGAAATAGAATAGGCATTTATTCGTCAGAATTGGATAAATATTCAGTGGAGAACCAGATTGAGGATATTTATTCAGTGAAAACTCAGAGTTCAGGCTCAGACATGAAATAGAATCTATATTCATTCAATGGAAGCCTTCAGTTAAGGGCTCAGACATCAAATGGAATTAACATCTATATTCACTGTGTAGAACTGAGGGTTCCTCCACTCTTAATTCCATATTTTTAAAAAAATGCTCCCGATCGACTGATTGCAGATTAATTATAATTTCCAGCAAGAACACTAAATAGATAAACAGGAACACATATTGTCTGTTATATCAAGTTTGACATAAAAATGGGTGGGTATTTTTAAAGAAAATCGATTTCATAATCCTTAACTTTTTTTATTGATTAATTCCCATACATTTAAATATAAAACTAAAAAGTGATTGTTTTAACCATGTGTGCAAAGTTTGGGTGTGTACTTCTGCCAATCACTGTTTTTGTTTGACTGATAACAACAACAACAACAACAAGATTCCATTTATAAAGCGCCTTTCACTTCAGGAGGACGTCCCAAGGCGCTGCACAGTTGGGTCATGACCCGAGCAGGGGGGAAATGGTCAGGGTGAGGGGAGGGAAGGGAGGGAGCGAGGAGGGGGGAAATGGTCAGGGTGAGGGGAGGGAAGGGAGGGAGCGAGGAGGGGGAAGAGAGTCGAGAGGGGAGCTGAAGGCTCGGTCAAAGAGAAGGATAAATATAAGGATGGCAACACATGCTGTTTGACATTTCACAAACACAACCTTAGTGGCTTAGTTCTATCAATAAGTAAGTGTGAGTGACTGAAATTCAACACAACACAATCCCTCAGACACAGGGACATTTGGAATTTGCTCTATTCGAGATTCACTACAACTATTTTGTTGGTTGCTTAATCATGTTCAGGACTGGCAGGTACTCATCAAAAGCAGAATCATGATGAATTGCCCAGTTAAAAACTTTTCCAGTCTGCAATTTACAGCACCGTGAAAAAAGACATTTGCACACCTCTAATAATTTCTTTTTATATTTGAAAATGGAGCAATTTTATGAAAGTAGAATAGTTGGTAAACACAATCTGATTAATTCCCACAATCCATCACAGAGGTTCCCCTTGGTGGTAATAATAATAATCCTTGCATTTGATATAGTACCTCATCAAATTATTGAGACCTCTCAGAGTGCTTCAGAGGACCTTCTGTAAAGCGAATTGGCTGTGTATTTTATGGGTAAAAATGTTGTAGTAAATTTAACTTTCTAACATTGTATTCTAGTCAGCTGTGCTGAAAAGGGGAGTTATATAAAGAGGGAAGGTGGTGTTTTGGTTGAGTGCACACAGGTGCCTCTGAGTGGAGAGATGCGAAGACTCACTTTCATCACTGTGATCAGAACTAATGGAGCTTGAGGGCAGCACCAAGGTCATAACAGGAACACAACCCGAGACTTCTCTCCAGAGGTCAATGGATCACCCTGCCAATCAATTTAATTATTGTATTCTTCTGGAGGAAATGCAGTAAAGGGGGTGTCCTGTGTCTTCTGTTTATTATATATTTATATGGATTAAAAAAAAACATACTGAATACATCTATTTGAGGTAAACGCTCAAAATCATTTCCCTTTGAATAATTTAAGTTGCTGTCTCTCATTTATTTGAGTGCAGAGCGACATCTGGTTGTTTGATTCTGCATTTCATGAAATTAGTAAACTGCAAGATTGAGAAAGATAGCAGGAATTTAAGCAGAATAAGTAAAGTAGAACGATATGGAAAATACTGAATGAATGCACAAAACTGAACATTATTAACATTGGAACCGAATCAATGACCAATGTAGGGAGATATCTCACCTGTCTCAAGATTTGCTTTATTTATGTAGCATTTTAGAGCAAACAGAATTTGGTAAATTGCTGAATTCAGTCATAATTCTGACATTAGTTTTTTTTGTACTTCTTAAGAAACAAGAGAAAACTGACTTCAAAATTCAGACTGTATTCAGGAATTTGGATGCTGAATAGTGGAGTAAATCTGGATCCAAATGGAATTTCTCTCCATTTTACTTAACAAATCCTTTACTTAACTCACTCAACAGAGGAATATTTGCCATGAGAAAAGGTATATAACAAATAATAATGTGGCATAATCGAGAACCAGTCCTTAACAGCCCTTCTTAAACATGCAAATATATTTATTTCCAGTTAAGCTATTATAAATTGTATATTACAGGTATATTTTACAATAAGAGCAACTGGTACACTTTCTATAGACATTTGTTTTTGATTATTTAGTATATTGTTTCACATTTTTCTTTTATCAATTACCCATCTATTACCTTCCATCCATGTAAAGTTACATTTCAGATTTCTCTGATTTTTCAGTCATCAAAATATCTTCATTTGCTGTGTTTAATGAAAAGAAATCCACTGCTGAACTATTCCTAGTGCTGATTGATCTTGAAGCAATTACTCAATGCCTTTCATGAACTCGAGAAACTCTGAAAACAACAAAGCTCAGTTAATAAAGCACACAGCTGTAGCTAAAGGTTAGTATTACAGGCAATCACTGCAGTGTTACACAGAGATTTACCTTCATAATCAATCTTCCCATCTTTATTTTTGTCTCCATCAACAAAGAGCTCTTCCAAGTCATCTTCAGTGATTATTTCTCCTGTGGTTTCCAGCATATACTTCAGTTCATCGACATCAATGTACCCGTCGGAATTTCTAAACAAATATTGTGAGTAAAAAGTCACAGGTATGGGAGTTACTGACTATATAAGATATGAATTGGGTTAAACCGCACAATGGTTCTAGTGGTGCAGTTATTGTAACCTAGAATTTTTAGAAAGCAACATGAAGTTCAGGTCTTTCGACTCCCACCTGTCAAATATTCTGAACAGTTCTGCCAGCTCTTCCTCTGACTTTCCTTTGCTGTCATCTTTCATACAGCGCACCATCATGACTAGAAATTCATCCAAATCAACAGTTCCACTCCCTGCAAAAAATAAATTCACCAGAGATTTGAAGATAAGAGAGGTGAGGATAAATTATGTCAGCCAACAAAACAAATGTATCTTTGTTTCTCCTATGATAAAAAACACACAGGAAGTATCGTGGTGAATTTATTCTGTGGTTAGTAATACCTTCTTTATTACATCCTGATTTTGTTATCCATGGATTAAGATATAGAATGGAAAGAGATTATTTAAAACTATTATCTGTTTAACTTATTACAATAGTTTCAGCAACTTTCTCACAAGATGGTTATTTCTGGCTTGATGTTCTCATTATGTCCAACTTCCCATCCTGATGCAAACCGTCCTCGGTAACAAATCGCTCACTCTTTGGAATTGACTTCTGACTTGATCCTTGAGGTGGTACGAAACAATCAGATAAAATCGTAGTCAGGCAGCATCCGGCCATTAAAATTGGAATGAGGTTTCTTCTCACCATCCTCGTCCACTTCATTGATCATCTCCTGCAGTTCCTCAGCGCTAGGGTTCTGATCGAGCATTCGCATCACCTTTCCCAATTCTTTAGTGCTGATACAGCCATCCTCAGCACCCTGGACAAAGATGTCAAAGGCAGCTTTGAATTCTGAGCAAAACGAAGGGAAAGACCTGATCAAGAACAACAACAACAAGAGGATTACATTTGTATAGCGCCTTTCACGTCGGGAGGATGTCCCAAGGCGCTGAACCATCTACATAGGCTAACTCTTCACTGGTGAACCATCAGTAACCATTAGTATAATGTCAGGATGTTTAGTCAGTTGTTAATCTGATAGGACTGACAATACAAATACATATTTCACTTTAATTCGCTGAGAAACTCCAATAAAATCAACAATTGTAACCTATTTTCATTTTGTAATCCCTAAATAATAACTATTTCTTTTTTCATTAACCCATCCCAATAGGACTTTGGTTAATTTAGACTTGGGACACCTTCCCCACGCCTTTCACGTCGGAAGGATGTCCCAAGCTGTCCCAGCCACTTGGAACATCCTTCCAACATGAAAGGCGCTATATAAATGTAATTTATTTTGTTGATGGTGTCTCATCCAAAGGATGGCACACCGACAATGCAATACCTGCCCAGCACCTCGCTGGAGTATCAGCCTAGACTATGTGAGTTTAAGTCCTGATCTGGGGTTTGACCCCACAACCTTTTGACTCAGAGGCAAGTGTGATACCAATTCATTATGAGTGTCAGCTTGATATTGTACCTCAAGCACTCACCAGCCTTTTGTTCCTCTGTGAGCTGCTCAACCTGTAAGAGAAACACACTGTTAGGCTCCAGAAAATAATAAAAAATTTATGACTTTACATCTATTTATTTTATGAGTTGCAAGACACTTATTCAGATAATTGGTTTCAAACTTCAGTAATAAGTGAGTGAAGCTATAAATGATCCTCGTTCTTCAAACCGTAATATTTTAAATCACTTCTTTGCGAAAGCTTAATTCGAAACATAAAATGTGTAGTTAAAATAATTTATTCAAAATGTAATTTGCATTTATTCCCCTTAAATAAATCTTGCTATTTATTTCCCATGGGCAGTTGAAAACCCAAGCAGAATTCATGCCCTTGTGTAAAAGAGTTCCAGACCCACTGTTCATTACTTTCTTGAATAATTATAAAGAATAATCTTTGCATTTGATATAAAACCTTTTACAATACAATACAAATTAACATTTATATACTGCCTTGCAGGTCAGCAAGACATCCTAAAATGTTTATCACATTGTCGAGATGTTTCAAGGCATTTCACAGGAATTGCCATGAAGTGAATGATCCATGTTATCCCTGGGTCAAGCAGGACTCCAGGAAACCTCTTTTCATCTCCAGGAAAAATTCAGTTCCCTTTTTAAATAATGACAATAGCGCCATAGGATCTTTAACGTCAACCTGAAGAGTCAGATGAGACCTTAGTTTTCTTTCATCTGAAGGACAGGGTTCCCCTAACATTGACTGGAGGTCAGCCTGTACTATGAGCTCAAAGTCCCAATGTGGGGCTTGAATCCACAACCTTCTGACTCAGAGACAAGAGTACTACAAGTAAGTCACACTGACACCAATCATTCCTTGTAATGTCAATTAGACATAAAGGGTTAAAATATTGCTTAACATTTTAAATATCTACAGAAGCAAGTAATTAATCTGATAGCTACTTAATATTAATTTTAGCGACAGAATTGTTCAATTTGTCAATGTCTATTTCTGATAGCATTTAATACTTATTCTCGTAAAGTTTTAACAGCGTTAACTATTAAGATGAACTTGCAAAGCAATACATGCATGAATCAGAACTGTGTCAGAATGCAATTGTTTTATAATGTGGTCCATTAAATTATTAAAATGTGCTTTAAGGCTGCTCACCGCGGCTTTATAGACATCTGACATTGTTGCTGCCTTCTTTGCCTCTCTCTCTCTCTTTCTCTCCTGACTCCTGCTCCCAGCGGTTATTCCTTTTATATATTTGAAGAGTGAACAGCTTGACCCACCCCTCTCTTCACCCAGGTCACAGAATCGTCCCTATAGCTGGACCCGAAACAGCCGTCTCTCAGCTGCTGCTCTGCAGACACAAAGCTCCACTGCCTGGAATGTGTACGTCTATTGAAGGTTTTTATATTGTAGAGAAGAATGTAGCAATCTATAAATACCAAATTGATAAGGTACAACTGACAACAGAAGCCCCTTAAAAGGAGCAATTAAGAGAGCGTGCAAATAGCCCTGATGAGCAAACTGGACGTCACTCGTCACTACAGATCTTTGCAAGGTTTTGAGAGATAGGAAAAGTTTGGATAAAGTAAGATTTTACAGACATTTTATTGCGGGGTGGGGTGGGGGGTGGGGGATTGCAGTGTCTTCCTGTGTTTTTTGCTCCTTTCCTTACAGAATGACACACATTCTGGTAATACATCACTTGGCGTAGTACACCCAAGTAGCTGTTCTTCATGTTTAAAACTAGACAATCATAGTCATCAGGCTATGCAACCATGAAGGCATCACGACTGAATTTGATCCTCTCCAAAGTTCACACGTGTTGCACTTTAGAGCAATGATTGATGTTCACCTCCCATTACCAGGGGCACTGAGATTGATTGCAGTGCCCCACTGATATAATTGTGATCAGCAATTGCACAGCAATAGCCAAGGACTGAGCTGTGGCTTTCCGTATCTGGCCAGACACTCTGCAACATTTTTTATGGGATGAACTGGTGCCTGTTACCCAGACCTACATTAACTTGATAAACCTAGAACTCTCACTGAAGCTGATTGTTGGAAATTGGTGTCTGGTCTCTACTGACTAACCGGCCTGCTGTGAATATAAATTATGTTCTGTTTTCATTCTGGGATTCAAGGAATAATTATGAACCGTAACTCACTCCCACCTGTTGCTCTTACACAGCTGCTCTGACAAGCAACGAGTGAAACTTTAAGCAGCCTGATCTCTATAATGTTTCAGTTTCCCATGTTGAGTGTGGGCACAAAGTAATCTTTATCTACAGAAGATGATGAACTCATAAGTATTTGCTAGGCAAAAGAAGCCCAAGGTCCATCTAGTTCGCCTTCCACCATACTGGCAGTCGCTTGGACAATTCGTGACTCAAACTATATACTGTATCCTGAGATATTATTTATATTATTTATATTATGTAGATATCATTTATTTATAAACTCCATCTCTGGTTTAGTTGGGAGGGGGTGGGGTGCAAACGTACACTATCTCATTGTATTTCTATAGTGTGCAGTGAGAGTGTAAATCGTCGGATGAGAAAATCTGTTTTGCAGATCATGGAATGGCATTTTCATGGATAATCTACCCAAGTTATTGCCAGCATTGGTGTAATACGTTACTGCCACTATCACTATCATGGTTCATAATTTTTCCTTGAATCCCAGACAGTCCTGCAACCACTATTACTGTAACTATTACTGGAGGGAAAATGGAAAAGACATTTGGTTGCTATCTTGCATGAAGCCAGTTTTTGGCTGCTCAGCAACTGCCACAGTTTACCCTCTGCTGGATGCAGCACTCCTTTTTGTATCATTAACTTTCTCAGTGGGGATGAGTGCAGGAAGTGAGCTGTGTCATCCTAGTTATACATTCTTGAAAACATCAGAAGAGTTAACACGGTGAAGTATATCAATGAATAAGCTCTGTAAGGGATGGTAAATAAAATTGATCAATTACTCTTGAGTTCATTAGTCCAGGGCATAAACATCAGAGGCACAGTGCTGTGACTCGATTCAAAAGTCAACTTTTTTCCAATAGTACAAAATTTAATTTAAAATAGTTCCCACTGGAGGGTTGAAGGTACAATACTAATCCTCTGATACTACAATTGTTGAACTTGGCCTCTTCTGGATGAGATATAAACCAGTTTGCAGTCTGTTCTGCCCAACAGTCTTCCAGGTAAAATTGGCTACTGTATTTGCCTACAAACATACAGTCAGTGTACTTATAGTAAATCTTGTGAAGCACTTTCCAATATTTCAAAGATGTGATAAGGTTCGATAACAAATGCAACAGTAAAGACGGTAAAATAAAAACTTGCCAAGTACAGCCCGCGAACACCCACAAATTCACATTTTCTGAACATTCTACCTAATTACTACCTAAATTTTACCTAAATCTACCATCATTACAGATACAAAGATTACATGAATCAAAGTGTGATATGCCCATAATTTTTCTTGCGGGACAGAATTAGTGCTTATACCTGTAACAATAATTTATTAAGATCGAATATTTTGTATCTACATCCAAAAAACATACATTTTAAGCTTTAATGTCCAAAGTGATCTGATGGATGTTTTATAGGAGCACAATCCCTTGACAGTACAAACAAGACTCTGATAGTCAACTCTGCATTCTTTGATGCAGAAGGAAATCCACTGATAATCCATATGGGAATAATGCACTATAATAAATTGTTATTGAAAATCAGTGGGTGGAAACAAAGGAATCACCATTTTTTTAAAGTGAAGGGAAGCCCCTGCAAAACTTGTGAGGGAGAATTATGTTCCTGTTTTGTTTCCTGTTTACCCTCCATCTGCTTCCAGCAAAGACAATGTTGGTATTATGTGTTATTGTTACTGGAATGTGCTGATAATTCTTGCAGGAGCCGTATTGCATCTCCTTGCCTTTACCTAATGAAATAAATAATACATAATAATTCTTGCATCTGATATAGCTGTTCTCACTTCAGGAGGGTGTCTCAAAGCGTGTCATTGGATACTGTGAAGGTGGGGATGACTCTGTATTTTGTGGACAAGTGTCAATAAATAAAAGAAAATCAGCATATGTTCATTATTTTACTGTTAATACATTAGTCAGATTAGTCAGTATATACCGCAAATAGTTTAAACCACCCATCTTGATCTTGAAACCAACTAAATTTTGTTCGATAAATTTCTTGCTGCAGCTTATTTTGTGATTGTTTCAACAGCTTGCAATTATTTTGCATTTATATAGTGCCCATCATGCAGCATAGCGTCCCAGAGCACATTTGATCTTCAAAGAACTGTTGCTTCTCTTCAACTATCTTCTCAGCTGTTTTTGAAATATACTTTCTTGTCCCTTATGATTTGATCCATTGTTGGGCATCTGTGCATTGACTTCACAGACAGATCATGTCTCAGGGGAACAGCAACCTTGTATTTTACTGTGGGGACTTGCTATGTGCCTCAGTGTTTCTGAAGATGGATAACAAGCCATGGACCAACAAACTGTGTAGCAAAATAGATGCCAGTTTTATTAACAGTTAATTCTATCAGTAGACACAAATTACAAATGGTTCAATATAAAAAACCCTACAAAAAAGGTTCCAAACTGTCAGTCTTTTTTAACAATAGTGTCTTTATTTTATTCCCTTATGGACTCCAATTCTTTCTTCCTTTTGGTGAATAATGACAATTTTCACAGCCAAAGTATCATAATATGGCAGAAATCTCAACATTTGCTTGATCCATAATAGATTAGTAGAACTGCGTAATATTTCACATTCATAGCAAGAAAATGTATTTTGATCTTAAAATGAAGAGTAGATATTAAAATAGAATGGTTTACTGCATCTTAACCACAGTGATGCAAGTCACATTATCTTCAGACCTCGCAATTACACAGGAAGCCTTTGATTTATACCAATCAAAAATGCTCGATTAAACTTTGGCTTTAATCCTCTAGTTCTTTGCAAAACGATGTGAATGTGATTTTTTATTATATTTAAATATTTTAGTAAATGGAAGCATTTCATCTAAAGTGTAACTGTGATCAAACACTTTGGAATCTGTCAGTGGCATCGTGGATGAATGATTAGAACAGGAATAGGTCATTTGGTTTGTTGAATCAATTCGGCCACTTCATTAAATCAAGGCATCAAGATCTTTTAATCTCGCTTCCTCTCCTTTTCTTCATATGCTTGATGCATTTACTTCTAAAATATCGGTTGATTCACTTCTAATAACCCACCTGAGCCATTGAGTATTCAGGATTTTATTGTTAATCAGCAATTTTTTAATTAGTTTGCTGATGAAGAGGCAGCAATGGTTCACCTCTCAGGCAACACTGTTTTACTTCACCTCTCAGATATGCAGAAAAATTAACTATAAAACATATAATGAAACAAATAAAAACCTTAAATATTTATCCTAAATAAAAAACAAATGATGTATGTAATTAGCCAGTGATTTTAACTATATAAATATGTAAGGTAATTAGGTTTCAGTGAATTTTTTCTAAAAGTGCTTATGATCTGAGCACTTTAAAATATTGAAACATATATTTATCTTTGTAAATTAATTTGCAAAGACACCCGTTCATTTTGGGGTCTCCTGTTAGTTTTTGGCTTCCTTTGTATTTTCTCCTTCAGTTTTAAACTGGAGTTTTTAACAAGTCTAGTGAGGATCTGCTGCCTCCTGGGTGACTGTGGTGGAAATGCAGCAGATATCTCTGTTGGCCCTACTGCTTGTTTCAGGTGATAGAGTGACATGGCAGCATTCAGTTGTCTGTTACTTGATTCTTGTGCTCCATCTGCCCTGTAGTTAAAGGCACGAAATACTCCCTTTTCCATATCCCAGTCAAACCCACCAACTCGAATCAAATATTTATAACTGGTATATGACCATCCAGGGCATTCGACATCAGTGCTGTCCTTTCTAACGACTTTATATCCACATCCTATCCTGATCCTCTCACACTCCATAGGCCATGCAGAGGGACGCAGTGGACTGCAAAGAAAACATTAAAGAAAGTATTATCACACTGCAAAGAAAGTATTAAAACTACAGTATTTAGCATCCAATGGCGGCTATACTTGTAGGAATCTAGTTTTACATTTTTCATGCTCCTTTATCTTAATGAATAAATATACTAATCTATGGCTAGCCTAAGTCTAAAATTGTGGCCTGATCTACAATGCATTACAACATACTTTTAACTAAAATATTTACAGACCTTTCAGTCAAGTGCGTCAACAAATTAGACGAGTGCACTATCATTCTTAAACACAGTGGTAGTTTCCGTATGTGTCAGATATCTGGCTAAGAAAACAATAGGAAATAGGGTAGGATAAGACTGTAAATCATCCTGTGTGTTCAAAAAAGGATATTGTAGCAATAGACACACAAACAAGGAGGATAAGTTTGGAGTGAACTCCTCACCAGCTTCAGAACCCAGAATTTTCTGGTCCCAAGTTTAGAGTTTCCCAGGATGTTATGCGATAGGTATACAGTGAAAGAAAGTCATAGAGACTCAACAGTTTACCTTGATAAAGACTGCCCTATCATGTCTTGTAGGAAATGTGTTGTTACACTAGAAGTCCATTGATATCCAGGAAAGTTAATTTACTCACGTCTCGCATTCTTGAAAGGCATCTCCACTCACTAAAATACATCGACAGAGCTTGCAGCCTTCCCTTGGGTTCTCCTGCCACTGCATACCAACCAGCTCCTCAGAGCAGCGACCTGGATGTAGACAAGGAGCCACAATTACTAAGTCGGTGCCTTTTTTTATGTCAATATTGAGATGAATATAAACCAATATCGAAATGTCTCACAAGGTTTGAACCCCATTCCTATAATTAGTCAACCAATCTTTTCTCATTGAAGTTATTTTATGCATAAATCACTTTACACAAATAACTATAGATATTTATGTAGGTTTAACCCATTCTAGAAATGTCTCCCTTATAAATTAGCTTGCAGAACATGTCTCTTCATGTCTTATTTTGCTGTGTGCGATTTGGATCACTCATACTAAACTATAATCTTATTTCAGTTTAGTTTGAGTGATTCCTGAACAAGCAGGATTATTTGCCATTAAATCCAACAAAGGTTCATTTCAATAGAATGACTTAATATCAAATAAAATGTCCTATTTTAATATGTTTGGCCACTAAGACCCATTATCACATCAATGTAAAAGGTAGATTGAGCTGCATCAGACTTGTAGCAATCTGCATATGAATTCATACAAAATATCATGTGTGAAGTTTTAAAATTCATCGGGAATGCAATGTTTGCAATGGACACATATACATTGCATATTACATCGCATATACATTGCACATATATTTATTAAGCATATATTTCAATTTATTGCTTCCTTCAAACTCAAACTGCTCCTGAAGCTGATGCAGAGTTGAGCTGTTTACCATCTGAGACACTGCTTTTTCACCGTCTTTCTTTACCAACAAAACCATTTGGTACACACACAATTGTCTACATATAGTATTAAAAAAAATTGCGGGACTCTTACCCAAATCAGCACCAAGCAGCATTGGTGTAGTTTGCGGAATAGCCCAGGCCACCCACAGCAGAGTGGTGTAGAGAGCCATTACCTGTAACCAGTCTCTTGTGAGCTCTGAATAAACTCCAGCCACACTCCCTGCACAGCACACGTTAACTGGCTCTTTAAATAAAATGTTGAGACAACCAGACCCCCTCCCAAACTTGCATCCTTCCTGCGCCTCTAGCTATGTGAGGCCGGTGTGCTTACTCCTGTTTCGTGCTGGACGTGTCCACTTGCCACATATTCCAGATGATTCATCCAAATGCTAAATAAAATCTGTAAACAGCAACTAGAGTCACACTGTACATGGGCCCCCCCCACACACACACAAGTCATTGTGATACTGTAATCATTTTAGTACTGGGATATCAGGAGCAGATTTATTTGTATTCAACAGCCTTGGGGGGGGGTCCTCAGTTAAATAAAAAACTAAAAGGGTCTGTGACCATCTCGTGATGTCTTAGTTTAGAAAAATGCAAGATCCTGTCAGTTGTTCCTTGCTAGTCTTGTTGCTGTTTGTGGGATTCATATTACTTACAGATAAATCAATCAATGCAAAACCAAGTTCAGTTTAAGATGCTGTAATAACATGGACCAAAATGCTATAAGTAAGTTGCTGTGGGTTATTACAAAATGAATTGCAGAACACGTTGGTAAAAATTTATTTTCTTCAAATCTACTTAATCGTTAAATATTTTTTCCGATTATTTGCTAAAAGAAAAAAATGATGCATTTGAGGTCATTTATTAGATACAATATATTGATCTTTAACATTGAAATTGATCAAATGGGATGTAATATGTGTGATTACCGAATTAGCTGCTAAACAGGTTTGCAACTAAGATGCATAAACGTATAATTAAAGGGATTATCAAATAGATATGCCTTACTTTCTTTGGAAAATACACTGCAGAGATATCTCAAACAATATTGATACACACAAAAACATCAATAAGTGCTGTTGCTTACTACAAAATCGATACAAAAACATGTTGATAAATGTTTTTTTTCCTGTAACATTTTTCCCTGTTGCTGTTTTGAAAAAACAAATATTATCGACTATTATGAGAAACTGAATTTAAGGTTTGAAACAAATAATAATAAAATGCCACAAGTGAGCTGCTATCTAAGAAATCATCTGGAGAGAGTATATTTTTGTTGAATAAACAGTGAACAGATGTTCCACATGCAAACTTCCCTGGATAAATTCAGAATGAAACAAAGCAATCTCCACAGCCCAGAAAGGCTCAAACTTTCTATTATTAGTTTAAATCTCACATAACCTTAATACCATTCTGCATTTCTCTATTCCCAAAAGGAATTGTTCGCTGGCTGAGGTCTGCCAAATATTTAGTATATTTTACAAAGATTATTGTTATTAATTTTGTAAATTCACTTATGGTAATTTAGGCACAACTCACAATGCAAATATACTGCTCTACTGCATTCCATCGCACACCATTCTGTATTGTACTGACAGGGCAAAAGTGTCTTGGACTATCATCACCTGGAGTAATGTGGAACCACCTGCTTCAGTAGCCAGATCAATGAGATTGCCACAGAGGGTCCAGTCAATTCCCTTGCTAAGTATGTCACCTTGGAGCCAGTTCAATTCCAAAGAACCATAGCCTACCCCCACCCCAGGAAGATAGTCATTTATTGGTCATTTGACCTCTAACAAGCACAGCATTGAGCCTTCATTTGACACCATCTTCCTGTCCGCAGTTTAGAAACATATTCTACGCTTTGAGTGATGATTCCACAAGTTAAAGGTTCTGATAAACCTTTGCAAAAAAAATCCACGCCTGACATTAAAAGTCCCTAACTATCAACCATCCACTATTATTATAATATCACATGGATCTGTTGCTGCTTATTATAAAAATCTACATTTTGAGAATGATCTAATCACAAGATCAGATGAATAAGGATATTTGGCCCCATTGATTTCATCCTTTCACAACATCCACCCTACATGTCTTCCCATCACAGCAGAAACCTGTGCCTTTTAAAATAATAAGTCCAGAGTCCTGGCCTCAACCACCTATCCTCCCTGGCAAACATTGGTGGCCTGAATTCAAGTGTGGGCTACAGGATAGCCTGAAAGCAGACAATGCTGTTTTTTAAAGGTGGTCAATTGAGTGCAAACACCTCTCTCCATAGGTGCGATAATGTGTAGGTCCTCTGTGCAGGGCAAGGAGGTTGTGAGGAAATCCGCTCATTTTCAGCACTTGTGTTCATTTGCTTTGTTTTCTGTTTAAAAAAACAAAACACTCGAGGAAGACAAGATGCTGTCCTCGCAGTTTCTCTGGCTGGTGGCAGCTTTCAAGTGTCCTGTGACTTTAGATAGCGGTTTTTTGGTGTGTGTGTGCACAGGAAAAGGGGGCGGAGGAGGGTGGGAGAGCAAACTGTAAAAGGCAGGAGGTGGGAAGGAAGAAACTGCACAGGGCACCGCAGAGGAAACCCTGAAGAATGCAGTCCTGCTGAAATTTTTTTTAATAGATTTAACAAATAGAACTGAACCTTAGCAATGAAAGAACAATTAAGTTACAAGCTCACACTAATTTTGCTTATGTTGACAAAATGCTGGCAGATCAATTCCCTTGGAGACCAGGTATGTTTCTTTTAAAATGTATTAAAATGTATTAAAATGTTTTACTCTGTAATCATGAAAGGATCAATCAAACTGTCTGTGTGACTCTGCGTAAAACAGCGGCAAACAGTTGTAACATTTATCCATTGGGGAACAAAAACACTGCATTGGATACACCTTAGCAGTTCCAAGTTTGTATAATGTTGTTGTGCTGAGCTAAAGGGTTGCAAGGATGGACAATTTGTAGTTATCTATTGTAGTCTTTTTTTTATTTAATTTAGTTATTTTAATAAAATTGTAGCTAAATATCAAAATATATAATTTTATCCATCTTGCATTGCTCTAATCTTTGCAAGCAGCGTCTGTAGCCGAAAACGTCTCCTGCTCCTATCCTTAAGACATCTGTCACAGAATTTACGATTTTTTTGAGAGCTGCAGGAAACTCGCTTCTGGGATTGGCTTTAAGAATGTTCCCAAAAGCAGCACAATCTTAAGTTTTTAGGCTATGGTTTTAAGGCTAGGCATTCGAAATGTTGGGCCTGTGGTGTGGTGCTTTCCAAAGACAAAAGGCGAAGCATCTGCAGAAAAACGTTGGCAAAATGTGTAGGTTTGCGAGACACTCTAACGTGATGATGCAGTTGTACTCAAATGCGCTATTGCATCGAATGCATTGTTGCACCATTTGCCAGTGATGGCACGCATGATGGCGAAAATGTTCTATGGCTGTTTGACCACTTTCCATCCTAACAATAGAAGCAGCGCCTTAGTGATAAGAAGCTTTGATACTTACGATTTGGATCACTCCAACAGAAAAGTAATAGATGTGACAAAAGGACTGTCATACATACCAAGACTCCGTGCCGATCCTGCCCTCTAAATACCAAGATACGCTGTGCCCCTGGTTATCTTCAGATGACTAAGGGATTTGGTGCAAGGAACTGCAGGTAAACAATACCATGTTGAGAGTCAAGAAAATAAGATGTTTGCATAAGATTTACCTTTTAAATTGCTTGCATTTTTAATATTCAGTGGACTTTATTTTTTGTGATAGGTATAAGATTCCACTCAGAATGTACTCGTTGTCTGTCATTGGCTGTCGCCATTCTTGCTCCAAGCTCTTCACCGAACCTCAATGCTGTTCCGGCTATTGGGGAGTAGATTGTATGGGTAAGAAATTGTGCAACATTCTAATCACTTGTAACTCAGCTATTATTTTGCAGGTATTTTAAGTGAAATTCTGAACAAGTTCATATTTCCATACTTTTCAGGCAGGGTGTCCTAGCTGGATAAGCAGCAGGAAGATTGCCAAACAGTGCTTTCAATGGCAAGCTATGTGGGTTTAGCTGGTTAAACACTCAACAATCCCCCCAATGCACTCTCTGTGTACCCCAAGCTTCGGCTCTTGCCAATCTGTGCCTAATGCTCTCTGGGGTTAGGTAAGCAGAGTGGATCCCTCTGGGAAGAGTGCTCATTCCATTCCAGACATGGGAATTTCCATTTCGATTGGCACACAAGGAACTCCAGTTTGGTTTGGATATTCTTAAGCATGGTGATGGGTTTCTATATGTGTCAGACAACCAGCTGACAAGTAAAACACCTTTCATTCACCTATAATAGTAGGAACTTTAGCACGTTTGTATAGACAGTCAGGACTTGGAATTGTATAGCCTAAGTTGACACTCCAATGCAGTGTTGGGCATGTGTTGCATTTTCGGAGGTGCCGTCCTTCGGATGGGACATTAAACCAAGATCCTGTCTGTCTGTTCAGGTGGACATGAAAGATCCCATTGGCACTATTTGAAAAGAGAAGGGAATTTCTCCCGGTGTCCTGGCCATCAAATCCCCCAAATAAAATTGATCATCCTCCCCATGGCTGTTTGAGGGACATTGCTGTGCGCAAACTGGCTGCCACGTTTTGCCCACAAAACAAACAGCCAATCTACTCTACAGTATATCTTGTGAAGCGCTTTGAGATGGCTTAATGTGATAAGGTTCTTTACCAAATACAATGATTGTTGTTATTATTAATATCATTTGATGATGCTGGGAGAGATAATACATGTTCATTTAAGAAAGATAAGATTTCAGAAAAGGGTGTAAATGTTCAGGTATTTTTGGTTAACATGTTCAAATTAGGAGAATTACAAGTCATTGCAGGCCATATTTGTTGGGTCGAAATTCTTCAAAATGTTAGGAGTAAATCTGCAGGAGCTATTGGTATTTTGGACAGCAGCAGATTGTACAGCGTTCATGAAAAGCAGCCTCAGGGTAGTGATGATAACACTGAGGGCGTAGCACAGCAGCGTGGAAGAAGAAAAGCAGTGAGATGGGTGAGAACAAGACAAGAGAATGGGTCAAGATAACATACTCTAATGAGACAGAGTTGTATCTATTGTACTGCATCTTGAGAAACACAGAGAGAAGCAGATGAATAGATTGAGAGAAAACTTTTCTACCAATTGATTGAAACTGACAGATCAGAACTTGGAGAAACATCCAGCACAGAAAATAGCCCTTTGTATCTGTGCCATATAAAAGACAAGAAGTAGATAATTAAATATCATATTGTCTAGATATTTATTATTGATTCTAGCATTTATAATATATAACTCTTGTATGTTTAATTCTTTGTCACCAATGGTTATGTGAACATAAGAAACAGGAATGACAAAAAGTTCTGAAGCACAGCTATTGTCATTTCTTGATTCACCTTATTTAAGTATATATTAATTTCTTGTCCATTATGTAATCAGATTAGGCATAGTTAATAACCAAATATATATTATTGTTATATTTTTACATTTTCAGCTTTAAGTTATATTTATAATGCATCTGGTTATTTATTAACTATCTAGAGTTTGGGGGGATTTTTTTTTCTGGATATCCCAATTTCTCACACAACTTGGTATCTTAAGCATCTACAATCCAGTTTTGAAGACTTTGTCAAGTTTATTTATAAATAAAATATGAATAGCTGATGGTTACAGATAGAATGCTGCACTTTGCAAGTCATCCCTCCCCAATAAAGCCCTAATATTAGTCTTTGATTGCCAGCCTTCGTTTCTTACCATTACTCAGTTCACATTTTTCTTCAATTCCTTCAGTGCAAGAGTCTTATCAAACACCTTCTGACACTGTATGTGTGTGTAACATCCACCAGTCCTCTTTATCAGCCAACTTTGTAACATCCTCAAAACATCCTAAATTTAAAACAAAATTTAAATGATTCAAATGACTAATACATTTTACGTCAATACAGGTCCATGAAAGGCAAGTCATGAAATGATGAATACATTTATTTAATTTCATGTCTTGCTTTTCACGAACCTGCTTTGACCTAAAGTTGTTGCTCATACTTCCTTGAATTAATATAAAAACAGTTTTTCTGCAAAAGGGAATAATAGTCTTTACAGTGTGTTCTGTGAAGCGCTTTGGGACGTCCTCCCGACGTGAAAAGCGCTATATCAAATGCAAGGATTATTATTATTATTATAGTCAAGCTGGATGTAAGTGTTACTTTTGTTACTTGAGATATGCCCCTTTTTATTAGAATGGATTTGCTATTGTCATATTGGTGAAATAATGTTACTTGGGATCGTATTTTGTTGCTTTGTTACTTTTAATAGGAAATTGCATGTGTAATATTGCATTTAAACAGAACAATATATGGAGGAGTGAGGTTTGTGTCCATAATTAAAAATGCACAAGATAAGTATTATACTGTATTGTATTTGTTCTGTGGCGCCAAACATTACAACAACAACAACAACAAGATTGCCTTTCATGTCAGGAGGACGTCCCAAGGCGCTAGACAGTTGGGTCGGGATTCGAGCAGGGGGAAAATGGTCAGGGTGAGGGGAGGGAAGGGAGGGAGCGAGGAGGGGGTAGAGAGTCGAGAGAGGAGGTGAAGGCACGGTTGAAGAGAATTAGAATTATTTAGTACATGAGAACTCTCCAGCTAGGAAGTAAAAGCGGGGAAATAGGACTAAATGGTCTGCATTACTGAATAAAATAATGTGACAGATTGAATGGGCAAAATGTTTTAACCCTTTAATTATCCTCAACCATTTTTGCAGCATTTTTGCAGTATGTTAAAAGTAATGGAGCCAGTAATGACTCAATTAAAATTTTCCGACATGATCTTAAAATATTGGTTTATTGGTGACTGAAACAATGGCAGAATTGATCTCTGGCATTTTCTTGGTATAAAGAAACTTAAGAAATCCTCCCTTCGCTGATTGAACATTGTTATTCATGAGTTCTGCTTTGTGTTTCCTTATTGATAAGCAAATCCATTAATCCTGCAGTGGGTTCAATCTTCTAAGGGTTTTAAACATCCTGCTTTTACAGAGCATAGTTATTAGGGTTAGGGTGGTGTGTAAACAGAAGGTCATGGGAGGTACAGTTACTCAAAGCTCACTCTACTGCTTACTATTAGCAAGAAAGATCTAAAATACTGTATTTCTATTCACAATGTTGACAGCTACAAGTAAGGACTTTAAACTTCTATCGATCAAATTTTAAAAGGCAATCAATAATGTTAAGTGGCTGAAGAATAACCTGTACCTCATGGTAAACGTGAACATCTAACTTTATTGGGTGAACAATTATTCAAAGTCGAGCAGAAAATGAATAAGGTATAAAAACTCAAATGCAATTCTATTTAGAATTTGTATATAGAAACATAGTAGGTCATTCAGTCCCTGAAGCCTGTTCTATAAGATTAATCAGGTTAATAAGGCCATAAAAAGCAAATCAGGCATTGGGGTTAATTTCTAGAGGGATAGAAATGAAAAACAGGGAAGTTATGGTAAACTCCTATAGAACCTTGGTTAGACCACACTTAGAATACTGTGTGCAGTTCTGGTACCTACATTATAGAAGGGATGTAGAGACACTTAAGAGGGTGCAAAGGAGATTCACAAGGATGATCCCAGAACTGAGAGGTTATACCTATCAGGAAAGGTTGAACATACGTGGACTCTTTTCTCTTGAAAAGAGGAGAGTAAGGGGTGACCTGATAGAGCTCTTTCAAATTATGAAAGGTTTTGATAGAGTAGACATAGGGAAGATGTTTCCACTTGTGGGGGAGACCAAAACCAGAGGCCATCAATCTAAAATAGTCACAAAGAGATCAAATAGGGAAGTTAGAAGAAATTTCTTCACACAGAGAGTAGTGGGAATGTGGAACATGCCACCACAAGGAGTTGTTGATGCAAATAGCATAGATGTATTTAAGGGAAAGCTAGATAGGTACATGATGGAGAAAGAAATCAAAGGTTATGCTTGAAGGCTTAGTTGAGGAAGGGCAGGAGGAGGTTCATGTGGACCACAGTTTCTGTGCTGTATATTCTAATATAAAATCATGGCTGATCTGTATCTTACCTCCAATTACCTGTCCTTGCTCCATATCCCTTGATTCCCTGACCTAATAAATATATACCCTGACTTAACAAATATGTATTGGATAATAGGAGAAGAAATGTCTCTCATTCAGGTTTGGTTCAAATGGAGATTTCAAATGAAATTAAAGGATTAAATTTAAAATGGATGTCTACAGTTGGAAATCAAATGGATTGAAAATACATCTCCATTTGATTACTTAAGGTTAGGTCAATCTTACTTGTTTTCTTTCATTCCTCCAATTGTTTTTTCTTAGTGTGTTTGAAGGTAATAATTCATACTGACATACTATTTGATCCTATGGGCAACAGCAGGTGCCCAGTAGCTTATTTAAGTCTCTATTAAGACTTAAGTCTCCAGTATCTTGGGACATCCTCCCAATGGGAAAGGCGCTAAATACATGTAAATTTGTATTGCACTGAACCAATGGAAGGAATTCTGGGTGTTCATTTTCAGATGTTTTCCTAGGCTATTATGTACAGATTTTGAAAATCACCTACAATCCATCTATTGCTGAGATAGGACTATTATGTAAATAAATGATGATGAGTTCCTATCTCAGCAGTCTATCCTAAATGATTTTGACATTTAAGCCATTATTGGATCTGGCATCCTTCCTATCAGCAGAAATGCCTTGGAACAGCATTGTAATTGATGACAGCTTAATTCATTGACTTCACAGTTTCTATTAATTTAGTGCTGCTCAATGTTTCCTTCATAATAAGGCTGTTCATAAATGCGTCCATAGAGCTAAATCATTAGAAATTGAGAAATGCATCACATTTACAAAACATTCTTTTCTGAAGTCTTAATTTTATTACATTCAAGAATAAAGTGTTGCTTTCTTTGTTAGCTATTTTCTCACTGTCCCTATTAAGACTTCCACCAACTACGGAGAAGATGGATAAGCATTCCTAGGCCTCTGCCAGTGATGCTCTGAGACTAAAAGAATGAGGTGCAGAAAAGTGATATGGAGCATGGATTCCCCACCCTCCTAAGAGATTTATTCCCTATTAAATAAGAGCTGGCCTTCACACAGCCCCTCCTCACTGTTAAAAATGGAGGGCTCACTAAATGGAGAATTATGCTTATGAAACATGAACTCAATCCCATTGTGATGTTGTTCTTTAGTTGTGTGTAAGCACTGCAGAGTCAAAGAGGCAAACAGGAAGCCCAAACATTGATGGGTGTCATGTTTTTCACTAAAGAGATTCACAAGAAATGGCTCTTTTCCTCTCTGTAACAATATGAAAGAAACAATGACTTTGCAGTCATGCGATCTGCAAATTCTTCGTGTGGAAATGGCAAGGCATTGATAAGAACTCTTCAGAAGTGGTAGATCATTGATAAGGGCTCTTTCTTTCAACATAAACACTAAAAGTGACAACGAAAAAGGGAGAAATCATTACAGAGGAAGAACAAATGAGTCCCACTCTGAGTCAGCAGTTTGGAGTTGTGCACCCTATATTTTGATAAGCAGTTGGTTAACTTTGAACAGAAACCTGGTCGAATGTAGCATTTGATTCTAGTAGTATGAATCCAGCCAGTATGATGCCATCTTTCATTTCCTTTTTTTAAAGTATAACTTAAATGTCCTTTTGTTGTCCCATTTTCCCCATTGTTCCATTAGCTCATTTCAGACAGACAAATTACCTATGCATTAAAGGAGGTATAGAAGGTTGCACTCATCTCACTTGTACTAAACTCTACTTGCCCATCTCCAGTCTCCATTAACTCCTTGCCTCTCACTGGATTGATTTCAAGATCCTCACATTCACTTATAATTCCCTTTACCAGAGCATCTCCCTATCTCTGTGGCCTTCTACTCCATTCTTCTGATCTCCCACTCCACTCAGTTAACTCAGTCACTAAAATACACAATCAATTCACTTTACAGTATATTCTGTGAAGCGCTTTGAGACATCTTGAAGATGTGATAAGGCTCTATATCAAATACAAAGATTATTATTATTATCCTACATGAAAGGTACTATATAAATGCAATTTTTGTTCTTGTTTAATCAATGCATGCATAGAGTTTTGTGACCGTGTAAGAGTTACACCACTTAAGAGTTCTGAATGTTTTTGATCTGACACTAATGCTATTCATCTAATGCAAATTGCTTTGTTTAGAATGCCCAGGTGGAGCCGGTTTACCTTGCAGTGACAAAGGAATTTGCTTTGATGGCATGGGAGGCAATGGTGTTTGCAACTGTACGGTAGGTTACTTGCTAACCATGTATAGATCAGTAACAGTGCTAAGTATCATGAAACAAGTTGAAAAATCATCTTTAATATTGGATGATCCATATTGTAACTTCACTTCAAATTAAGACAATAACCAACTCAGGTTCCTAAGGACCTGAATGACTGGCAAAGGTCACTGAGTTTACGGACCGTGTCAAAGTCAACTCTGCTTCCTGTTTTGACATTGGCGATTGAAGTGCTTTCAGCAAAAAGCAATTGTGCCAGTTTTGTAAAATGAACACTTTAGATTTTTGATGACTTTATTGTTTCCACTGTTTGTGAAGCATGATTACAAGGAGTCAGTAACAAAGTTCAGAAGTTTAACCGTGGACTAAGCATTGATTGTAATTGTTTGAAATTGACAAGATGTCTGTATTGTGTTGCTTGCTTGTTCTCATTTACTTTAACACCATGACTCATCCTGTTACTTATGATTTTTAGCCATTATCCAACTTGTGTGTAATCTAATATTGGTGCAGTAGTGTATTCTATTTTTACATTTATTACAGGAAGGCTTTGGTGGAGTAGGCTGTGAGAATTGTGCGAAAGAAAATTTGTACGGAGTTGACTGTGCTTCTGGTGAGACTTAACAGTAAACTAAACTCTCCCTCATTCTTTCTATATACTATTATATATAGTGCATTTTGTATAATATATAAACACATAATATATAAACACACATATAGGTCATATTTTGTTTCAAATAGCAGGTTAAACATAACTTGATTACATTTGTTTCTGTCTATTCTTAAAACAAGCAGGAAGAATTGTCATTGGTAATTTGGTTTTAATTTAGTAGTTAAGATAGTTAGCATTTCTTCCTGTTATTTTTCCATATAATGGCATCAATTATTTCTCATTAGCTTTAAATTCGAAAGCTCAGGGATTGTTGTCAGTGATTGAGATCATTCTTCCCAGGGTGGCAAATTTGCTTTGTTGGCCTGGAAGTCAATGTTTTTTGCTGACCTTGACTGACATCTTATTGTTCAATTTAAAAGTTCACATTGCTAGGTCAAAAAATTGGGCAGCCAGCAAGAATTAGACATGTAAATCCCCCAATACTAATAGATTTAGATCATATTTTCATCTCTTGCACCGCGAGTCACTTAATCTATGAGATGCTAGAAGACACAAAAAATATTCCATCTTGTTTCGAGGACATTTTAGCCCCAATTCGTTTACAGGTTACAGAATAGGTAAACTGGTAAACTGCAGCAGTTATATGTCAGTTTGGCTCAGTTGGTAGCACTTTTGCTTCTGTGTCAGAGAGTTATGGTTTCAATCCCCACTTTGGGATATTGAGCTCACAGTCTATGTTGCTACTCCAGTGCAGTGTTGGGGGAATGCTGCATTATCGGATGTGCGGTCCTTCAAAATGAGATGTTAAAATAAAATCTCACCTGTCTATTTGGGTAAAAAACCTATTATCCGAAAAGAGAAGGGAGTTTCTCCCTCTATCCTGACCTCCAATCCTCCAATCCTCACCTCCTGGTTGATGGTGGGGTATTGCAGTATCCAATTGACTGCCACATTCACCTACAAATATACAATACTTACAGTGAAATGCTTCAATGTTATGGAGGTTATATCAAATGTAAGCATTATTTTTGTTAACTAACCCATTCTGGTTCTCTTGACTAAAAGTAGAAATGTGACTGTGATATTAATCTGAGTGATATTAAAAGAGTATTGATTTCTTCGCTTTGTAGAGTGTGAATGTGTTCATGGTGAATGTAACAGTGGAGTTACTGGCAATGGAATGTGCACATGTTATTCAGGATACACGGGAGCAAAATGCGATGAGTGTAAGTACTGGAATCCAATTTCTTCCCGGTTGAATATCTTGCCACAACTGTCATCAGATAAAATATCACGACCAGTTTTGTTTCTTTAGTTCTGCATAATTTATTTATGTAATATCTTATACCAATATCTTATATGTTCTGCCAACCCCAATGTGTGTAATTAATTTAACTTCTTTGATCGTTGAATTCAAAATCCCAAATCTAGAGTTTAGGTATTGGGTTTGAGCGTACGGTTAATAGTGGAGTTAGCCACTCTGTTGAAATAAAAAAGACCAACTTATTCTGTTTGCCGGAATTTATACATTAGGATCCATGAACAGAGGAACCAAAGTTATTTGTATTTTATATTTAAAAATATAAAAGTTGCATTAGTTCAATAAACTTAGTTACAACCAACAATATTAGCTGTTATACTCACGTATAGCAATATCACTGTAATGACAATTGTGCAGTAACTCAAGCCAGTATCAATGCCTATTTAAGATGTTCGTCATATACAAGAATAGTTACACACAGAATTGCTGTGGTATTTTTAATATGTGCTTTAAGACATATTTCTTGACTCTTTTAAGCTATTCCTGCCTGTCGGGCATTGAAGTGCCCTGATAAAGCCAGATGTTCTGAAGAAATGGACACTGGAAAGCTTGTCTGCAAATGTTTGCCCAATTACCATAGCAAAAATGGGAGCATGTTGTGTGAACGTAAGTGTTGATTATACTATTATCTACACTGTTTACCTCTTAGAATTCCTCTAATATTTTAACTCTACAGTGAAATGTTTCCATTGGCAAAAGCAGATAATTCTAACACAGCAGTAAATGAGCCCAGAGCAAACTTCCTGTTTGTTTTCCTGGATATTTATCCCTTTTTGATGTTCATTTTTCAGCAATTAATCCATGTCTTTCCAATGTGTGTGGCCTCAATGCTAAGTGTACCTATCTTGGACCAAACCAGAAAAAATGCACCTGTCAAGAGAGTTATCATGGTGATGGGCAGATTTGTTTGCCAATTGATCCTTGTCAGAAAGGTTTTGGAGACTGTCTTACAAACTCAACTGTTTGCGTATATGATGGTCCTGGAAAGGTTAGTTTCTATCCAGTCCTCTGACCTCTTTAACCCTCAATGTGTATTGAAACACTATTAAGTTCCAGCAGATATGATTTTAATGGTCTGCTGATTAATTCATTACATCTGTTTGGATTTGTCTCTAGGTTTTATACTCAAACACATTGATTGAAATATTGTGTGTTTATATATACACATATATAAATCTATACATAGGTTTAATAGGATTTAATAGATTTAATAGATTTCCTTTTAGATTCACTATTTATAACGATAATTTGACTGATTATAAAAATCCTTATCTTGTACAAATTGCAGCAGTTGAGCTCGAGAAAGAAAATGTTTATAAGATGCTTTGCAGCACTTTGCTTGACAGTGCTGCTGTTTGGATGCAGCCCACATTTGCGGGCGCTCCTCTGACTAAACTGTGTTTAACTTAGATTTTCTTTTTTCATTTAGTCCCACTGTGAGTGTAAGGATGGCTATGTGAATCTATTAGCAGGAGCAGGATGCAGCCTATTTGACGTGTGCGAGACAAACAATACATGTGATAAAAACGCTAAATGTCTCACTATTTCTCCAGGACAGATTGAGTAAGAAGCTTCATTTGCTATTGCTTACCAAATAATCCTCTCTGAATGTGATAAAAAGAAGCAACTCGAGCAATGAAAATCTCTAAACCATGTTAATCCACAATAAAATTAATTAACATCTGATAGAAAGAAAGATAGTTTCACTTGTTTGGGATTAAAACTTCAACAGAATGATCAAGTTTGAAGAAAGTTCACATCTATAATGTTACCCAGTCCTCCTTCAGATGCTGAGGGATATGCTGTGGGCGGACGTTTTTCTGTTTTACGCTTGTCTGTGAATGTTTGCTGTTAGTTGATGGTTGTAGGAAACAAATACAGAAGCCTGGTAATTAAAGGCTAGTATTACAATACAAATTAATTTACATCTATATGGCGCCTTTTATGTTGGGAGGACATCTCAAAGCACGTGACAATGCTGCATGAGCACCTGAGCTAGGAGTGGGGTGGGGAGGGGAATGATGACCAAAAGCACAGTCAAAGACGTTACATTTTGAGTCGTCCCTAATATTCTATATGATCTAGTGGAGGTTGTGTATCTTCATACAGGGATTTTTTTATTTTTACCCAAAAATGTGATTTAGAGGTTTTTTCTGGGCATAAGAAATACCGAAAAGCATCTTTGCACTGAATACACTGTCGTGTCATTGGTATAATATAATTTAACCTTCGGGTAGACTATAAGGAAATGTTCTTCTGTTTATATATTTTGCACTGTTAAGGAAGCTCCTTAATGTAATGTTATATGTAAATGTTCTACCAGATGCACTTGCAATAAGGGATATACTGGCGATGGGTCTATTTGCTATGGAAGCATTATGCAGAGAATCAAGGATCTGCACACTCAGTCTGGAGGCCGATGGCAGGGGAGATTGACATCAGCAATGTTGCTTTTTGGTAACATTTTTCAATTGGTGTTTTGTGATTTTCGATCTTACAACAATTGCGACAAAACGATTTGCTCATTAATTCATTATCAGTTGCTTTCCCACCTTAGCCAAGATCATGATTTGAAATTTCTTTCATCGTGATGCTGTTGAAATCGATTTATTTATACATATTCAAGAAGAAGATCCTGCTTTTGGCATTTTTTATTTTTATTGTGAATAAAGAGTTTATTTGCATTTATTTAAAGTTGATGTTAGTTTTAACACGTGCATATTAATATTGTGATGTATATTTTTCTACAAAGTGACATTTACTCATGATTTTATAACCTTTGTTTAATTTTCTACACTTATATCCTCCAAGGTACCAGTTATTCCTGGCCACTGACCAATCTGGGACCTTTTACCTTATTTCTACCTACTGATAAAGCCTTTAATGGGATTAATGTAAGTCATAGTGTTTCATGAGAAGGGAAATGATTCAATCACATACAATTACATAAAATCTACTTCACCAAAACAGGCCATTCAGCCCCACTATTCTATGTCGGGGTCAGCAAGCTATCAACTGTAGAGAGCGTCACAGACGAACCTGATTCTATTCTTACACAACATTCACAAAACCTTACCAGCTATCTTTAGATAGCAACCAAACTAATCCTATCCATAATTACTTGTTCCTTCCCTAATCCTTGTCAATTATAACATTCTGTCCCTGTGGCTGACATTACTTTACAGCACAGATTAGAAATCAACCTTTCTGGTCACTAGCATAGTTTCTGGTGGCTTTACTCTGGACTATGCGATGCCTTTGTCCACTATGCCATTAGTGAGACTCAAATATATTTTAAGCTGCTGAAAAACATAACTGAAAATAGTTGAAGCAACATGCTAAGAAAGATTGCATATCCAGTGAACATTTGGAAAGATGTGATTTTACTCCTAAAATGTCTTGTATTTTAAACCAGATAAACACTATTATATCAGATAAGGAAAGGACTCAATACCTTGCAAAGCTACACATCATTGCTGGCCAGATGAGCCTTGAGGACCTAAATGCCACTGACGTGTTTTACACTTTAACAGGGAGGTCTGGAGAGATGATAAGTAAAGATAGGGTGAGTTTTGCGTACGAAACACCACATCTGTCCTCAGATGTGGTAATAGAAGAAAATAACTGGGTGATCATTTTAACTACTTCAAAGTACTTTGAGATAATACCCTATGCGTAAGTAATTTTGCATGTACACATTATATAGCAGGTTACAAAAGACCACGTGAGAAAGAGTATGCTCAGTGCAATTTTTATCTTGATGTTTTGTGGTACATTAAGACAACTGCCAACAGCCGAAAACATTTCCTATGTGTTTTTTTCTGGTAAAACAGGAAAAGGAAGTTAACAATTCTGCCAGTTTGTGTCCTTCCTGTGAACTTTAGTACAATGCATCATCAGCATTCTGACTTGAAACCTGAAACAACAAGCCCACTTTGGAAGCATCCTTTAAGGGTTTATGAAAAATGTAGTGTAAAAATTGTCCACCCAACTGTAACTCCACAACCCAGCAGACACACGGATAACTCAGTTTACACTGTTTTCACCTTATTGATCTTGATTACTGTCACACATTGGATATACTTGATTAGTACAAAGAAGTACTAATGTACTTATATTGGACTTGAAAGGAAATAATGGGTAGAAATGCCATCGGGTTGAAATTTATTCTATTTTTATAGCATTTCCACAACTTGGCAAATTTAATTCAACCTTATCCTTGAGGCATTTATTCTGTAGCTTTTAAAAGAAATCTGGCTTCAAATTTAAGACTATATCCCAACTTCTGAGCCCTCTGAAATACTATGAAAATAAGATCTATGTCTAAATCTAGATAAATGTCTAGTTTAAAGCCCATATATCTATCTTTCTGAGCACATACCCATATAATCCAATTTTTTTTGGTAAATGTGATACTTTCTATGTGTTTCTCTTGATTAGGATAAGCAGCTAAGTTTGCGCATTTATGGGAGCAGGAAAAAAGGAACAATTCTTCAAGGCAATCTCGTTGCTTCAAATGGCCTCATACACATTATTGATCAAGTAATGGATGGTGTTGAACCAACGATCAAGAGTAGTAAGGAGGTAAAATCATGCCTGCGAAACTAGTGTGTAAATAATTAAAGATACCAATAATTTTATTTCATTTCATTTATCTGGGTATTTTGGGGGATCTATTTTCAGGGGAAAAGATTTAACTAAAAAAAAAAACCTTAGGAGAATCTGGATTTATTTTGGAACATCTGCTTAACTTCGCAAGCAATTTGAAGGCTTGCATTCTCAAATGAGGTGTTTGCAGTGAGGCGTCTTCCTGGTGGATACATGTGCACACATCATCACTGATGCCAGAATAAAATAGACAAACTTGGGGGTTAAAAATTCCAGTGACAATCGCCCAGAGTTTTGCCCACAAAATATACAGTCAATTCACTTTACAGTGGATACTATGAAACACTTTGAGACATCGCAGTGACATGATAAGGTGTTATATCAAATGGAAGAATTATTACTATTATTTTTTTTACTGATTGATTCTCACCAGAAAAAATATATCAGTGAAAATCTGTAATAAAAAACAACGTTTTTAATGTTCCTTATAAATAAATGCTCCATAGTTATTCTCTGAAGAATTGCAAATGGTAGTCACATTTACATTGTAGTAGAGTAAATGCTTCCATATTTGATTGCTTAACAAAATATGGCCAGTGGCATTCAGAGCCTGTGTTTTTGAATGTTATCTTTCTAAATGTACATTTTATTGTCCTGCAATTTATAGTATTGCTGATCACTTTTGCAAGTTTTGTGTTCTACTCGTAACACACAGAACATTTCTTCCCCCCACCCCAGAAAACATTGCTCACAATAATTTCTGAAAATGGAAAGTTCAACCAGTTTCAAACACTATTACAGGTAAGATGGAATCAAACGATAAAACAACTGTTTTAGGGCAGAAATAATGCTAATCTTTGCCGAGTCACTTCTGGTTATTGGCTGGTTAGCTTGACTCAAACTATTTTAGCATATTTCTGTGACATTTTTACGTCTCGCAAAGGCATGCACAGAAGAGAATGATGCCAATGAAAGTCAGAATAAAAATAGTCAGAAGAATCTTCGTATACCAGCATCTTCTCAGTCTGTTCGAATTAGAAAAAAATGAGAAGTGTTATGGCTTTTAACTCACCTTTTTAGAAACTAGAAAGATCATAACAAAAAAAAGGAAACCCTTCGATGTATAAAGACAACCCAGGTTCTAGCAAACCTCGGCGTAAAAAAGATCATCTGACCTCTTTCTGTTTTTTCTTTGAGTGATAGTATTATTTGCCTATTTATCTGCCTCCTGTCTCTGTCTAACAGAAAGGTGAACTCACACAATTGCTGGAGAGTCCTGGACCATTTACAGTCTTCATCCCGAGCAACCGGGCTTTTGGGAGCATGAAAGATGAAATTCTAGATTATTTACTTTCACCGGAGGTAATAAAATAGTTAATTTCAAGTAAGCAGAGTTTAATCCAGCAGTTTATCCTGTAGATGTTAATTTTCCCATTTTCACTGTGTTGTTTGTGGTCAGAATGGTATATAGTGCTTTTATTTTATTTGTATCTCTTTTATTCAGGGTGAATACAAGCTTAAGCAATTGTTGAGACATCACATCATTCCTTCTTCTAAGGTTTGTTGCTTATTTATTGTCGCTTCTAAACACAAATATCAAATAGGAAAGTGGGAATGCAAATATAACCCCCCCTCACTACAACACAGTGATATTCCTCTGTTATATCACCCAACGCTAATAATAGCTCCCTAATTAATACGAGATCAAATTAAATGTTGTCTGCAACTATGTAATGCGGTGTGCGCATCTTTAACTAAACCTGAGAAAAGGCAACAATATCACATCAGTTTAATTTCGTAAAAGAAAACTGTATTTTGTCAATTTCCCCGAATAAGAATGAGTGCATCATTTTTTACCCAATTAAAAGATTATCGCTTTGATCTAAACTGAACAGAACTTTTTTTTGTATGAACCAGCTGGATGTTTCGAACCTCCTCACCTCTCCACTTATCCTTAGCCTGGCGAATCAACTTGTGACTGTGAACATAAGCCACAATGTAAGTACATCACTCATCACTGAACTCACTTTCTTTTTGCAGCCGTTTTACTTTACATGGATATTGTTTCAAAATTGGCAAAAATTCTATTAAATGCATCAACGTGTCCACTCCCACCACTCAGCAGACCCTGGCCTGCTCCATGTCCCCCGCCCAGCTCGCCCCAGCCTCTCTGCCCCCACACTCTGGAACTCCATCCCACATTCCCTTCACCTCGCTCCCCCCTTGCCTCCTTCAAGGCCTGCCTCCAGACCTTCCTCTTTGACCGTGCCTTAGGCCACCCTCTTACCCTCTCTGCCTTCCACCCTCCCTGACTGGTGATTCCAAGTCCCAATGTGGGGCTTGAACCCACAACCTTCTGACTCAGAGGCAAGAGTCAGATAACAGGATGTGGGGGGAATCCTTCGTAGGGTTTACGGTAAAGTCTATGTTCTGTATTTTTTTGTAGGCGAAAACTCTGTTAAATTTATCAAGTGTATTTATCATGGCAAGAGTAAATTGGGACTAAATTACGCAATTAAATTGCAAATTGTATCTCTCCCATTTGTTGCACCAAATATCCTTTGGATCAAAAGGAGGAAAAGGAGACAGAATTAACACAATAAGGTGCCAGTACTGGCTTAAGCACAATGGGCAAATTATACCACTATGCTGGGGCACATAGAACATTTTTCCTGATGTGCTTTTAAAAATCTTTTTGATGTGTTGATTATTCATTCACAGGGGCAGATTCTTCTGGGTGATCAGGATGCAGGTATCACTGACGCAAACGCAATTGGCAAGAATGGCAGGATCTACTCACTTGATGCTGTCTTAATTCCGCATTCAATTCTCCCAATTCTTCCCCAAAGATGCGATGATGTGTCATACAGAATCAGAAAGGTAACCTCTGTCTGACAAACTGATAGAATATGATTGCTACATGTTTGTTTTTAACAAAATCTCTACAGTTACTTAAGAAAATACTTTTCTTCAACCTAGCGCTAAATATATTGAGTGACTAACTATAAAATAAAGATTCTCTCATGCTTTTGCCACACACACACACACATAAAAGGAAATAATATATAGATTTGTTTTTGGAGATAACATTGTCCTGTCTGGAGCCTTTCAAATATAACTCCAAAGGCATTCAATACTGTGTAATTTATGTGCAGGTAATATTTGTAATTGTCCAGTTATTTTATTCCTGACATTTATTCAAAACTAGTTAAACTGACGTATTATGCCCACAAAATACAATAGACAGAGACACACCACTTTACAGTGTATCCTGGTAAGCGTTTGAGATGTCTCATTGACATGATTATATCAAATGAAAGGATTATTGTCAGATCAACTTCCGTGTTTATTTTGTTATTTCACTGCTGGTCGCAGTTACTTTAGGGAGGATTTCTCAGTGCTGTAGGGTTATCAATGGCGGAATACTGATCAGCTCCACGAATTCACACAAGGAGAATTTACAATCTCAATAACGTGATAAATAGGAGGACAGGTAAAAGGCTCATTTGTTTATACCTTGCTAAAGATCAAGAGTGAGCAAATAGTTCAGTGTCCCACAGTTATGAAGACACATCAAAAGGTGACACATTTATAGAGGTCAAGACCTGATGTAAGTGAGAATCACAAACATAAAAATTGCATAATGCAGTGAATAATATATGAGGGACATTTTGTTGTTGATTCAGATACTGAGCCTGAGGTATGAAGTGACCTCAAAGTAAGGGAGAAAAGAGAAAATGGGTAACTGCAGTAATACTAATATTAATAACACTAATAATAATAATAATGATGATAATAATAATTCCTTGTATTTTGATACAGCATCTTACCACGTCATTCAGATGTCTCAAAGCACTTACAAGATTTACTGTAAGGTGCAGTGACTGTCCCACATTAGGCAAAATGCATCAGTTAATTTGACTGACAAACAGACACGTAGTGAATGACCAATTTTATCTGGCAGACTGTTTCACTCTCCAAATGTTGCTTTGTTGCTACAACTAATGCAATTTTAGCAGGTTTCTATAAGTATTTAATGGTTATCTTTTTATAGATCTGCCTCAGTTATGTTAAAGACTAATGTTGTAGCCTATTTCATCTATTTGGTTTAGAAAATAGGCCATACTGTTGTGATTGAGAATAGTTTGCTACATACCTTTATCACATTTGTATTTATTCAGGGTTCTTGTGTCATTTGTGCTAAACATTACTTCAGCTTTTGTCCTACTGGGATGGCTTCCATGGTAAGTGTACATTTCATTCATTCCAATTAATAACAAAAATGATTTGGAATGATTTGTCTAGGGGTCACTGTTAGAGCAAAGTCAATTAAGACTTTTAAAAAAGAATTGGACAAGTTCATGCATCGCCTATATATTCATACATTTACATTTTGTAGGATATGCCATTAAATATAGTGCTGCAGGCTAAAGATTAACTGTGCTAGGTAAGCAGTTTACAAATGTGTTGTCACTTTACATGGCAGCAATTTCACAAAGAAAGGAATAAGATGGTGAATAATTCAATCTGCAGATTTTAAAAGGAAAGAAGTTAAATGATAAGGAATTGGTGAGTCTACAGTTGAATAATGAGGCCATTTGTTAATACTGTAAATTATACTGTTATAGTTCTGCTGTTTGTCACTTTTCCAACAATATAAACACAGACAAATCTTAATTTGTATCTATTATTTTCCATGGATATTTTCTTGTATTTTGATCTTTTTGTAACAGGGAGAAAGATACTTAAGGTTTGTTTTTTGTTTTATGTGTTTCCAAGATATTAACCCTTTTTGTGCCTTTTGGTTTAGGAATCCTATTCCCGTGGATGCTTTTATAGGTCCTTTATGAAGAATTTGTTTTTTCCATCTAAAGGCTGTGCTAGGAATTGCAATGAAACAGTAATTGTAAGTAAGAACACATGAATGATGAAATAAATCATCAGCTCAAATTTGAAAGCTGTCTCAGTCAATCCTGAGCCACAGATCTCTGTTATATAGCCACGATCAATATTGTACTCGCCTATGATCAGTGAACGGGAACTAATCCAGCCATTTTATTTCCCATGTCCATATCTGTCTCTCTATCTCCATTAGTTTCTCATTATTTATCATACTTATTTCCCCTTTTCTTCAGTAATCTTTCACTATTTTTCTCCTCTCCTATTTTGCTCTCATAGTTTTAAATACTGTACATCATGCTATTTGCCTGGTTGTGGGCGTGAACTGGAGATCTACTCTTGTGCTGTCACCAGTGGAGCACGTATGTGCTTCCATACAAGTCACTGGAACATGTATGAGAGTGGACTGGAACACTGAAATCTGTATCTTTCTTTACATGATTCTCCCTCCCTTCCAGGGGAGGGCAGCAGACCTTTACTCAGTGCTTTCTTATGAATGGACATCTGTGGGGTAAATTGCAGCTGCGTCTAGATTTACTCTTATTTACGTAGTATTTCAGAACATTCAGAATTTACGCGCACTTACTTTTGGATTTATTTTTCTGTAAGTTTCTTTTAAGAACGACAGGAAAATGTCTTCAAGGTCAAGACTGAATTCAACAATTTGCCAAATTCTGGATACTCTTAAAATGCCACGTAAATAATATAATAATAATAATAATTCTAGTCTTTGCATTTGTCATATCACATCAAAATGTCTCGAGGAGTTTTACAGTAGAGACTGGCGAGGACAGGAGGACAAGGTTCCTTTCCTTCAAATAGTATCTCAGGTTCTTTAATGTCCACCTGAACAGGCAAATGGTTGAACATCTCATCCAAATGATGGAACATGTTTTATAGTTCTCTGTCCACAAGGAGGAAAATTAATCGCCAAATGCTTCTTCACAAAGGCAGTGGTCTTTTAAAGTGTTTAAATAAAGATTTTAGAAGCAGATGCTTTTCAGTACCTTCAATGATTCTTTTCCAAGACCTCTTCTGCTGTGTCCTATAGGTGCGAAAGTGCTGCAAAGGATTCTATGGTGCAAGCTGTAGACCATGCTCTGGAGGTTTTATTAATGCCTGCTCTGGCAATGGACAGGTATGTTTCACCCTGCGAGCATTGACAATGAAGGTCTTTAGCAGCTATAGATTGGTGTAATTACAATAGCTGTGAAATGTAACTGGTAAATATATAGACTTACTGTGGACCTATTTAAAAATATATATTTTTATACAATGTATGCCACATAATTAACACAAATAACATTCAGTTTTCTTTGGTTACAGTGCATGGATGGTTTGAATGGAAATGGCACGTGCATTTGTGATGACAACTTTAAAGGCTCCAGCTGTCACATTTGTTCAAATCCTAACAAATATGGACCTAATTGTGCTCAAAGTAAGCATGCTTAAAATTGCGGTACATTTTTTCTGCTTAACCCCAATGTTAAATTCTGGACACAAATACCAACATTTATGCCATGTTTTCACTTGTGCAGCGTGCAAATGTATTCATGGAGAATGTGATAACAAACTGACCAGCGAAGGAGCCTGCAAACCTAACTCATGTAAGGAAGGATACATTGGGAAGTTCTGTGAGAGGCATACAACTTCATGTGGACCCAGTGTTCAGTTCTGCCATGTGCAGGCAAACTGTGAATACAGGAAAGGTACCCTCAGGTAACATGAAATGGAAATGTCAAAAACATCAGATAAAGGGAAGCACCTTGTTTTGTATAAATCAGTGAGACTCATTTCACTGCTTTGATGTGAAGCATACACAAAGTTCATTAATTACATTCCAGTTCATAAAATAATAGGGGGTGCTCTAACCTGTGCTATTCTGTAGCACAGAGTCCTGTAGCTCAGTGGTTAAAGCACTCACCTCGCATGTGAGAGACCAAGGTTTGATTCCCGGCCGGGCGAAACATTAGACAAGTTTCCTTACTCCACATGCCTCTGGTTGTTAGTCACACAAAGCTGGTTGTTAGTCAATTGTTGGATCGCTTTTCCGGGGGTAATAATTCCTTTAAAAAAAACAATAATAAATTGGTCATTTCAATCCACGACTGTTTGTGGGACACTGCTGTGTGCAGTTGGCTGCCGCATTTCACCCACAAGATATAAAATTCACTTTACAGTATATTCTGTCAAGCGCTATATCAAATGCAAGAATTATTTTTATTATTATTACTACTGAAGATACTCTAATGCTTTGTTTAGTGTTCAACATGACTTAATGGGAAACGTTTTATACAGTGAATAAGTCAGACATTATCTATTGGATCTCATAATTCTGACTGCGCTAAGTTAAATTCCACCTTCACTTCTAAAAACAATCATTGGCTAAAGCACATTCTCTTTACCTTTAGTTGTGTCTGCAAACCAAACTATGAGGGGGATGGTTCCTACTGTGAAGAGCAAAACCCTTGTCTTGCACCAAACCGAGGAGGATGCAGTGCCAATGTAGGTAGAACTAATTCAGACACAGTCAACTCTATCAGAATTGATACTTACACATTGTTGTTCTCACTTGTATGAATAAAAACCTTATTTTGAGCAAGCATGTCTGAAATAAATTTTATCCACATAATTGCCTGCAGGCTGTGTGCAATAAACAAGGACCAGGAAGACACTTATGCCAATGCTTGCCTGGCTGGACAGGAGATGGAGAAGATTGTACAGAGATTAATAACTGTCTGCTGGAAAACCACGGGGGGTGTCATATGAACGCAAACTGTATCTACGGAGGCCCCGGACAGGTAAATGAAGCGTGATATTGGATATTATCCAGTAACTCCAGCTGAAAAGTGCTTGTTTTATGGCAATGGCCAACTGCCCCATATAGTCAGCCCTGTGTGCCCCACATAGTGGATGTATTGCTGTGGGTTAAATGCTATCCTACTGCTGGGTAATAAGCATAGATGTCAATTCAGTTTGTAAATAACATTATATTACAAATGTAAAATTAAATCATATCTCAAATTGCATTTTCAGTTATTTATTGACATGTGGGGCAGAATAACATTTAGTGCACAGGCATGAACTTGTTACATGAAGCGCATGGAGTAGAACAGTCAAGGAAAACTAATTGTAGTTAGTCTGGGCTAACTAGAGCTAACTGTACCGCTTTGGCTGAAATAAAATGGATCGTGTTTCATTTAATTTGTCATGCTAATTAATTACTTACTAATTCTTTCATTTGATGTAAAGCCTTTCACATCAAGAGGACATCTCAGGGAGCTTCACAGAATACACTGGAGTCCTATAGCTCAGTGGTTAGAGTACTCGCTTTGCAAGTGAGAGACCTGAGTTCAATCCCAGGCAGAGGGCGAAACCTTGGGCAAGTTTCCTTACTCCACACACCTAATAATAATCCCTCCAAAAAACAAAACAATAATAAATTGGTTATTTTCAATCCACGACTGTTTGTGGGACATTGCTGTGCGCAATTGGCTGCCGCGTTCGCCCACAAATGTACAGTCAATTCACTTTACAGTATATTCTGTGAAGCGCTTTGGGACGTCCTCCCGACGTGAAAAGCGCTATATCAAATGCAAGGATTATTATTTTTATTATTATTAAGTGTAGGGAAGGGCCAGTACATCTTGAAAATATTTAGCAGGTTCAATTTCAGTAAGATTTTACTGTCTGTTTGAGATATGACAGCAACATGCAAATGTGCTTCATTCGCCTTTAATTTGTGAACAGAATGACTGTGAATGCAAGAAAGGTTTTCGTGGCAATGGAATAGAATGCGAGGAGATAAATCCCTGTTTGGAAGAAAACGGTGGCTGCCATTATATGGTAAGTGACCTGAATATACAGGTGCAGAGGACTCGATTTACTGACAGAAGAAAGCTTTGCGCTGTCAGAACAAAATCCTGAATGTTTTCAAGCAGAAATGTTGAGGAAAATGCCACACTCATTTTGTAAGGATTTACAAAAGTACTGTATTTAGCTTTGCTGCTGTTAAAAAAACAACAGCCTGATCCTGAATTTATTATTGCAGTAAATTTTATTTAGCAAGCAAAAGAAAATAAGGAAATAAAGAATATTCAGATTAAAAGGTACATATTTAATAGTCTATGTGATACATGTCATGCTGGAAATATCTACAATAGAATAGGAGTTTGATCAGGTTACAGTTGATTTTGCCAGTATACATGTATACAACATCATATCACTACAATAAATTTTAAAATGTGAGGAATGTGTATTCTCAATGTTATACGTGTTTTATCAATACAAATCTTTTCCCTCCTTTGTGTTCATATAATAGAATAATTTTTTTTAAGTTGATTTATTCTGTACAAGCTTAAATGGTCAGAAAATCCAGTGATGTATCATTTTATATTTGCCACTTGATCAATATTTTGACCTGTAGTGTTTTTAGTATTTATTGAATGATCGACCTTAACATATCTTGACAGGCCATGTGCACCTATTCATCCCCTGGCATAAGGAGCTGTAGATGCCAGCAGGGTTATGTGGGAGATGGCAACATTTGTTATGGGAACGCTGTAATGGTAAGTCATCTAATGCAGCATTTATACAACATTGTTCGCTAAATTTGGTTTGTTCTTTCGAGGAAAGCAGGCTCAGTTTGGTGGATCACACTTCATATACCCACTGCTGAGGAATCCTCTGTTGCTATTGTTATGCCCACGATACTCCTGCAACCCTATCGCCCTAACCACTCCCTCCATTCTGCCAATTCCCAACTGTTCCAACTTGCCATTGGCAGGCCAGCTTTCAACCCCTTTGTCCGTGCTCTCTGGAAATATTTTCCCAAATCCCTCCCTCAGCTTCCACTTCATCCACTCCCACTCTGCCTTCAAAACCAATCCAAAGACCTATGTTTAACTTGGTTTTCGGATATTCCCCTCCTCTTTCCCATTCCTCCAAATCTCTTCCACTTATCTCAGTTCTGACTCAATCTTTGTAAAGTGCTGTAAGGTGTTTTCCATAGCTGAAAGGTGCTATAAGTGGAAATTGATGTCATTGCTATTCTGTTTATGGATTGTCTAATGCAATGTTGGAGCATTTCAAGTGCAGTCCAAAATGCTATAATTTTTAAATACTCTCAGCAAGTGCTTTACAAATAAAGCTAGTTTAACCAAAGTCGTAGATATGCCCGGAGGGAATGAATGTCATCTTTAAGCAAGAATGACTGTAGTTATGTCAAAAATTAGAACTACGTGTGTTTGTGGAATTATTTGCAACCCATCATTGTCTTCACTTTGTAGGAGTTATCGTCAATCCCAGAGGCGGCTGAATTCCTCAAGTGGGTGAATGTAAGTCCTTAACACTAGCTAACAATGCTATAACAATGATAGAGATCAGAACACCTTACTTTCTAATAAAACGGTTGATCGGAAACAGTTGGGGAGAAATTCCACCTGAGACGAGATGAGATGAGATAAACTACGTTTATATAGATTTTCGGAGTGTCTGGAGAATGTCAAACTCAGTCTTAACTTTAAAGTCATTTTGTTTCTAGTTCTTGAACAGTTTTTAAAAGTATTTATGAATTTGCTGAAATTCTGGACACTCTGAAACACATTAAATCTGGGGTGGCATTTCTACCCAGATGGCATCAATTGTTGCTGTGTTGATAAAACTGCGTAGTAGATGGATAAAACTATCATACCAACTCCCCTGAGTAAAATACTACCTGAAGGTGGTTATATGAGTTACACAGCACAACCAGGTCACAAGTTTGGTCTGCATTGATCTTGGACAGTGAAAGGATTGTTACAATTGATGTCAATACTCCTGTGTAAGAAAAAGGGAAAGAGGTGCTGATTGCTATCCAGGATCTCTGCTGGAAATTGTGGGCATCACACACAAGGTTTAAGATTGGCAGCAAAGTCACCACAGCTGAGTAGTCTATTGTCGCTCAACTCACACTCGAGTGAGTTGAATAGACACTTGGGAAAGTGTTAGGAAACTGCTGGATCCTGTGGAACTGAACCACAGCATGAGTCGATGGCTTCAGGAGAGAAGGAGGAAATTGAGGGGAAGCAAAAAAAGGTAAATATTTTGTGATCATTATTAGACCTGTACTAGGGTTTGGTTCGGTGGAAAGATAATGCTTCCGTGGTCAGCCTGGTAACAGAAAACTTGTGCTGCTCGCATGCCTCCACTTCAGGACTATTTCCCTCAGCCTCCGACCACCCCATACATGGTATAGTGCTGTACCAATATCCTTGCATCACTGAGTTACATTCATAACAATTTAATTCAACAGTAAGATTATGTTTATGACCTGATAGAGACTGACTTACTGCTAATGCAAAAGAAACAAATGCAATACTAATTATTTGCTTTCTCAATCCACCACTGTTTGTGAGACGCTGCTGTGCACAATTGGCTGCTGCATTTCGTCCACAAAATATACAGTCAATTCACTTTACAGTATATTCTGTGAAACGCTTTGAGACGCCTCGAAGACGTGATAAGGCGCTATATCAAATGCAAGGGTTATTATTATTAATGCTTTCAATTTGTTATACCTGAGTGGTACTTTTCTCTTTTATTCAGGATGCTTTCCTAAACCAGGAACTTTCAGAAGCTCCAAATATCACCCTGCTCGTGCCCTCGCAACAGGCTATTGACAGCATGAATAATGACAAGCGAGAGTTTTGGCTGCAAGAGAAACAGCTTCCAAACCTAGTGAAGTATGTTCAAGTCTGGCTGTTATCATATAAAATATATAATTTTATTACAAATGTTTATAACTCCACAGCAACAATGTTGCTAAGATGAGTAAATGAAACCAAACAGCTCAGCGTACATCAGTAAATGTATTATTTAGGAACTGGGCAGAGTAACCTCAGTACCTCATCTCCAAGTCAGGGAAGATGTGAAGTGTGTGACACTAATAAGTGGGTGATTCACTGATTCTTGGTAAGTTTATTGACCTTGTAAATTTACTAGGAGTCAGAGGTTCATCCCCTAACCTGCTAAGTGCTGTAGCTGACAAGCAGTGGTTCAAAAACATACCTGAAGTAAATGTTACGATTAACCTGTCATTGCTGTAGAGAAGATTGGGGTCTAATGATCATTCGTGTTGCCAGTATTACTCAGTCAGTGTAGATTCAGGCTTAATCCAGTCTTCAAAACGAAATGAATAGGATATTTCACTGAAACATAATCATGCTGAATTCTTTACAAATGTGTAGCATTGGTTCCTTTTCTCTTTTTGATCAGTACAACCCTACGTGAAGTGACGTAGGGTTGATCATTTATCAATGTGAGCAAGTGTTTTCTCTGCAGGTACCATGTGTTAAAGGGGGTGTACAGCCTTTCAGATCTCCAAAATTTTTCATCTGATTCACTGGTGACATTGATGTCGGGGAACATCTTACCACTGTCAAAGCAGAATGAGGTATTTAAAGCTTTCCTTTCTACTAATATTGTAGATGTGCCCATGTGTATTCATATTTCTAAAATCCTTTGGCATGTTGGTATTGTGAGATCTACTAGCTTTGTTATTAGGATGATAAACTCCATCCCAACAGTTTAAATCCAAGCCTCAACCCACATTTGCAGTCGAACGCTTTTATTTTACATTTGATATATTTTCGGTTGAGCAGCAAAATGAAACTATCTTAAACAGATACCAGGAAGTTTTCTTTACCAAAGGGGAAGTAACGACTGGAACAGGTGATCAGGAAGGATAGTTTAGACCAGGACACTGGACAGATTTAAATTGCAGTTTGATGCTGTGATGGGAGGAAGATACTGGGGGTATTCTGGAGGGATGAGATCAGGTGGGTCAAAGAGCCTTCTTCATCCAAACTAATCTTGTGGTAAACTAAGTGTCAAGCAGATACATCAGTGAACCTGATCTAATCTTGTGATCTTGTGAAACTAACTTCAGCTGCTACCTAAAAAGAAAAAAATTGCCATAAAATAAATCTAAGGTTAAAATATTTGGATTTTTCATATTAACATTAATATATATTTTTTATTTTTATAGACTTCAGTGATTGGAAGTGCAAAAATCATCGATTCTGATGTTGCTTTAACTAATGGGATCATGCACATTATTGACAAGGTAGGAATCAGGATTTTGAGCACAACCTTTGTTCAAAATGTAACCAGAATCGTTTTCTATTTCTCACTAATTTTAACAACCAAAACCAGGTGGCGTTTGCTCAATAATTCCTTGTGATTCGAATTCTCATGGGACTTGACTATGCCTCAGTCTTAAAACAAACGAAGGTGGCAGAAACACAATCCACTTCTGTTACTGTTAAGGACTCATCAGTCAGTAGATTTTAAGCCATTTCTGTAAGTGTCATTAATGTAAGTGAGCTCTCCTATGGTGATGAGATGATCAGTATTAATTTTGAATATCAATGATTCTGTTCCAGGTTCTTATACCTGATCAACTCATGAGCGATGATTCAATGGATCTGCTTTCTCGACTGGGCCAGAATGCTGAGTATTCTCAATTCAGAGCATTTATGATTGTATGTTCTGAAAATATGGGGCACAGTCTGTCACTAATAGAGCTGGGATTTCATTGTATTTAATCAGTTGATAACTTTCTGTGACTAAAACCTGATTCTATCCACTTCAGAAATATAACTTGGCAGCACAGGTTGAGGCCGCAAGCAGCTACACCGTGTTCTCTCTAAGTAATGATGTTATTGAGAATTACTGCAAGAAGAATAACGTTGCTGATATGGTATGTTTAAAATGCTTATCAAATGAAACACATCTAGAATATAAGTTTAGTACTCCTACATAGGGGAAACTAGCTTTAGCTCCCTTGATTTTACAGCTGTTTTGATTATAGTACAGTGTCACACTCAGGCTCGGATGCTGGTAAGCTAGTTCCCTGCACTTAAAATAATCAATATCCATGTGGTCTGGTAGCCACTGATGTCTCTTCCTGTGCTAATAATAAAATAATAAGTCCTGATTTTGATATTGTGCCTTTCACCTCAGGTGGACATCTTAAAGTGCTTCACAGGTTTCACCATAAAGTGACTGTATTTTTATTGGAAAACCCAGCAAACAATTTGCGCAGCGCAATGTCACACGTACTGAATGGCTAATGATGTATATTACAGGTGATGATATGTGACACGTCTTGTTTCACAGAGTGAAGACCTGATGAGGTACCATATTATTTTGGATCAGAAACTAATGGAAAGCGATTTGCACAATGGGATGCACCGGGAAACAATGCTTGGGATTTCCTACCAAGTTGGATTCTTTCACAAAGAAAACCAGGTACATGGATCAAGAGAAGTCCAATAATGTGTCCAGATGGGGGGATGGGGTGGGGACAGGACGTCTAAAATAAAATGCTACGGGTTTTTTTATTTAAAAAGGCGGTTGTTAAAAATAGCATGGATGTGATCTATGATTTATTACTTTCCCATAGAGCTGCCTATCTTGATTGTTTAGTTCATGCAATCACCCTGGATATACTACTACATGTTACACCTTGGTGTAGTAGGTTATACTGCATACAAGAATGTGAGAAAATGTAAACATTATCTATTATACGTAATAAACTGCATTGATTACAGCTTTTTGTCAATGATGTGCTCATGAACTTTACTGATGAGGAGACTGATAAAGGAGTGATTCACGGTCTAACAGATGTTCTCAAATTCCTGATAAATCGATGTGACACCAATGATACTACTGTGTTGCAAGTAAGTAACATTTTAAAACCATTGTAACTTTAACTGACACTTAAGAGACGAACGAATGTCTTTTTCTCTTTTTGAAGGGAAAGTGCATCAATTGTCAATATAAACCAGACTGCCCGCAAGGATCCGTTCCTGCCGTAAGTACTGAAACTTTTTTTAGAAACATTTCGGATTTCAGTGCAGAATTCTGTTCCTTTTATTCTGATGTTACTGTTTGAACAACGCAGGAGGGCAACAAGAACAACTGTATTTTCATACGGTACGTGCTGGGCAAGCGAGTCATGTACCTTGGCTGTCAAACAAACTGCATAAAAACAGTCATTGTAAGTACACTTCAAACCTAGTTCAAGTTAAATCGATTGTAATAATAATCCTTGCATTTGATATAACTCCTTATCACGTCTTCAAGGCATCTCAAAGTGCTTCACAATATATACTGTAAAGTGTAGTGACTGTATTTTGTATTTAATAATAATAAAAATATTTTGTATTTAATGATAAAGTACACTACTGAATCAGGTATGTGCAGGCTTATTGATGTTTTTTTGCAAACTTAAAGGACACTTTTCCATTGATTGGTGAAGATACCAATCTTGGTGGTGTGCATTTTGGAATGTGCTTTCCATCTCGCTTCATTGAGGGATGTTTCAAAGAGTGATTCTGTGTAGGTGTTTGAACACAACTCCAAATTTATTTAATACAAAGTAAATCTGCCCAATTACACAGTGAAGGAATCTCTTCTGTATTAATTCTGTCTATACGTAGGTTTCTTATGATGTGCACATTTGGTATCCTGTGGAAATGAATATAGAAAGTGCTATTTACTAACTCTACTTAGTAACTTCTCTCGGTTTTCAGACCCGAGACTGCTGTGCTGGCTACTTTGGACATCAATGCCAGGCGTGCCCAGGAAACGGTATGGATTCATGCCTGGGGAATGGCATTTGCCAAGATGGCATCAATGGCACAGGAGTGTGTGTGTGTGAAGAAGGCTTTGCAGGGACCGCATGTGAGACCTGCATCCCTGGGCACTATGGAATTCACTGTGATCAAGGTGAATCCATTCAAATACCAATAAATTAATTATTGGATTTGTATTTACTTATTCAGTGCTTTGCTGGGATTTCGCTCTTTTCTAGCCATGTGGTGTATTATTAAAGAATCTAACTACCTGTATTATGAAGATATAATTAAGTAAAATATCCGCCAGGTAACATTCTTTAGAATAATCCCGATACATTTTTTGTATTTATGTTGTGTCGAAAACTGTAAAATCAAACCCGTTGCCTGTTGTTGACTTTTCTAGAATGTGCCTGTGCTCATGGAAAATGCAAAGAAGGAATCAATGGAGATGGTTTGTGCGAATGTATTGTTGGATGGAGAGGTGTCAAATGTGACATTGGTGAGTCAGAATTCACTACCATCTTTTGCACTTTGTAACTCATCCACTTGTGCTCAAGCAATATTGAGTATTGAAGGTCATTGCATGTGGTTTCAGGAGAAGGTTTGGTTTAATTCTTTCAGTCAGTTATAATGAGAAAGAATCCTATAATAATTTTACTTCTATACGAGTATAATAAATTGATAAACAAGCAGTCTTATTCACAGTTCTAGTGCACTGAGTATTTGACACCTGATGCTAGGAGCAGCCAGTGTTAGGTTAACACTATCCTCTCACACTGCTCTTGACTGAGGGAAACCAGAACATTGCACTACGTGAAGTGCACTGCTCACTGTCAGTGAGATAGTTAATATCAGAAACCAAACCCATGCACAGACTTTACTAACAGTTCCTTATAAGCATCTTTTATCATATTACACTCAATAGACTTGGTAACAACTTCTAAACTTTTCAACAAAATTTAGATTTGCATTGGATCAGGTTCTGTAAGACTGGACTTGTACTGCAGGCATTCATACTGTCAGATGTGGCTTCGGGCAGGGGTTTGGAATATCCTTGAATTCCCTCAGAAAACATATTTTAGAGCCCTTTTGGTATTGAAGCAATGATAAAGGTGCAGTAAAGATAGGCCACGAGGAGGTCTTATAAGATTTCAGAATGCTTCCATTTCTAAAGGTGTTTGTGATGCAAACAGCAAAGCACTGATTGTGTATTGTGGATGTGATTGTTTTTTCAGAAATCACTGAAGACCATTGCAACAACACATGTCATACAAGCGCCAAGTATGTGTCCATCTTCTCCTAGCGTTTCCCAATGGTTTGGTAACAGATGTCGTTATTCTGATCTGAGCACTAACTGTATCAAATGTTCTGATGTGGGCTGATTGTGGATTAACCCTTAAAACATTTTTTGAAAGAGTACTTACTCAGTGGTTAATGCTTCACCTTTCACGTCTCTTGTACAGCTGTATCTCCAAAGCAGATGGAACAAGAATTTGTGGTTGTGCAGCTGGGTTCAGAGGCAATGGCACATTCTGTGAAGGTACATTCGAGATCAAAATTGTTGATCCTCATTTTTTACATAGCTTAAAAATCTATATTTTTTAGTTTATCACATTTAGTTTGAATCATTGCCAACCTTTTTCTGTCAGTAGTTCAGTCTTTCGTTACATCTATCTTTCAATATTTATAAGCAAAATAATAATTAAAATAATAATAATAAAAATGATATTGCCATTTTTGAGTAAACCTAATTTGGAAATAGGAATATTTACACTTTCGGTAAAAGACTATTTTATGTTATTTGTTTTGTTGCAATGATAGATTTCTTTATGTATTAGAACAAGCGATATGTAAATACAGCAGCCACAAATATCTGTTTCAACAATTTAGTCAACAGTTTCAGGAGAATGGATACTTTATTCTTACTCATGGCTGGACTTGATGTGCAACAAGATAAAAGGCCACCAACCAGCTTGATCCGTTTAACTACAGTATAATGTTGGTACAATAATTCTTAATTTCAATTTCCAGTTGAATTTCATGCCTTTTGTGACTGTGTTTGTTGCAGCTGTAAATGCATGCGAGACTGGCAATGGCAACTGCTCACTTAATGCCTACTGCAAAAGAACAGTGCCCGGAGAGAGGGTGTGTGTCTGTCAGAATGGATACACTGGCGATGGCCTTGTGTGTATTGGTAAGAATAAAACATTCATTGTGCATTTTAAAATGGAGAAAGGCAGTAGATGTTTTCCAATTCGGAGAACATCAGCTTCTGTGAAGTGCTTCAAGATATTACTCTTATGTGAAAGTAGCAATATAGACACAAGCTGTTGTGGATCAATTTTACTTGAGTTGATGTAGCTGTAGTGAGTACCATATTCCCTAAATAAGATAGAGATTTTAATATCACGAGTAAACTTCTTTTGTACATCTCCCATTATATCTAACGTTGTAAAGCTGAGTGATTCAGATCAGATCACTAGTTAGTTGATCTCGGTCAGGTCAGACGTGGAAGCACTATGGTAATTGGCCTCAGCACCACTTGAGCTAACAAGAGGAAAATCAGCCAGTGTCCATGCTTGTTGTCCTGTGGATGAATCATGGGTGAGGGCAGGATTGGTCTGGGGTCTGATGTTGCTATATTACCTTCTATCTAATTGTCTGCTGACACTCGCTGTTGATACTGGAGACTAATCAGTTCCCATGGAATTGTACTCCACACTATCAACAACAACAAAGTACATTTGTATAGCACCTTTCACATCAGGAAGGCGTTCCAAAGCTTTGGACCATCAGGGATCTATCAAAGAGGCTTAATTAGGCCCAATCAGTTAATTTTTAATTTTCTTATTGAAGTCTGTGTTTTCTTTTAAGAAATCAACCCCTGTATAGAGAATAATGGAGACTGTGATGTAAATGCAGAGTGTACACAAGTAGGTCCCAACCAGGTACGAAATTTCTTTCTTTTCCCCCCCACAAATGCCTCCCTTTCCCGATGAAGTATAAATTAACACACTATGAGTTGCACTTCATTTTTTTTCAAATAAAAACTTTAATTTGAACTGGTGCTTTTAGGCAGCGTGTAACTGCCTGAGCGGTTATGAAGGTGATGGAACGAGCTGTGCACCTCTTAATCCTTGTCGGATGGTGAGTACTGGCATTGGTTGTGCGATGTGTCCATAATGCAATGAGATTTATTAATAATAATGCTCTTTAGCTAGAAATATTAGGGAACTGATTCTTACTATCTTATTGAAGAAAAACGGGGGCTGCAGTGAATTTGCAAACTGCAATCACACTGGACCAAATCAACGCTCTTGTCAGTGTCTCTCGAGTTACATTGGTGATGGGTTTACTTGTAAAGGTACCATATACAAGGTATGTTCCCTGGCAGATTAATGGCTATTTCATTGTAAAGGAATTGTAACACTTAATTTACTCTTGACGAGCAATCGTTCTGACGTAATCCATTATCTTCCTTTCTAGGAGCTGACAATGAATGCTGTTTCATCCCACTTTTTCTATCAGCTCCAGGTAAAATGGATCATTCTCCACTTGTGGAGTTGTAATTCAGAACAAGTCAGTGCGAGAAATAAGGGCAAGAAGAAAATAACTACAATTTTCAATTGTAACACATAGTCCATCATTGCTCATTCACACTGTTAGTTTGACAGTCGTTTTTGCAAACCAATTGTTTTTATTTCTCTACAGCTCAATGGTGTCGTTGAGCTTGGTGGTTCAGGGCCCTTTACTGTATTTGTTCCGACCAGTGAGGCTATTAAAAAGGAAGCAATGGTAAGGGCATGTGCACCTCCAAGCTTGACTAGAATTTCAAAACAAATTTGACCGAGAATTTTGTTTTTCTTAAAGTACACATTCCTTTATTGCTTTTCAAATCTAGTTATCGGAATGGACAACGAAAGGACAAATGGCGCAAATTCTTCGTTACCATATCGTAGCTTGCAACCAACTGCTGTACAACCAACTGGTGTCCAAGAAAACCCTCACAACTGTTCATGGAGAACCCATCCGCTTTAGCTTTGTGCAGGTGATACTTTGAAGTCATATTGATGCAATATGAAAGAAAACACTACAAATACAATCCATTACATGTAATAGGTTACTCTGTGCTATCAGGATACAATTATAGTACTGTATCTTAATCTGAATTCTCTACTCTTCGTTTGACAGAATGTCCTGTATGTAAACAATGATGCCAGGATAGTTACGAGTGACGTTCTCAATGCAAATGGTGTGATCCATTTTATAGACAAGGTGTTGGTGCCTCAGAGGATACAGGTTATTCCAAAGGATGTCCTGGGCTACAAATTTGTAAGTACAACAACAACAACAGCCGATTTTCAGGATAAATTGAACATCTTAAAATTCAAAAGAAAAGGTGTGGAATAAACTATTTCTCTGCATTTCTTTACTATATAAAAAATATTCTGCAGCTATTTATCCTTGTAGATAATATTGATCATGAAGGTAATAAATAGTAAATCCGATTATCATCTGCACAACTTTACTGTCGTAGGAGTTCACCTACAATTTACACTGTCGTGACTCTTTGCATTCTGTGAAGAGCTTTGAGACATCATCCCAACATGTAAAGAGCTATATCATCCAAGGTTTATTCTATCATTATTAGTTTCTACATCCAGCAAAGAGCACATGGTAATCTTAGAATTAATCGTAACCAAGACATTTTAGAAATGCTATTATTATTATTATATTTTTTGAAAAGTCATGAATGAGATTTGAATATAAAGATATTATATTACTGTCTTATTTCACTACTGAAGTGCTGAGTTTTCCGATACATAATACATAGTATCCCACCTCATTTATATTATATTTACATTCATTTATATTTCAAACATTGGTTGGATTTGTTATGTGCCTCAGCGCACTTTAGGATTACATTTCTCAGTACTATTAGCAATAATACTCATTTTAGCTTTTTATTTTTATTTCATTTATCAATTTATTTATCAAAGGTTTTCTTTTCTTCAGCAAAACCTCAGCACAGTTGCCGCACAGAATGGATACTCGCTGTTTGCTAATCTATTACAGGTGAGTAAGATTTATTACTGTTTTAACGGAAAAACAACGCTGACGGGAATGGTGATTGGCGTGGCTGAGCGACGCGATTGATTCTGCACTTGTCTTGAGGAGGTTTTGATGCAAAATGATGCTGTACGTTGGAACCTGATGGTGTGCAGTGATAAAGATTTGAGAGTCAAGAGGTCAGCACATTAGCAAGGTGCTCTGTGGACTCTAACCAAGGACTTGTGCTGGAAGATGTGCATGCTCGGGCTCCACTATGTTGTCCTTCATAGTTGAATAGCTTGCACTCACTGTCTAGGCTCAGCCATGGGACTACAGTGGGGTCAGTATTGTGGAAGGATGAGAGGAAATGGGCCAAAGAGCCTTCTTCACTCAAACTGTCCTGTGATCTAAAGTCGTTATTCCTTTTATTCCAGGAGACAAACCTGCTGAATGTAATTAATGATCCTGTTCACAAACCAGTCACCCTGTTCTTGCCAAAGGATAGTGCCATGAGGTCCTTACCCAAAGAACAGCAGGACTTCCTGTATAACAAAGACAACAGAGACAAGCTGATCGAATACCTTAAATTTCACATCATCAGAGATGCTAAGGTAACTCTTTCATTTTAACTGATAGATTTAATAACTTGTCAATAAAGTAGTGTATAACAGGAGCTCTCTTTAAAGAAGTTGCTGCAAGTCCTAAAGAGCTTAACAAAAAAAACAAGGATACCCTGAGAAGCCGGATGTACAGTCAGCCTGTCAATAAGTTACATACATTTTAAATTTGTTTAACATTCGGACGTATAATGTTGTCTTGTACATTACATCACATTTTGTTCAATTTCAATGATTCCATTTAATTGGACAAAATGTGCTTTTGGACCAAAATATTTGGGTGATTCACATTCCTTTCACGTTTCCAGATTGTGGCAGTAGATCTCCCAAACTCTAATTCATTGAAGACATTGCAAGGCTCTGACCTCAGCGTGACCTGTGGGAAGAGAAGAAACATAGTCGTGAGTTTGATATTATGCCTTTACCAATTCAACAAGAATACGGGGAAAAATGTCGTTGAGTGTTGCACACAATAATTTCCATTAGTGAAGATATTAGTGAAAGATATTGGCAAAGTTGATATATGTAACAAGCTGCACACAAGCCCTAAATGTAGTTTCTACCAATATGTTAATAATCCTTGCATTTGATATAGTGCCTTATCACTTCTTTGAGTCGTCTCAGAGCGCTTCACAGAATGTACTGTAAAGTGAATTGCCTGTATATTTTGTGGGTGAAACGCAGCAGCCAATTACGCACAGCAGTGTCCCACAAACAGTGGTAGATTGAGTGACCAATTTATTATTTTTTTGGAAGGAATCATTACCCGGAAAATGTTGCATCTGTTTCGGATGTAAACGCAATCGGGGTGCTAGACCAGACCTTTGCAGAGCGAGAGAAACAGTTAACTTGAAAAAAAATAATGCCGAAAGCTGATTTTCGAATGCTATTTAAAATGATTGAAGGATCATGCTCTGCTGGTGACTTTCCTCACAAAAACATAGTGACTGGGAGAACCATTGAGGGCTTCGAAGCTGTTCCACCAGTTTATGGCAGATCTTTTAGTTCCATTGCCTCCATTCTCTATTGCAGTGACTGGTGTAAAAATAACCCGAATTGTATTTGTCGGGCAACTTTAGTAAGAGATATAATCACAATTGGTGTGGTGTTGCTCTCATTTATTTGACATTCTCCCGTTTTATGCAATGCTCTCAGGGTGAATTGTATCTGAACAAAAGAAGCTGCAGAATTACCCAGAGACACCTGGAATTTGACAGCGGTATCGCATACGGCATCAATTGTTTATTGGCTCCTCCAAGTCTTGGTGGTCGCTGTGATGTCTTAACCACCTTTGACATCAAGGTTTGTACCAGAACGAATGTCGTTGACAATTTAATGAATGGATTTCTTAACATGTTAAAAAAAAGTGTCTTATTGAATGAATTCTGTGTTTCGAACAGTCCTGTAGGAACATACCATAATGTGCATCATCTTGAAGCAGTGGTCTAGTGAACATGTGTTATCTTCTTGAATAGATAAAGACACAGTAAAAGTACAAGCTAGACTCCAGTGTTCAAGATGAAACAGCAGTATATCATCTATCAAAATTCATATTTATTGTATTTCTTTGACAATAGGGTGACTGCGGTAGTTGCCTCAACACACCCTCATGCCCTTCTGGAACTAAGGCAAAGGTAATAATACATCCTATGAACTACTTAATTTGAGATCCCAAATTGTAATATTTAATGGATAATATAGTAACTATTCCAATAACTAATGACATTGGCATTTCTTATACAACGTGAAGACTTGTGAGACTTAGACTCCGGTAACTTATCTGGTACTTGCTGAGATCTTGTCTTGCCTGTGTATGCCATGCAACGGTTGTCTAGGGAGGAAACAAATTGTTTATATCACATATGCCTTTGTCCAGGGACCGCCCATAATTCACAGCAATAAATCTGTTTGAGCATATTTCACTGCTGGAAAATACGTTCTTTTTCATTTGAAAGGGTTAATTTTTAATCCTTGACAGAAGTGACTATGAACTTCTCCTTTGTTCAACTGTGTTCGCTTTGTACAGAACAAAAAGGAGAAGTGCACTTTCCGTGGTTCTTTCCACTTGAAGGTGGATGGCTGCTTTCAGCAATGTTCTGTCCTGATCTGGAAACCCAAATGCTGCAGCAGTTACTTTGGAAAAGACTGCCGAGGTACCTGATCAGTTTCATTTATGTTCAAGTTCCTCGGTGATTTGATTGAAAAAATTGCAGCCATGTTCCTTGTTAGAGGATGACAAACACATGCCTTTATTGTATTTTCTGATTTAGCCTGTCCAGGTGGCCCAGAAACTCCTTGCAACTCTCATGGCACATGTGACGATCAATATACAGGCACAGGGGTCTGTACCTGTTCTGCTGGGTTCAATGGTACTGCATGCGAGCTTTGCCCACCCAATCGATGGGGACCTGAGTGTACACGTATGTTTATCTAACAGAAACCTGTCTTCCTTTGTTATCTTACACATTACATTTCACTTTGCTTCTATCATTTCCATCAATAATCAGCAAATAATTTATAGTTCCTCAATGATTACACTCAATATACTGTAGAAAAATCATCTTCAGCTAATCTTTATTACAACATCATCAATATTCATAATTGACAACCTTGCCAAGTATATATTTCATGGTTAATTCAATGAATGACGTGTCCTTACAGTCTGTAATTGCACTGAAAATGGAGCATGCGATGATGGCAATGATGGTCAAGGGATCTGTTACTGCAATGAAGGATGGACTGGAGCTCGCTGTGAAACAAAACTAGGTTTGTATTGCGCTGAGAGCACTGCACTGGCAGAATGTGTGAAGACAGTCAACCAGAATGTCTTGGTTCAGTTTTACTGTCTGTCATTTTCTATTTTTGTTGTCCAAATAGACTTATTTTGATCACTGAGAAGTCACAGATTGATTGCATTCAATAAACACTCGGATTATTTTGAGTGGGATGTGGGAAGGGTTGAAATAACATTTTGATCAAATAGTGATTATTTTATTTAAAATGTTAAATAAAGCTTCTTTGGTGCAGGTAAGATCTGTTTGGCAATAAATGTAGAGCTGCATTGTGTTGCTACAAAGTTACTTCAAAATTAAATCATGATATAATAGAGATAAAGATTTGATTTATTTAATCAATTGCATGGGAAAGAATAGCGAGCACCAGCATAAATGAATAGGCTGAAGGGGCCTCCTTCTACGCTGTAACTTTCAAGATTGGTTTGGATGAAGAAGGCACTTTGGTCTATTTGATCTCATCCTTCCAGCATACACATCCTCCTAGCACAGCACAAGACTTGTTTACTGCCTCATGATATTGTAGCTTAAGTAAGCAACACATTGTGACCCTCCCATCCCAATCTTTGATCCTAGTCGTGAAGCCTGTGTGTTCACCGAGCTGTTCAGAAAATGCAGTTTGCAAGGAAAACAACAAATGTGAATGCAAACAGTTCTACGAAGGTGATGGAAGAAATTGCAAAGGTGGGTTACCTTGTTACAGAATGGGCAACATTTTGCTGTATGGCTTTTTATTATTCTTTGCTGGCCTTCAGAAATTGGAAATAGTTGTTTTATGAAGATGCCATGGACTCAGAGGAAAGGATTCCCAGCCAGTGTGTGCATTTACTAACCTTCCTATGCGAGCGTATGAATTCTCCCTCACAGAATAACAAAGGCTGAATGGTCTGTTTCCACGCTGTATCATTCTATGCATGCATCACTCTATGTATGTATCCTTCTATGTACATATTACTCCATATGACTATCACTTCATATCTGTATCACCCCCATGTATCTGTCACCCTATGTAACATGGGGTGAAGATCCCCCAGTTTATCACTTTTATTTATTTGTTTTTCTATGACTCAGTTGTTCAGCTGTGTACGCAGAATAACGGTGGCTGTTCAAAGTTCTCCTCATGTAGTCAAAGTGGAATGAAAGTTACCTGCAGATGCAAAGATGGCTATTCTGGAGATGGCTACAGATGTGACCCAATAGACCGATGTGTGAATGAAGATAATGGAGCATGTGATGAGCATGCAAACTGCATAGTGACTGGACCAGTAAGTGAACAGTGCAATGAACTTCCACTAAGAAAATACAGGATGTATTTTAACTGTAAGGTTTAGTGAACTTCAACAAATCTGTATGTAAAATGTTTTACTATTGTCACAAATTATAGATAACCAGAGGCTATTAGTTTAGAGATGCTTTAGGCCTAGCATGATATTTCATGATGATTTGCTATCACAAAGGGCATTGCATTTACACAAACAAGTGATGGATTGTACAGTAGGTTATAACGCAGAATATTTAGACAATTGTCTGTAAGACATTTTATTAAATGTCTGGGCAAGTGTATTTGAACCATAATTATTTAATGAATCAATAGTGCAATTTGAAGAATTAACACAGGCATATATAACATGAATTGAATATTAATGACTGTCAGTATAAATTGTGATTATTTTGGAATGTGTATATGTTTTGCTCCCTGCCCTGTAAAACAGTCAGCCTGTGGTATAGTGATCTCCATCAATATCATTTCCATTGTGGCTGGTTCAGGTGCTTACGTATAAAACGAACACCATACCAGCATCATCTTTCAACAGAACAAAACCAAATGTCCCATAAATGTTTATTTAGATAGTAAAAATAATAATAATATTCCTTGCATTTGATATAGTGCTTTGAGACGTCTGGAAGACGTGAAAAGAATATACTGTAAAGTGAATTGACTGTATATTTGTGGGCAAAATGCGGCACCCAAGAGCACACAGCAGTGTCCCACAAACAGTTGTGGATTGAAGTGACCAATGTATTATTGTTTTTTTTTCCTTGAGGGATTATTATCAGGCATGTAGGAGTAAGGAAACTTGCCCAAGGTTTGGCCCTGCCAGGAATCAAACCCAGATCTTGCGAGGCGAGTGCTCTAACCACTGAGCTACAGGACTCCACTCTGGATGGTCTCAGATAGGAGTGACTGGCACCTTATTTGACAAAGGACGCGAAGAATCCAATGTATTTTATCTCCTGAGCCAAACAGCACATGTTGCAGTGAATTGAACACAGATTTGAAAGGAAAATTTCTTTCAATTTGCTTCTGTCGGTGTACGATAGGAATACATCTTTCAATTGAAATTGGCAGAACATACCAAGTGTTTACTCATTGACTAATCTGGTATTCGTTTGTAACAGAATAAACGCAAATGTGTCTGCAAAGATAACTATGTTGGGGATGGACTTCGTTGTTCTGTAAAGAAGCTTCCGATTAATCGCTGCTTACAAGATAATGGAAATTGTCACACAAATGCAGACTGCACTGATCTCCATTTTGAGGGTAAGCATTTTAGTTTCATGTAAACCACTTACTTCCTATGTAATGCTCAGTCTCAAACTCAATGTTAAATATTTCTCTCTAAGGCGTACATAAGCAAGTGGGAATAGAGGATATAGAAGAGGGGATTAGTATAAACACCAGCACAGACTAGTGGCCGATTTCCATGCAGTATGTAACTCCCAAGTCTCACTGTACTGTAAATAATAGCTTCAAAAGTATCGAGTTAAAACTAAAGTAATACATAATTGCATTGCATGTGGATTTGGTTGCCTTTACTAAGTTTAATAGTATTTCATTGCTGAAATTAACATGTTATATTCATTATTTTAAAGTGTTTTGTTTTAAATCAGTGGTGACCAACCTTTATGGTCGGCCAACAGAATAAAGTTTCTGGATTGAATATTTCTTGATTTATGGCATAAATCAAGGAATATTCAATCAAATAGAAAACTGAAAACACACCAATGACCAAACACAGACTTACCTAGACTAGTGTGAATGTTCGGGGATACTTTTTAATAGCCTCGTGGGCTACAGATTGGCCTCTACTGTTTTAAACGGTAAAAAGAATCCATTGAAAGCTATTATGATCCCATAACATTTGTAATATGTCCATCCCATCAGATGAACATCAGATGAATAGTGATTGCATCTGCTATACAAAATATCCATCTATATCCAAATATGTATCCATGAATATGACAAGCACACATTATAAAATTTTTCCTTTCCTTCAGATAAAACAATTGGTGTATTTCATCTACGATCTGACAAAGGACAGTACAAACTCAATTTTACAGAAGCACAAATGCTGTGCACAGCAACGGGAGCAGTAATGTCAACATACAATCAACTACATATTGCTCAACAGGTTCTTTTATTTTCGGATTCATTCTTTCAAAACTAACAAAATAACCAAGTTTGTTGTTGTTGTTATAAATTACTTGTACTACTGATATCATTTCGTTAAAAAGTGTTATTAACAAAAGTGGATGCAAGTTAGAATATTTTGCATTTTGCTGCATATTTGGGGGTGCAATGTCAGACCAAGTGAACAATAGTGATTGCATTGCTCCTGGTTCTAGGCCGGTTACCACATGTGTGCAGCTGGCTGGATATATGACAAGAAAGCATGTTATCCAACTACCTATTCCAATCCCTCATGTGGTGGTGGACACATAGGAATAGTAGACTACGGTGTGCGACCAAATCTCAGTGAAACATGGGATGTATTTTGCTACAGAATGAAAGGTAAGACTTCACCTTCCTTGTCACAAACGCTTATTCTAATTATTAATAATAATTAATACTGAGCTATTCAACTGTTGCATTATCTTCCTTGTACAGATGTGCAATGTAACTGTAAGAATGGTTATGTCGGTGACGGTTATGCTTGTAATGGGAACTTACTGCAGGTTCTAACTGCAACCAACATGTTTTCATCCTTCTTGACTGTAAGTAGCTGCTTCACATATTTTTCAATGAATGAAAGGTTTAAAAGCTACATGTAGTTATAATAAACAAACAAAAACTGAAATAGCGTATAACCAATTTTTTATTACAAAATAATTCGTCCAGTTTCAGGTCATGGAAAAATTTTCCAGCTGAGTGTGTTGTTTTTAACAGAAAACTGATCTAATAAACTTTACGTAACTAAACTCCAGTGTTATTACTTCTAGGAGCTTCTCAATTACTCAAACTACACACTGAATGGCAGAAGATTTGAAAGTCTTCTCACTGATTTGACCAGTAAAGGTACTCTATTTGTTCCTGTGAATTCTGGATTCAACAAAAATGTGGTAAGAGAGCTATATTTATTTCTTTACACTATGTGGGACATTCAATTTCATAACAATTATCAAAGAAAACGATAATAATAATTTGCATAAAATATGGAAGTTTATGCAAATTTGCAATGTTCTATAGAAAGGAAGTAACTAATCAATTTAACTGAACAGAACACTGGGAGAAATTTCCATCTGTTTTTAAATAGTAACATAGGACCTATAATAATAATAATCCTTGAATTTGATATAGTGCCTTATCACATCTATGAGAGTCTCAAAGCACTTCACAGAATACACTGTAAAGTGTATTGACTGTATAGTTTGTGGGCGAAATGTGGCAGCCAATTACGCAAAGCAGCGTCCCACAAACAGTCGTGGATTGAGTGACCAAATTATTATTAGTTATCTATTTAATTTTTGGAAGGGATTATTATCCCCGGAAAAATGAAATACCAATCGATAAACAACCTCTGACAATGCAGTGATAGTCTTCTAGGATGAGATTGAATTTCATTTGGTAATTGAACCGAAAAAGTTCCTAACATTGTCCCACTATATTAAATGAGAGAGAACATTGGGCAGTTGCCATTAAAACATATTATTTTATTCACACAGACGCTCTCTGGACGCGATATCGAGTACCACTTTTCAAACCTCAGTACCTTCCTTTACCACAATATGGAAAATGGAACCGTTATTCCAAGCCGAATAGGCCATTCGCTGCTCATAACAAATAAGGACACTGCGCCTCCCAGTCCAGAGTTCAACCAGCAGGTCACAAAACTGGTCAATGACAGATCAATTATTGCCTGGGACATCATTGCATCAAATGGAATAATCCATGTTATTGATAAGCCTTTGCAAGCACCTCTAGAACCGGTAAGTTTACATACAATCCTAATGTTTGTTTCCCCCCCCCACTGTCTCAAGAAATATAATTTTATGGTGATGGAAAATTGATATTGCTAGAAGTTACAGTGAAATGTAGTACTGGTATTACTTATGGTACATCTAGGTATCTTCTAACTCCAGGCTCTTTAAAGATTTTAAATGATTCACAGTTTTGATTTATTTTTCCGATTTGAAATGATTGCATCAGCTGTAAATTGAAGCAGATTACTTGTGGTTTGTTAGCAAGAGCTAACAGCAAATTACAGGGGAACTTTGTTATAAAGCGTTCCTCTGTGTTGGCAGCTCAGAGCCTGTGTTATAAGCAAACTGCATAAAATTGACCAACTTCCCTGTAGTGGGGTCAACACCTCTTATGTCAGGCAAGGAATGAAATGAGCAGTACTTTCTGTACATAGTGTGCATGCACAGTCGGTTATATCAGCTGCAGCCCAATGACCTGGAGGTCAGCTGTGTTTTAAGCATGCAAAGATAAACTGGGTGTACTGTAAACTAAGTGAAGCAATGCTATACCAGAGGCATTCACCCTAATCTGCTCCAACACAAAATAACCTTCCACCCCTTTTGCTATCATTGTTGATTCATGGTGCAAGCAGTAACGTATCCATATAAAGGATTAAATAGGTGAAATGGCCTAGTCTGCTCCATGGTGGAGTCAACAACAACAAAATTACATTTGTATAGCGCCTTTCACATCTGGAGGACGTCCCAAGGCACTGAGTCCAACAGCAATAGATGTAGAATCAAGTGATTAAGAGGAAGAGTGTTAGGTACTTAGAAAGTAATGGAAAATAAAATGCAAAGAAATGGGATTAGAAAAAAATACTGTCACACACCCTAGAAGAGACAGGGCAGTATCAAAGATCAAATGGCTTATTCCTATTGAATTAATAAAACTCAATGATATGCAGTGAATTAAGTGCTCATCAACCCTTGGATTCAGACTCGCTAAAAGTTCTGCAAATCAAGATAATTCAGTAGATTATTGAATTCATTTTGTCTTCCATTTGTGACATTTCTATTTTAATGTCCAGTTTGTTCATGATAAAGGAATTGTTTATTTTGTCTGTCTATTAGCCTAAACCTATTGCCGCTCATGTTGGAATTGGATTGGGGCTATTCTTCACCTGTGCTGTGGGAATAACTCTTGTAGCAGTTGTTGCCTATTATTATTACAACCACAAAAGAGGGCCTTTCAGCTTCCAGTATTTTAAGGTATTGACTATGGTGCATCTTTTCAAGTCTATTACAGCTCCCATGTACCTCATTACTTATTTCAGCATTAAATGAAATTTTAAATTCTTATGTTGATTTCTGAATTGTAGGATAATGGCCAATATCTATTTTCAATAATAGCAACACAACTTTCTTGATGTTTGAGGCTTGTTGCTTTTATTTTTCAGTCTGATGAAGACACATCATTTGAGAATTCTCCTCCTTCCAGGTTCTGTAACCCAATGTATAACCAGTACACATCTACAGAGAGCAGCAAAGACCCTTTTTCTGTAAGTGGTGTCTGACAACATACACTTGGAGGTTATCGCTCAGTTTAAATTGCATCCCTGTGTAACAGCCATAGAACTTTAGAGCATAGAAGAAGGTTGTTTGACCAGTCACAACTGTGCTGGCTCTTGGAAAGAACAACTAAATGAAAACTAGTAAATGGCTAAATTGAACAGATAGCCATCAAAAACAATGCAACACAATGTGGTGTAAAGTGAGACAATATATTGTCAAATTTCTGCTTCCAGAGGAGATTAAAACAGTATTGCAGAATGGGATGCTGCTGGCTGACAGTTCAATCCTCCTTGCAGTTTCTCAAAAGATGGGAAGTGGTGGGGTGGGGGTCAAGAGAAAAGAAATTCACCACCAACCACAGTAGAAATTGTACTGATGTGAGAGACACAAATTTCACCATTTATTTATTTTGTTTAAAAAAAAGATATGAACATCATGGAGTTTACTTTTGCACAATTCAGATTAGATTTCAGTGTTCTGCTTAACATGTGATGGACAGCACCCTCTGGTGCTTTATGTAAGAACTAAACATACAAAGAATAATTAACTACAGGGTGTTTGCAAAACCATAACTGTTTGCAAGGTTATAAAATGTGTCGCTTCAAAATTATTTAACAAGGTTTATCACCTAATTCAGTATATTTGTTTAGATGGAAAGATTAAATGAAATCTTAAAAATATCCAAATAAAAACTACCATCAAGCACAATGCCATCCATTCCCAATTAGCACATACTGTACTTCTGACCTGAACTATCACTGAATGTAACTGACGTGCTTCTCCTCCATGTCAGAAATGACTTCTCATCTTGCAAACGCTTGTTTTTAAGAGTTTATCGCTACAAAGACAAGCTTATGGATCCGATGTACAATACATACATAATCTGCTCACTCGCTTGTTGCAACTGAGACCAGATAGAGCCGTCAACTGATAGCCAATTTATACAAGAATCGCTTCTAACTGCACTTTCAATCCTCCACAGGATGGTCAGCAGTTGGCAACAGATATTACTGAACAGAGTTAATAGCAGAACACAGGGAGTGTGTGTGATTCGTATTGCACAGGAAGACAACCTCATGTGAACACTCAGACTGGAGGGTTTTTTCCAATGTGATTTATCTTCAGTGAACTATGTCCCTGCTGAAGGTTTTAAAGGCAGAGAGCATCCTGTCATTGGCACCCAAGAATGGATCGACTAAAACAAAACTATGCTTATGTTATACACATCTTACTTTTTTNGGTTCAAAGAAGCCCAAGTTAAGTTCATTTAGTCTCCATAATTGTAATATTTAGATAACTATGGGCATGTAAAATTTAAATTGTTTTAAAAAAGATGGAAAGACTCATGGAAAAAACTTTGGACAAATTATAGATTCACCTTTAAATTTCAAGGATGTATATTACTTCTGTTTAGAAAGATGTGATTTTAGTATAACAGACAACCAGAAATTTAGGTAAAACAACTTTATTTCTACCATACATAGGTATCAATACACTACAGACAATGTACATGAACTACATATTCAACAATTTAAAAAATAAACACCAAAACTTCATTTTTCCATTATGTAACAAACAGTTGGTTCTTAAAACTTTTAATAAATTCTCAAGTCCTTTTCCTAATGAAAGCAGAATATAAACACCACTATGTAATGTGAATTCTAATGAATCTCACATTTAAGTAACATACAAATTCACCATTTGCCCTTATTCTCTTCAATAAAATGTTGCATAAAACACAGAATACTTTTCAAGGCCTTTTATCAAGTGAGCAAATTGACCAAGTGATTGACATCTTGACCTTCATCCAAGAGCTCAGCATCACTGATGGTAACTGTTTCATTATCAGCACTTAAAATCAACTGTGATCAAGCTGAATTGGGCGCAAGATCAAACGGTTCGGTACACATAATTGCAGAAAGTGCAAAATGGAAATATACTTACAATCATGCTTTGGAAACTGGCTAAAAGTGTTGATGGCACAATTTAAATGAGCAAATTTAAACTTTCCTCTTTTCCCCTCAAGCCATGACTGAGAAGCTGAAAATTCAAGTTGTTAATTTCTTTTTTGTTGGCAGCACAGATCTGTGTGAAATCACTTCAAGTGATCTGAACCTAAATAACTAGTACTCACAAGTTTGCAGCACAAAATATTTTGTAATTGAACGCTAAAACAATTTTAGAAAGAGTAGCCAGCTGAAAAGCATCAGGTTAGAGATTTTCTAAAGTGCATCAACTGATCAATTGGAAATTTAATTCTTCAAGGTTTAAACCTGAAAAACGCATGAATGAATGAGAATATTTTCCAACTTACATAGACCAGCTGGTATTGTACTTTGAATATTACATGAAATTAAAGATGCAAAACTTATTGTTAACTGTGTTAGCTGATCTCATCCAGGGTAATAGTTAGGTGTCCTCAAAAGCACATGCTGGGACATCCTTTATGGTTGAATGCATGCTGACACTCTCTGTCTGGGCTCACACAGGAAGAATAGCATGCAAGGATTGCCAGCATAGAGTCAGATTGACCAAAGTAAAATTATGAACAGATATATTTGACCTATGTAGTATATGACATTACCAATGAATTATGCAGTGATTTCTGGTGTTCAGCCCAGAGGTAGAAATAGGATAATAAATGCTATGTTAAACAGCAAATTCCTAAACCGTTAAGAACTAAGGGTTAGCTAATTTGCTTGTAAGCTGATTGATTATGTTTGGTGTGGTACTTTCAATTAAATTCAAAATGGAGGAAGGGAAGGAGCTGTGAAAAGCTCAAAATGTTGCCAAGCACTTTACAATTGCATGAACTAGTGATATTAAGCAATTGACACTACGCTGAATTTAAAGATAACATATGATTCAAGACTTAAGGGTTGCTTTCCATCAACCAGATTACAGAATAGCCACATCATGCATGACTCGACAAGCTATTGAAAGCACAGAGAGTTTAGACAAAATTATCTTATGCATTTTTACATCATTTTGCTATGCAAACTTAATGAGTGCCATATTTAACAAAACACAAAAAGAAAACGTTGGAATTGATTGTATTCAACAGGTCTAGCCAATAAATGTTACACCAATCTTGCATATCATCAGTAAACACATCATTGTTGGCTAATAAACTAGCACATGGTAAAGATCATGTCTAGGATATGGGCTTAAAGGTAGTTTTCTGATATTACCTTTTCTTACATGGCTTTTTTTTAAATTATAAAATTTCTTCATTGAGATTTAAAAATGAAGAAACATTGAAACATTTCAACATTGTCTAGCACAGTATACATTCTGAGTCAAACAATGCATGTCACACAAGTGATCAAATATTCAGGTGAATTTTGTGCACAGCCTGCATTTAAATATAACACTCAAAGTATATACTTTTTATACATAAAAAACCCTTTCACCTGAAGAACAATCATCCTCTGTTTAATACCTAGAATATTCCTCGTGGACATCTCCATAAATGCTTACATTCTGAGTACTTCTCTGTACTCTGATAATTGGGAGATGCACTGTGCGTCAGGGGAAAGCAGGATTTTGTCACATCCTATTCATTAAGCGCTCTGGGTTGCTACCTCGTGTGAGGGATGCTATATAAATGCAAGTTACTGTTGTTGATAAAAATCATCCTACTTTTTCTATCCTGAAAAGAACCATCATTCAGCTCAGAACTGAACTTCTGTAACTCAATCCAACAAAGGGGAGGATTCTGAAGGATATGCCCCTATTATATTTATGATTGTCAGTCAGGCTTTCAGCCTCTTTGCCTCCACCCTCGAGAACTCCATCCAACATTCCCTTCACCTTACTCTCACCCTTGCCTCCTTAAAGGCACGCCTCAAGACCCCCCTCTTCAACTGTGCCTTCATCCACCCTCCTACCCTCTCTGGCCACCACCCTGCTCCCAACTCCCCCCACCTCTCAGTCCTAATCCCTGACTGTTCAGTGCCTTGGGACGTCCTCCTGACGTGAAAGTCGCTTTACAAACGTAATTTTGTATTGCATTGTGCGATAGGACACTCAAATAGACAACACATGAATCCAGTCAGAATCCATATAAATACTTTCATACATTTAGAGGACAAGTAAGCACAGGAGGAAAAATATAACAAATCATGTCAACATTTTCTCCTTCAGTTCAATAATAAATGAAACATTACTCAGTAACAGACTGTCATTTCCCCACTTAGAGACTCACTTCAATTGAGTCCAGCCTGAGAGATGCTTAACTTAGTTTTCGTTCTACGGCACACCGAAATTTAAATACTGTATAACCAAATAGCAGATTTGCAAACAATAATGAAAACGTAAAACCCAACATTCATGCAAACCAGAAGGTAAATTACAGTAAAGGTCATTTATTTTGAGCCACCTCTTCTCTGAAAGGGATTTTGTCAGTAGAGAGTTGATCTGACCCCAGAAGGGCTTCATGTTGCAATGGGGTTCTCCGGGGGTAGAATGTGTAATGCAGGTCATAGTTCAATAGAGAGTTTAAGGAGGCCATGTAAATATCTGCAAACCGGGAGAGACGGCGCGAAAAATAGGTGGGATTGTGATGAGTTCTGAAAATGCTTCCAAACTGGGGGTTGAAGATGGTTTTCGTCATTTCCCTGAAACATCCAAAATAAGAGCTCAGAATGGCAAATAATACCCAGTAAAACTAAAAGACATCTTAAGAGGCAATTAAATAAATAATAGATATTTTATTGAAATTTACAATTAATCTAAATTTATTATTTTACAATTAATTAATTACAATTAATTTCACAATTGATCTAAAAGAACATTGCTATTCAGTGCAAAGTGTGCTAACATGAACATTAAGAACCGATCAGTCTCAGTTGCAATGTCCCCAATAGCCAAATATCTTGCCATTCATTCATTCATTCATTCATTCATTCAGGTTACACATCTACAATGGCCATTTGGACAAGATACAAGAGGCCTGCCCCTATAAAACCATTCTCTGCATACATTCTCAGCAGTCAACACTTTTTGGTGGTCTATTGAAATTACCTCAAGTGATAAATTACTTCACAATTGCATATCTAGATTAGGATTTGTGTTTTGTCTTACATGCCGATTCACCAATACTTTTGCATCACGTTTAAAGTACAAGATGCCATACAGATCATACAACAAATGAAAAAAAATGAAGATTTAAAACAAGCATAGAGTGGCATCACATACTCACCTCAACTCACGTCTTTCCTTGTTCCATTCTTGGAGCACCATCTGAGACTCAGGATCAGCATAAACCTAAAGCGAAAAACCCTTGTTCATCAAATGGCGAATGCTATTTGTACAGTTTATGAATCAACAAATTAATCATCTGTTTAAACACTAGTCATCCTGCTGGTCACTCTCCATTTGATTTTTACTAGACTTGATGACCCCGATGGTTATTTTTTAATACAGGAAGCTGGCTAGCAGTGACGAGAGGAGTTGACTGTTTGGCTCTAATGGTTAGCAGAGCACAGCAGATCAACACTACAGTAATTCTCCCCACAGATAAGCAAAATGTGTTAGGGTGAAAGAACATGGATTGTACACCTAAAAATTCTCAAAGAGGAAGCGCTATTCTTGTCTCTGCATGGGACAGTTCTATTTATCTCTAGTGCTTTCACTGCAAACAATTTTATCACTTGGTTTTATCATATTAATGCTAGAAAGGACAGACACTCACCTGCATACGTTCAAGCAACCCAGTAAGACCCTGAAGCCATAAGAGAACTCTGCTATACTCCTTAGTGTTCATGATCTTAATCTCGTATTGCAGCTCTGGAATAATTGCTCCCGTCCTCCAACCATGCTTCAAGGTAAGATCCTTCATGTGGAAAGGGAACTCAGGTCATTTGCAGCACATTAAGAAAGTGGTGGTAGAATTTCATTCAACTTGCAAAAAGGTTTAGATGCATACATTACATGAGTGAATAAAGTTATTTCATTTTAATCAAGGACCCATTTTAGTTAATAATCATCAATTTTAATGAACTTGGAGCCCAGAAGCAAATAATATTACAGAACAGGAGACCACTTGACCCATTGTGCTTCGGATGTCTCTACAAAAGAGTTTACATGAAAACTCCAATTTGGGAAAATACTTGTTCATTTAATGATCTTCTTAAATTACACATTTAGTTTTCATGTGTACAATTAGTTGATGCATAGAAGACAAATACAGATGTATAATGCCCAAATCATGATTCCATAGTGTTCTCTCAAATACATTAATGTACCCCATTTCCACACACCACCAAGATAAAATAAGAAGCATCTCAATATATTAACAAAAGCTTCAAAATGAACATTTATGTAGATACAAGGTTACTTTAGTAAGTAATCTTTGGTAAGTTTATACTTACAGCTAGATCACTGTAAATGTGATCCCCAAAATAAAGCACTTTTGATCCAATCCAGCCAGTAAGTTTTAGAAACTCGTATAAGTTGCCCTGGAATGGAAATAAGTATTAAAATACAAAAGATTTAACGCCAAAGCTCCCCCCACAAAAATAAAGGCACAATTAGTATTTCAAAAGGTCAACATACCATATAACAGGAGAGCACCAGCATGGAACTTCCCAAAGTAATTAACAAGTTGAGACCCTAACTAGGGAGTGGGAGATGGAGGTGCATGGGTCTTATTACAATTTACATTAATAGCACCTTTCCCATTAGGAGGATGTCCCAAAGCACTTAAGAAATGCAACATAACTTTTTTTAAAAAATCAGGAAACGGCCAGAATCTGGATTTTTTCTAAAAAAAATTAAACTGCAGCTGTGAGAGAATTAACATAGTTGGGCACAAGCATTTAACTTTATAAACTGTTGTTTTATTTTAAGCTAAAAATGTGTTTTATTCTCTTAAGTATTTGAGACATTCAACACAGAGATAAAATGATTAAGAAAAATAAAATGTACCTGTTTGTAGATTTGTCCATTCTCCAATTTGCTTACTTTGTCCCAGAGCAAAGTACTACTTTGATTTACTCTCCTGAATGGTCTGCAGAAAAATGAAGGGAGGGATTATCATTATAAATGTTGGAACTTTACTGAAGGACATTTTCTCCCACTCACTTAGTTTGGAAATCTTACATATGAACTTGGTCGTCTTAAAAAAAGTACACTTACTTCTTTTTGTCATTGAAAAATGTTGGTTTGTCAGCCTGCACAATGACAATATCGAAGAGATCACGCCAGTCTTTACCAACAATGTACTGCATTCCTTTGTCACTAAAACATCAGGAAACACGAGCATTTAAAAAATATTGCATGCCAAAGTTGAATTGTACAGTTGTTTAAACTCCTAACTTTTAGAACCAATGCTGAAGGATAAAACAATCATATTGTTCCGAATTAGTTCCTTGGCACAACACGCCTTCACCAATAAATTCAGAACTACAGTATTCTGGAACAGGGATAATGTAGTTCTAGTTACCAATGTTTCAGAAAGCATTGATTAGACATCTGACTCAGAAGACTGATAAAAATGAGAAACTCGTAATATGTAAATTTTACACGATTGTTAAGATTAATAACAATTAAACCTACTGCAGGCTTATTGAATAATATCTGGGCTGGAATGTTTCACTTAGACAATGCGATTTCACGTTACTGAAAATATCTGAAATTTCTGTCAGTGTCATATGCAGAGACGCACAGATGGTGGGAATGGAAGGTTAATAAAGAATACTAGAAGTAATTGGAAAATAAATGAAGGAGGACAAACAAGGTGTCAAACTGGTCAGCTAGAGTTACTACAAATATACAGTCAATTCACTTTACAGTATATTCTGTGAAGCGCTTTGAGACATCTAGAAGACGTGATAAGGTGCTATATCAAATGCAAGGATTATTGTCATTATTACTGCCATCAATCACTATCCAGTTTATATTTTCACAGCATCACTGGAGCAAATGAACTATTCCATAAATTTGGTTCCAATTTTTTCAATAGATTACAGTCAACAACAATTAGCACTCATATAGGGAGAACATCTCAAAGCAATTTAGAAAGGCTTAGTTGGAGCTCAGGCAGGGAGGGAGACAGCTGATGGCGTAAAGAGATGGGACTTTAAGTGGGTTTTGAAAGCAGAGAGGGAAGGGACTGAGACAGAGTGTTTTCAGCTAAAAATGAGTATTTTCTCTTCAGAGCTTTCGTTCCCAGAGTTTGCATAAACTAGACTTTAAACATTCCTTTGACTTGGAATATATGAAAATAAATCAGGAAAGCTACTTACACAAAGCTAAACGGGCTGTTCGTTATGAGGAAGAGCTTCTTGCCATTGTTGATCAACTTTGTTAACACACGGCATGTTTTTTCTCCATGAGATATGTACTTTTCTGATTTAAAATAAAAANTATCAAAATTAGTACATTTCATTTTGCATTGTACACCACCATACGTGGAATCCTGTAGGTCAGTGGTTAGAGCACTCGCCTCGCAAGCGAGAGACCTGGGTTCGATTTCCGGCAGGGCAAAACCTTGGGCAAGTTTCCTTACTCCATATGCCTGATAATAATCCCTCAAGAAAAAAAATAATAAATTGGTCACTTCAATCTACAACTATTTGTGGGACACTGCTGTGTGCAATTGGCTGCTGCGTTTCGCCCACAAATATACAGTCAATTAACTTTCCAGTATATTCTGTGAAGGCCTTTGGGACGTCTAGAAGACGTGAAAAACTCTACATCAAATGCAAGTATTACTATTATACTTGTACAACTGAGAACAGAGACTTTCAAATAACCATGTAGGTGTGCATTTAAACTCTTGGGGAAAGAAAACAGAGGAAAACAGTATAACTGCAGCACGTAAATAGCACTGGGGTCACACTGATAGGAAATGCAGTACTTCTCCAGTGATGATTCAACTAGCACGAAATAAATGATCAACTTTTGGGTCATCAGGTCACTGCTGATGCCACTTTACGGAGGGTGAGCCGTTAACATCACATCAGTCGTGACCCTTCGATGCAAAGTCAGCTATTTTTTCGCATAATGCAGCTTGTAAGCTATTGGACTCAGATGTATGTGTTATATTAGCCCCCCACCCCACCTATAATAGTAAGCTAGATGTGAATCAGACGGTACTATTATATTAGATTCTGGTGCCTAGTTAAAATGGAAATAGCTTCTGAAACTGTTTCATGTACTTTGTCATGTTGATGTGAAACTGAAATAGTCCTGAAAAACTCTCATCGATAGATCCAGTTTGTTACTCAAGTACATACCGATATCTCTTTCTACTGCAGTATACAGTATTCCTTTCACATGAACATCTCTGATTACTTCCTAATATAAAAAGAAAAAAAATCATATCTAATACAGTAGCCAAAGATTAATGTTGCTAAATGTAAACATTTTTCTCCCCAAATAAAATACTGCTTCAGAAATGTATGAAGAGTGAACTAAACTTTCTTTGTTAAAGCAGCAACTTAAGATTAGACCAGCTACAACAGTCAGACAATCTGGCCGCAGACAGCTATACTGCGTCTAAACCATCCTTCTCCTCTCCACACAGTGCAAGAGATTAATCAAATGGTTGCTATTCCTGATAAGATTATCACAAGGCACATGTCTACAGTTAGCCACATATGGATTCACCCAATACAGTTTGCTGTAGCATGCCTAATGCAATCGGCAGCTATTTGAAGGCTTGTGGTAGAGATGGGTGTCTCAACAGCCTCAAAAAATACAGAACAATCTTATTAACTGTCCACACATATAGAGAACTCCCCATCCCCACCACTAGACACTTGAAAGAGATACTGGGAAGATACATTCATTTACCAAGCCAAAGATTAACAGCTTTGTTAAAGAATACACAAGGACATCAAATTCAGATGTTGTTCCCATTGCTTGAATATCTTACATTTACGTCTCTGTAAAGATAGACTGGTTCAAAATCAATGTTATGCTTCATAAAATAATCATTGACACAGGAAAGTAGAGTCAGTTCTGGCAACGAAAAGATGTCCATGAATTGTTTCAGGGTGTTCCCATGTGAACTCTGTGAAAAAAAATGCAAAATATTTTTGAAATCAAACAAAAAAAATGAAATATCACACTGAATAGAATAGTTCTGCCCATCAATGAATGGACATCACAGCAATTGTTCAATTCACTATACAGTTGGTGTTAGCCAACTTACAGATACAAGACACAGAAACGTGTTCTGAAGATAATCCATTTATTCCAGACAAAAGCTCTGTGCATCTTGTGCAAATAAACATGATGTTCAAATTATTGTCTTTGTCATCTTTAGGGAATAAATTTGGGAAGTTCTGTGAGGTGTTCTGATGACATAATAAAGCACTATACCAAATACAAGAATTATTAATGTACTAATACAAGATGTGACCCCGATTTCACTTCCTTCACAATGCAGCATTTCCTTGATGATGGGACTTGCTTGGCAGGTAATAAAATCAGGAAGCACAATCTAATTCACATTTTAAACAAATCTGCATTACAATGAGTCATATTATAACAATATTGTTCATTTAAATAAAAATTTAAACATTTTTACCTTCCCATAAAAGTCACTCATCTGTTCCAAGGGAACATGGGTGCCTTCATACATTTCTAATATTTCTTCATCTGAAACAGGGCTCAGTCCTCTGAGATGGAACAAATAAATCATTAGTGCAGGGACACTAATCCATCGTAGATTATTAATATTTACTCATTTTAAAAAAGCATTTTAATAATAGGCTTGAGAGGGGAACCATCATTAGCATTCATTCCAATAATGTCTGTATGTACATAACAGATAAATAAGTACTTTTAAGTCAAACCAGGAACAAATTTGCTCTTTATCGCCACTTACAGATACAAGACACGGAAACGTGTTCTGAAGATAATCCATTTATTCCAGACAAAAGCTCTGTGCATCTTGTGCAAATAAACATGATGTTCAAATTATTGTCTTTGTCATCTTTAGGGAATAAAACTTCCCACATGCGCTGTACCTATCAATTGTTCACAAAGCACTGGTTGTGTGATATGCCAAGACTTAAACTCCTCTTTGAAAACAAAGCATAATTTCAGAACACTATAACCAAGATCAATGTTTACATCGGAGTTTTCAGGGGAACAAAATACGAACTCAAAGCTCCTGAGAAACATTGTGATAGATTCACAACAGGGAAATAAAAGACATGAAAATGTTGTAACAAAGGCAAAGTCAAACAAATGTGTTTTGGAATTCAATGAGAGAAAGAGTGCGCAAGGCAAAGCAGTTTGGGATCAGAATTAAGGTAGTAAGTAATAACCAGTGTTGGAAGAGTTACAATGTAGAGCGGCAACAGATTGCATAAGTAGGGTGAAGAGAATGCGGAGGGATTTCAAGACCCACACAATGATCTTGAAATCGATCCTCTGAGGTACAAGTCAATGAAGCACAGCAAAAATGAGGGTCATGGATTTGTGCAGCCTTATGCAGGAGAATACTCAGGTTGCAGAATTCTGAACAAAATTGCAAATAGATGCTAATTATGGATCAAGCATCAACTCAAAATCTTGCTCAACATTCAGGTTAAGTTTAGAAATAGCATCACTGCCCTATTCTAATCCATTGTGTATTACTATGCAATGTATATGCATCAAGACTTCACATACCTGTATATAGTCCCTAACTGAATGTAGTGAAAGGCATCAATTTTCATCAGTATTCCCTAGAGTGAAACAGAGAGAAAAAAAAACAGTGAACGACAGAGATTGTTACTTTAGTACTGAATAGGCTTTGGATTGTTTTTAAATACTAAGTGTTCAGTCAAATGCTTGTCAATGGAACAGATTGAACTTGTGATCCACAGCAATATAAGATTACAATAGGAAGGGTAGCTCCTCGCTACTCCCATAATACAAACCCATCTAATAATACAAAATTGATATTAGCCTCTAGGGCGATTCATGAAAACATGAGGGAAAAGAGAATAGATGCGCATTGGGAGGGATTAGGAGTTGGTGGAGACTCATGTGAAGCATAAACACCAGCACAGACTATTTGGACCAAATGGCTTGTTTCCATGCTGTACATTCTATGTAATTCCATGTAAAGCAGACCAGGTATGGGTGTTCTGATAATATTCCTCCCTCACTATTGTATATTACTTAAAACTCCAGAAACTACCCACATTAACACCACCAACATGAGGCAATGGACCCAGTTTAGAATCTGTGACTTGCCCTCGAAAGTTTACTACACTGACAAGGGTGAACCGGCACTCCCAGACACTACCCTATGTGAAGGGCACTGTGTAAATACAAGTTGTTGTTGTTGCACACATTTCTGCTTCAATACCCTGCCACAAGTATTGACACTCCAGACTGTATTAAAATACCCTCTTTGTTTAGAATATTCCATGCTGGAACAGCATTCAGTGAAATACTCCATTTCTTTTATTTTTGTCATACAAAGCACGATAGAAATTGTATCAAATGTTAGGAATCAAGGAGAAACTAAGGAACCTGTACCAGTTATTCAAATAGTTACAGCAGATAAGCAAATCTTGTAGCAAATCATATTGTACAAAGACAAACTGAAAATAATCTACGGTTGGATGACGTTGTATCTTTGGTATTTAGAAATGGGATACCTTCCAGAAATAGCTGATCCTGTTGTGCCTGTTTAAGGACTGTAACCATACATTTTATTCTGTAGTTAAGCATCACTATAGCATTACACCTCCAAAGAAATGTATTGAAAAGCAATTCACAGGTCCATACTCAAGACACCAAATTCATGCAGAAGCCATGTTTTATCTTACGGCAACTAAGAAGACTGAGGCGTGTTTACAGGAAAAAAGCACAAACCTTTTGCACATCATAATGAAGTCCACGTATTGCAAAGTTGGCGTTGTACTCATAGCTTCGGAGACCTTCTGGATACTAAAGCAAAACGAAAATACATTCCATTAAAATACTGTACTTCAAGTCCTTTACAGAAATGCTTCGCCAATGATACCTTGACCTAGATGAGCTGAATTTTCAAACAACTGTTTTATACATACTACAGGCCACCAGCAAGTAATTGCATTCCAAGTAATTTAACCTTAAAACGTGCTAATATACTGAAATTGTGCTGCCTCCAATCTCCCTTTTGATTTCAAAGGCTTATCCTATTCTCAAGTCCACGCCACAACTCTCACAGTGAGAGTGTGGAGCAAACAGTCACTTTCCCAGTCGATTGCTATTTGGGTGCTAAAGTAGGCTGCGGACTCACCCTTCAGCTTCTTTTGTAAAGTCTCAGCTACAGAATTTTTTTTTTTTTAATGTCTATTGTTGTTGTTCTTGGCACAGCGTTCCAAAAGCCATCCCAATCCTGTCCTAAGGGGAATATCTAATAACGATATTACCGTGCATTTCACCCTTCGCCTGCCTTTTGATAATTATACCAAAGAAAAAAGCTTCACATCACAGTATCTGGTTACAAAGTTAATAGACTTCATAACCAACAACAACTTTACATTTATATTGTGCCTTTCACATCAGAAGGCTGTTCCAAAGCACTGAAATTCCCTGACTAGATAATGTGCATCACTTATGCATCATAACTTAAAAGGATGGAAACAAAAAGCATAGACCACCTTTATTCCTACAGTTCTTTGAGCAGTTAGAACAAGGTGATTTTTTTGGGGGGAACCATATTGATTCAAGTTAATTATTCAGTTTACAATATTCCATAAATTACAGACAGTAATGTTTGGCCTCAACGCTTCTCAATTTAGTTCAATAGCTTTCAGCAGGGCAGTGTGAGAAAGCAATTGGTATAATCTTCAGAGATGTCCTGACTTGGTTATTTTTTTTTATTCATTTAGATGAGGAGTCCTAATGCTGGGAAATTGATTAATGATCTATTTTGGTAATCAATTTCAACATTGAGTACTCCCTGGTCAGGGACTGCTCATTTCTGCCCTAAAACCACACAACTTTAAATGAGCATTAAATAAGATTGCCAAAATTTGTATACTATCCAGAGAAACTGAATTGAGAATGACAATGTATTTTCCATGGAGTCACATATGAGCAGGCTTTACTCACCGAGCTTACCTAAGTTATGAACATAGGAACGAGAGAAAACAAAATTGTAGTAGTCAGATGGAAAATTAAATGAAACCTGCAGATAAGCACCTTCCTTCCCAGTTAAAATTATAGAAACTTACAGCACAGAGGAGGTCATTCAGCCCATTGAGTCTGCACCAGCTCTCAGAGTAAGCTGTACTCAACTCCAATGCACTGCCCTACCCTATCTCATACCCCTTCAAGGTTTATTTGTTTGCGAGAATATGTTTGTTATGTATTAATTTGTTCAATGGATCCCACTAATTATTGAACACAATTGCTTGAAAAATAACAATGTTCCAAAAGCTCAACTCAATAGATTCCATTTGGAATAAATACCATACTTAGGAATACACGTAAAGGAAAAATAGCTTACAAGGAAAAGTGTAGTTTCAAAAGTAGTTTTAGAATAGTTACACAGCATGAAATGTAAGAATAAGTAAGAAGCACAGAAAGCATATATTATTTAATGGAAACTTTGAAATTTCATTCAGAGCTGAGGAGGGACATTTACTTATTAAGTTAATAAGTAAACATCACTCCTCAGTATATACATTTTAATAATTTGCTATGAGATTGGGTTACAATGTTTATCTCGTAACTCATTATTAGGGCAGCACTGATTTTTCCACTAAATGCTAAAAGCTCCAAATGGGGAGTTCAAATTGTGATGTTAATTTAACTTCATTAACAGCACTGGAGGACGAAGTCTGCCTATAGAAAACAAGGCACTACAACAACAACAAAATTACATTTGTATAGCGCCTTTCATGTCGGGAGGATATTCCAAGGCACTGGACAATTAGAGTTTCGGATGCGAACTGCAGGTCGGGATTGGGGAGGGGGGGGAAGCAGAGTGATCGAAAGCATGGTCAAAGAGGGTCTTGAAGGAGGCAAGGGAGGGGGCGCAGCGGAGGAACTGTGGGATGCAGTTCCAGAGGGTGGGGCAGAGTGGCAGAAGGCCCGCCCGCCAATGGTGGGGCAGGCGAGGCGGGGGACGTGACGCAGGCTGGAACTCGCTGAGCAGAGGGAGCAGATGGTAGGGGGTTAGGAGGTCGCAGAGGTAGGGGGGAGAAAGATCATGGAGGGCTTTGAAGGTGAGGACCAGGATCTTGAACTGTATTCTCGGTGTGATGTGAAGCCAATGGAGTCGGGCGAGGATGGGGGTGATCGGGTCATGAAGCTTGGTATGGGAGAGGACACGTGCTGCAGAGTTCTGGATGATCTGCAGCCTGTGGAGGGAGGAGTTGGGGAGGCCGATAAGCAAGGAGCTTGATGTAATGAATGTGTGTATGAGGGTTTCGGCGGCCTGTGGTGTGAGACAGTGGCGGAGCCCCGCAGTGTTGCGGAGGAAGGCAGAGTGGTCATGGCACAGGTGTGGGGTAGAAAGGATAGTTGAGGGTCAAACAAGACACCAAGGTTCCGGACTGGAGCCCATTAGGAGAGCCTCAGTCTTGTTGACATTCAAACTGAAGAAAGTTAGCTCTCATCCAGGACTTGACAACTAGTTCAAAAGTAGTTTTGAAATTCTAACCAAACTCTCGTCCATTAAAATAAATTGCTTCAAATAAATAAGCACATTCCTAAGCACTCTGAAAGTCATGCTTCTGCAACCATATCATTTGTCCTTGGGACACTTTCTTGAAAGAACAGTAACCGAGCTATATGACTTTCTAAAGAATTGAGGAACAACAATACCTGGACTTATTTTTTCTAACAACAATCCCACAATTACAAATGAAAGATCCAGGATTTCATCTGGAGGGGCAAGCCAGCTAAAGTTAGATCTGATTTCTGAGAATGTAGTCAACAGAGGAGAAACATTGAAATGTTTAACCAGTAAATTTAAGCAATGTTAGTAGGCAGTTGCACAAAACAAATCTGACAAATGATTCAGAGAGTAAACTATGAAAGCTCTATGTAATAGAGTTTTGTTTTGAAGCTATTTTAAGAGTAAGGGTCATGTAGTATCTAGAAATAGAAAGGTGGTAAGGAAGGAAACTGGTTCCAATCACATAACCTTTATTAACGATGCAAACACTTTGTCCACAAGGCCTTATCATTAGTATAAACTACTAAATCCAAGGCCCTTATAATAACTTCATATCACCATCTCTCAAGACTGATTTTGTAAAGATCATAGTTATATCAAAAGGCAATGCTCAGAAACTGTGTACTCACTTTGTGTTGTTGAATGAGCATTTCTCGTGCAGTGTTGAAGATCAGACTGTGCAAATGGATAGAGTAAAAAGCGAGTGTGTAGTCATAGTCAAAGCCATAAATTTCGATGTCTGATAGGCACACTTCATTATTGGCAAATATTGCATCTGGATTGAGCATATTGTGTGTATCTGAAAGGATCAGATCTGTAAAATGAAGGCATGAACCTATTAATGCTAAGCAGAATTCTTATTTCAGAATTATATTTGCAATTATTAAAATATTCTAACCTATACATATCAATTTGGATTAAGGACTCTAAAAATCAACAATTTTCTTTAATATTTTAAACAATTGCTTCATTCAGTTCAGTCTCTCACATTATGCTCACTTTAGAACAACGAGAGTACAGTATGGACAGGTTACCTTCAGATATTATAGAGATGCATTCAAGAGGAAGCTATACCTTCACCTGAAGGAGAGGGGAATAGGAAGTAAAGGTATGGGAGGGAGTAAGGAAAGGAAGCCTCGTGTGGAGTATAAACACCTGCACAGATTGGCTGGGCCAAGTGATCTGTTTCCGTGATGTACATTCTTTGCAAACATCAAGGCTTGTTTGCCAGTGTAAAACACAGCCTGCAAAAAATTAAACTTTTAACAGGTCAGTTATACTACACAATTTGTACTGATTCATTGTAACTTTTTGTGTTTAACAAACACAAATGCTATAGTATTACTGCAAATTAGAGAACACCCCCCCCACCACTGCCCGTGAAGATCACATCATGAATATATTCTCACATCTCTTCGATTTGCAATAACTCTTCCCAACTCTCCTCTCCACAAGATGCAGATTATTCAGAACTCTGCAGCTCATGTCCTCTCCCACACCGGGCTCCGTTACCCTATCACCCCCAACCTTGTCTGGCTCCACATCACTCAGAGGACACAGTTCAAGATCCTGGTCCTCACCTTTAAAGCTCTCCCCGGGTCTTCCCTACCTCTGCGACCTCCTAAAACCTTACCAACCTGTCCACTCCCTCTGCTTGATATAGTACCTTTCATGTCAGGACATCGCAAAGCACTCCGTTAGGTCTTATTGTAGAGTCACTGTGTATTTTGTAGTTGAATGCGGAAACAAATTTGCGAATTACCAAGATATCGTGGAGTCCTGTAGCTCAGTGGTTAGAGCACTCGCTTTGCAAGCGAGAGACCTGAGTTCAATTCCAGGCACAGGGCGAAACCTTGGGCAAGTTTCCTTACTCCACACAGAGCCTAATAATAATCCCTCCAAAACCAAAAAACAATAATAAATTGTTCATTTTCAATCCACGACTGTTTGTGGGTCATTGCTGTGCGCAATCGCCCACAAATATACAGTCAATTCACTCAACAGTGTGTTCTGTCAAGAGCTTTGGGACGTCCTCCCGACGTGAAAAGCGCTATATCAAAATGCAAGGATTATTATTATTATTATTATTATTATCATCATCATCGTTGGCCAGTGTACCCGGAGAAGGTCCCTTCTCTTTTTCTTGACTAGTGCGATGGGGTCTTTTAACATCCACCTGAGCAGTCAGATGGGGCCTCGGGTGAACGTCTCACCCGAAGGGGCGCAGAGGTGGCTCTGGCGTTCACTGCTCTTTAGAAGGTCAAATACATTTTTTTAAAAAATCACCTGCGCCTCTAAGATAGACAACGACGGTGTGTTACAGGGCGTCAGGGACTGACCGACCCCCCAAAAAAAATAAACGCCCTCCCGAACCGTGACAACGCCTGGTTTCGACGGTCGATGTGATTGTGTGACTGTAACGTTCAACAGAAGCCACCGGGACACCGGGACTCGCCGTCACTCAGCCCCAGTGCGGAGCGGCTCGGGTTACAGCGACACCGAGTGCGCGGGGCCGGCGGGGGAGGGGAGGGAGGGGGAGAGGGGGGGGAGAGGCCCGTCCGCCCGCCCACCTTGACAGACTTTCTTGGTCTCTCTGTACGACTCCCACAGGAAGCTCTTCATGTCCCCGGGGCCGCCGTGGCCGTGGCTGCGGCTGTCGCTGCTGTAGGCGGTCCCCGGCTGCTGTCTCCCCGCCCCAGGCCCGGGGCCGCCTCCCAGCGCAGCCCCGGCTGACAGCTGCCGCCGGCAGCCCGAATGAAACCGTGACCAGACCCTCGAGCCCTGGCCTTGGCGGCGGCGGCCGCCCAGCCCGCAGAGCAGCCCGTCGGCGCCGGCTATCAGGAGCTTCCTCGCCGGGTTCCACGGCAAACTGCCCGCGCCGCTCAGCGCCAGCGCCCAGGGAGTCATGTCCGGAGGCTCGGGCGGTCTGCCTCGCTTTGCCGCTGCTGGGAGGGGGGAGGAAGGGCAGCCGCTGTTCTGTGCCCTCCCCCCCGCCCTGTCGTCACTTCCCCCGCCTGTCGTCACTTCCCCCCACCTGTCGTCACTTCCCCCGGCCTGGCCTCAGACTCGGGACTGCGCAGACTCCGAGCTGCCGGAGCGGAGGGACTGAGCTGACACGTCAGAGGCCGTAGGAGGAGATCACAGAGGGAGATGGACACCCAGAGCCACGCAGGAAATTCTCAGTCAATCCACTGAGGGCTCAGGGGAGTCAGTGGAGCCTGGCAGGGATGGGGGGCTCACAGAGCCTGGTTAGGAGAAGAAATACAGGCTGTGGTGCTCTGGATGATCTGGAACTTATGAGGTGTTGTGTTGTTAGGACTCGCCAGGACTTGAGTTGGAGAAGTCCTGCAGGCGACAGAGAGGCCTTCGGATGAGACCTTAAACCGCGATCCCAAGCTGCCCGTTCAGGCCAATGTTAAAGATCCCACGACGCTATTCGGAAAGAGCAGGGAGTTTCTCCCAGTGTCCCGGCTGCCAACCATCCCCCGCCAAATAAAACAAAATGTTCACTCAGTCCGTGGCTGTTTGCGGGACACTGTGTGTGCAAGTGGCTGCTTTGCCTGTAAAATACATAGTCGATCCACTTCACGGAATAACCTTGTGAAGCGCTTCGAGACATCTCAATAACAATGATCATAATCCTCATATTTGATATAGCGCCTTATCACGTCTTCGAGATGTCTCAAAGCACTTCACAGAATATACTGTAAATTGAATTGACTGATACGTGAATTAGTGATGAGAGACTATATCAAATGCAAGGATTATTATTATTAGAGGGTTTTCCATGTGTAGTGAAGTATTGACAGAATTGCCTAATGTTACAGTGATTGAAAAAAGCAGAAAGGCTTAAGGAGAGTTGAAGATCGAATACTGAGATTGGAAACTGAATCATGAGCTGCAGTACGTAGCCAGGGAGATTGATACAATGGGAGTCAGAGTTGAAGAGGCCCTGGTGGGAGCCAGGGAGGACAAGTTCAGTTTTGTGGATATTCAATTGCAAGGAGGTAAAGTGATTAGATAAGTTCTGACAAGACCGCACACCCTCAGCACCGCAATGGAGCTTCAGTATTCTAGACTATAAGAGTTCAAAATTCCAACATGGAGTCCTGTAGCTCAGTGGTTAGAGCAACTCGCCTTGCAAGTGAGACACCTGGGTTCAATTCCAGGCAGAGCAAACCATGGACAAGTTTCCTTACTCCACACACCTAATAATAATCCCTCCAAAAAACAAAAGTAATAATAAATTGGTTATTTTCAATCTACGACTGTTTGTGGGACACTGCTGTGCGCAATTGTCTGCCACATTTCGCCCACAAATATACAGTCATTTCACTTTTCAGCATATTCTGTGAAGCGCTTTGAGATGTCTAGAAGACGTGAAAAGCGCTATATCAATTATTATCATTATTAACATGGAACCTCAGCTCACAAGTTTGTGACTCAAAGGCAAGAATGCTATCAATTGAACTAGACTGACCTCCCAAACGACAGCAAAAACAGTTTTGTTTTCTGAAATTTCAGTCTTCAAAGCAAAATACAATTCCAATTTCCGTTTTGTGGATTCTACATTTCAATCCCAGTGATATCACCACAAAAATAAATGGATCAACAGTGAGAAGAAAATGGTTAATAATAGATATGAATAAATATGAAAAAAGCACCAAAAAGGAATTCAAAATTTAAAACTACAATGTCAAGTAACCTGAACATATTGTACTATCAGGGGATAATTTGCAGTAAGTTGTTATAGTAATTAACAATACATTTCTAGTTTCCTGGGGGCAAAATTCAAGTGCATGCCACTAAAACTACTGCACCTTGGTTTCACAATGGTTAAGATAGTAGTACGCCTAGTCAGAGAATCCATCATTTGCTTCAATCTGATGCTGTGTTGGGAAGAAAGGGCAAATGTGTCCAGCATTTCAAAAATCTTCTGTGTTATTTCTGATTCCACAAATACTTTGCAATGATTTTCAGCAAAGGTTTCTTGAAAAGAAAATTCAAGAGACTGTTCATTATCTGAAAGAGAGAAAGTTTCTGAACATAGATCATTTTGAACATTAATATGGATTTTAATAAGAATGCTTTTTCAAACTTTGCATGTCTGGCTGAATTGTAGGAAAACCCTCTGCATTCTCTGAACAATATACACCCATATTTCTGACCTAAAATACATATGAAGAAAGGTGCATAGCAATTAGTCAGGAGGTGCGAACTTGTGCTGCATGATCTACAACATAACAACAACAAAATTACATTTGTAAAACGCCTTTCACGTGGGGAGGACGTCTCAAGACGCTGAAGAGTCTGGGATCAGGACCCATAAGACCATAAGATGTAGGAGCAGGAGTCGGCCATTCGGGCCCTCGAGCCTGCCCCGCCATTTAATAAGATCATGGCTGATTTTCTAACCTAGTTCCATTTACCCGCCCTATCCCCATATCCCTTAATTCTTCTATCCTTCAGAAATCTATCAACCTCAGTCTTGAATATGTTCAAGGACTGAGCATCCACAGCCTTCTGGGATAGAGAATTCCACAAATTCACTACCCTCTGAGTGAAGAAATGTTTCCTCAACTCAGTTCGAAAAGGCTGATCCTTAATCTTGAGAATATGGGCCCTAGTTTTAGATTCTCTAACCAGGGAAAACAGTTTCACAGCACCTATCCTGTCAAGACCCTTAAGAATCTTATAGGTTTCTATAAGATCACCTCTAATTCTTCTATATTCTACGGGAATATAGGCCTAGTTTACTCAACCTATTCTCATAGGTCAACCCCCTCATCCCAGGAACCAACCCAGTGAATCTACTCTGCACCCCCTCTAAGGCGAGTATGTCCTTTCTTAAATAAGGAGACCAAAACTGCACACAATATTCTAGTTACGGTCTCACCAAGGCCTTATACAACTGCAGCAAGACATCCCTACTCTTGTACTCTAACCCTTTTGCAACAAACGCCAACATGGCATTAGCCTTCCTAGTTGCTTGCTGTACCTGCATACTAACTTTTTGTGACGTGTACAAGGACATCCAAATCCCTCTGAACATTAACACTACCTAGTCTCTGCCCCTCTAGAAAATAATCCGCTTTTCTATTTTTACTACGTAGGTGAATAACTTCACACTTCCCCACGTTATACTCCATCTGCCACCTTCTTGCCCACTCACCTAGCCTGTCTATTTCCCTTCGCATTCTTCATGTGTCATCCTCACAGCTTACTCTCCCACCTATCTTCATATCATCCGCGAATTTAGATATATTAAGTTCTATTCCCTCATCTAAATCACTGATATAGACTGTAAATAATTGAGGCCCAAACACTGATCCTTGTGGCACTCCACTAGTCACATCCTGCCAATCTGAGAAGGACCCATTTATCCAATGCCGGATTACGTTTAACTGTAGCTGTAACCCTTCCTCCCCTCAATAATTTAAAGCTCTGCCTATCTTCCTATTTAATCGTTTTGCCAGGACATTGGTCCCAGCCTGGTTAAGGTGTAGCCCTTCTCGATGGAACAGCTCCTTTTCCCCCCAATACTAGTGCCAGTGGCCCATAAAAAGAAAACCCTGCATCCCGCATCACTCTTTCAGTCATGCGTTTAACTCTTTAATTTGTTTGTCCCTGTACCAATTTGAACATGACTCAGGTAATAATCTGGAGATGATCACCTTGGAATTTCTTCCTTTTAATTTAATTCCCAGTTAATTGAACTCACTCCTCAGGGTGTCACTACTAGTCCTACCTATATTGTTGGTTCCTATGTGGATCACCACAATTGGATCATCCCCTTCCTGCTTCAAATTCTTCTCCAGCCCTGAAGCCGTCCTTAACCCTGGCGCCAGGAAGGCAACAGAGCCTTCATGACTCCTGGTTGCGGCTGCAAAGAGTGTCTGTCCACCTGACTGTCTCGTCCCCGATCACAACTATATTCCGTTTTGCTCCCCCCACTTGTGTGGCCTCCTGTATAGAGGTGCTGGGGTCAGGTTGCCCATCCTCCTCCTTACAGACTTCCTTGTCCACACAGGTTGCAAGTACCCCGTACCTGTTGGACAAGGTTAAGTCCTGAGGCTTCTCCACCACACTCTATACATTTATTGAGCCTCAGGAGAGTGATTGTCTCCTGGATGAAACTAACCAGGAAGCATTCACCTTCCCTAATGCTGCGCAATGTCTGCACCTCGGATTCCAGCTCAACTACTCTTAAGCTGGAGCTTTCTCAGTTGCAGACACTTGCTGCAGATGTAGCCACCCGGGCTCAGACTGCCCTTCATCAACTCCCACATACTGGAGTCATCGCACAACACCGGCCATGCCATTCTCTTCTCTCGCTCTCACTCCGGATTATGGTTTTTATTTAAGTTTTTTTAAAGTTTTTTATTCTGGTTCTGTCTTTTGAGTGTGACGTCACGTTGGTGTCATTTTTCTGCAGATGCTCCGCCCTCCGGATCAGCAACTGCTTACCTCGGCGAGGCTTTATACACTCCACCAAGCCTCGGCTCCTCCCCGCGTTGTCCTGGCACCGCCCTCCGAATCAAGCATGGTGGGGGCAGGGTTGAGAGGAGGGAGGGCAGAGAGGTAGGGAAGGGCAGCTGAAGGCACAGTAGAAAAATAGGGTCTTGAATTGTGCCTTGAAGGAGGAAAGGGAGGCGAAGGGATTGTGGGATGGCGTTCCAAAGAGTGGGGGCAGAGAGGCTGAAAGCCCGGCTGCCGATGGTAGGACGAGTTGGGCAGGAGACATGGCCCAGGCCAGAGCCTGCTGAACAAAGGGAGCGGATAGGTTAATAGGGGGTTAGCAGGTCAGAGATGTAGGAGGAGGCAAGGCCATTGAGAGCCTTGAAAGTGAGGACGAGGATTTTGAATTCTATTCTCAGGGATGGGGAGCCAGTGGAGCTGGTCGAGGGTGGGGTTGATGGGGTCACGGAGCCTGGCGCAGGAGTGGACACGAGCTTCAGAGTTCTGGATTATTGTTATATATCTGCAGTTTGTGGAGGGAAGAGTTGGGTAGGCCGACAAGGAGGGAGTTTCCATAGTTGAGCCTTAAGGTGACAAATGCGTGTATGAGGTTTTGGCGGCCCGAGGGGTGAGGCAGTGGCGGAGTCGGGCAATGTTGCAGAGGTGGGGGAAGGCAGGGTGGGTCATGGCACAGATATGGGGAGAAAGGACAGTTGAGAGTCGAACAAGACGCCCAGATTCCTGACCTGCTTGGTGAGGTGGAATTACTTTTAAAGTAATTCCTTGATATTACAGACTTCATTTAGAATGGGAAAAACATTATTCGCCAAATAATCTTTTTCCTCTTGATGATCCTCAGGTGTTGAACAGATATATGGCTTAATGGCTGATTTGTGGAAGAGATTAAAGAAGCGCTGACATTTTCCGCTTTCTGGTACCTCGGGATTGATTTCCCAGCATTATGGGATGGATTCTGAAAGTTTATTCACCGAGAGCGTTGTTGAAAATATTAAAATGGTTTGTCAAGTCTTTGGACAAAAGGATAGGGGCCAGTTTGACTTGCTTTCGGGTGTTGTAGAAAGGTGATTCGTATCGGTCATCTTTTAAATTAGTTTGAGCCCCTCACGCTTGCTTTACAGCAAGAGAGAGTAACAATCCTCGGATTTGATGTAGCAGCCTTAAATATACAGTCAATTCACTTTACAGTGCGTTCTGTGAAGCGCTTTGGGACGTCCTCCCGACGTGAAAAGCGCTATATCAAATGCAAGGATTAATTATTATTATTATTATTATCGTGTCTTTGAGACGTCTCAAAGCGCTTCGCGGGATATACCGTGAAGTCAATCGACCGCAATCCTTTGCGGGCGAAGGAAGTGAGAGGTTTGAGCCACTGGTCCGCGTTCTCAGTGAAGCTGACCGTGCCCGGCCCAACGGCTGAGGGTGGCCAGAGGAGGCCTTGCGCTGCCTCCTGAAAGCAGCCACTGGGGCGACCCGGTTTCCATAGCAACCGGCCTCCGGGGCTCCTCTGCCCGGACGTGAACTGAAACGACGTCCGGAAAAAGCCCGGAAGTAAAGGAAAGCGTTAAAAACAAAGGGGGACTCTCCCCGCCCCCCATCACGACCGACGAGGAAGTCCGCGCGCGCAAAAGCAAAAGATAATTAATACAAGTGAACGTCAACTCAATCTCAATTAAAATGAATATGGATCCTTTGTACCCCCCACCCGGCCCCGGCTTCGGCCTCGACCAATCAGCGACAGCCACGCTCCAGACGTAACGTTCAGTACATGGAAGGCGACGATTGGTTGAGCGCGCTCCAGGTCCGCGCCTGTGATTGGCCGCTGTGTTTGCGTGGTGGCCTCTGATTGGCTGTCTCTTCCCCTCCGCTTCCAGCCCCCCCCCTCACCTTTATTGAAGCTGCGAGAGAAGCGCGAGCGGCGGAGACAGAGGGGTATCGCGCGTGTCTCTAATCACACACACACACGGAGCAACTCGAGGGGGGTAACTGGGACGCCAGAGAGGCTCAGCTGCACAGCGAGACCAGGAGCACCCGAGACCAGACTCGTAGTCAGAGGCCTCCGACCGACATGAAGAAAGCCGGACTTCTCGGGCTGCTGTGCGCCCTCGTGCTGTTCGGTGAGTGAGCGTCTTGATGTGGGAGCCCAGAGGGTGATGATGGCGGCGGTGGTGGTGGTGTGGGGGTGGGGGGGTCTCTCGCCTTTCTAGAATTTTCTGACACTTCGACGGTTCGGGGCCGCAGACCCGAGGGCGCCGCCGCGCGCACGTTTCCTCACTGGGCGGGGAATGGACGCCTGTCTGAGTACAGATGGAAGTTGGGGGGTTATTGACGCCCTACAATTGCCCTATTCGTGGAGGAACGACCTCTAATTAAGGTCCACGCGGTCTCTCCCTCTCGTCCTCGCCTTCGACTCGAGTCGAACATTTCCTGAGGGGAGGGCCGCCGCCGAGTGGTGGTGGTGGTGGAGGTGGGGCGGGAGACGTGCGGCGCCGCCGCCTCCGGTGTGTGTAACGCTGTTCTTCTCCATGGTTTCCCGCGTCTCTTCGCCGCCGCCACTCGTTCTCTCCCGTTGAAGATCGGGCGATGAGATGAATTCCCGTTCGCTCTGCGTTAAATCATCCTCTCGACTGTTTGAAATGCCGCCGCCCCCCCTCCCCCCCCACCACCCCCTCCCCCCCACCACCCCCTCATCCCTTTGACTCTCAGGTGTTTCTGTGGTGGGGGTTGATCTCGGTGATCCGTTGCAAGACGCCACCGAGTCTTTACATTGTGCTTTCAGCTCCAAACAGCTCAGATGTTGAAGAATCAATTCCTCCCCTTGTGTGTAATTTCTCTCTCTCTCTCTCTCTCAGCTTCTGCTCGGGCAGACGAACCTTTGGCTGACGAGACTGTGGAGGAGGATTTGGGCAAAAGCAGGGACGGATCCAAAACCGACGATGAAGTTACCAAAAGGTATGCACGTGTTGCTGTGAAACTAGATTGCAGCCATTTACTGTGAGCTTGTGCGAACCGTTGAGTGTTTTCTGCTCCGACCTTGAAGGAATATTGCATATCCCACGTTACTAAAAATGATGGATTATTAAATATTCTTGATGTTTGGTTGGTACGAAAGATATCACTGCAGGAGATTGCTGACCTGATTGCTCCCTTTATAGAGAGGAAGAAGCTATCCAACTAGACGGATTGAATCCTGCCCAAATTAAAGAATTGAGGGACAAATCTGAGAAGTTTGTGTTCCAAGCAGAAGTTAACCGAATGATGAAGCTTATCATTAATTCTCTCTACAAAAACAAGGAGGCAAGTATAATAATACTGTACTCTAAAATCTCATTTTAGTTGTGGATATTTGTGATGTAGCAATTGTTCTACTTTAATTACATGTAATGCATTCAAATTGCTTAAAAAAGTGTACATTTGGCAGATTATCCTATCATCTGTAGATTCAATGTCACACAAATCACACAACCATTTAAATGTCTTTCTGAATAGGCAGAGATAGCTGTGATTTGATACAACACAGTTCTGGATTTAGAATTAAAATACACAATTCAGGGGTAAATATTACAAATGCAACAAAAATATTTTAAACAGATAATAAATACAATGTCATTGTTCTAGATTTTCCTGCGAGAGCTTATTTCTAATGCTTCTGATGCTCTGGACAAAATCCGGTTAATATCGCTAACTGATGATTCTGCACTAGGTGGAACAGAAGAAATGACCATCAAGATAAAGGTTTGTTTTTATTAATAAATCTTTCTGCAAATATAAAATTCAGATCTAAAATCCAGCATATTATGTTTACTAGGTATTGGGCACATTCACACTTCAAAATAAAACTGTTGGTTAAAATGTAAATTTTGAGCCTAGTAAGTTACAAAGTAATGCTATTAATTTAAATGATGGACCTTGTAGTGGTGTACTTTTGTTTCACATACAAAACCAGTTATCTTTACAACGGAAATGTACGAAGATGTTTCTGGGGGACTGCTTTTGTGGTTAATATTTCAATAAGCACAAACTATCACCACATATTAATATAGTACATGATATTTTGATTATATTGAACGTTAGTAGGACCGAGGCTCTCCTGATTGGCTCTCCTCACCTCAGGCGCTGACAGAATCACCATTCACCTTGCTAAGCCAATGCGGAACCTTGGTGTCTTGTTTGACCCTCAACTATCCTTTCTACCCCACACCTGCGCCATGACCCGCTCTGCCTTCCCCCACCTCTGCAACATCTCCCAGCTCCGCCACTGTCTCACACCACAGGCTGCTGAAACCCTCATACATGCTTTCATTACATCGAAGCTTGACTATGCAAACTCATTGCTTGTCGGCCTCCCCAACTCCTCTCACCATAGACTGCAGATCATCCAGAACTCTGTAGCCCATGACCCTATCACCCCCATCCTCACCTGACTCCACTAGCTTCCCATCACACAGAGGATACAGTTCAAAATCCTGGTCCTCACCTTCAAACCCCTCCACGGTCTTGTTCTCTCCTACCTCTGCAATCCCCTATCATCCTGCTCTCTCCCTCTGCTCAGCGGGCTCCGGCCTGCTTCACGCCCCCGCCTCGCTCGCCCCACTATTGGTGGGCGGACATTCTGTCACTCTGCCCCCATCTTCTGGAACTCCATCCCGCGGTCCCTCAGCCCCCTCCCTTGCCTCCTCCAAGACCCATCCCAAGACCCTCTTTGACTTATTTTACCTTAGTGTTCCTTCTGACTATAAAAGTAAAGGCTGTAGAAAAGTAGGTGAGATTGATTGAAAATACTTTTTACTGAGTAGGGAAGGCTATGAGCAATGGAATGAAATTACTGAGGCCAGGCGGAGACAAACTACTGTGCTGAAGAATGTGCTCTAACTAGGCAAATGAGCTTCATGTAATAAGGGTTGCTATAAAATATTTTTAATCAGCTGAAATATTTGGTTTTTTTTACTAGGCTGATAAAGAAAAGAATATGCTACACATCACAGATACAGGTATTGGCATGACCAAGGAGGAATTGATAAAAAATCTTGGCACAATTGCAAAGTCTGGAACAAGTGAATTTTTGAATAAGATGACTGAGATGCAGACTGAAGGGCAATCTACTTCTGAGCTGATTGGTCAGTTTGGCGTGGGCTTCTATTCTGCCTTTCTGGTAGCAGATAAAGTTATTGTCACTTCAAAGCACAACAGTGACTCTCAGCATATTTGGGAGTCAGACTCAAATGAGTTCTCAGTCATAGAGGATCCACGAGGAAACACATTGGGTCGTGGTTCCACAATCACGTAAGTTTTAACTTGCCTCTATGTGATCTCAAGTTGTATTCTTTTGTAGCATAAACAGACTGACACCTGTGAATTTGAATTGCACATATTCTGGCCACTGTGAGTTGCACATATTCTGTACCATTGGTCTAGGGAAGTATTACATGATACTAATTTGCTTTGTGGAAAAGAAACTTGCAAGATATGAAACTATGTAACTACAGCAGGTGCAAACCAATGTTCTATACCAGAATAGTGTAGCATACTGGAAGTCTCATAGTGCTGTTCCTGCTTGGGGAATCCATTATAAGGAGAAAGTTCTGGAAATACTATTTGGGAGTTATTGAAACTTGATAGGGAATTGTTTTTTTTAAATCAAAGTGTTTCTTTAAAGGGAAGAAATCAAACTGGACTAATTTGAAAATGTACTTGTATTGACTGCAGATTAGTCATGAAGGAGGAAACATCTGATTATCTTGAACTGGAGACCATCAAAAATCTGGTGAAGAAATACTCTCAGTTCATCAACTTCCCCATCTACGTCTGGAGCAGTAAGGTAAGAGTACTGAGATGAGTTAGGCAAGCAAATTATTTACTCCAATAAGTTTTGTTTGACAAACAAATCTACTTTGGTAACAGACAGAAACTGTTGAGGAGCCAGTGGATGAGGAGGCCCAAGACAAGGAAGACGATACTGATGATGAGGAGGCTGCAGTTGAAGAGGAAGATGAAGAGAAGAAGCCCAAAACTAAGAAGGTATAAACCTTTTGAGGCCCGTTAGACATTTTCTTTGTATTCAAAGAAACTCTGCTATAAATTGTCAACTCTTACAGGTTGAAAAGACAGTCTGGGATTGGGTGCTGATGAATGACATTAAGCCAATCTGGCAAAGACCAACTAAAGAAATTGAGGAAGATGAATATAAATCATTCTATAAGACTTTCTCAAAGGTAAACCTTTACTCTAACAATAATGTGGTGTGCTGTGATTAGATTTTCCTCTGTTTTGGTATTTTTCTAAACACAACTTTTTTTCTTCAGGACTCTGATGACCCAATAGCTCACATTCACTTCACTGCTGAGGGAGAAGTCACATTCAGGTCTATCTTGTTTGTGCCTAATGTTGCACCTCGTGGTTTATTTGATGAGTATGGAACAAAGAAAACTGATTACATTAAGGTATGTCAATCTAACGCTAACTACAGTAGAATCATGGTCATCTGGTTGAGTCTTGCATATTGTACATTGGCCACCATTGTCCTATCGCTAAGGTCTTAGGAACAACAAATTACATTTATATAGCACCTTTCACATCAGGAATTGTCATGGGAGACTACTCACAGCTTTGGGTGTGAGGATTCTCCATATCGCCAAATGTTGAAGTGTAACTGGGGAGAGCGGTGCCAAAACATGAGAATCGATGTGTCTGAAATATTGACACCTGTACCAGTGCAATGAAATGTTTGTGTTGCGCAAGACAATCTGTTCTTGTTCACATTACCTCTGGAAATTTGTCAGCCACAAAACAGCAGTTAGATTTCTGAATTATAACAAACTAGGTGTACCCGTTGCAGTTACACTTGCAACCAAAGGAATGTAGATTTCAGTGAAACCATTTAACATGCCATAAACACTGTGTATACCTTAAGCAAATCAATTGTAGATACTGACTCCATAGTTTTTGTATGCTCATTTTTAGAGCTGCCATTTTCAGTGATACCACTCACAAACCGTTTTACGTGCCATAAACCGTGTGTGCACACATTAAGCAAAATTGCCATACATGTGTGATGAGCTTGTTTAGGTCATAGCTCATCAATGATAGGAGATACCACAAAAATATGACACAGCCCCATGCAAGACCTTTCCAATGAGGTGTAAATCATAGCTGTCAATCGGTTATTGAGTTCTTGGCTGTCACACGTGCACAGACAGAACGTCTTTATTAGTATAAATGGAAGATACTTCCATTCTATATAGTGCCTTATGTTGTCTGACTCTAAAGCGCTTCACAACATTTTATTGTGAAGTGTAGTGACCATTTACTTGTGAAATCAACAGCCAATTCGCACTTGGTATTGTTCTACAAACTGCCATTTTCAAAAAGGCATTTTTTTGGATAAGACAACAGGAGAAATTCCCTACACAAAACCAAAACACAAAATACTGCAGATGCTGGAAAGCTGAAACAAAAACATAGAGAGAGCTAGGAAAGGTCAGCAAGCAGCATCTATAGAGAAAGAAAAGTGAGTCAACATTTCAGGTCCATGACCTGACAAAATTCTCTTCTCACTCAAATAATGCCCTGGGATCTTTAATGTCCATCTCAACTGAGGATAGTACCTTTAATAATATAGCGCACTCCCAGCAATAGTGAAATATATAATCAACACTTCCTTTAATGTTGTGCTGATTGACTTCTATACTAAGGAATTGCAATGAATTGCTGGTATCAAATACTGCAAGGATTACATACATGTTAAATGTGTTACAGAACTGAAACCATAGTGACTTTCGATTTACAATTTAAATTCTCGAGTGCCACATCATATTTTTCACTGCATGCATCTGAATGCTATAGTATTTATGCAAAATTTTCTTTCATTGCAGTTGTTTGTTCGTAGGGTGTTCATTACAGATGATTTCCATGATATGATGCCCAAATATTTGAATTTCATCAAAGGTGTGGTAAGTATTTTTTAATGGATCTTTTATGATGCAGTCTCTAGCCAGACAAATTGAAGTGCTGAAAGAAAGCTGTGATGTAAATGATTCTTCTGGATAAGGGAACCTTATAATAAGAGATCAATAGCTGAAAAGGAATAAACTTATCCAGTTACCAGAAATGTTAACTGATTGGGGTATTCTAGAGATGGAGTTGTTCGGAATCTTCAATCTACCCAAAACTATTTTTCACATTAGATTGATAGCCATTCACTTTTATTAGAATGTAGTTATGCCATTATGCGTTCTAAAATACCTTACTGCAATGTAGAATTTGTGAGGTTACCACATGGTGGAGCTGCATTGTACATTGATAGTGTCCTTCTGGGCAAAACATTCACTTAATAATATCTATTGTTAGGTGGATTCTGATGACCTGCCATTGAATGTGTCTCGTGAAACTCTACAGCAACACAAACTGTTGAAGGTAGGTACTAGATTGCTGAAAGGTCTTACACTCTGTTTATTCTCATTTAGATGTGAAATTATTTATTTTATGGAGATGCTTTCATTGCCTTTATGAGCTCTTTCAGTTTATTTGCTTGTCATGGGAGATGCTGCATCTTCAGTTATAAAGGAGAAATAATTGGGGCCTCATAGAATCTTACAGTTACGCATGGAATAAACGCGTTAGTTTTCACTACTCGATAGTTTACACTACTCAGTCATGTAGTATACATAACAGTGATTTTAGAGGAAACATTTTTGGTAAGCAGATTCTAAAATGTTACATTTTAAGAAACTTAAAGCGACTTTAAAACGGTTGTAGGTGTCTTTTGCCCTTGTAGATTTACATTGTTGCAATAGTTTTCCTAGTTTCAAATCTAACCTAAAACAGCGGCTTGATGGATCTACTTATGATTTGCAAAACTACAGTCGCTATATTTGTTCTGATTAAATTTTGAGGGTTGAATTGGAATTCCAATTTGTTTTCACTCAGGTAATCAGAAAGAAGCTTGTCCGCAAAACCCTGGATATGATCAAGAAAATTGCAGATGAGAAGTATGATGACTTGTTCTGGAAGGAATTTGGCACTAACATCAAGTTGGGTGTGATTGAGGATCACTCTAATCGAACACGTTTGGCTAAACTGCTGCGTTTCCAGTCATCTCACAATGACGCCAAATTAACCAGCCTGGAACAATACGTTGAGAGAATGAAAGAGAAACAAGATAAGATATACTTCATTGCTGGAGCCAACAGAAATGAGGTTTGTGTGTACAGTATTTGGTTAAGGAGATATTATATGCAATATAATCATCAGTCGAGCATACTTAAAAATAGCCATTGTCTATCCAGAAGGTGGCTAGTCCACACCAGTAGTGTACTTCATTTCCAGTCCATGGATCATCCATAAGCAAGAGATTGTGTAAATATACCAAGACTGATAACTAAACTAACATTTAAGTGGTAATTAGATCCTGATCATCTTTCAGGTTCAAACATCTCCTTTTGTGGAACGTCTCCTGAAGAAGGGTTATGAGGTGCTCTACCTGACTGAGCCTGTTGATGAATACAGTATCCAAGCTCTGCCTGAGTTTGATGGAAAGAGATTCCAGAATGTTGCCAAAGAAGGGCTAAAATTCGAACAAAGTGAAAAGGCCAAGGAAAAGCATGAAGCAATGGTGAAGGAATATGAACCACTCTTGACTTGGCTAAAGGACAAAGCCTTAAAAGACAAGGTAATGGTAATGGACCAGTTGATATGCAGTTAGATTGCAAACACTCAGTTAGCCTGATATTCCTAATTCATATGAATTTTGAAGCTAGTTTTATCTTCCTTTATTGACCTTCAATTTTGGTTTCAATTTTTAACTTAAAAGTTAAAAGTATTAAATTACTGATGAGTGATTATTCTAGCTTCTGAGATACAAGAAATGCCTTTAAAACTGAACATTGTATTTAACTTAAAACAAGTTCAATAGTTTTCATTTCATTTTTATATGGGTTATATACAGATTAGATCCATTAGTTTGGAAAGATAATGGATATACATTTTACTATTTGTTTTCAGGTTGAGAAGGCTGTACTATCTGAGCGTCTTACAGATTCTCCTTGTGCTCTGGTGGCAAGTCAGTATGGATGGTCTGGAAACATGGAAAGAATCATGAAGGCTCAAGCATACCAGACAGGGAAAGACATTTCCACAAAGTAAGTTTTTGGTTGTGTTAAGCTATGCAGCATTATTTTAATGGGAATGCAACAACAAGGATCTAAAGCTAGTTATCCATGAAAACCTATGATAGTCTGACTCTAGAAAACTTTACAAACTCTAATCTGAGAATTGTTGAACTTCTATGAAGTAGAGTTTCCTTCTATGAAATAGAGTTTTGGTTTTGTAATGTCAATTTCAAAAGTGGAACACCATTTCTCATTGGATGTTTAGTTCTGATTAGATCTACTATGTAATATTGTCATAGAGGATGCAACTGAGTTAGTTTACTGGATCTGTACACTAAACTTAGATAGAAGAGATTCCCACATTGTAGTTGTGCAGCTTAGTATTGATCAACCTTAACTAAATTCTGTTAACTGTTGCAGTTACTATTCTGGCCAAAAAAAGACCTTCGAAGTTAATCCAAGACATCCTTTGATCAAGCAGTTGCTCAAACGAGTTCAGGTAAGGTCCTTTATAAATCCTTCACAAATTGCAATATGTACATCATGTAATCTTCCAGAGCCTCGTCAGTGTTTTCAAACTTGGGCATCAAAAGATTTTGGAAGTATTGTGATAGATTGGGATTGCAATCGGTAAACTGCATATCATTTTTATTTCAGGACAGTGAGGATGACCAGACTGCCACTGACCTTGCTGTAGTTTTGTTTGAAACTGCAACATTGCGTTCAGGATACCTGCTGCCAGACACCAAATTATATGGTGATAGAATCGAAAGAATTCTTCGTCTCAGCATGAACATAGCACTTGATGAAAAGGTAGGCCATTGGTAGTCAAGCCTTCAATTGCTATGCCCCTATCTTCTGGAACTGCTTTCACTCCTGTGTCTTTCTACATCCCATCTTGACTTTCCTTCTTCAAATGATTCAAACTGTGTAAATGTAAGTAGTTGTAACTATTCCATTTGAAATACGGTAGAGCTTGTGTGATTTTTGGGGAAAGAATTAGGAATTTCTAATTCAGCTGTTACTACAAAATTTTGATCATTACTGTGCTTGAAATGTTGATTGCGGTCAACTTGAATCTAAAACATTGTGCTGTGTATAGGTCGAAGATGCTGAAGAATATGAAGAACCAGCAGAGGAACCAGAGGAGGTGAAAGCAGAAGATGATGCAGAGGAAGATGATGCAGAAGAACAGGTAGGTTTTAAGACCTTCGTTGTTAGAGTAATTTAGTGTGGATGCATTTATCTAACATTGGTTGTTTTGATGTATTCCTAAACCTTATTTTGTTAAAATCCACAGGAATCCACAGATGTTAAGGATGAATCATCAGAGATCAAACCCGACCATATATTAAGTGGGGATCTGTAACATAATGAGACGCCAAACCACTGCATGGAATGTAGAAGGATGAACGATTCACACAAAAGGTCTGGGGAGGCCAAAGGAGTTTTGTACTTTATATTCCTTGTGGAAGTGAAATGCCTGTAAATTTGTAATATTGAAAATGACAATTTCTTGTGAAACATGTGAACCATAATAAACCTTTTCCACAAAGTCTTGGCTCCATTTCGGATTTAAAAATGTTCCAATTTCAATTTAATAAAACTTATGAAACATTTTCTTTAATGTACTAGTGTTGTACATTTTGGCCCTAAATCGTATGGGGTGTTGCACAGAAGTTTTTCTGATTTAGGTTGGACCTAATTAGACTTAATCAACAGATTCCCTCCAAACTCTGTTGCCAAGCAATTTGGTGTCATTATCCCAGGACATTGGTTGTTAAGCAGTGATGTTGATGGGTAATAAAGTTGAAAGGCTCATAATACTGGGAGAAGACTTATTGGTGGATATAGCAGAATAGGTTTGATATGGAAAAACTTAAATGGCCAATATAATTCAAGTCTTCTGGATCAGCAAAGGGAGTTACAGTAATGAAGTAAAAGTATCTAGGATCCAACAAACAAATAATGAACAACTGAATGTTTTAATGTATACAACCAGGCCAAGAAAAGTAGATTTTGTTGAATGTTAGTTATTTTGAAGTGTTTGGGAGGCTCCATAGAAAAGATCTTAGTGGGAACACTGTTCAAAATATCAGAAAATTATTATGTTATTTGAAAGATTCAGGGAACTAGGTATCCCACTTCAGCTCAGTGTTGTTGTACCAGCCCCAGTTGTGGATTCACTGCAGAAGCAAATCCATTGTTGTCATGCTTTGAAACATTTAGATGTGCAGTATTTACCTTTATTAAAAATTGTTACTACACTTTTCCAAATATTGTGACTTAGATTTACAAAACCTTAATAAAAAAATTCTTAAGATTTGAATATATGTGGTTAGTTTATATATTTCAGTCTTAGTTGATAGAGAAGCTTTTCAGCCATTTGCCACATGGAAATATAGACACTTCAGCTGCAATCATAGGCTGGCTAGCTTTTCCAAAACTGTTTATACACATGAATGAATAAGACCACTTTCACTCATCTTTCCCCTCTTCACTACTATTTCATGTGCCAATCCATGATTAAGTACCCTAAGGGCAGCCTCCTGCCACAAAAGGTACTACGTAAATGTAAAGTTGTAACTGAGTATAATGTGCTAAACAGTTCATTTCAATTTTAAAATAGATGTAGCCATCTAGCCTCGACATTTTTATCAAATATTTTAAACAAATCCATAATTGTACAGTTACAATTTCTACAAGGCTTAGTTTATAACAAGTCTTGTGCTCAATGTTCTTCAGTGATTTTCAGACTTTTGAGTTTCCTTCTGCTTCAGTCCAAGAAGTTCTGTTTTAAGTTCCCCTGGTTTAGGTGGAACTTCTGGTATCGTCTAAAAGAAACATTTGAAATCACTAACGCAAGATTGGAAAATGTTTGAGGTTCTGTATTTTAATATTAATAATTTTAAGTTTGGAATAAAGCTGATTTGGGAAAACAGGCTAACTATTAGAAAAATCCTTCATTCAGTGTAACATCCTGGTTTATGGTAACTAGTTTCTATAATTAGTCACACTTGCTTTTTGGTAGTGGTAGAGACAGGAAAGTAGACACAGATCTTGAATGTGAGGTTTGAAGGGTAATTTGGTGTCAATCAGAAATCTGCATTGGCTCCATGAGTTGGAGTGAGCACCTGTGCAGATCCGTGTCTGAGGTGATGGGGAACTTTATTGATCACATGTGGACATTCCTTAGCATCTAGGAACTCCTACTAGAAACTTACGTCACTCATTATCATTTTAAACCCGTTTGAGCAACTAATGACTACAGTCATTTTCTCATTCCCAATCAGAACTTAGAGCAGTTTACAATATAGCAATAAGCATCAGGCAAAAGCAATCTACAATATAAAAGCATCATTAAACATTGTTTAATAAATTTTAACTTTTAATGATTTGAACGAAAATACATTTAAACAGCCTTGTCTTAAAGGGAGAAGGAAATTGGATAAGACATAAGAATAAAATCTGGTGATTTGAATTTGGGATTATTGATGTCTCAGTTGTACTGTACTATTGATGTCACCTGTTCTCTGCAAAAATTGAGGGTTCAAAACAAAAGCATCTTGGACATCTTATGCACTTAATGTCTTGTTACAGAGCAGCATTGCCCAACACTTAAAAAAATTGTTGTAATGCTATGGTGCCAACAATGTGGAGAATGTCTCAAAACACTTCACTAAGTTTCTGTAATGGACATCTCCAACCGGTTGATCGTGATCAAATTAATATCTTGTTACTGAGCTGTAATACCCATGGTGCAGCCATAAACTAAGAAAAATTCAATAAAGAAAAATGTATTTGGTTGGCTGACACTGTCCTAAACTATGAGCTCTAAGTCCCGAAGTAGGGCTTGGATTCACAACCTTCTCACCAAGAGGCAAGAGTACTGCCAGCTGAGCTAGGTGGGCAATCAGGTTGCATACCTCTTGGCCTGGGAATGGTGCACGAACGGAGATGAATTAAAATGTTAACAGTACAAACCAACTCACCAGATCTGGTCTATAGTATCGGTGTACGACTTCTGCTCCTGAAAGCATTGCTAGGATGCTGGCACCAAACATCTTTAGGTAACGAGGCCAGCTTACTCCTGCTGGCATCTTTCTATTTTGGATTTCCTATTAAGTATTTCCTTTGTCAGCTGTGAAACATAAAGACTATTTTAAGTAACTCAAACATGAGCTGCCCTCCTCGCCGGTCTCCCCAGCTACACTATCCACAAGCTCGCAACAAATTCAGAACTCTGACGCCCATACACTCACCCGCTCTAAACTCCATACCCCCCCATCACACCATTCCTCATCAAGACTGGCTTCCCATCACAGAACAGTTCGACTTCAAGATCCTCACATCTACAAATCCCTTCATACCCGAGCATCTCCATACCTTTCCTAACTGCTTACTCCCCACTCCACCACCCGCCTCCATGTTTCTGGGATACTGTCATGTCTAAATTGGCTGTCATGTTCACCTAGAGGCACAGTCACTACGCTTCACAGTAAAATCCTATGTACCATTTTGAGACAACTTGACTTGATAAGGTGCTATATACAATAAACAATCCTTGCATTTGACGTATTATTATGTTATTTTGACGTAAAAAAAACCTTCACAGGGTATACTGTAAGTCAATTGACAGTGTATTTTGTGGGCGAAACAATTAACAAATTACATTTGTATAGTGCCTTTCACATCAGGACGACCCAATCACTGAACGGTCAGACACACCACCTACCATGCCAAATGGCAGCACACGCAGTGTGCATGGGAAAGTGTGCCCAGAATACTTCCTTTCCAGGTGAAGCAAAATGCAATTACGGGGAACCAAGGAGAGAGAGAATAAGAGAAGAGAAGTCTAGTTTAAAAGCTGAAGAAATTACATTAATTGAAACAATCACTGCAAAATCTTCATGCAGGCTTTTTTTTTTACGACCTGCAAATATGAAATGAACCCCACACACCATATTTTGCAGTACCAACATGACATTTGTGTAACTCAAACAAACTTGTACTCAAAGGAAATGAGCATCCCTCTGCCATCTGCCATTCATAAGGGTTCCTACATGTAGTATCAATAATAGAACACAGATATCACAGATATTTAGTAGCTGCGATCAGCTACTAAAGATCCTTTGCAAGTTTCAAGGAGAATAAATATTTCCATCGTACGGCATCGTATCTGACCCAGGAAGGTGCCTTCAAATCAAGTGAACTTTTTAAAATCTACACCTACAGCCATAAGACACCAATTCAAAGTCTAAGTTATGAGTTGTCTTTGTCTAGTTAGTACATAAAGAGAAACTGTGCAATGAGTATCTTATCTGATCGGTTAGATTTTTTGGCACAAACACCTTCCACATCTGTGCTTCCTCAGAGACTGTCTTCTCCCAAAGAACTGACAGCCTCTGTGTTGTTGTTTCCATGTATGACAGACACTCGACTGACCAAAAAAAAACAATATTGGAGCCTTACAAGTCTTGGATTGTGGAATTCTTCAAAGAGGGTAGCCGAAGGCACAGTCTAAGAGGAGGGTCTTGAAGAGCGTCTTGAAGGAGGTAAGGGAGGGAGCGAGGCGAAGGGAATGTGGGATGAAATTCCAGAGGGTGGGGGCAGAGAGGCTGAAAGCCCGACCATCAGTGGTGGGGAGGGCCGGGAGTGGAACGTGAAGCAGACCTGCTGAGCGGACAGGTCGATATGGTGTTAGCAGGTCACAGAGGTAGAAAATGCAAGGTCATGGAGGGCTTTGAAGACGAGGATGAGGATTTTGCACTCTATCCTCTGGGGGTTTGGAAGCCAGTGGAGTCGGGCGACGGTGGGGGTGATAGGATCATGGAGCCTGGTGTGGGAGAGGACACAAGTTGTAGAGTTCTGGATGATCTGCATCTTGTGGAGGGAAGAGTTGGGGAGGCCGACAAGCAGATTTGGCTTAGTTGAGCCTAAATATAACAAGAGCATGGATAAGGGTCTCAGCGGCCTGAGCCGGGCAATGCTGCGGAGGTGGGAGAAGGCAGAACGGGTCATGGCACGGGTCATTGCACACAGCATTTGCTAGGCTGAAATAAATATGCCAAAAATATAAATCTAGAGTAAATCTGGCAGGAAAGCACATCAAATTCTACATTTAGATTGCAGCGCGGCTACAGTATAAACCAGGTGGTTGTCATTAGCTTGTGACATGGGTCTACATTCCTAAATGCACTCAAATTAGCAAGATAACTGGGCCCTCCTGTTGCGTCCAAATCATTGGGGTTGAGCTGCAAGCCTACAGACCGGCAATGTAATGTGCAGCTCTTCCCAGAGATTGGTCCACAAGCCAACACCTCTATTAGTTTCCAAATTCCAATTCATGCTTTGCATTCTGCCAACAAGGCGGCATTCCAGCACCAGTGGTTTTAGGGTACTGATTGCCAGGTCTGAGGTAACTAACTTACAAAGTAACAGCAGCATCATATAGTAGAAAAGGTCACTCTTGCTGCTCAAGGGGACATTTCAGCTGTGAGCAAATTTTAATGTTTTCCTACTTCTTAATGGTTCACTGGATAGATTAGGTCAACTTTAAGATCAGAATTTCAGGCCGTACCCAATAAAGCAATACTGAAGAAGATCAATATCTAAAACAAACCAGTGACAAATAAGCACAGTATTCTGCCTGTGGTTTGTAATTAAAGAAGGCACTACTTGGCAGTGAACAGTGAATAGCTTCTTTTATGGACGCACGTGTGCCAACAGAAGAGGGCAGCAGCACCGCAGCACTGAACAACAATAACACGGTTTGCATTAAGCCACTTACACTGTAATTTAAAATTAAGAAAAAAATCTGTTTCTTCAGTAAAAACAAAATGCTCCAGCATTGCAATCTGAAACCGTTTCAATTTCTGTAAATATAAATAACCTATAAACGGATAAAACAAACCACAAGAACACTTTATTGGCCATCGTTCAGCAGGACTTTTTTTCGTCCCAAGTAACAACAAATTAAATCTACACCCTCACCCCCTTTTCTGTAAATATTAGTAAAGAAACCCGAATTTTCTCTTACTTCACTATGACTCCACAGTGGTCTTATCCCTCCTTTAACTATCCTCTTGCTTCTAATGTACTGCTACAATCCTTTGCTATTAGCCTTTGCGTCGACATGCTGTTATCTTCCCATAGTTCAAATGCATTTGGTCGGATACAAAAGGCATCTTTGAGTGGAGAGCAGCGGTGGAGCCAGGTGAGGATGCGGAGCTGGGGGAAGGCAGAATGGGTCATGACACGGACGCGGTGTAGAAAGGACAACTGAGGGTCAAACAAGACGCCAAGGTTCTGGACTGGCTCAGTCATGTGGAGCGTGCGCCCACGCACGGGCGATGCTGTCAGCCACCGAGGTGCGGAGGCGCTGACGGGCGCCGGGGGGGCCTCGGTCTTGTCGACGTTCGACGGCGGAAGGTTAGCTCTCGTCCAGGACTTCACGTCCGACAGACATTCGGACGGGACAGAAGTGGCGCTGGAGCGGAGGGTGGGGGCAGGAAGGTGGGAGTTGGGAGTCATCCGCGGACGCGCGGGTGCTGACCCCACGTTTGCTGACCACATCACCCGAGGGAGCCAAGAGGGCAGCAATGTCCCATAAAGCAGCTTATGGAGTGAGTGACCCAATTTTATTTGGGGGGAGGGGGGGGGGGAGGGGGGAATTCTTGACCGGGTGCACCAAGAAGAAGACTCCCCCTTCTCTTTTCGAAGCACGGCACGGGATGGGGGGTGGGGGTGGGGTGGGGGGTCTTTAAGGTCCACCCGAACAGGCGAGGAGGGTTTAACGCCTCACCGGGAGAGGACGACAACGCAACATTAGGTGTGTGGCGTTGCTCTGTGACTCCAAACTGACCTTTTCCAACAGCAGCGCTTCAGGCACCGGGTGTGTTCCAGTCAAAACCGTCCTCCCGGCGAACCACACCATCGCACCTGTTCCACTTCCCTCAAGTCGTCACCCCAACCCCCCCCCCCACCCACCACACAACAACAACAACAACCATCACTGTAAACCATCAGCAATCTACGCCATGAACCGTCGTCCTGGTTTGACATCAGTCGCCCTCTGAGAAGCTTTAATGATGGATTTCATGTATCAAGAAGCCGCGGTCACTGCGCTGCGTGACGTAACACCCCCCCCCCTCCCCACGCGCGCGCGCGCGCGCCGCGGCCTCCGCTGCAGGGACCGTTGGCCAATAGAACACGGACCCTGGTTTAAACCTCGCCTACACCACTAACCGCAGCGTTTTGGGGGGCGGGGGGGGGGGTGGGAAAGGGAGAGAGATCAGAAAACAAAACAAAACACTGCTGGCAGTCTGCTGCTGGGATGACCTTATCAGTAAATTTATTTATTTACATTCGTATTTAGGTTGGTTCTGCAGGTGTATATCCCGTCCCGGCTGGTTGTCATTTGCTCTCTCTCCCCCCCTCCCTCCCTCTTCTCCGATGAGAGTGGTAGATGCGAGCAGCGCGCATGCGCGGTGGTGCGCCTTCTCTCTTTGTTAGTGGGTGAGTGGTGAGTGAGCGCTACGCGGAGTCGGCGTTAGTGAGCGCAGGTAGAGAGGGCCGCGGGCACCAACACCTCCCTCTCCCTCCCTCCCTCCCCCCCCCCCGAGGCTGTGCATGTGTCCGCCAGCGTGAAGGCCAAACCCCGTTTGCACGTCGCCGGGACCGGGGTTTGTTTGTGTTTATATTTTAAACACTCGGCTCAGCCGCGTCACGCCCTCGACCTCCTCCCTCACTCCCTCACTCCCTCCCTCCCTCTCTCGCTCCGGATGGATGGGAAGCTGCTGCCGGTCCCTGGCATGACGCTGCCGCCCGAGTATTTCCAGCAATGGTGAGTGAGTGAGGGAGGGAGAGGGAGGGAGGCAGGAGCCTAGGCCGCGGCAGTTAGTCAGTCAGTCAGGCCTGAGGCCCCACTGCTCTCCTTCTCCAGGAACCTGTGACGCGTAGATCGTGTTGGGCCTCCCCAGGGCCCGGGCCGGGGCCGGGGCCGGGGGTTCAGTCACTGCCGTAGGTCGACAGCGCTTTCTATCGCTTATTCACTCCCTCCCTCACTCACTCGCTCTCTCACTCTCTTGTCTTTCCCTTCGTGTGTTTTTTTGTGTGTGTGTGTGTGTATTGGTTTCCAGGCTCGACACCGTCCAGCAGCACCGAGCCCTGCAACCCCCTCACGAGCAGCGACCGCCGGGGCCCGAGCTCGGCAGCATGGAGGAGGCGACTGCCCCGCCAGACGCACCAGGTGAGAGTCCTGACGTTTGCGATGGTCTTTCGAGTAAAAGTTGCCGGTGAGCAAACGTCCTGAGCCCAAACGGCACGGACCCGCTTCGCCGCTGGTGACTGACTGACTGACTGACTGACTGTTAGCTGTTGCAATGTTCGTCAGTCGGGCGTTTTCCTGGAAAATATGCAGTCAATGAATTCGCTTTTGCAGTATGTTATGTGAAGCGCTTTGAGACGTCTCGTCGATGTTGATGAGGCGCTTTGTAATGAGCAATAATCCTTGCATTTGACACAGCGCCTCATCACGTCTTCGAGATGTCTCAACGCGCTTCACGGAATATAATGTGAAGTGGATTAACTGTATATTTTTTTGTGGGTGAAATGCAAGTGGAAGGGTTGTTATTATCCCTCCGTTGACTTCCCTCCTATTAAGTGTGAGGTCCAGGCCTGTAAACCTCATTCGTTTCGATTATTGTTCTGTCAGCTTCACACGACAAATTACATTGATATAAAGCCTCGCATGTTGGCAGCACGTCTCAAAAGGCGTCTCTCTTCTTGCTGGGTACCTGAGCTGGGGGTCGAAGTCGAAGGGGGTGGCGAGGAGAAAGATAACCAAATGCGTGGTCAAAGAGTTATATTTTGGGCAAGGGAGGGAGCTTTCCACAAGTGGGAAGCCCAAAGCTGAATACAATACCCTCAACTGCAGTCCAACAAGTATTGTATTCTTATTACAAAACACAAAATACTGCAGATGCAGGAACCTGAAATGAAAACAGAGAGAGCTGGGAAAACTCAGCAGGTCAGGCAGCATCTATGGAGAAAGGAAAGTGAGTCAACGTTTCGGGTCCACGACCCTTTGTGTTCTGCCGAAGGGGCGTGGACCCGAAACGTTGACTCACTTTCCTTTCTCCATGGATGCTGCCTGACCTGCTGAGTTTTCCCAGCTCTCTTTTTGTTTTGTATTCTTATTACTTGAACTTAAATTTCCAGCAGCTTTTCGTTAATGAAAAGCTTAGCTGGGGAAGTTTATTTTAAAAATTGGTATTTGCCAAATGGACCATCTAAAGAGGCTTTGTTCAACAGTGCCTGTGAATTATTGAGCTTTCTAGTGACTAAAGTTCCAGCAGACATTTATTTTGAATGGTCACTTTTCATTACTCCTTTGCAGTCTCAATCAACCATTGATGACCCTAGTACATTCTTTGTAAAAGTTGTATGTTTATTAAGTGTAATTTGTTTTTNCCACCAGTGGCTCCAAAAGCTAAGCGAGGAAGGCCTCCAAAATCACAGCAAAAAAAATCGGCAGGCCCAGGCCCTAAACGAGCCAAAGCTGAGGGGAAGTCGGGAGGAAAACAAGAAAAAATCACAAATGCTTTTAAAACTGTGAAAAGAAAAGTCAATCGATTCAATGGGACAACAGAGGCTGAGCTTCTTACCAAAACACTGCCAGATATTTTAACGTACGATTTGGATATTGTAATTGTAAGTTGTGCTCTTCCTTCTGACAAATATAAACAATAAAACTGTTAAAAAAAATTAACAGAAATTAGTATAATTAGGTTTAGGTATCAGATTCTAACAGCAGCAATTTGAACTTAGCACTATTCACATAGGGAAAATATCTCAAAGCATGTTTACAACTACAGTGGGAACTGGAAAGGGGGATGTTAGTGCAGTCAAAGGAGAGGTTCCTTTGCCAATTGTCTTAAATCTGTGTCCTCTGGTTACCGACCCACCTGCCATTCCCACATGTAATAACCAGTGGGAATCCAAAACCTATAACAATAGCCTGAGTTGTCATTTGTCTAAAAGTAGAGCCCTTTATAGTTATAGTTGATTTTATAGTGCGTACTGACTGTTGCCTGATGCTTCAGCTTTAATCAATTTCTTTAGTTCATAGTGATTGTCATTGTACTTGAGGGAATGTCAATGGCTAATTGTTACCAGTGATATTGATGCTGCAGCATCAGAAGGTTGAACTATGAGCAATGATGACATAAACTAAGCCATTAGTAAAGATTTATTATACTTAATCAGGAAAGTTGCTCACAAAGACTGATTTAAGTTAAGAGTTTTTGCTGCTTTTTGGAGGTTGCAACCAAATAGCAGTAATGTTTATGCTGGCAACTAACACCAATGTTGGCTGTGGCCTGGGAGATAAACTTCTACTTTACATACAGATTGGAATTAATCCTGGACTAATGGCAGCTTACAAAGGACATCATTACCCTGGACCAGGGAATCACTTCTGTAAGTTTTTGCATGTGAAATCAAGAATGTGCTATAGGTATCCTTATTGCATGTAGTCTTCTGTCCTAGTATTTATTACAAGGGGGGATATTACAGTATAGAAAATCGAACCTTTTATATTAATTGCCGAACATAGGGTTGATGGCATTCAAATCGTAATGCTTTTTTGAAAAAAAAGACATTTGCTTCTCTGATGGTGAATAAATGTACCAAGTATGTGGTTTTAAATGGGACTGATATGTAGCTGTATTTACCAGGTTTGTTTTGAAATCTGGTCTGTGCACCAGATCTTAGCCCAGGATAGGTTTAGAAGAGAAGAAATAATACTGACATCAACATTTCTATGGTCCTTATAAGAAAATTTAAAATTTGGTTTTATACTTATGTGCTTGTTCAGTGGATCCAAGTAGAAACTGGTTTGCTTAATTATTCTTACAATTTGTTGCAAGTTGAAGTTTACAGTACTCACACTTTTTCTTTTATAGGGAAATGCTTATTTTTGTCAGGTCTTGTTGACAAGCCTTTAAATCATATGGATGATAATTCTTTACCAGAGAAATATGGAATAGGTTTTACCAACATGGTGGAGAGAACAACTCCAGGAAGCAAAGATCTTTCAAGGTGATTAATACGATTTGTGCAAAACTAACGTTTTTAGTATCCTATAAAACTGATTTTTTTTTAAACCAAAAGCTCTTTTTGTTCCAGTAAAGAGATTCGTGAAGGAGGGAAAATACTTCTGCAAAAACTTCAAAAATTTAAACCGCTGATTGCTGTTTTTAATGGAAAATGTAAGTAAAAATACAAAATGCTACAGACATTGGTTTTGAGTATTATAATTGAGTGCCTAGATTTATGAAGATTCATTCATGGGTGGATTTTTTTTCGAGATAACCAGCATTGCTCCTAACGTACACAAACTGCCACATATTTATAGATATAATCCAGGTATTATCTGAGAAATTTGTTAATTATTCCATTAATGCAAATCTAAAGATTCAATAGTATCTAATTGTTTCTCTTTTCCCCTCTTTCTTCCTCACACCCCCTGGTCTCCCAGGTGCTGTTGTCCACCTGTTACTCTTGAAGTTGCTTTCAATAGACCTGCAAAAGCAAAGCACTATTTAATACTTTAGTTCTTTTGTCTTTAACCCCTTCCTCCATGTGTCTTGCTTCTTTTCAATTCTTAGATAGAATTATACTCACAAATTCAATTTGAATTTCACTAATTGATTTTGCAATATTATGCATACAATGGGAAATTGTAGCTGTTTATGTACAATGCAAAAGTTGAGCATATCCAAAAGTAAGGAGTATTTTCATGGTGTTTGGAGTTTGTTTCTCAAAACTATCATTCACAATTGCTGGATGTATAAGTGACCTTTAATGGCAAAAAACTACAGTGATAATTATTAGTTGAGGAATCGGGGGATCTTCTATCCTGATAACTTTGTAATCTATATTACTTTTCCTAATTACCTGTTTTAGGCATTTATGAAAATTTTAGCAAAGAAGTATTTGGAGTTAAGGTCAAAAAATTGGATTTTGGGCAGCAGCCGCACAAGATCCCTGAAGGAGAAACAGTAAGTAACAAACGGTTAAACTTATTTACTTACTAAGTATATAACCAATATCAGTTGTCAAACGAATGTAAATTTCCCACCATCCACTTAAAAAGAATCTTTTGACTCTGCATCTGTTACATAACCTACAGCAAAATCCATTGCTTTATTCGAGTATTCCAATGACTGGATAAATTTCTCTAGAGATTACCAATATTTTGTGATCGCGGTCCTTATCTTGTATTTAGCCATAGTGTTCTTAAATTGCAAGCATTGCCTTTTAGCTTATTCCCAATTCAGTTCAGAGTATTTCAATTTCTTATTTTGTAGTATCCTTCACTAAAACATGAGTTATATTGGACTTCAATCTTCATTTTGCCAGATTCCTATCGATATCTAGGGTCTCTTATGCCTTGGTCTCTGCCAGCCCACGCTTGTGTTCTTCAGGTATAGCAGGGTGTGTGCCCCCCTTTCCCAGGAAGAAATCAAACACTTCATAACTGGCAAACACAAACTACTTCTGTGAGTTCTCGGTAGGTGGAACTGGAGACTTTGAGCACGTTTCTTTATTGTAATCCAGTTGCTTTATCAAGGCATAATAAGGATGTTGGAAAAAATGTTCACTGGATATGGTTTTTGGAGAGAATGCATAAAATAGATATGAGTGAATCCTGTAGTGAAATGGTTGTGAATAATTTAGCCTTAGGAAGTTATGAGGCTGAAATAAAGAACTTCAAACAGTTCTGAAGTAGAAAAATCCATGCATTAAAATTGGTGCTGGATTGATTCTTCCATTTACATGGAAACTGAAACTAATAATCCTGATTTGTTCTAGTGCTTAATGTCAAAACAAACTTAAGATGCTAAAATGCCCCTCACCAACAAATTACATCAAAACTGTCAAACTTTTTATGGTTTATTTAAAACAAAATCTGATTTTTTACAATCTCAAAGTACATAATCATGGTTCATGAGTTCAGGGTTGGAAAATGAAGTATTGGGTAAATATGAGGATGTAGTTCTTTACACAGAGTAATCAACAACTGGGTTACTGGAAAGAGTGCCTGAAGCTCAGGCACACCCCATTTAAGAAACTGGTGATGCTGCAATTGAAAGATGGATGGGATGATATTCTGGATGCATATGTTCTAATAAGCTATAGGGCCTTCTCTGTCTAATCTTGTAAAGTACATTTGGGAAGTTGCTGATAGTCAACAACTCCATCTTTAAAGTTTTGACAATGGTTAGTTCCAACTCATCTATCATGAGTTTTATCCAGATTGATTTGTTTTTTCTGACCACAAGATGGCATCTTCAACTACTGACTTCATTTTCAGCCATTCTAAGAATTTGTTGACAAACTTTAAGTCATGCTTGCAATAGAATGTCAGAATTGAGTCATCCTTGTGTGGTGTTCTCAGTAGTCCGGTACCTAAGCAAAGGAGGTCTACAATACTCCAAGGCACTCTGATGACAACTAGATGTGCAAATTCTTCCTACTCAGTTCCTGTTAACCCAGCAAACCAAAGTCCAAATGGGTAGAGTGATCCTAACTGGACAAAGCAGGAATACAATTTCTGGAGGGGTCTTATCTGCCTGTTCAGGTGGATGTTAAAGATCCCATGACATTGTTCAAAAAGAAGGGAATTTCTCCAAGTGTCCTGACTAACCAATCCCCCAAATAAAATTGGTCATTCATTTAATGCTAATTGTGGGTCACTGCTGTGCACAAATTGGCTGTCCCATTGGCCCACAAACACATAGTCTCTTCACTTCACAGTTTATCCTCTGAAGCTATTTGGGCATTTGGTATAGTGAAGAGCACTACAAAATGCCAAGGATTACTACCACTTCCTAGAATTGGGAAGGCAGGGTGTGTCCCTCCAGGGAGAGAATAGACATTCCATTGCAGATGCAGGGAGACGTAGCGTGCATATTGGCACTCTTCCTAATTTGGATACTTTAAAGCATGGTGATGGGTTTCTGCACCTGTCTGATCCCCCCCAAAAAATCCATGGTCTTGTATACCTCTCCTGATCATTCTGGTGCATTTTTTNCTATTAGTACCATATTTAATCTTCCTTCTGCTTGTAATAACTTTCCCTCCCATTTATTCAATGAGATCTTTTCAACCTGTACGTCATGTCACAATCTTTCATTTCAAGGTGGTCTTTGTCATGCCTTCTTCTAGTGCACGATGTGCACAGTTTCCCCGAGCCCAGGACAAGGTACATTACTATATCAAATTAAAGGAATTGCGGAATCACTTGAGAGGCGTTAAAGCTCACACAGAGGTGCAAGAAGTTGAATATTCATTTGATCTGAAAAAAGCTCAAGGTGGGTAGTCTCAAGTTAATTCCCTTCCATTTCAAGCTTGTTTGAATTGTAAAGGGGAGGGGAACGATTACCCACAGCTTTATTTTCCACTTTCACGTTGGATAGGAAAATGTACTATTTTCCATAATTTCTTTTAGTGGAAAAATAACTATGGTTTAATCCTTATACAAATAGTTCTGACGACTACATTTTGGCCGTTCACAGATTCTAATTCGTTAATTTTCACTCTTAGCTCTTAGAAATATGTGTGATTGCTGAATTAAATGTTGATTCGAGCCTGTTTGGCTGCCGCACTTTTAGAAACCATTCTCAATGGTGAGTTAGGAAAGTAAAACTATAGCCGCAACATCAATGATTAAAATATCCGCAAGTCAGTCTTGTCAACGTGGATGGGTGCCTTTTGTTTTGGCTGAGATAAAAGTAGTTTGTTTACCAGTGAACTGTGCCATCTTGGTTTGTTTTAAGTGTCTAATGGGGATTGTTTTAAAAGCTATTTCATTATATAAAGTGCCTTTATGTTAATCGACTTTTAATTTTCCATTCCCCTCAGAGGATGCCAAAAGGATGGCAGTCAAGAGGAAAAATATGATCCTGGTTATGAAGCTGCTTATGGAGGCAAATATCTTGACAAATCCAATGAGAGTAATGGCCAGTGTAATTTCTCAACAACTGACCCAGGTAAAAAAAAACTTCTTGTCCAGGTAGAAGCGTTCCTATTCTTGCATAATATATGCCAATTATTTGTTCATATTATGTTCTTAGTGTGATTAGAAGCCAGTTATCACTATATTTAAAAAAAAAGCTCAGAAAGTCATGGTAACTTGGATAGCTACTACTGCTTTACCAGGCTCAGACTTTAAATCGTACCAATCAAGGAGGCTGTGGTTAACAAATACAGGAGAGGTTTGCCTTCAAAAAAAGTTCAAATCTTCCATTTAACTTTTTGTTTAAAATGAGTTGGTCTATTGTGGTATAAACTGAAATTGCATTAATAGACAATAAGTTTAAATTTAGCCTACAAATATACAATCAAATCTCTTTACAGTATATTCTGTGAAGTGCTTCGAGATGTCTAGAAGACTTGAAACGCACTAACAAATGCAAGGATTATTATTATTAAGTCATATACTTATAATTGATCTAAAAAGAAATAGTGTACAGTTGAATTAATGTATTTTAATCATTAGATGTATGATATACAGATTATATTATGGAGCCTTTTTGGATGTGATTGTATAATGTATCCTTCAACCCATGAACATTTGGAATGGGTAGAATTTTTATGTATCCAATTGTATTCTTTCTAAGGATTTTGTAAATAAAAAGAGTATGATAGTTAACTCTTAGTGAGATTACATGCATTGATTTACCTCTATTAATCAATCCTACAATCAAATTACCATTAAGATATTACTTTCACCTGAATTGTACAAAATTGTCAGCAATGGAGTTTGGTTTTACCTCTTGGTCTGTTTACGGTGACCTTTTCCCTCGCTGAATGTCCAGCACCATCCTTCAAACTATATCCTGCATGAAAGGCACTGTGTAATTTCAAGGTGTTGTAGATTTCCTTTCAAAATTCTAGTTTCTTTCACCAAAGAGTGGCTAATATGTTTCAATGAATATATAGTTTGCACATGGTAGTATACAAAACTTGTGAGGGAGTGCACATTTGGCATTCAAAATGTTTCTCCATGTATTTGTGGGCACATACTGTAAATATCTGGCATAAAATTCCACATTTACATCTGACACTAATGTTTTTAAAAATGTGTACTTCTGTTTGGAAAATAACACCAGAATAATTGAACTAAACTGATTTTTTTTTCTTTCTCAGCCGCAGCCACTAATTCAGAGTTCAGTGCTGGCTCAACATTTTGCCAGGTTCCTGATGGACAATGGATGACTCAGTGTTTTGCAGATCAGATTCCCTCAATCAATTACTCTGCACAACCGCAAGCCGAAAATAGTACATAATGTGTTTACAACTTTGTAGAACTGTGTTTTCATGCAGTCTTAAAGTATTGTACCTCAGTTTCTGAACTGAAGCAATTTATGTGATAGCTTTTTTTGATATGTTTTAATTGTAGAATTGTGTAAAGATAATTATGTAGTAGAGTTCAGAAAGTTTTGAGTTCTGAAACTTTTAGAATGAAACCATGTCAAATATTTATAGGTCTTTTTTGGAGGGCGTTGGCAGGAATAGGTTTTTTTGTTTCAAACAAATTTTATACTCTGGTCAGGTGCTTATCTTATTCCTGTAATTTTGGAAGTTAATTGGATTGCAGTTTTTTAAGAGCTAATTTTCGTAATAAGACATGCTTTCCGCTTAAGTACCTGTATTTATTATTGTAGGAGGGATATGCAGATATCATTTGCCATTGGGTCCAGTGACGGTATATAGACCCGGCCACTGCCTTTTATAGTTATTGGTGCTCGATCTACATGTAAATGAGAGTATTGTTTTTCTTTTTATGTGAGTCACAGAGCAAAAGTTGTAATTCTGCATCTGGATACTGATATCATATGTAGGAGGGCAAAGGTCACTCCTGGAAAACAAAACTTGCACAACGGTTTTAACAATAAAAATGGAAGGGTTTATTTTGAAAAGGGAATTTTTTAAAAAATATATTTACCAGTTGAAAATTATTTCACTTTCCTCATGAAAATCCACACCATTTCTGTTACTCGCTGTGCTGCCTTGGAGATTGATACGAGGCAACCTCCATATCTTCCTCACTGACCTCCTCTCCTGAAAGCAGAGTCTGAACCTTCCTCTGAAGTTTCATATGATGTTGACTTGTTGGGTCCCCCTACCTACCTGCCTGTACCCTCCATTCTTCTGGCTCCGGTCTGCTCCACATCCCCCGCCCCAACCGCCCCACCATCGGTGGCCGGGCCTTCAGCCTCTCAGCCCCTAGGCTCTGGAATTCCATCCCTCAGTGCCTTCGCCGCTTCCTCCCTTTCCTCCAAGGCCAGTCTCAAGACCTTTCTCTTTTACCGTGCCTTCAGCTTCCCTCTCGACTCTCTACCCCCCCCCCCACCTTCGCTCCCTCCCTTCGCTCCCCTCACCCTGACCATTTCCCCCCTGCTCGGGTCCTGAAACAACTATCCAGCGCCTTGGGACGTTCTCCCGATGTGAAAGGCGCTCTATAAATGGAATCTTATTGTTAGTCACCTCCCCAGGTTTCAGTTCTTCCATCCCCAGCCGCTCTTCCTCCTTCTGCTGCTACTGTGGTTTCTTCCCCTCTTGTTGCAGCATTTTCTGTGGGACCGTCTGTTTTGCCCCTGTCATCTCCTGCCTCCCCTGGACCGTTGCTGCCTGCATATCTGCTCCCCACAGTGGCTTTCCCATTCTTTACATTATCTTTCTGCCTTTTCTCTGCTGCTTTCTCACCACAGCAGCTTTCTCTCTTTCCTCCGCCATCTACTCTGTTTTCTCTCGACAGACTGCACTTGGGTTTCCCTAAACCATGAGAAACCCAGCCCTTTCTCTGGCCTCCTTGGGGGCCTGGCCTGATTAAAATTCCCCTCGCTCAGTCTTTGCTCTTGTAAAAAGTACTGACTCAAAATATGACCATAATCTCTCACTCAAGAAATCCGTGCCTCAGTCGTCTCCAGACTCTTTAGTTCTCACCAGCTTTATACTGATGCTCAAAACTTGGTGTCAAATTATTGTTTAGGGCTGTAAACTCAAAACCAGCCAGCCCTTGTCAGCTCCCTTGATTATGGCACCATTTTACCAAGTTGCACAATAAAAAAACAATGCATTTTACATGTAGGTTGAGCGCCAAGAACGATGATAAGCAGTGATTGCGTTTATCCCCTGTCACAATTGTCATGAGCCCAATAAAGATTGGATTAAATCTCATTGAAATAGGAGTAGTAAGGGTGAGCTGAAAAAAGAAAAATTGTATCAACGTACTTTGCAGTAAGTGTAGCAATGACTAATGTGGAGGATTGTTGGTAGCTGCAATAATTTGTTTTGAAAAAGGACATCATTGGGATCACTGAATGGGTAAAAATAGCGTAGAAAATACATCGACCAATACGATCCCAAAGTTTAGTTTCTGGTTTGTGCTGAATTAACTTGACTTAGTTGGTAGCAGGCTTGCTTTACAACAATTTACTTTTATTTTCAATTATAATAGCAAGCTCAGTGCTGTGCGTATTAGCATTTTTATCATTTGCTCCGGTAGTGGTTTCAGTAAAACCTTTAGTATGCAGCATATAATTTACTATGATTATTTTATTGTGAAAGACAGAACTAGTTTGTGAATGCAAGTCTGTTCATGAAAATTTCATGAACACAACAACATCAGAGGAGTTTCAGTTCTTAGTTTAGTTTTTGCATAATGTGCTCTTTTTCCCACTCAGAGATGACTGAAGTCTTGTAGAGCCGTTTTGCTCTTATTGATAACTTCCAACTTTTGTTACGTCTTACTAAAGGACCAGAATGGTGCTGCAATGTTGAAAAATAGTACAATGCCAGAGATGATGGTGTTTGAGTACATTTCTCTTAGCAGAAATTATATTCATATGGCTTAAAAACAATTGGCTTTGCTGCAAGAAACTGAGCCAGAGAATCTAATTTCTTCAGTACATCTGTGTAGATTCTCTGGCCTCATTAATAGCATTTGTATCTGGCACATTTCAACTATCTTGTAAAGTTTTACATTTTATTTGTATGAAGTATTCAATTTTTAAGTGGGTTTGAAGCATTTTTGCTTTTGTGCCTGAAAGATGGTTCATTCAGATTATTTAAAGCAAATTATGTGGAAGATGTTATTTTTAAGTAAAACATCTACAATTGTAGTTCATACTGTATACAACTATTTCTCCTTCCCAACTAACTAAGTAACAGAAGTGTTTTTAAACTTCTGGTAAGAAGTTGACTATATGAAAAGCATTACTATATAAAAACAGATCCAAGTTATTTCTATGGGTCTTTGCACTTAAGAACTTAAACTGGGAAAAGTGTAACTTGCTGTAAAATCTTTTACTCTTAATTATGACATCCTACTTTGTGATTGCCTTACAGATGAAACTATTTTAATTAACTAGTGTATGTATTGTCTTCAATAATTTTGTAGTACTGTATGTCTTTAGTCACTTCAAGCTGTTGCACACACAATACGTTTCAGGGTTGAGAGTATTTTGCATGAACTGATAATTTGAGATGGGGATATCCAAGTAAATTCACAATTAAATGTACTCATACTTGAAGATAGGTGGGTAGCTCCTGGAATCTTTGAAATTCTATAATGTTTTTGTTTACTGTCTAAGGACCAAATCTGCACAGTCTTCTTGCAGAAGAGCTGGTTCTGATATCTGGAGGGGGGAACTCAATAAAATTTACGACATTCTTTTAACTTGTGATTGAAGTTTGTGTTTTACAGTGAGATTAATGTTTTTTTNAAAATCTTTAAATAGTTAAATGAGATCTAAGAATTAAGGCATTCATTCTTGAAAGGTTATATCCAATAGTGGTTGCACAATTACACAAGATGTACTGCAAAGTGGTGTGACTGTATTTTGTGGGCAAACACAATCGCCAGTGTGCGCATAACATTGTCCCACGAACAGCCATGGAGTACGTATTTTCCTTTCCCAAATTGTTTGCCTCTTCTCTATATTAAAGGTTTTGCATTCTTTAATGTATGCTAAGTGGTCACAAATGGATGTTACAAATTATGCTCTATACAACCTATTAAGGTTGTATTAAGGTTCTATTAAGGTATTTAGCCCTATTTATGTAAAATAATATAATGGTGGACACCAAGCAAAAAGTAGAGAAAATATATAGGTGACCCACAGCATAGTTGAAGAACTTCATCTTTAGAAAACATTTTTTAAAGCAGAGGGCTGTGTATATTCATTCCACTACATTTTATATAATTCAAAATATTGGAAAGTAGTCATTCAGACTCTTTGCATTTCATTACTTTTTATACGTTCTAACTGAAATACACTATTGTGCAAATAGTCATGTGCAGAAAATTGCAAATGTAATTTGTTCTAGTCATCTGATTTTGTTTTTGCAGAAGTTGAAAAAATCCCGTGCTGAAAACAGTGAAGATTTATTGTAGTTGTCAGAATGAATTATTTTCTGATGCAGAATGCTTTGACAGAAGTCATGTCTTTGCTTAATCCATTACTTTTTTGTCTGTTAAATTTGACACTATAAAAAAACAAGATGGCAAAAAAATGTACATTACAGATATCAACAGCATTATTTTAGCTGCATCACACCAATAAAGCGTGTTGAATTTGAAGAATATATGAAGTCTTCCAAACCTAGGTTTATACTGTGAGTGTTAGATGTTGGGTCGGACAAGCCGAAATGTTTCTGTTGGATCAGGAAGATACCACCTTTCCCATAATTCCATGTGTGCAGCAGGATAATCCCAGGGTTTAAATCGTCCATTCCAATGCAGCAGTTTTGCTTCAGAAAGGAATCGTTCTGAGTATCTTGTATCAGGACTCCACCCTACAAAACATGATGGAAACTTATTATTCAAAAAATATATATATTTAAATATTCTGTAACTGCAATTAAAGGATTCCAAATACCAGTATATCCTGAATTTAATAAAATCGCTAATCTCTAATGCTAATTAATATTAATCCTTAACATATTAAAAACAAAGTTATCTTTTGTTCAGAGTCTTTACTAAAATTTAAATGCTGCTGGGGCAGGTGACAACCACATAATATTTGATATAAATCCATAGTAATTGTCCAATGTAACGCATATATTACAAGCATTTTTTGTCAGATCTCAATTATTTTTATTCTAATCTCAAAGTAGATATATGCTAAAAACTGATTTGTTTCTCTTAAATTGATATATAATGTTTAAGATCAGTGGTTAAAGCAATTGCCTCGCCATCGAGAAACCTGGGTTCAATTCCCGGCAGGACGAAATGTGGGGCAAGTCTCCTTAATCCACAAGCCTCTGTTTACCTACCAGTAATTAGGAACCCAGCTGTTAGTCAATTGGCGGATCACTTTTCCGGGGATAATAATCCCTCAAAAAACTAATAATTTGGTTAATCAATCCGTGACTGTTTGTGGAACACTGCTGTGCGCAATTGGCTGCTGTGTTTTGCCCACAAATATATAGTCAATTCATTTTACAGTATATTCCGTGAAACGCTTTCAGACATCTAGAAGATGTGAAAAGTGCTATATCAAATGCAAGGATTATTATAAATTCAAACTGGTTAAACGATTGCTGGTTGTATTGCCATGCACATAGTTCTTCCTCTCTAGTGTATTTTAATTCTGACCTAGCAAAATGTTAAATCCTGTTGAATTGCATTCATCATAAATACCCAGTGAAATGCAAAGGATTCAAGACCTAATTTCCTGCACTTGTTTCAAATGCAGTACAAAGTGCACATTCTATACTTCATTAATGCAGTTGTTAATGTGTATGTGGTGACTGGTCAAGAACTTGTTTCCTGTGTTTGTTTCAAGTGTCGCTAACATCATTTCCTGGGCTCTGCAGGAAACATGGCAATAGCACAGCAACTCACAGGAAGCAACAGCATTGGTGACCTGATAACCTGGAGGTTGGCCATTTTACACATTCAATTAAACGCTGCCTCTGAGTTACTGACCACAATAGTTATAAAAATGATAACTAGGCAGTTCCTGTCAGCTTTTGACTGCTTCCTATGATGATATTTCAGAAATGTTCCTTAGATTACAGAGACGCATTATTTTAAAACCATAGCTGCAGAAAAAATTAAAATATGTGACATATAATTTTAGTCCAACCACTCAAGCTATATATGTAAACTTGCATAACTCACATCAGTTGGGACCATAATGTTTAATATGAGTTACGGGCAAACTCACATAAGTTGTTTCGGCCGACTTAATACGACTTACCAAGTTAAGTTTGTCTTTTGTAACATGATGATAGATCAAGACCTTGTTACCCGTGGTGAAGGTGATCCTTGTGAAATTACATCAAATAACTGGTGTAACAGTAAGGATTTTGACCCTTTTCATTAGTAATCAGCAAATCATATTTGCCCATTTATCATTTACTTTATACATGTATTTGATCTATAAACTAGCTGAACAAAGCTGGAAATGTGCTCTTACCAAGGTGTCTAATATGCCATAAAGGGTTCAAAGAGGAGTGTTTCCTATGAAACACTACTAACATAGGGGGCGTGACCACACCTCCAGCCAATGCACTGTTGTACAGGTTCTCCCTGTGAAAGAAAGAGAAGCCCTAAATGAGATTCTAGACGTAACAGTCTTACATTTTTAATATAAGTTTTCGATTGGGAAGGTTTCCTCCAACCACTTTATTTAATGATAATAGTTTGGTCGCTCAATCCACGAGTCTTTGTAGGACACTGCCGTGCGCAACTGTTGCCTCATTTCGCCCACAAAATACAGTCGATTCACTTTATAGTATATACTGCGAAGCGCTTTGAGATGTCACAATGACCTGATGAGACACTATATCAAATGTAAGGATTATTATTTATTATTATTTTATGTTTTAATGGCCTAAAAATGTGACTATTTAACTCCCAATAAATATGTTAGTGCAACAAAATGAAAACCAATACCAACAGAATAAATAGAATGCCACCCTTTCTGACTGGACTCTCAGATCTCCTAAGCATTGTGGCAGAGGCTTCATTTTGTTCTTTGTGCACAACAATTTATTGTGGCCCTGGTTAAAAATTAGTTTAATGTTAAAGTATATAGAAAGCACATGTGAAAACAGTACGCTGTGATTTGTGGCCGGTGAAAAGACTGCTGCAACCTTTCATTTCAAATGTGAGGGCACAGATAAAAAGCAGAAGGGTCAATTCAAAGTCTAACTTTCGGATTAAGAAAGCGAATCATAAATGATGAAAGGAGATGTCACTGACACATCTCCCATGTGAGTGTGTTTAAATCCTAACAAGCAAAGGTCATAAGAAAATCAAAATAGTCCAGGCTATTTCACTGCTAGAGAGTTGGTTAATAATCAGCGAAACATTACCGTCAGTTCCTGAAAGGGATCTGAGTTTTGACAGTGAACAACTACAACAACAAAATTACATTAAGATCTTAAGCTTTGGATATAGAAAATTAATATGTTCTTGACACAGTAGGTCTATCTTCTGAGCTACTGACCACACATCTCTGAAGATCTCTTTGCATCTTTGCCCATCAGAGGCAATGTTGAATAAATATATACATGGTCTATTGATAATAACTTCAAGTTTATGACAATTGACTTACTCTACGTTTAATAGCAGCCATTTTTCCAACTGCTTAGTAATGCGTTGTCGTTTCCATTCAGTCACATTTGCAACAAACACACCAACATTAAAGGAGCACGTGGTAGGATTTATCCCCAAATCTCTGACTGTTGCCCTTCTGTAGTCCTCATTTCGCCCACAAAATACAGTCGATTCACTTTATAGTATATACTGCGAAGCGCTTTGAGATGTCACAATGACCTGATGAGACACTATATCAAATGTAAGGATTATTATTTATTATTATTTTATGTTTTAATGGCCTAAAAATGTGACTATTTAACTCCCAATAAATATGTTAGTGCAACAAAATGAAAACCAATACCAACAGAATAAATAGAATGCCACCCTTTCTGACTGGACTCTCAGATCTCCTAAGCATTGTGGCAGAGGCTTCATTTTGTTCTTTGTGCACAACAATTTATTGTGGCCCTGGTTAAAAATTAGTTTAATGTTAAAGTATATAGAAAGCACATGTGAAAACAGTACGCTGTGATTTGTGGCCGGTGAAAAGACTGCTGCAACCTTTCATTTCAAATGTGAGGGCACAGATAAAAAGCAGAAGGGTCAATTCAAAGTCTAACTTTCGGATTAAGAAAGCGAATCATAAATGATGAAAGGAGATGTCACTGACACAGGTTTGAAATAACCATAAGAATTGCATTGACAGCAACATTCCATGTATTAGTGAACTCTGTCATCCTCTTTCTGGACAGAGTAGATTGGAGCATTATCTGAAAAGTGTAACATTCAGGTAAGGAGAAAGATGACTTTCTGTATCCCGAAAACATGAAAAAATGCACTCGCGTACTATCTCCAGCTTTAAACAAGAACCCATGACCTGCAGGCCGGTGTTTATGATTATGTGGAAAATTTACTGAGCGCAGTTTCAACTGTAAATGCATGATCTCCCATGTGAGTGTGTTTAAATCCTAACAAGCAAAGGTCATAAGAAAATCAAAATAGTCCAGGCTATTTCACTGCTAGAGAGTTGGTTAATAATCAGCGAAACATTACCGTCAGTTCCTGAAAGGGATCTGAGTTTTGACAGTGAACAACTACAACAACAAAATTACATTAAGATCTTAAGCTTTGGATATAGAAAATTAATATGTTCTTGACACAGTAGGTCTATCTTCTGAGCTACTGACCACACATCTCTGAAGATCTCTTTGCATCTTTGCCCATCAGAGGCAATGTTGAATAAATATATACATGGTCTATTGATAATAACTTCAAGTTTATGACAATTGACTTACTCTACGTTTAATAGCAGCCATTTTTCCAACTGCTTAGTAATGCGTTGTCGTTTCCATTCAGTCACATTTGCAACAAACACACCAACATTAAAGGAGCACGTGGTAGGATTTATCCCCAAATCTCTGACTGTTGCCCTTCTGTAGTCCAGATGTCCCATATACGTGTTCTGGAAGGAGAATATTTTGATTTGTAGTTAGATTATCTCTACAATTGATGTGTCATAAACACTTGTACTTTTACGTACATAAGGCATGCAGGCTACAGGAAGTAAGTTTGTAAATAAAAGTACATTTTAAGTATGGGTGCATGCTTTACTATCAAACATACCAATTTAATTTTAGATTACAAGCATCACCTGCATTCCCATACTCCTAACCATCTCGTGGGTAGAGGTCATATCACAATCCATTGAGAAGGCAGCAGCGTGGCCTGGGTGTAGGATGGACTCATACAAATCCTGGACATCACCTGTTAAATGCAATACCTCTATTCAAATAGCAGGACTATACTAACTGAGGAACAGTATTAGTGTTTCATGGGGTGGTTGGGGGGGCATCAAATTTCGATTATTTCTTTACATGATTCCTTAAGGAATCCAAGTCATGTAAGTCATGAAAACTCCCAGTCATCTACCTTTGGGACGCTGGGTTCGTACGGGGCTCAAGTACAATGCCAGCATTTAGTCTGAAACACTTGTCAGCACAAAATGAAAATTCATGTACCTTGTATAATAACATCGTCATCCAAGTATATCACTTTTTCATGATTATGAATAAGAAGTGGAATAAAATATCGGACAAAGTTTAGCTGAAACAGAAAAGGATTTGGTGAAGACACAATACTTCAAGGAAATGGGGAGGCACTTCTGTGTTCAAATAGATTGATTCTGATAAACTTACATCTCCTTCGCTAAAAAGCATTCTGTAATCAATCTAAACAGAAAATATTCAACAAAATATATTTTTTCTTAAGAGATTACATTCTAGAATTTGCTGTTTTCCTGAGTTTAACTAAAATTCTTTAGAATATAATGTAGATAGGTTTGACTGTAAGTCTTAAGACTAATATGTAGCTAGGTCTGATTATATGTCTAGACTAAAATGAAGCTAGTTTTCACTGTATGTCTAAAGACAATAATGTAACAAGTTGTTGATAATGCTTCTGTAGAATATAAAGTACCAGCATGTGCAAAGCATTCAAAAATGGGAGTATTTGGAGGATCAATCAAGCATTTCATACAATGGTAGTCAATAAGATAGTGAATTGGAAATGTAAGATCAGATTTATCTGTCATTAATTGACAGAGAACAAATAAAATATGCGAAGAACCATTTTTTAATAAACTATGATATAATAGATACAAGCCACAACTAATACACACCGGCTGCAGTAACTCTGGTCTGGCAGAGTCAGGTCTGATCTTCCCTTTCAGTACAGCAGGATTGAATTCCAGTATTTTGTACTGGATATGTTTCAGTTTGGTATTTTCAATCCATTTTCTAAGACAAAAAGCAACACAGATGGGAATCACCCACATATGGTTAATGGTATTTTGTCCTGCAAACAAGTTATGAGCAGAGGTGACATGTCTCACTGCTTTAGAGTTGTTCATGCAATCTCACTGAAACATTCTAAAGGGTAAGAGTTTCTTTCAAATTCATTAGTTATGCACAATATTTGGAAGGGCATATAGTTTTTTTAAAACATATATATAAATTGATTACAGATGAAACGAAAGAACACTTAGAAGGGAGTAATTTCTCTTTGGGGAGGACAAGTTTGCAGGCTATGGGGAGAGCGCGGGGGAGTGGAATTGATTTGGATAGCTATTTTAAAAGTGCTGACACAGTCACAATGGGCCGAACGACCTCCTTTTGTGCTGTATAATTCTATGATTCTATGAACATTGCCCCAGTTATATTGGAAATAAACATTCCCATAATGTCAACAAAGAAATGGATATGAAAAGTGCATCACCTGATATGAAGAAGAGAGTCACTAAGTGCGATTATATAGAAAAATATCCTGGCATTAGTGTTGCTGTAGATGCTGTTGATTGTAGCTATAGTACCTCCCATTCGCTCTTCTGCAGCACATATTATAATAGGAATAAGATCTTCTGAAGAAGACTTCCTCTGTTTGAATGTATGGATTGGGTTATGGACAGCTGGAGAGTTATCTGCGCCAAAAGCATAGAATCAGTTTCATTAAATGCAATGAGGAATAAAGATTCATTTCAGAATTATTATCCATCAAGTTATAACCATATACTAAATATTATGCCACTTTTTGTAAATTGATTTTTGCCCTTTATTTTAGGTCTGTGACACTCAGCAATCTCCAGACTGAGAAAGATAAAAGGAATTCTGTATACGGAATGCAAGCCCACATCACTCCAATCTATGAGAAAGTCCAAATTTGGGTCACTCTGCCTCTTGGCTATTCTTCTTCCAGTTATACATACAAAGTAAATATCTTCAAATGGGCACTGAAAATGATTTAGGAAGAGTTACCAGGGATATGCTGTGATTTAGAGCTTTACGTGGTGAATATTCACTGAACCAATTGTTGAAATATACCAACTACAACCTCAGGAAACCTTGGGTATATTTCAAATAGCAACTAAATGTTCCGCAAGGTTTGATAGTTAAATGGTTAAAAGTAGCTTTGCTGGACAGGCTGAGATTATAATAATAATAATCCTTGCATTTGATATAGCGCTTTTCACGTCTTCTAGACTTCTGATTAACATTTCATATTTTCCTGGGAAGATGTTCACTCCTCTGAGATAATGAGCAATCGGGTCCTTGAGCATAGATGTAAGAACAATGGACCTCAGAAAGAAAAGGCTACAGCCTCAGACACCTGCCATCTCGAGGCTGAGAAACTAGCAGGTTGTGGAAGGCTGCCCAGAAGCTGTCCATATCTCTCTCTCTGTGCAAAGCAGCCTGCGAAGGGTGGGGGCTATCTCTGTGACAAGGGGAGGTGGAGTTAGAAACACATAAAAGAAAGATGTAACTTTGAAATAGTTGAAGTTGTGTAGACGGTCAGTGCACTTCCCAGTGGAATCAATATCGATTCTACTGTATCTATGTTTATGTACAGGGGTGAGGGAATTTACCTCCAGTAAGAAAGCGACCACTAAAAATGAAAGAGAAGGAATAGTGGGTAGTATGTTTTCAGTTCTGTTTGCTAGGCAGAGAAGTAATAACAGTAGTAGTGGTTGGTCCGTTTGAAACACAGAAGTCAGGTTAGGCAGCACGAGTGAGGTGCTGGGCTAAGAGCTGATTGTTTCTGTTGAGTTTACAGGAGCCACTCTCTGTGATTCTGTGTGATAGTTCTGTGATTAAGTATTGTTTTTATAGGTTCGGTTGTGTCCGAGGGTTTACCGGATGCCAGTCCCTATTACAGTTTGTATTATAGAATCAGTTGTCCCTGAGGGATTTCCAGGAGCTGATCTCTGCTGTGTACGTTGAGGTGCGTTCTCGGGCTTATTGTTTGGTCTGGAGTACTGAGCAATTCCTGAGTGCATGCTGTTGTTTCTCAATTATTTGATTTGTATATCTGTGTCGTTGTATGGTGCGGACTATTGTGTTTTTTTATGGTTATAACAACAACTTGGATTTATATAGTGCCCTCCACGCCGGACGGCGTCTCAGAGCGCTTTACAGTAACGGATCCCGGGACTAAGCCAGGGGGAGGGGGGGGGAAGGTGACCAAAGGAGCAGTCGAAAAGAAAGGTCTTCAGAAGAGACCTGAAAATGGGAAGGGAAGGGGCGAGGCGAAAGGAGTGAGGAAGGCAGGTCCAGAGCCTCGGGGCATAGTGGCTGAAGGCACGGCCGCCGAGGGTGGAGCGGAAGACTCGGGGGACGAGGAGGAGTCCAGATCCGGAGGAACGAAGGCAACGGGTCCTGTTTTGAGGAGAGAGGAGGTCAGAGAGGTAGGGGAGTGCAGAGGTGTGCAGGGACTTGAATACAAGGGTGAGGATCTTGAAATCGATCCTCTCTGGGATAGGCAGCCAGTGCAAGTATCAAAAGCCTATTGTAAACAAATTTGTTTTTATATGATTTGAATACAGATTGTTGAACTTTACAGTTTGTTTTATATATATATTTGATATTAGTGGAATAAACACTATACTCTTACCACTGCCTGTCGAATTATTAACACTATTTGCATTAAATCAATGTTTAACTGGAAACTTTATCCAGGTCTTTAAAAAGCTAAGAATAGATAATGATATAAGCAGGTATTTAAAGTGGAATGTGAGTGCAGAACTGTCTCTTAATTCCTCATTTATAAATGAGTAGGAAGATGGTACAGAAAAAAATATTTTTCTTTTCTCAGAGTTAAATATTTGGAACAAAAGAGGTTAATGTTTTACCAATTGATTTTCTCAAAACATGGCAGGGCAAATATCTGCTTTAGAACTTCTCCTCGTGCAGTTCTAACCATTTGGAGCATATTGCTGGATAATATAGCATATTTCTGCATAAAAATGTTAACATTGTATTTCATCAAAACATAACAGGGCAATTATCTGTTTAAGAATAGGACTGTCAGTTCTAAGGACCAAATTTGTGCTTCATGATCAAATTATATTCATAGATTCGCTACCCAAGTGTTCAATAATGTTGGATTGGAATCGATTTGAAATACTTTCTTTCTTGAAACATTCTCAGAATGAAATCCCTATCCCTTAAAAATATCAACGCATAAAATAATTTAATTGTGAACTTAAGTTTGATAGGCCAAATGGCCTACTCTTATTTTACAGTTTACAATGATTTTATTGAATGACAGAGGTATTGAAAACACTTACCTGACTGTACTGTCTGATGTGATGACAAGTTGTGAAATTTGTTATATAGAACCACACAAAATGTCACAATGACTAGTAAAAGCAGGCCTTGGTTAACTAGACAATATAAAAACACAAAATGAATCAACACATAGCAATGTTCTTCCACTTTGACAAATGAAATTCTAAAATGATGTTCAGAACCTCACAAATATAAAAAACCTATTGTAAACACATTTGTTTTTCAAATCAAATATTTTTCATTATTAAACAAACTAGAAAAGTTTTGTGTTTTTTCCCCACAGTGAATTTTCTCCCCTCTCATCCCTTTCTTTCCAGTCACCCTTCAATAACAAGTGGCTATTCTTCACTTGCATTTTCTTTCAATTTAATATTTTAACGCTAGGATAATATGGAATATCAAACTGTTTCAAATTCAACCCATTTATAGTTTCCACTCAATTCACTTTAGAAGCTGTGTATTTCATTTATCTTTGCCTTACCCCACAAAGACCGTTTTTACTCTCTTCCACCATAGGATAGTTTATATACAATACTCATACACACAATACTGCTTCATTCATTACTTACTTCTTCTAATAATTGACATTTTAGTTTCCTTTCACAATGGTGTGATCTGCAGGATATTAAGGCAGAGAAATATTTTAAGTAGTGCAGCTTATGTAACTGGGTGAAAAGCATTAGTTCAATAAAGTTTAATTGCAGCCTAACACAAATTGCATTTGCTTGCAGCAGAGTGTATTGCAATCTTGGTAGTCCGAGATTGAAATGTTTTCAATACCAGTCAAACATTGCTTTCTGGCAAGCTATGCATTTTTAATGAGTAAATGTTTTGTACTCAAAGCACATTTTCATGTTCTGGCAATATGATTATACCAAAAGTATTGAAAAGAATGTTTTAATAATATTGTTAGGATAGTGTTATTTCGTCAGCTATGTGTCTGACACACGAGGAAACCCATTACCATGCTTAAGAGTATCCTAAACAGACCTGAGAGTTCCAAGCATGCCACCTACACATGGATGTTGCCTTGTCTCGAATGGAATGGGATCTCTCTCCCCTGGAGGGATACACCCAGCTTACTCACCTTACCAGAGGTACTTAGGCACATATTGATAAGAGCCAAGGTTTGGGGATACCAGAGTGAACGTAGGGATACTGCTGGAATTTATCCAACTAAAAATGCACAGCTTGCCAGAAAGCAATGTTTGGGAATCTTTGTGCTTCTTGTCCAGCAAGAAACACCATACCTGTCAGGGCATTGGCTTGCAGAGTTAACAAGAGCAGAATGGGAAGAATCCCTGCCCTCCTTCTATCCCTCCAAGTCCTGCTGATGAGCCAGGATGACTGGTCTGTCATCAGCGGCGCCCTGGAGGTCTGTGGACTCACCTGGCTCAGTAATCGGATTACAACAAACAACAAATTACATTGCATTTGTATAGTGTCTTTCAAATCAGGAGGACGTCCCAAGGCGAAACCACCACAGGATTAATTTGAGTCCAATATTCCATTACCAAGCATGTCACCTTGGAGCCAGTTCAGGTCCAGGAGACCCCACTTACCCCCACCTCCCGAATAACCAAAATCAAGTATCACACACCACTTGACATTGTTGATTTCTTTGGTAAAACATATCACTGTCTAGCTTTTTGCATGTAGCTAGTTCAGATACAGAGATCAGCACTGCTTGTTGACTTTGCTTTGTCAAAGTATTCATCAAACAACCAGAAATCTGCCACTGCTCCCTCCCCCAGTGCGATTGATCCAGCTCTTTCTGAACTATTGGTGTGATATCTGCCCTCAGACCCTGGCCTCAACCAGTTATTAAGATCCATCCTATTATTTTTTTAACAGACAGAATCTTCAGTAAACACTGCTCATGAATAAACTTGTGAGTGAATATGCTGCACGCAGTGGCTTTTCAATTGAGTAGTGACAGCAATCATAGGGTTGATCTTGATCCCCACTGTGAGACTGGAATGCCCTCCTATTAAAGTGCCTAACAGATTGTTCTGTGTGCACCGAAGCTGTAACGAGAGGAAATGCCATTTAGAAACTTGGATGAACTTCCCTTGTGTCCTGGAGGTGACTGATGTGGGGTAGAATATTTGGCTGCTGACGTTAAGCAATGTATTGTGTCCAGTGACTTTACTTGAGCCTGTGTCTTGCTCAGCTCCACTCCCTGCTGGTGTCCCGGGCAGCCCAATGGTTCTGATCTCAAACTGAGTGTGTCAGCAAATAACTCGAGTGATAGATAGAGATAGACTAGATAGATAGGGTGGCGGAAGCCGGAATTCAAGGAGGTGACTGTACGGGGAGGGAACTAAATAAACAATGCAAGTACAGGCTGAGCTTGTTTGCATTCAAGCAAAGATTATTACTATTATTCTACATTCCGTTTACAATCCTTTGTTAAATGCAGACATTGCGGATCGTGGGTTAAACCCCACCAAAGCGTTATTCCACGTACCTCTGTCAGCAAAGCACTGCTTTCCAGATCCGAGTTGCAGAGTGGTTGCCAGATTTATTTCTGTCTGGTCTCTGATCAGCCTCTGAAAATATCTGCGCAAATTGCGTTGGATGAACTGCTTTTTGGGGGGGAAGGGAGAGTGGGGGGGGGGGAGGAAAGAAGGGGGGGAAAAGAGTTGAGATGGGAGAGTCGGTCAGCACCACGAAACAGAACAGTAGTGTGTGTGTGTGTGTTTTTTTCCTCTTTTGCTTTGAGGAATGCTGGCCTCTTTACACGTGAGCAACCAGAGATCTTGTGTAAATGAGGACCAGATGTCTCCCAAGCGGTCTCCAATTCCAGATCCACATCTTGCTTTTGCATTTTTTCTTTCCTTTCCTTTCCAGCATTCTGCAAATGCTACTCGGGATGTTTCAGCCGTAGGCAGGGATCTCGCAAACACACCCATCATCTCAAACCTCTCACTCTGTCCCGTTGTTTCCAGCGCCTTGGGATGTCCTCCCGATGTGAAAGGCACTATACAAATGTAATCTTGTTGTTGTTGTTGTTTAACTGTCTGTAAATCCACCCTTGCATCTCACCCATCCTTTTTGGGGGGAGGTTCGAGGCATGTTTCTCAGGGTTTTTTTGTATGAATATTTATCTGTTTCCACACTGGATTGAGATTGATTGAAATACGCAGTGGCTTACTCGACTTATTTACTTAGGAAGAGATCCAAAAACCACCATGGCAATCTTAAACCGTGGGTTAACATGGTAAAGTATGAAACACAAGCTTTACCACATTGTTAAATGATAATTTTTTTTAATTCTTGGATTTTCAAAAAAAAATTCTCGATGTGTTTTGTGGTTTTCTTTGGAGGGCATGTAACTCAAACTTAGTTAACCAGTCACTTCCCAACATGTCAAACAGGCATGGCGTTGCCCAACTTTGCAGCCAAACCAAACATGTATGTTCTGTGCTTTCGGATTCTCAAATTGGTTTAATGTTCCTTAGAATGAATAAAGCTACAAGGGAGTCTCATTTACTGGGCTCTCTCTTCTGTACTGGAACCACACCCATTGCTACTGATAAACATCACCTAGAGGGCTTTTTCACACACTCTGTTCCTGATGGTTGGGCGAGGTCTTATATAATAATAATAATAATCCTTGCATTTGATATAGCGGTTTTCACGTCTTCTAGATGTCTCAAAGCGCTTCACAGATTAGAGTCTAAAGTGAATTGACTGTATATTTGTGGGCGAAACGCAACAGCCAATTGCGCACAGCAGTGTCCCACAAACAGTCATAGATTGAAGTGACCAATTTATTATAGTTTTTTCTTCAGGGATTATTATCAGGCGGTGGAGTAAGGAAACTTGCCCTGCCGGGAATTGAACCCAGGTCTCTCGTTTGCAAGGCGAGTGCTATAACCACTGAGCTACAAGATACCAAGGACTACAGTATTATTGAAAGAGAAAATCCTAGGCGGTCTGACACTTTGCAGCACTATCTATCGCTAGATTACGAAAGTTGTTGCTATGGTAACACTTGTTAAATCAAAGTCCCCTATTCAGAAAACCTGAAATTATTCCCAACTAAAAGGGGATTTTTTTTCTCATTTGTTTCTGGCATCGCTAGAGAGGCTGTCACATACTGTATACAGTATCTAGGGGTGTTATTAACATTGGCGTCCCATTAAGAGATTCATATATCATCGGAAAGGTTGACATTCAATTAAAAGATTCAGATATCATCAGAAACAGGTCAACTATAAACCACATGTGATCCTTGACTGATTTATTTGAACTTCAAGAGTTATGTTTTCGTGAGTTTTTATATTAGAATTTGCAATCTTTGGTTCATTTCTTCAGTTGCTGTTTGCTGCCAGGTTTATCACCATTTTTTGCCTTTGAGGATGCAAAGCTTGTTGGTGTAGTTTCACATTCATAGGAATATAGGAACAGGAGTAGGCCATTCAGCCCGTCATTTAATTAGATCATGGCTGATCTATATCCTTACTAGAGTTTCCAATCCAATTTCCCGCTTTCTCCCCATATCCCTTAATACCCCGACCTACCAAAAATCTGTCAATCTCTTTCTTGAAGGTGTGGATGAATCCAGTATCCACGACCTTTTGGGGGAGAGATTCCTACAAAATGCTTCCTAAATTCACTCTTAAATAGTCTGGTTCTGATTTTAAGACTTGTTTTGCATTCCCCCAACATAGGGTAGATGCAGAAAAGCTATTTCCTATCAAATCCCTTTATCATCCTAAAAACTTCTATGAAATCACCCCTCAATCTTCTAAACTTGAGCGAATACAATCCAAGTTTACACAGCGTTTCCTCATAACTTAACCCTTTTTGGCCTGGTAACATTCTAGTGAACCTGCGCTGCACGCCCTCCAAGGCCAATATATCTTTGCTGTGGTGTGGTCCCCAATACTGAATGCAGTACTCCAGGTGGGGTCTGACTATCGCTCCAACTGGAATACTATGAAGCAAGATCAAGGTTCTATGATAGCATTACCTAACAAGAGGACAATATTTGACTAAAATACACTTTATTTAAAAAAAATAGCACTAACATGTATATTAAAATGAATAGCCTTTTTAAAAAAATCTATCTCACTATTACCACTATAGTATTGGTAAAATACATAATTCGCTGTTCAATAAGATTTTGTCCTTGTGAGCACACCGAGTCATACTGAATGTGCAGGCTGCAGGCTCTCCTTGGTATCATATCTCTCTGTTTATTCATCCATTTCTCATTTATCTGATTATATACAGTATATTATTCCTGGTTATCCAGTTTAATGTTGATGTTGTCCTGATGCATTCATCCACACAAATGTGTGGCTGCAATCCCTCTCATGCATCTCCCTTTCTCTTTGTTCACTGAACCATTTTTTAAAATATATATATATTGCTCGCTGGAACGATTTATTATTGTCGGTGTTGAACCACTGCAGTGTGGAGGTTGCTCTGATGCATATTGACGATGTGATCAGTTTCACCGCGTCTCAGATTCACACTTTTATGGTGGTGATCGATTGCAGTGTTGCCTGTTGCCATGACACACACATGTGGTGGTGGTGAGCGATGGTGATCTATTAGTGTTGCCTGTTGCCATGATACACACATGTGGTGGTGATGGTGATCTATGAGTGTTTCCTGTTGCCATGATACACACATGTGGTGGTGATGGTGAGCGATGGTGATCTATTAGTGTTGCCTGTTGCCATGATACACACGTGGTGGTGATGGTGATCTATGACAGTGTTTCCTGTTGCCATGATACACACATGTGGTGGTGGTGGTGAGCGATGGTGATCTATTAGTGTTGCCTGTTGCCATGATACACACATGTGGTGGTGATGGTGATCTATGGCAGTGTTTCCTGTTGCCATGACACACACATGTGGTGGTGGTGGTGAGCGATGGTGATCTATTAGTGTTGCCTGTTGCCATGATACACACATGTGGTGGTGATCTATGAGTGTTTCCTGTTGCCATGATACACACATGTGGTGGTGATGGTGATCTATTAGTGTTGCCTGTTGCCATGATACACACATGTGCTGGTGATCTATGAGTGTTGCCTGTTGCCATGATACACACATGTGCTGGTGATCTATAGTGTTGCCTGTTGCCATGATACACACATGTGGTGGGTGATGGCGATCTGTCACAGCGTTGGCCGTCGGCACGACCCGCACGTGTGGGTGGTGGTGGGTGATGGCGAGCGATGGTGATCTGCGACGGCGTTGGCTGTCGGCGCCGCTGCGACTGATGTACGTACGGCTGTCGGTGGTGGTGGCGGCGGTGGCGATGGATGTGGGCAGTGATGTATGACAGTGTGTGTGTGGGTGTGTGTGTGGGTGTGTGGTGGGGGGGTCGCCCTCCCCTCCCCCCCTCCCGCCCCCTCTCCTCGCGCTGTGTTTACTGATCCGGGTCTCTGGGACAGGGCGGGAGGGGCGGGCGAGCGGCTGCCGCGGTGCACTCTGGGGAGGGTGTAGTAAGATGGCGGCTCCCTCTCCCAAATGGAGACGGGTAACCGGAGCAACCGGGCCGGTTCCGCGGCCCCGGCACGGTCACCGCGTCGTGGCGATCAAAGAGTTGATGATCATATTCGGCGGCGGCAACGAGGGCATCGTGGACGAGCTGCACGTCTACAACACAGGTCAGGAAAACGGCAACCGAGCGCCCGTCCGTGCCAACGCTCAAGATGGCGGCCGCTGCCGATTGGCGCCGAGCGGCGGAGTTTCAAAAAAAAAGAGAGAGAGAGAGAGAGAGCTGCCGAGCGGAGCGCGGGGGCCCGGCGGAGCGGGCGGGGCAACCGGGGCCGGGCGGCAGCCCGCGCACTCGGGGGTCGCTCCCGCTGTCAGCGGCGAGGCTGTCGTCGTCTGCGGCGCCGAGTTAGCGGCAGCTGTGCCGGTGCTGGAAGGAAAGGGGGAGGGGAGGAGGGAGGGAAGGGGGCGGGTGTCAGGCGCCGTGGGTCTGGGGAACGGGAACCCCGGGTAATCCCGTTCCCGGCGGCGGCGGCGGAGCGTCGCAGTTGCTCTCGCCGCCGCCGCCGCCGTCGCGACGGGCAGACGCCGGTGAAGCAGCGGCCGGTGGAGCTCGAGGCCGGGCCGGCGGGAGCGGAGGGAGGGAGGGCGGCTGTCAGCGCGGGTGAGGGACGGGGGACGGTGAACAGGAGAGTGGGGGGGGGGGGAGAGAGAGACACACACACACACCGCGCGGACAGTCACTCGGGGGAGGGAGGGGAGGGGGGGGTATGGTTAAGGGTTGGGAGTTCAACCCGAGCCCCGGACGCTCGATCCCTCCCTCCCGGTCGAGTCGCCTTCGTGGGCGGCCGTGTTTTTGTTGACAGTGGGCGGTGAAGGAGAGGAGGGAGTGTGGTGGGGGAGGGGGGGGGGAGAGGAGGAGGTGGGGGGGGGAGAGGAGGAGGGGGGGGGGGGAGAGAGGAGAGGCGGAGCTGCTGCGCTGGTGAGCTGTGAGCTGAGCCTCCAGGAGCGAGCGAGCGGCTGGTGAGAGCCGCGGACTCCCGGGGCGGCGCTGCTTGTTCTTTGTTTACAGCACTTCAGCCGCCGCTCCTGATCCCTCCTCTCTTTGCATTTCAATTCTCTTCGCACAAGCAAACAGTCCCCTCCTCCTCCTCCTCCCCTCCTCCTCCCTCCTTCCGTCCCTCTCTCTCTCTCTCTCTCCTTTTTCTTGCTGTCTCTATACATCTTTATATATATGTACCCACACACACACGCGCTACGCAGTACAGTATTTAAAAAGGGTATCAAAAATAAAAGCAATGTGCCTCCACCCAGTTTGGATCCGTTATTTGAGCTACGCTCCGCGAATTGAATGAGATTTGCACACACACACACACACACACACACCTTTCCTTGGCCGCGAAAAAAAATATTTTAGAATGACGAACCGGGCTGTCACATTGAGTTGGAGGGGGTGGGGGTCCATAATAAAAGATACAGTCGCGATCGCTTGCCTCTTTGTGCTTGTGGTAGTCGTTAAAGGACTTAATGTATTGTAGTGCACCGAAGCTGTCATTCATCACATTCTTATCATGAGAAATGCCACATTTTGTTTCGTATTTCGCCAGTTTTTTCCCCCCCCAAAAAAATATGCTTTTGAACTCTTGGTTAGAGGATCTGGTGTTTGCACAGGACGCCCTCTGCTGTGAAATGGTGCCGGAGACGTGGGGAGCACTGTACTACAGTGGTGGCTTTTTTCTCTCCTGTTCTGAGGCTGCGTTCTGTGGCTGCAAGAATTGCAGGATAACAGGGGAGGAGCTGACTTTCTGGAGCCGGTCTTCCCTCGTTCAGTTCTTCCAACCTGTTTTGATCCATGTATGGGCCTCCAGGAGCATTCCTGCACTTTGCACGCACTCATTCCAAGAGCCGAATGACTGTAACGTAGGGTTTGGTGATGTCATTGCAAATGTTACATCACGACATCCGGTGTCACCACAGATGTGTTTAGTGCTGGAATCAGCAAAATGATCCTACCATCTTTAGATCACTGCAGATTTTGTAATCCCTTTTCCCACTTCACCACATCCCTTTATCGCACTACTTCTCAAGCCTCGCAAGTCTTTTAAACGTTGTTTCTGCAACTGTGGACTTGTGAAGTAGAGTTCCACATTCTTCATTCATTTTCAGTGAAGAAGAGTTTTCTGATTTCACTTTATAAGTCCACAACTGCAATGATAGCATAATAGTAGGTATATTAAATGTCTTTTTTTTTAAAAAAAGAGCATTTTCTGATAAATCTGACTTTGTAAAGAAAAAAGTACCCATTTTTGGGTACTAGATATCAGATTATTTTTGTTCTTCTTTGCTTAAAGATCTTTTATAATGCACCATTTCTACTCCATGTAAAATTGTGACCGCTTGGACTTGTATGGCTCAATGACATACCAATGGTCCAATCAATTGGGTTTGTACATTTTTAATTCAACCTTTACTACATAATTCTTTAGAATTTTACAGATAATCAAGATTCTAGATGGTACGGAAAATATGTATTTTGAAAAATAAGGTGATTTTTGACAGGGAATGTATTTTTATTACTGCATTTAATTGCAGACAGTGAAGTGAATCAATATGGCCTTTGCTCAAAAATGTTATTAAATAAGTGAATGTGTTTCTAGCTCTTTAATAACATTTTAGAAAAAAATAACACCAGTATGATTCTGGTGAGCAGAATTATGTGTATGTACTCAGTTATGAATAACTTTCCGCAACCATGGTGAATGTGATTTTTTGAGTTGATAATATCAATCTTGCTTCACGCTCCAAATTGTTTTACTGCTGGAAGCAATTTAAAACTTCTTTCCTGCAGTATAAATGGGGTATAAAGAACCATTGTTTCGCCAATTTTAAGGATGATGAAGCATTCTTACAAATAGAAATATAAAATGGTAAAGTACATTCATTTACATTTAGGTTAGCTTATAAAATATAGATGTGTGCCTCGTAACGTTAAGTGCTTTATATAGTTCAGTGAACACTATCCTCCCCCCACCCCCCCACCCCTATTTTTTAACTCTTTTAATACAGTCACAAACCAATGGTTCATCCCTGCCGTTAGAGGGGATATCCCACCAGGCTGTGCAGCATATGGCTTTATCTGTGATGGGACCAGGATCCTTGTGTTTGGAGGAATGGTGGAATATGGAAAATATAGCAACGATCTTTATGAACTGCAGGTGAGAATTTATTGCAACTTGATTCTGAAAGGCAAAAATAATTTTGAATGAAATGCCATGATCATCAGTAATATGTAGCAGACTTCCAGTGGTCGCACTCTCTTCTCTGGGTTGGAAGGTTTACCTTCAATCCCCGTGTCAGGATTTAGAACTCATATAGTAGGCTGACACTCCAATGCAGTGCTGGGAGTGTACTGTTTATTGGAGGTGTCATCCTTTGGATGAAACATTAAACCGAAGTCCCGTCTGCCCGTTCAAGTGGATGCTAAAGATCCCATTGCATTATTCAAAAAGCTAAGGGAGTTTTTTCTGGTTGCCTGGGCAACAATCCCCCAAATAAAATTGGTTATTCACTTCATGGCTGTTTGTGGGATTTGCTGTGTTCAAAATTGGCTTTCGCATTCGCTTACAAAATGCACATGTGACAGTATATCCTGTGAAGTGCTTTGATACATCCCCTTCAGTGAAAGATGTTATATCAAATGTAAGTATAGGATATTCCTTTAAAAAGAAAAAGGCAATTAAGAAAGAGCCAGTGGATTAGAAATAGCAAGTATAAAAGAATCTTGGGAAGGGAACCAGCGTGTTGATTTATGGTTGGAGTATTGGATTATTGTGAGGTGAGATTAAACCATTTACTTAATCCCTACCTCTCCGAACTCCTCACTCCCCAATCCACCACCCGATTGGCACAGGCCTCCTGCTTTCCCTCGCACCCTCTGCCCCACCAGCGGAGGTTGCGCTTTCAGCCACTATGCCCCCAAATTATGGAAACTCTCCCCCAATCCCTCTGCCTTGACCCCTCCCCTTTTTCAAGTCCCGCCTGAAAACCTTCCTCTTCGACTGTGCTTATGGCTACCGCCCCCCATGGCTTGGAGTCAGGCTCCGCCACTGTTAAGCGCTCTGAGACACTACCCTGCATGGAGGGCGCTATATAAGTGCAAGTTGTTGTATACCAGAGTTGTGGATTGAGAATCATTACAATAAGGATTATTATTGTCAAAATTTTAACAGCTCTCATTGGATAGAAGTAAGAGAATTCCTAACCTCTTGTGCAGTATTACAATCCACTGAGTTAAACAGTTTATAGAATTTGTCAAGTAGAAGTAGTTTAGGAGGTTCATAATTAAATCACAATTAATCTCTTCAACTGTTTAGTATTTTGGATACAATATGAAAACAATGGAATAACTATAATTCCTGCCTGGCTTTGCTGCTTTTCTTATCTGATGGAATAATAATACAATACATTTTACATTTATATAGTGCCTTTCACATCAGGAGGACGTCTTAAAGCGCTTGACAAAGTTAGATAGGCACCTGATCTGAGGGTGGGGAAGGGAAAGGATAACTGAAAGCATGATTAAAGAGGTACGTTTTAAGATGTACATTGAATGACGGGAGGGAACAAATGAGTCGGAGGGACTCCAGGATAGAGTTCAGAGAGCAGGGTTCAGAATGTCTCAAAGGCAGCCCACCGATAGTGGGGCAGATACACTTGGAATCTACCATTGTCCAAATGCGTTTTCTTATTTATTTAATTGCAGACATTCTGGTGTGTTTATTACAGGCAAGCCGATGGGAGTGGAAGAAACTCAAACCGAAACCTCCTAAAAACGGTCCACCACCTTGTCCCCGCCTTGGTCATACCTTGTGTCTGGTTGGTAATAAGTGTTATTTATTTGGTGGCCTGGCCAATGACAGTGAAGACCCAAAGAATAATATTCCAAGGTATTGAGCTCTGTTCTGTATAATCATAGTAAATACTGTATTTTTTATTCCGCAATAATTTACTGGATGAAGCATCGTTCTAATGCCGATATTAGGAAATAACATTATGAGATACAGTACATAGGTAGTTCAGGACATATGTGCATGTGACCGCCAGGAAGGTGGAAGGCGAACGAGATGGACCTTGTTCTTTTCTTGTCTAGCATTTCTTATGTTCATTTGACCTTATTCTTTATTGTTAGACCAATTAGAAACAGCCTTAACACCTAACTCTATTAACATCACTGAGCTACTCAGAGCTGCTGGCAAAATTGTTACATCATTAATAGTTGGATATTAACAGAACTTTAACAGGATTTTTTTAATGTTGGTAAAGAGCAGGTTAGTTGCACGACCAGTTTAGCTAATGCATCATGTTCTGTGTAAGCCAGCAGAACTGGCTCGTCATAATGCATTTGATTTGGGAAACATTTGGATTCTATTTGCTTTTGCTACAGTAACTTTCCCACATGATGATGTGAGTGGTTGTGAAATTGCTTCATTATCTGCAGAGATAGGAGCATGCCTTGTGACTACCATGTTTGTTCACTATCCTTGTTTCCAGTACAGTGCCAGCAGTATTTTCTGTTCACCGTAAGCAGAGGCAGCATTCTGCAAACCATCAAGTTCAGTGGTGCTTTGTTGCCTTAGGCATTCAAAAGAGTGGAGTTTCATTAGGACTTTGTTGCTAATTTTAACAGTGCTATTTACGGAAAAATAATTTTTATAAATGTTTTTCTGGATATGAAGAGTTTTCTAAGGTTTTAAGCTTGCTTTTCTCTTTTCTTTCCTCTGACTCCCCCCCTGCTATCCTTACAGTATTGGCAACATCCTGCACTCGATAATCATAAGATGGAGGGAAAAAAATTGAATTATTTGGTATATTTAAAGTACATACATACACACAAGGAAAGCAATAATTCCCTGTCTGCATGTAAAGCATTATTCTAAATTTGAATGCATCACAAATTGAAGTGAAATCTTGAGAGTGTGGTTTCTGCTTTAACACGGCAGACACACTGACATGTTTGCCAAACCATCAAGGGTTGGTGAAGAGGGCATGCTAGGTACTTCCTTTGTGCTCTTGTTTACCTGTTGTATAGCCCAGCATTGAATGGCATTGAATGAGATCTGGCTGTTTTCCATAGCTCTCAAGCAAGGAGTAATGTGTGGGATAGTGAAATAAATGTTGTTTTCAAATGAGTAAAGTGAAGGATTCCTGGAAGGGCTCCAGGATAGTTAATGGGGAAAGGAAGTGGGTTAGCAGTTAAATAGAGCTTTGTTCAGAACTCATTTGAAGTACTGTTCAGTTTTGGGCACCTAATCTTAGGAAGGATACACAAGCCTTGGAGGGTGTTCAATGACAATTCATTGGATTAATACCTGGTCTGAAGGGGGTTAGCTATGATGAGAGTCTGGATGGACTGGGGTTATATTCCTTAGAGGAGAAGAGGTTAGTGGGAGATTTGAGGTATTAAAATAATGAATGGAAAGATGCCCAGGAAAGCTGTAGAGCAGTGGTGGCCAATGTTATTGGCTGGCCTACAAAATAAATGTTTGATTGAATATTTCTTGATTTATGGCATAAATCTATTCTATTTTATTATTTCTTTGGTTATTTGTTGGTCATTCAAAAAGGTTAGCATCAATAAGGATGTTTAAAAATGAGATAGACCTTAATAGAGGCGTTAAAGTATTTGGCCAAAGGTAGAGCATTAGGATTAAAAGATCTAATAAATAGGTGGAACTGATTTGATGGTTGAATGTTCTCCTTTGGAAAAGGGCCTCTGAATCTTCTCTTCACTTCACACTGGCACATACACATTACTTTCTCTTTTTTTGAAGGTACTTGAATGACCTATACACAATAGAGCTTAGGCCTGGATCAGGGGTAGTGGGATGGGACATTCCTGTTACACACGGTACTCCACCCCCTCCAAGAGAATCTCACACTGCAGTTGTGTTTAAAGATTCAAAAAAACCAAAGATGATCATTTATGGAGGGATGAGTGGATGCAGACTTGGTGATCTCTGGTTACTTGATGTGGGTATGTATGCTATATATTTTTTGTCTATCTCAACATCTTTAAGCATTCGAAAAGTGCAACTTCCAAGTGATTTAATCATGAAATTTACATTTAAGGTGATGTTATAAAAATGTGTGGTTGTAGGTTGTTGAGGCAGATGGGAAGTGGCGTAGGAGAATATACATGTTGGTCATTCTAACCCTTTCCGGGTCAGGACTATATCTGGAAATGAAACTTTATTAGGTTACACTAGAAGCCATGAATTTCAAAAATGGACATATATCAAGTGCAAATTATGTTGGGTTGATGTTGTAAGCACTCTAAGATGCAACCCTCCATGACGGATGCTACATAAATGCAAGTTGTTATTTTTGTTGTTATTTCAGGCTTAAATCTAAATATGCACAACCAACTGAACTTGTTTCCACAGATCCATTTATTTTAAAAACGGTCAATCTAATTCTTACTAATGTATGAAACTGGAAATATCTGATCAGTGCAGTAGAATTTGAGTTGGAGTTTATCTGAGAATGGATGAAGACTCATCTTTGCTGTTTTACCTGGACTTATACCTTACTGAACTTAGAGACTGACGCTAACACAAAGTTTAGAAAGTGTCCTCCAGAAATGACAACCCTTGTCTCATAAGAGTTTTTGTTCAAGTCCCTTTCATGTCCTGTAAAGAGACAAAACTGGAATGCATTTTCTGTATCTGTTTAGTCCACAATTGATTACATGTATAGGTTATTTACTTTTTTTATTAAATACATGATTGGGTGAAATACACTGAATTGTAAATTGATGTGTAAATCAAGTACAAAAATGATAACATTTTCTGTTTTCCTATGGTAATTTCCTCCTCAATAACAATAACAACAAAATTACATTTGTATAGTGCCACTGAAGTAAAACAGCCGATATTATTGTCAGCTGTAAATAACATTAAAATGACCTATTATTAAATGGTGTTATTTTTCTTTATCTGACATTGTTTACTTGATTGCCAGAGATGTTCAAAATGTTAAATGTGAACTTGTAAATAGTTCTCCTTGTGCTTTCATTTATTTTAGAAAGCTTGGTGTGGAATAAACCAGCAACCAAGGGAATTACACCTCTTCCTCGAAGTTTGCACTCTGCAACTGTCATTGGGAATAAGTAAGTGCTACTAACAGTGAAGCTTGGCCAGAAATTTTGTTCGATGGTAGGAGAAATTCTGTGGTGGATGAGCAACTGTAATTCTGCGGATGATGTACTGAGAGGATGAGAGATAGGTGCAGCTTTCTTTACAGTACATGGTGAAGTGATACTATTTATACAGTATTGAAATGATTGAATTTTAGGATGCATTTCTTATTGGACTCCTGAAGGTGCGAGCAGACACATGCTAGGATAAAGTTCCACTGGCATCGTCAGCCCTCTAGTATTTTGTCCCAACTCTTCATATGTGAACCGAGCTGATAGATGCTGGCAGACTATCTGACAATGTGGCCACAAACCTTATTCTTTCGTTACTCTCTCTCACATATGCACACGCACACATGCAACAGGGGCCACACTAATAGTAGTCAGGAATGGAAACATTTGCACTTTTGATTTAAAAACCTAGCTCAGGGTTGTCATGTGCTATCCTGCTGACATTAAATAACTCGGCATCGATTGGGAATTAAACCTTTGACTGACGGGCAGTGCCTAACCCATAGATCATTACAGCAGGTCATCCTGGTAAAACTCTTTTTGCACAAGTCACCCAGAGCATTTAACGTCTTCTACAGCAAGGTTACATCATGCAATATATAAATCTATTGACTTGGCAGTCATGGGTTTTGATCCCAAATACAGAGGTTGATTTTTTTTTAACTACCTGTTAAAGATATTTTAAATGCTGCCTGATATTGCAACTGCTTTTACCTGATAATCTGTTTATAAACATTTGTTCATTATTCGAATGAAATAGTGATTGTTTAACATCTCACCTGTTACGTAATGCATTCCCAACTAGGATGCCAGAAGTATTTTATTAGTGGTCTTTTAGTTTCCATAAACTATATTTGTATTTGTCTCTGATAATTCTGTATTTATTTAAATCTTTATTGGCTATCGAAGATCAATTGTCCAAATTGTTCCATTTTTGCTATATTGTTGTATTTGAAGAGCATGAACCATTACTAATTATGTTTTCTCTGTTAAGTCTAATATATCTGTTTTTCAAATACAAATGCACAATTTTGTTGTAAATGGTTTAAGGCACAAATTGTTACTTTCTGTCTGTATTTACTTTTCTTTAGAATGTTTGTCTTTGGTGGCTGGGTACCACTTGTGATGGATGATGTGAAAGTTGCCACTCATGAAAAGGAATGGAAGTGCACAAATACACTTGCTTTCTTAAATTTAGGTCAGTTTCTTGAGTTTCCTATTTGGGCAACTATTAAGTTTTTATATATTTAAAAAAAACTGCAGTTTCCCCTTTTTCATGTTCAGCTATTGTTTGCACATTGCAACACCCAAAGATAGCTGCTGAGGTTTTACATTTATTTTTATGTACTTACTAATGATGCCCATTAATGTACTTTATATATAAATCTGCATAAATTACTATACATGGCTTACAATGGATGGTCTCAATCCAAAAAGGTTGAAATAATTGTAATTCATAAGAGAACCATGTGAAAGTGTGTAAATTGATGGTTTACAGTCTGCACAAACTACCTTATTTTCCTCCACAGCGCGAGTATATCAATCTGGACAAATTAATCCTTAAGATTAGATATCTATAGGAAGAAAATATGCTGGTCGGCAAAATTATAGACTTTGGAGGGATAATAATGGAATTTCTTTACTGATAAATGGAATTTTTTGTTTATGTATTTCAACTTGTATTCGGAAAAATAAAAATATGCCGAATAAAATAATATTTATCCATTAGCATGTAGATTCAATATGAATCCTTCTAGTACCAAGTAAGTGTATAAGCATTCAAAAAAAATGTTATTTGGATGTAGTTTTGGCTAAGTATCATAGTTTACTAACTTGATGTGGGTCTAATATGTAGCTATTTAAAACATTTTCTGTGCCGTCTCATTGACATTTATTTCAGAAGCTTTATGATGCTCAGCAAGTCAGATAAGATGCTTAGTTACTGCTAATACATTGCAAGGAATGTCAAAAATGAATTTAGAGTGTAGATATCTTTAAGAAGGTGATTATCATGCGTATACTTAATGGATGTTATTTTCTAATAAAACTAATCATTCCCTCAATCTTCCACGTGTATAATGATTATCTTCTCACACATAACTTTATTGGATTAGGAGATACTTTACTTAAAAGAGAATTCTGTTTAAAGTAGTTTCTCCAGCTAAAGATGAAAATAATAGTTATAAATATTTTGAATCTTCATGGAGGAATCCAAGAGCTTTTTAGATTATTATAAAAGTTCTAACTATTATATAAAGATATATCTATTATCGATGGGTGTGGAGTACCTTGAACAGAGAGTACTCCCATAGATTTTCTCCATCCGTATTAATTCGCTGCATTTATAAAGCTGTGATCTACATATAATATCATGGCAACTTGAAGCCTGTGGCAAAATTGAATATTAACAATGTTTTATAAATTGGGTGGTATCTGTTCCATGTTGCATTCAACCTGTTTCTGCACCTAGAGTTTATTTCTGTTTATACAACACATTTGGAGTGTAGATCGGTGACTTGTGTTTCCACCAAGCAAATTTTTCCCCCATTCTGTCAGGGAAGACGTGGTTTATTATTTTTGCAAACCACCTGCTTCCGTTTGTTTTAATATGATTTGCTCTTTTTAATAAGGAAGTTTAAATTGTTTATATCCTGTCTTTTGACGATTTCAGGCTGCTTCATATGATGTCATCACGCGCTTCACTCCGCAGCCTCTCCCTACATCTGCACTAGTAAGTCTGCCCAAATTTGGCGAAAATTAAGGTTTTTTTAAGAGAAAAAAATCTGCAACAAGATTTTTTTTTACACTCCATGCTGTTGTATAAACAGAACATACTGGTGTTGCATTACAGAAAATAGACCACTTAATCTTACCTTCCGAGTCGGTGAATTTTTCAGGACTAGTAGATGGTTTAGTTTCCATTAATCACATGTTCATAATGGGTATCCTCTGTTTAAAGTACACCGTGGATCTATGCAGCACTCACAGAGTAGTTCATATAAAAGCTGGTTAATTCTATAGGAAATTGAGTGTTTTTTAAAAAGATATTTAGCATGTTTGATGATCTGTTGAAAATCTATATTGTCGAAAAATGCCCTCTGAGATAATGAATGGCACAGTGTCCAACAGGTGTGATTATGCAACTTGAAATATATTTGCCTGAAAATTAAAGTTCTAGTTTCATTAGTTATGGTCTGATTTGGTAAAAAATGTTTTTAAAAGTTTGAATTTTAGAGTCTTTAATTACTGTTGTACTGACTGCATGTATTTTAAACTCTGTAGAAAACTGTTTAGTTTTTGCTCTGGCAACACAAATGAAGGTAGTGATATATTTATGACAGATATCAGTATGTGGACACCTGTAGTTTCGGACACACTGGATGATAATGTCCCCAGGGCAAGAGCTGGCCACTGTGCAGTTGCCATTCATACTCGTCTTTACATCTGGAGTGGAAGAGATGGTTACAGGAAGGCCTGGAACAATCAAGTCTGTTGCAAGGATCTTTGGTATTTGGAAACTGGTGGGTATTGAATTGAAGATTTTAATTTTTTTTAAATGCTGCTTTAGTACTAAATAGTTTTTTGTGTAAAATGGGTATCAGCTTAACAAGAGATGGTCTTGTGTGTTTGTAAATTGTAGTTGTGTGGCTTTTAATTCAAAAGATAGGATAAGTTCTCTCCAAAACTATTTGTGAATTGCCAGCAGAAGATGTAGATTATGCTGGCCCCTGCTGAAGTTTATTGCACAACTAGAAATCAGCTATAGTTAATGCTTGAATAGAAGTGGTCTCACTGTGAAGGTTCATAAGTCTATTGCTACTCTTAAGTAGATTGAAGCGTAGCATTGGAACAATGGAGAACATTCAGGGTGACCAAAATGTTGTGATATCTATCCATTTATCTAAAAAAAATCAACATTTCTTCCAAGACTTTTTAGACATTGTAATGGTATCACAATTCTTTGGTCACCTCTGTATTTACTTATGCATTTTCTTCATGTTCCTCATTTCTTCATGGCGAAAGTGTATAGTAACCGGAAAAGTGAAAAGTGAACATTTCAATTGCCTTTTTATCTTTAGAAAAGCCCCCGGCACCATCTCGTGTACAGTTGGTCAGAGCCAGCACAAACTCCCTTGAAGTATGTTGGGGTGCTGTTCCAACATCAGATGCCTACCTTCTTCAGTTACAAAAATATGACATGCTGCCGTCAACTGTTACCTCCTCCCTGACCTCTCCAGCACTGAGTAGCCCATCAGTGCCACATAAGACTCCTTGTAGCACTGTTGCTCCAACACCAGCTCCTGTTGCCATACCAATCCCATCACCACAGCCTGTTGCTAAAGTGGCTTCTCCAACTGCTGCTGTAGCTGCTGGGATGACAGGTAATGTACAAGAATTTAAAATATTTCATAAGTATGTTTTGTTTTGCGTGCCAATTGCACTATCGATTTTTTTAAAAAATGATATTAATTTTGAAATTAGGTTTGATTATTTAGTCCTTTTTTAAAAAGAGAGTTCCCCTTATGAAAGTATTCTGAAAGGTATGTCAGTTGTTGTTTGAACTCCCATTAGATAGTTCTCGGGTTTATACTGTATATGATTTGCTGACTGAGGGGAGATCCACATCACTAGTTCTGTTCTACAACAGCTGCATTGTGATGCACATTAGCCACTTGGGTTAATCTGACACTTTTGGCTGCTCTGTATATTTGCAGGCCATGACAATGTGAGCATACAACAAGAAGCTCACACCGCTCCAAAGTCAGTAACTATTGGCAATTGAAAAATGACCTCATACTTTTTGCTTATTTTATCTGCAACTATCGCCAGTGTTTTCTTCTATTAGTATTCATCATCTCAGTGTAGTGTGCTCCACTAAGCAAAAGACCTGTATTGTTGAAAAACTACACAGAAGGGCATTAAAATGTTTTCCAAAAGTCAATATTTACGAAGTATAATAAGGTATCTCACTAAACAGTGGCTTTATGCTTTGGAATTTTCTATACTTTTAGTTGGGGCAAACAAAAGTGAGTTTGCAAAATGGAAGCTCTTTGTTCTACAATTTTCTCCCCTATTGATGCATGTACTTTTCCAGTGACTGTCTTGGGACATCCTCCTGATGTGAAAGGCGCTATATAAATGCAGTTTGTTGCAAATTTGTGGGTTAGTAAAAAAAAATGCCAGATGTGCTCTTTGGGCAAGTTAACTTCTAGGAATAGCTTTCTGTACCCTGTACAATATTTAAAAATTATTATTGTTCTATACTTTAGTTTGAACGCCTTTCTAAGTGAAGGATGTATTTCACATGTGAGAAAATAGATTTTGAACTGAGGTTTTTAGTTTGTGCTTTGTATATTTTTGTTTTATTTGTGAAGGTGCTGTGACTGCAATGCAAGTCTCTGCTGCTCAAGCATCTGGGTTGTCTCCAGCAGCTCCCCAGCTGGTTACAGTCTCTCAACAGGCTGTGCAAACAGTTAAAGCAGCTGTTTCCTCTTTACCTGCTGGAGTACGTCTAGTTGTGCCAGCACAAAGTGCCACTAACACAGTTCCTTCAGTAGTAAGTGTTATTTTTTTCTTATTATTTAATTCATTAGTTAATTTTAATGAGACAGGAATTATTTTGCAAGCCCCCTCTCCCCAAAATGTAAGTAAAATATAGCGGGTAATCTGTTTTGTGTTAGTTTGATGAGGCATGGCCATATAAGTTTTTAAGGTTTTTTTTATATACTGGGATAAATTACCACCACATTTATATAGGAGAAATTGGAGTAGAGGATTGGCCCTCTTGATCTTACTGTGGGGAAATGCATGTCATTTACTCAGCACCTTGCACAGCATTGTGACAGAGATTACAACTTGGCAGTCCGACTCAAACTATGTCCACTGCGCTTCCATCTATATTGTGCTACACCATCATGGTGCACCATTGTTGTTTTGTACAACATGAGAGTTTTCTAATATGGCAAAACTGACATTTAGTTCCATCTAATGGGATGAGTAAACTGCGTGGCAGAAACCCAGTTTCATCTGGTGTGAGGACAACTGCCAGATTTCCTGACAAATGCCAAGTCTGAATTCCATCTGTTTTTTTTTAAAAAAAGACCTGATTTCATAAATGGATTTCATTCAATGGAAATGCTCCTGCGTGTGATGTAACAAAACAAAAAGTTGCTGAACTTCTCATACATGTTTGGTTAAGATAATATATTCCATAAATCTGAGAATTAAGTGGCATTCATCTGATTTGATGTTATAGGCTGGATGAGTGAACCTCTGTAGGTTTATTGAAGATTCATTCATTAACTGTTGGTTTGAAACTGTTGAATTGATTAAAAAAAAACAGGACATTTGCCCTATCTTACTTCCTATTTAATATGAAGCTAACTATTGGTTCCATTTTAAATGGCATAAGTTTTATGAACAAGTCCTGACCTGTGCTGCTATGTTTTGGAGAAATGCAATTTATAACACTGCATTTTTTCACCACCAGGCGGAGACAATACCTTCTTCATGCTACAGTACGTTCTGGGTACGTGACCTCATTGTAGCCAGTTGTGCTCCTCAGGCATGCTTTGGTTTATATTAAAAAAACACACACATGAAAATTAGTTTGTAAGTAAATAGAGATATTCTTTGGAAAGATTTTAATGGGGCACCTCAGAGTAGAATTCGGCCACAGTGAAGCCTTCCAGAAAACATTGCATGAAGGGGAATAACTGGTGAAAATTTCTATCGTTACAAGCTGAACATTTTGCGCTGTAGGACACCATGGATTTTAGAGCACTCTGGAGCGTGTTGTGTTTGCATATAAACTGTTAAGATGGAACAAATACCGACACTTTCATTATGTAATCCATCAGATATGAGTTCAGAAATATTTCAGGATTTGTAGAACAGACAGCCGTGGAAAGTATTCGTATGAAGTGAATGTTAATTTGAATGTTGGAAGGTTTTCTTGTATGAGCCCTATATTGCACGAGAGAAGTTTACAATTCTTATTTTGAAGCATTGGACTTTTTATGATGCTGCAGAACTAGCATAACATAGTTTTATGAGAAAATAAATCAGAAAATTACTTTTATCCTGCAATTAGATGTGTGAAACAGTTATTTTTATTTTTTTCAGGTGAACACACCAGCCACAACCATGCTGAAGACAGCAGCTGCACAGGTTGCAACATCTTCTGCCTCGTCCCGGCCTATTATAACTGTACACAAATCTGGTGCACTGACTGTAGCTCAGCAAACGCAAGTCGTCACCACAGTCGTTGGCGGCGTTACCAAAACATTTACGCTTGTTAAAAGCCCAATTCAAGTTGGTGGTGGAGGTTCTCTGGTATGTGTTTTAACAGTTCATCTCTTAAAATTATATTCATTTCACTTGTATCTGATTTTATTGCAACTTTACAAGTGATTGCTCATTGCTTGGTGTTGGGCTCCTTTTGAAAATGGTCAAGTTCTGATGAATGCTTTTATGGAGTAACTCTATTATGCTCCCCCAGATAATACAAATTTGGTGTCTTTATCACTGTTTTGTTGAGAGTGAAGATAACCTTAATTGAAATTTGTTCCTTTAAGATCTCCAATCTAGGGAAAATGATGACACTTGTTCAGACAGCTCCAGTACAAACTGGCGCTATCACTGGTCAGGCCACTGCTGGGTCATTAGCACAGTTCATTCAGGTACGTAAAGATAATTGAATATTAAAAGTAATTTTTTTTATATCTATTGAACCATTACTTTACCACAAAACCCTCCATACACGTGCGACTTCATGAAACTTGGTGATATCTACTCTTAAAAATATGCTTTAAGTGTTAGAATAAGAAAATGTCATGTGTAGCTGTTTTGTTTCATGTTTGTCTTGTATATTGAATTTGTTTCACATATGAATCTGTTTTAATGAATTTGAAGGCAAAAGGTCCCTTTCCTCCGGGTACAATAGTCAGACTTGTAACAGCAGCAGATGGTAAGCCAGCAACAATCATCACAACCTCTCAAGCTGGTGGAATGGGTACAAAGCAAACTATCCTGGGCCTTGGCAGTGTCTCCCCTACCAGCAGCAAACCTGGAGCAACAACCATAATAAAAACTATTCCAGTTTCAGCATTGATGAATCAACCCAGTACTACAGGTGAGGGATGGAATTGGTTATCTAGGTTTTCTGGTTGTCATTTCATCATTGAAACTTTTTCGCATCATGTTCTCAATCCTGAAAGACAAACCTATATTAGGCAAAGCCTAGCTGGAGAAGTGAGCTGAAATCTCTAAACGTTTTTTTAAATACTCATAAAGTTAGTAGAATTCTCTGCACTTTCAGTTGTAGTTGAATGAATTCCCGCTTTGTTTTATAAAACATATGAAATTCAACAAATGGCCTATATTTTTTGCAACTTGTATGTCTTTTTAAAACAAAAGTTGTGGTTCCTAGCCCAAGCCAAATGGGCTAACAGAGCTCAATGAGAATTGTGCTGTAAAGTCTGCAAACAATTTATACCTTTGATTGTAAAAGAGTATGTTTATTGTAATGTGATATATTGCTTCTTACACACTGATTTATTTCATAATACAATTTGAATATTTCTGTTGCAAATTACCAAATGAATTTGCTGATTTTGCTCTTCACTTTTTATTTTGAATGCAATTTTGGCAAAATTGCACTTAAAAGTTATGAAAAAGCCACAGTAATCATCTACTTTGTATTTAGATTTCTTTTAACTGAAATCAAGACCTTAGCTTTCGGTGAATGAGTAAATCCCTGTAGAGCATAACAAATTGACGATACTGGAAAAAAAATTGGTCAATCAATCCACGACTATTGGTTGGACACTGCTGTGCGCAATTGGCTACCGTTTTTGCCCACAAAATATACAGTCAATTGACTTTACAGTATATTCTATGAAGTGCTTTTAGACATCTCAAAGAAATGATAAGGCGCTATATCAAATGCAAGGATTATTATGTAAAAAGCAGTCCATGAAAACAGATTTTTTTTAATGTACAAATCTTGAATACAGAATGATTTTTGTATATCTATTTATTTAGGTGTTTCTGCAAACCCTGGTATAAAATCTCCAATAACGATCATTACTACAAAAGTAGGGACGTCTGGAACAGCGAAGATCATTACAGCTGTGCCAAAACTTACCACAGGACAGCCTGGAATGACACAGGTAGTGTGTGTTTCAGCTGTAGTTCTGAAGCAATATTCGTACACCTTTCTAAAAACTCAAAGATGAGGGCTTTTACTGCAATAATCAGTCACCCTCCTACCCCTACTCTCCCTGCCCTCCACCCCTCCATTCCCCAGCTAAGGTCCAAATCCCTAAATGTCCAGCACCTTAGAGCATCCTCCTGAGGTGAAAGGCACTATACAAATGTCATTTGTTGTTGGATATATTGCAGTATTTTTATGCCTCCTGTTACTTCCAAATATTTAGCAAAATTATGTAAAGGAGTTTTTTCAGCAATGGTAAAAAGTTTCTTTTTTCCCATATAGTAGCTGAAATATTTGGCCTCCTTCTACCATAACTCTTGTATCATAACAAGCTGGTAATGGTTAGCTTTTCAGATTTCTCTAGTTACCAAGTCTTCACTCAATTTTTTTAGGTGGTTCTTAAAACGCCGGGAACACCTGGTACCATCTTGCGAACAGTTGGTGGAACCCCCGTCAACGTTAGTGGAGTTAGACTGGTCACACCAGTCACCGTGTCATCCAGCAAGCCGACAGTCACAACCTTGTTACTGAAGGGGAGCACAGGTATGTTGTACGTTTTTTTCAAGCATGTTCCAGAGTTAAGTTCAGAATCTACAACAACAACTTGGATTTATATAGTGCCCTCCACGCCGGACGGCGGCTCAGAACGCTTCTAAAGTGTTTCCGAATGTTTCCTCTTTTTTGAAATCTGCCTTAATCTCATAATAATTGGGGCTAGGCTGACGGGTTTCGATGGGTGACAGACGTTCAGTTCCAACACGTGCATCAAGGCACTAACGGTGCCCCCACCAACCCCCCATCCGCTTGGAGTCAGGCTCCGCCACTGTTAAGCGCTCTGAGATGCTACCCTGTGTGGGGGGGCATTATATAAGTGCAAGTTGTTGTTCCTCCATTTGTTTCATTGCTGTGGACAGGTTGCAGTGTATCCTGTATTTCCTGTAAACTGACTGCAATTCCAGTTTACTGTACCACTCTGTCATCCACCCTTCCATTCACATTCTTTTGTCAATCCAGTGTTTATTTTGGGGGGATTAATCTGATTATGATAATGTGTTGCAGGCGTTACGACATTGGGAACTGTGACTGGTACAGTGACCACAACCCATGCTGGAGCAAGTAGCATTACAGCACCAAACTTCACACCAGTCACTGCTCTGGCCAGAGTAGCAACATTGGCCAGCCAAGGGGTTAGCCCAACTATTGATCCTTTGTCTGTGGCAACAAGAACATTACATTCTACAACAGGAATTGTATCAACACCATCAATAGTCAATACAGAGGTATGGTTTATTCTGTAATTTGTTTGGGGATTTGTTCGCAGTGGTGAAATATAAATATAAACTATTTGTAAGAAATATGTGGTTGATGTTGAATGTTGTCGCAAACTCAAGAGAGTGAAAATAATGTTTATGATTCTGTTCTTATATTGTTAGAAATATATTAAACTTTTGTTTCGTAAATACTATAAAAGATTTGATGTTTATTAGGTAGATTTGACCACATAAATATGCAGTTTCACTCAAAAGCTGTTGACAAGATTACTTTCTGAATATGTGTGTGTCTATAATGGATTTGTTGCTCAATATTTTCCTTGTATTTTGTGTGGACAGCCCATTTTTGTGATGTCAGGAGAGGCTGTATCATCTGCAGTGACTGGGTTGGCTGTACAAGCCAGTGAAATTCATGTACCGTTGGCTGTGGAGCAAACCACTGCTGTGGCAGCTGTTACAGAGAATAGCATACAAGCTTCAGACCAGCAGGTGCATCAAACCACAGAAGAACCAGCTCATGAAACTACAGAGACGAATACTACAAATACAGCCACTTCCAGTACAGCAAACATATCTCAGAATCAAAGTAAGTATAGCAATGAAAATGGATGCTTTAAATTGTTGTCACCCTATTTCAATTGGTGACTTTTTTAAAGTTTATGGCGGTGGACATTGGAGGCTTGACGATTCCATGGCTTTAGCCTCAAGTCTGTTGATGTAAACTGTAAGATTGTTTGATTAAGGCACTATATGTCTTAATCCAACTAAGGGGTATAGCACATAGGTAGTTTGGGATATATGTGCATATGACCGCTAGGAAGGTGGAAGGCAAACTACATGCACCTTGGTCTTTTTTTCGCCTAGCATTTCTTATGTTCCTATGTTCTTATATGAATACTATCAAAAGTGAATGTGGGTTCCATTGCAGGCAGAGATAGGAGTAATTATAATGGAATAAAGAAATGGCAGAGTCATTAAACAATTATTTTGCTTCTGTCTTCACGTTAGAAGACACTGAAAACTTACCAAAAATAGAGGGGAACCTGGAGGCTAATGTTAGTGAGGAACTTAAAGAAATGAACATCAGTAAAGCAATAGTACTAGAGAAATTGATTGGATTAAAACCCGATAAATTCCCTGGACCTGATGGCCTGCATCCTAGGGTTTTAAAAGAGGTGGCTGCAGAGATAGTAGATGCTTTGTTTTTGATCTTCCAAAATTCCCTGGATTCTGGAATAGTTCCCAGTGAATGGAAGGTCGCAAAAATAACGCCTATATTTAAGAAGGGTGGGAGACAAAAAATGGGGAACTATAGACCAGTTAGTCTGACATCGGTGGTAGGGAAAATTTGAGAGTCCTTAATTAGGGACGTTGTCGTGGGGTACTTAGAAAATCATGACATGATTAGGCTGAGTCAACATGGCTTTACGAAAGGGAAATCATGTTTAACAAATCTTATAGAGTTTTTTGAGGATGTAACTAGCAGGTTAGCTAGGAGGTAACAAGTAGATGTGGTGTATTTGGATTTCCAGAAGGCATTCAACAAGGTGCCACATAAAAGGCTGTTGCATAAGATTAGAGCCCATGGAATTAAAGGCAATATATTAGCATGGATTGGAGAGTGGCTAACAGGAAGAAAACAGAATATGGATAAACGGGTCCTTCTCAGATTGGCAGGATGTGACTAGTGGAGTGCCACAAGGATCAGTGTTTGGGCCTCAATTATTTACAGTCTATATCAATGATTTAGATGAGGAAATAGAGCTTAATATATCTAAATTCGCGACCCGTTACGAAGATAGGTGGGAGAGTAAGCTGTGAGGATGACACATAAAGAATGCAAAGGGAAATAGACAGGCTAGGTGAGTGGGCAAGAAGGTGGCAAATGGAGTAAAACGTGGGGAAGTGTGAAGTTATTCACCTGGGTAGTAAAAATAGAAAAACTGATTTTTTTCTAGAAGGGGAGAGACTCAGTGGTGTTAGTGTTCAGAGGGATTTGGATGTCCTTGTACACCAGTCACGAAAAATTAGTATGCAGGTACAGCAAGCAACTAGGAAAGCAGATGCCATGTTGGTGTTCGTTGCTAAAGGGTTAGAGTACAAGAGTAGGGAAGTCTTGCTGCAGTTGTATAAGGCCTTGGTGAGACCGCACCTACAGTATTGTGTGCAATTTGGTCTTCTTATTTAAGAAAGGACATACTCGCCTTAGAGGGGGTGCAGCATAGATTCACTGGGTTGGTTCCTGGGATGAGGGGATTGACCTATGAGGATAGGTTGAGCAAACAAGGCTTATATTCTCTAGAATATAGAAGAATTAGAGGTGATCTTATAGAAAGCTATAAGATTCTTAAGGGTCTTGACAAGGTAGATGCCGCAAGACTGTTTCCCCTGGTTGGAGAATCTAAAACTAAGGGATCATAGTCTCAAGATTAAGGATCAGCCTTTTCGAACTGAGTTGAGGAAACATTTCTTCACTCAGAGGGTAGTGAATTTGTGGAATTCTCTACCCCAGAAGGCTGTGGATGCTCAGTCCTTGAACATATTCAAGACTGAGGTTGATAGATTTCTGAAGGATAGAGGGATTAAGGGATATGGGGATAGGGCGGGCAAATGGAATTAGTTTAGAAGATCAGCCATGGTCTTATTAAATGGTCTTATGAATGTAAATTGTTATTTTCCCAAAAGAATATAAACATATCCACCTGTGGAGAGAGTGAAACTGAACATTGTGGATTTTTCCTAATTTTCACATCCTTCACATGCTACTTAGCTCAGTATGTATCTTTTACCTGTGTCTCACAGTAGTCTGTGTCTCAAAGCTCCGGTATGATATATTGGACAAAATACAAACAAAGAAAATCTGGAACAAGAAATGGCCATCTGGTTCATAGATCCTGCAGGTTCCAGCAGCTCACATGATATTTGCATTAACAAAACATTCTGTCCAAGGAGACTGAATGATTACATTAAGTCAGTACATTGTCTGTTCATTTCTTCATCTGGGTTTGAATTCAGACCAAATTGAAGGGATGAAAGTTTCCTCCCTCCTGCCTTAAGGATTCTAATGTGAGTTTAATTTGGGTGTGGTGGTGTGGGCCCACAATGTAAATTTGCACAAATTGAAACAAATTAGCAATCTTACTCCTAGACAATATAAGGATAGCTGGCATGGGAAGTGGGAAACAATCAGACTGGTGTAGAGTAAGTGGTAGTCATCTGAGATTGGAACCCAGTAGAGGGAGATTTACTCTATCTTGTGGTGTTATACTCGGCCTAACCAACATTAAGGACAATAAGTTCCATCCCTGGTATTTGCTTGATAAGTATAAAAATATAAATTAACGTGAATTCTCCACAATTTGCCCTGAGAAAAGTGGATACTCACATGATGTAACTTGCCAAAAGGCAATGTTAGAATTTGGAGAAAATTAAAAGAGATCTAGATTTAGTTAACTCATCACTCCTCAAACGGCATAAAACTGCAACAAAGAAATCACAGGATCCATTGCCAGATCAGTTGAGAACAAATCAACAAGTCCTGCTGAAGCTGCACAGTGTTTTGGTCAGGTCACACATGGAGAACCATGTAATACTTTCACATATGCCAAGGCAGCAGAACACAAGAGCACAGGTGCCAGGGTTGTGAAAGGCAAAGTCTGGGACAGACAACTGGAAACATTTATTTACACAGAAGGTAATCAACAGCTGAAATAGGTTACTGCGAATGATAGTTGAAGTGAAGGAAAGACATTGGACTCATTTTCTTAAAAAGAAGTTTGATGGTGTAATGGAAAGCAATTTTCGAAATATGATGCCAAATGGTCCGATGGCTTTCTAAACTTCTGTGATCTAAGCTTTCTCCCTGGCAATCAAACAAAACTCAAGGTTATTGATCTAACATCCTTCTGTTTCTCGTTAATATGCTGTCTGTACTACAAAATGGGAGGATTCATTTTCTTTTCTAACCCATTGATTTCATACCTAACAGTCCAACCTCCAGCCACAAGTAACAATGGTATACCAGAAAGTGTCCACGGGGAAACAGCGACTGCTGGAACAACCAATACAGCTACCACTGTCTCAGCAGCACAGACAGGAGCAGTAACAACTGTAACACAATCCACACCAGCTCCAGGCCCTTCACTGCAGGTAAGAAACAAAGAAAGTTTAATGTTAAATTAATAAGTGATTCAAAAAGTTGAATATGCTGACAATAACTTGAACTTTTGCATTTTAAAAATAGTTTAGACTTTACTAGTTGAAGCAGCAGGATCTGCAGTTCATGTTGGATAAAAGTCTTATAAGTAGAATGGCTTCATTGGATATTCATTGCAGACACCTTCAGTACCAGCTTATTAAAAATAAATCCTAGCATTCGGGAGGATGCCTCAAAGCACATCACCGAATTTGCTGTAATGTGTGATGACTGTGTCTTTTATAGCCCTGTTCCGAATATGGTAAATAATTTAGTATGAGTCAAGCTCCTGGAGGGCGTTTGTGAGCAAATGTATCATTCTTTTGATGGCAAGCATGTATTATTTGCTTTTAGGTAAATTTACAAACCTGTTGATTTGTCATCAACAATTTGCATACCTCAGATTCTAAGAGTAGAAGACTAAGAGGCTGCGCTGTATAAAAGACAAGTTTCCAGAGTTGAATCACAGTAAATCAATTGAATAGCTTGACAAAGATTGGTTTGGAATGCATTTATTGCATTTATTGCCTCTACTATGGGGAACAAATAGTAACTGATGATTATTGGGCAATAAGCGAGATTTGATATTGGTCTTTACTCTGGCAAAATAATAATAATAATAATAATAATAATCCTTGCATTTGATGTAGCGCTTTTCACGTCGGGAGGACGTCCCAAAGCGTTTCACAGAATAGACTGTAAAGTGAATTGACTGTATATTTGTGGGCGAACGCGGCAGCCAATTGCGCACAGCAATGTCCCACAAACAGTCAGGGATTGAAAATGACCAATTTATTATTGTTTTTGTTTTGGAGGGATTATTATTAGGCCGTGTGGAGTAAGGAAACTTGCCCAAGGTTTCGCCCTCTGCCTGGAATTGAACTCAGGTCTCTCGCTTGCAAAGCGAGTGCTCTAACCACTGAGCTACAGGACTCCGATAGTAAAATTCCTTTACTGTATGTAAAGTTGAACTTTTGCATTTTAAAGCTGACTTATGTCATTATCCATGAAAGGTTATAACCCCACTGTAGACATTTTAGTATTAGACAGAAACTGACAACATGCTGAAATTCAACCCCACAAAACCAGAAATGTATTTCTCTTCATGGATATAACTGATCTTTATTATACGTGCAAGCCACAGGATATGGGTGGAGTGTATAATTTTATTTCTGGATTTCGTGTTCTTACCAGCTGCAAATTGAATTCTGACTTCCTTCTGTTTACCACAAACAGGTGATCTCACCAACATCTGATGGTCCCTCAAGTAGTAATACAGCTTTATCAGATTCAAGCACTTTGCAGTTGGTACCTGCTCCAGATACTGGCCAAACTCCAGGGGGGTCAGGGCTCCAGGTTGCACCTGAACAGGCGTTAAAGAACTTAGAAAGTACAGTGGCCCCTGATTTGACTGAGCAACCTCAACAAGCTGTGCGGACGGTAGGCACACAGAGCCAACAGGTCAAAGTGGAAACTGGTGAAGCAAAGGGACATTCAAGTCAAAGTACTGAGCAGCACCATCATGTCACTACAACTGAGCCTTTCATTACTGATACAAAACCAGCAGATGCTAATCAACCCGAAACCACTGCTGGAGATTCTCCAGTGTCTCTGTTGCCAAAAATGAAAGGTAAGTGGGTAATTTGAAACAGCCGAAAATCTGTTCAAAGGCGTAGTTACAGTACCAGCTGTATTTTATTAAGAGGAACCCTTTCCAACAGGAGCACAAACTAGTTGTAGCTGTCTTCAATGCCAGAAAACTGGTTTACAAATCATTTTGGTATGTGGAGGGAAATAATAACTAATTAAAGTGTTGCATGCAAATGCAGCTGTATTTTTTGTTGAATGTTTTGTTAAACTCAGAATTTTTAAGTGGAATACAGCACTTGAAGATTACATAGGAACAGAGGAATGTATAGGACTGGAAAGACCATTTTTATCCATCCAGCCAGGCCCCAAAGGATTCTACTAAATCAGTTGAGGGGATATGGAAAAAGGTAGAGAAATAGTATTAAATCATATGTGACGATTTAATAAAATGGCAGAGCTGGCTGACTGGCTTACCGTCTCTTCTTATGTTCTCAATCATTTAAGCCTGTTGGCCGATCAGAAATTATTTTAATTGTAAGTAAGTCTCTGCCAATATCTATTTTAGCTATTCTAAAGTGATGCAACTTGCTGGGAATGTTTGCTTTGAATGTCTTGCAAATGAATGTGTCAACTTCAGTATTTTAATTGTTTTATTAAGACAAGAGGCAATACATTGCCAAGGAGTTAGCACTCTGTCCTTTCAGTTCAGGTGTCAGGGTCAAATTTAGCTGTATTTGACGAGATGTACCGTAGGTGGACCTTCTGTTGCTTTTAAAGTTACTATATGAAATATGTTTGGTTAGTTTCAACTCGGTGGCTTAGTGAGTGTGTGCCAACCCACCTCTCCCTCCTTATTTGGCACTAAGTGACACTGAAATCTGCGATCTTATTCAGAAAAGCATAAAAAAGGTGCCTCACCAGAAATATCCCACTGGTTTGGTAGGATTGCTCTGATATATTTATTTGTTTTATTGTTTCAGAATGCAGTACTGTAAAGACTCTGCCAGAAGATGTCTCTTCGGAACCAGCAGTGCCTAATGTAGACTCTTCTCAGCATTTGCAGCAACCTGTAATGCAGAATCCTGAGCAACAAAAGGATCAGTTACAGTCACCAGCACCCGTGACCACATTGAGTGCTCCTCAAGCAGTGATGCAGAGTCCAAATGATACAAACGCACAAAGCAACCAGCTAGGCCAATGTACTAGTACTGCAGAATCTCCGCAGCCAAGTACTGCAAGTACGTCCAAATTGATTTGCAATTTTAATTTCTTATTTGTGAATGTAGAATCAGCATTATATTAGCTTTTTTAAAAATTTCACCAGTGTAGTTATGTGAACGCAAACTACTTGTTGACATTCGGTCACTCAAACTTCTTACATTCCACGATACATACTTGTAAAGGACTTCAAGTACCACCATTGCTTTTGCAAACGAGAGACCTGAGTTCAATTCCAGGCAGAGGGCGAAACCTTGGGCAAGTTTCCTTACTCCACACAGAGCCTAATAATAATCCCTCCAAAAACCAAAAACAATAATAAATTGGTCATTTTCAATCTACGACTGTTTGTGGGACATTGCTGTGCGCAATTGGCTGCCGCGTTCGCCCACAAAAAGTCAATTCACTTTACAGTGTGTTCTGTGAAGCGCTTTGGGATGTCCTCCCGACGTGAAAAGCGCTATATCAAATGCAAGGATTATTATTATTATATTATTATTAGAAACAGATGTATTGCTAATGTATATATCTATTGTAGTACTTACAGAATATGTCCTTTGCAGAAAAATATGGTCTGTTATGTTCTCGGTCATGTTGATCACACTCATTGTTTAAATTAGGTTTGTACCATAGAATCACATTTATGGATACATTTCTCCTATGGTTTAAAGTCTGTTTGATTTTAAATGAAAACTAGCTGATATTCTCATTTCTGTAGCAGTGAATTCTGTATGTGGCTTGCCATCTCCATTTTCACTATACTATTCCACATTCATTTTAATCTTGGCTTTATAGCTGTTTGAAGTCTCTCTGTCTTTTTTCTATTGGTTGTTCATTTCTTTGGGCACCACGTGCTATCTTGGTTGTACGTGGAACACAGAATGAATATCAGGAAGTATGTAATTGTGTGTAAGGTGAAGATGCTACCCCAAGCGAAGGGCACTATATAAATGCAAGTTGTTGTTGTCTTGGGTTAAATATCTCACTCGGGCACAACTGACTTCTGTTAATTTGGTGACAGGAGATCAAGACTAGTGGGTTGTTCTATACAAGCATCAATAAGAACATTTGAACTCTTGATGATGAGACATTGAATACATTCATCGTCAGTGCACAGAAAATAAATCTCCAGATCTTTTATTTTTAGGTCTTGCCAGTTCACTTCCTTCATCTTCTACCACGGCAACTGTATCACCAAGTGAAGTCTCGAGCAGCAATCCAGTAGCAAATGGGGTAATTCAAAGTATTGATAATATTAGAAAAGTTTATTAGGTTGCACTAAATCCTAAGCTGCCAATATCCTATACAGAGAAGTTGCATTTTGATGTACTGTCTCACTTTCAACGTCAATTACAGTAGTAGTAACCATGGCAGAACATACTGTAACATGGGTCTTTAGTATAAGTTAAAACCTGACCATGAAATAGAAATGTTCTTGATAAGGATGCTAATCTTTAAGACCTGGATTAATATGTATAAATAAAATGATCAGCTGTAGCTTTTCCCACTCATTTTACATAACTATCGATTCCTCAGTAATAAATGTTGCATTGAATCAAGAGTTAAAACCTTAACAGCATTCCTCTTTTTCAGAAACAAGAAAATCCTTCTACACCACATAAGGTTACGCCAAAGAAAGAAGGGAATCCATGGTATGATGTAGGAATCATCAAAGGAACCAGTACTGTGGTAACTCATTACCATTTGCCACCAGAGGGCAGCCATGGAGAAGTAAGTAGAATTGAAATTGATCAGGTGAACTCTCCCTCTTAGGAAACGTTTTGGTTTGTTAAGTGCTTTACAACTTGATTCAGTTTCTGGCAAGTTTTATACTAAAGAGGAGCCCTTCTATCTGTAGCCCCTCATGGATGTACAGTATTTAGGCTATGGTTATGCCTCACCCTTTGCACTATGGATACACAGATACTATGTATACAGGGAAAACCTGTTGTAACACGGTGGCTTGGCTTGCTAAACTCAGATCCCATATTAAAATGAAGTGCAAAAACAAAAACTGCCACTTTATGTAAATTCCTGCTCACTGTACACATACGCTTTGTGCAATAAGCCCACTGACATCATTTCCTTTGTAAAGTGAGCTCAGCGGTGCTTCCCGCGCAGGGCGCTCAGAACCATTTATTTTTTAGTATAGGAAGCCAGCTATTGAGCACCGGTTTCTAGGTTACTGTGCTTTTGGTATAGAGTGGATCTACAGTACGCTCTTAATAGACCAGTGCTATACTAGGGTGTGTAGTAATAGGATTGACCTATATTCAGTATCTGTCTCCGGTTACAACTGTTTTAGCTTCAAAGGAACTTTAAATTTCTGTTTCAACCAAGTTCTGAGCATTCTAGTATTTGCATGTAACCCAAAAATGATCAATGATTGGATTCCAATTGATTCGTCAATGGATTGCTTGTGTTTTGCATTCACTTTTAAGTATATATTTACTTTGTTTACCTGTCCTTTTTTAGGATGCAAGTACTAACATTCCAGACTACAGTATGCTGAAAAAGCAAGAGCTGCTTCCAGGCACTGCATACAAATTTAGAGTTGCTGGAATTAATGCGTGTGGAAGAGGTCCTTTCAGTGAGATATGTGCTTTCAAAACTTGTCTCCCTGGATTTCCTGGAGCACCGTCTGCTATCAAAATTACCAAGGTATAAAGGGCTATTGAGAATGACAATTAATAATAATAATAATCCTTGCATTTGATATAGCGCTTTTCACGTCGGGAGGACGTCCCAAAGCGCTTCACAGAATAGACTGTAAAGTGAATTGACTGTATATTTGTGGGCGAACGCGGCAGCCAATTGCGCACAGCAATGTCCCACAAACAGTCGTAGATTGAAAATGACCAATTTTTATTATTGCTTTGTTTTGGAGGGATTATTATTAGGCGTGTGGAGTAAGGAAACTTGCCCAAGGTTTCGCCCTGCCTGGAATTGAACTCAGGTCTCTCACTTGCAAAGCGAGTGCTCTAACCACTGAGCTACAGGACTCCACAATTAGTAACAAGAGATGATATTTTAGGGGAGGGAACATTTAAAAAAAAGTAGATACAATATACAATTATTATAAAAGATCGATGAAAAAGGAGCTGCTCGAGAATTTAATTTGGCACATTGGTTGGTTAAAGGCAAGCGCTCAGGTATATAAGAAAACCATGATATAAACTGGTACTCATTTTGTTTTCTCATTTTTACAGAGTGTGGATGGTGCTCATCTTACCTGGGAACCGCCCGCTACAACTGCTGGGAAAATTCTGGAGTATTCTGTGTATTTAGCCGTGCGCAGCATTCAAGTGACAGAAGTGAAATCTGGAAGTCCTGCCCAGCTGGCCTTTATGCGGGTTTACTGTGGTGCTAAACCATCTTGTGTGGTGTCTTCCTCACACCTTGCAAACGCGCATATTGATTGTACAACAAAACCTGCTATCATTTTTAGGATAGCAGCAAGAAATGAGAAAGGCTATGGACCAGCTACACAAGTTAGATGGCTTCAAGGTAATTCTTCCTGATACTAATAAATTGTAGTTCAACCATTAAAGGTAATTGTGGGTATAATTTGGGTTTGGGAACGCTCTTATCTCTGGTTGAACACTTCACATTTCTGGAATTTAAAAACAAATTCATTTCATTGATATGTTTTTGTAAAATAGGTACCATATTTTTATCAAAATGTAATATACTAACCAGTTTTATTTAAAAAAATTAAAAACATTTACAAAGTTGATCTAATTTGCTTTAAATACGTCAGCTGTGTGCTCCTGGATGCTGTGTAATTGCAAAATATTGAAAAGGTTTGTAATTGTTTCCTATAAATACAGAGTGTTGTCAATGGCACTTTACCAACTTAAATCATTTGATTTTGCAAATGTTTTGTGAAGTACAGGTAGTCTGCACAGGCTGGTACTGTTGTAAAATGTGTGTTAGTGGAACAATGATCTAAATTGGTACTGATTCCAGTAAGTGGTACACACTGATAAGATACTGTATTTATAAATAGAAGTTGACTATTTTTTCTGCACAGTATTTTGTTGAATGTGTTGCAAGTTGATAAAAAAAACATTTTTTAAAAATTGCATTTACTGGAAATTTAAAATCAAAATGGAAATAGTAAAAATTCAGAGTAGCTAAATCAGCATTTGAAAAGTAAATCTGGATTATTGTTTCCAATACAAGTTTCACTAAACATTTATTTGTATTTAATTATCATTAAACATTAAGTGAGTCAGAAGCTTCAAGCCGCAAGTGCTGTTCATGCGTTGCAATGTCAGAGGTGCCATCCTACGGACGAGAAATTAAATACGGCCTGTTCAGGTGTTGAAGATCCCATGACACTACTCAAAAAGAGAAGGGAGTTTCTCTCTCCCAGTGTCCTGACCAACAATCCACCAAATAAAATTGGTTACTCACTCCCTGGCTGTGGGACATTGCTGTGCGCAAAACTGGCTGCCAGCAAACCAGACAGTCAAAACCACTTTACAGCCTATCATGTGAAGGACTTTGAGACATCAAGATGACATGATAAGGCACTAAATCAAATGCAAGTATTATTGTAAATGTCCTTACGCACCTGCAAGTTGTTTTCCCTCTATAGCTATGTATACCTTCTTATTAATAATTCCAAGTCATAGATTACAGCTCTTTCCACTAACTGGACATGTATTATGCTACCTATGGAAACTCTGAGCTGGAGGTTAATAGCTTTGAGAAAGTTCCAATATTTTAGCCCATTCAGAGCTGAACATTTTACTATAGTGTACTGCATGATTTATTTTGCTTCTCAATTTTTTATTTTGAGGGGGTACTATATAATAAAATTTCTTTGTTGTATTAATCCAATAATAGCTATACTTTTACTGCATTCTTCAATCATATTGAAAGCAGAAACATGTCCAGAATACATTCCATAACCCAGTTGCCTTCATATGCTTTAGATGCAGGTGGACAAGGAATAAAAGGCACTGCTAAGCGGCCTGCGGCCTCACCAGAGAAGTAAGTGAGCTTGTATGGGCCTGCATTAGAGCTCTCAGAGGCTGTGCATTTTAATTGACAGCAATTATAATGTACAGTCTTAAAGTGGAGAAACTGTCTCACTATGTGCATACTTTTTTTATTAGTTGTGTTTAGCAATGTAACTTAAATGACCACAACAGCTTTAACTGGAAGATCTTGTGGAATTCGAAGATTAGCAGTTATTTAAACTAACTGGACTCAAATATTTGTGAGTAGAATATCGCCACAAGGGAAAAATGCACCTGGAAGCACTGTACCTTTAAGATCAGAAAATGTTAATAGTTATTGTTTATTCTGTACAGTTTTGATCATCAGGATACATTTTCAAGATGCTCTGTGGAAGGCTACTATTATTCAACTCTTTCCCCCCCACACACCCCACAACTAAATTTTCTTTCTTCCTATTTTCTTCCTTCCTAATCCCTTCTGTGTTCTCTGTTTTTCATTGTATTGGACAGTCAAGTGTATCTCCTTATGTTCCACTCTGGCAGATTCCAGCGTAAGTTAGGGTTCACTCTACTTGTGCACCAAGAACCTGGTCGATATACAAATAATTACATTTACAACAGCAGACTTTATGTCTTGACTTGATAGTTTGGGAAGTAATATCTGGAAGATCTAGGACATAGAGTCCAATCTCGTTTGCAAATTGTTTGTACATTTTTACTGTACATCTAATTGTGTACAAGTTGTCTAAAGCCACTGTTCTTGGAAAAAGAACAAAAAACAGCAGCACAGTATGTGATTTTCTTAAAAGGGCAATCAATTCCTTTCCATATTTTCTTTCTTTTCCTCCTTTGCACCAGTGTAATATGCTATTCATATTTGCAGGGTAAACTTAATTATTTTCTAAAATTAAGGTAGACCACAAGTACAGTTAATCACAGTGAAATTACACTGTTACACACTGTTACTGTTCCTGCTATCCACCAAAGAAAAGACTGCTTGGAAGTATTGTGTTGTAACTTGAGGAGGAACAAAAACCAATGCATGTCTGATCATGTCATTGACGCTAGTCAAGGTGAATTTATTCCTCATGTATGGTGACTAGTGGAATTGTTATGAAAGGAGGAGGGGACACGGAACGTTTGTAATCTAAGCTTATTTGGACTAAGGTGGAAAGCCTGTTGACACAACACTATGAATGTCATTTCAGCTCGAAAAGTGGCAGTGCCAAGAAGTCCAAATCTGAAGGATAAAAGGAAGACTTTTTTATTTGTTGGATCAAAGAAGTAAAGTACCATTGGATAGTATTTGTATTTATTTTGTAAATGTTTTGTAATATGTTTCTGTTATACTCTTTAATTCCTATAACTTGTGAGATTCTTAGAGAAGGGATTTAATTTGTATTAATTGTACAAAATACATTTCTTGTTTTAGAACTGTGACAAATAGGCTTCGAGCAAGTTTTAAAGGATAGCTTTTTAGAAACACATAATGTAGATTTTAAATTTGTATTAACATTACTGTGTAGAGTTCATGTAGGTGGCTTGTTTCTAAAGTGGCTTATTCTGAAATCACTACAGTAGTGACTGGATGTTTGCTGTGCAAGCAGTGGTTTAAAGAGTTTTCAAAGAAATGTTGGTGTTTCACCTTGTTGCAGGTGGATTAGGTAGGTCTTTAAAGCATGTTTATATGTGGATAAAGTATGGGACCAAAAAAGGCACTACGGGAAAGCAGCTTGTTCTCAGAGTAGCACTTACACAGATTCTGAATCACCATTAGAAGCAGACGTTATTTGGACATTTTTTTTTGTGTGTTCGCGTGTGCTACAAAGTGGCATTCTTGTGCGTGGTTTGTGATGACAAATTTAAAACTGCCTTTTTATTTTAATTTTTTTTACACAAATAATAGCGAACAAAAAATGTATTGGACGTGTTTAAGTTGTATGACCCCACAAGTTGTTTTTGCTAAAATTGCTATTAAACATCGCCAAATATATTAAACAGAATCGGCTCTTGTTCCACTTGTTGGCCCCAAAACAGCAGCCATTTCTTTCCTTCCCCACCCCCACTACAGACACACATAAGCACTCAGTCCCATCTACAGAAATCACAACTGAAGCTTAGAACTTAGAAGGGGGATAACAAGGAATATCAGCAGTTTTCCCAATGAGTGTTGTTTTTTGGCACAAACAAAACAGCTGTTTTAAGCTACTAAACTCTCAATATCAAATATTAAATGGATTAAAATCTTGATATGTTAAGGGAGCTACTTACTTTGGTGAGTACCATTGGTTTCAGGAATGTTGTGGGGTCATGCAACTTCAAGGGTTTGTTGCTCATTTTTTGTTGGGCTGGTTGAGGCTGTTAATTGATTAATGCTACTACATTGGCTCCTTTTCATCATCTTATAATTGTGTAGTTCAGAAGATTAACCTCTGCTATATTAATGTGTTTTCATTGAGCTTGTAGTTACGATCATTTTTCCGCTTGCTTGGGTGGATTTTTCTTTATTTGTAATTTCACTGTTAATAACCTGTCTATATGTTCACAATGCTGTAATTAATACAAAACTTATAGAGCAAACTTTGATTTGAATTTTAGGCAGCTGCACATAAAGATCTGCACAAATGCTTTTGATAATATCACACCACTTGTAGCTTCAGCTATGGCAAGATGCATTGGGAAGTGTCAGTATAGAGGAAAGGCATAATATTCAGGAATGTTGCTCTTGTGTCTTTATGTGGATGTATATTATGTATATTTATCATTGGAGTAATCCTGATTACAAGCAATCATTTGGTAAGGCATGTTAAGCTTTCTTGTTTTGCAGTAAATACTGCTATTAGACTATTCTGTGCAGATTAGTTTCATTAAAATGATACATTTCCAGCAATAGATGGAGCATTTGGTATCTTTTTACTCCTTGTACCTAGATATTTATTTATACACAACATTCAAAAGTACTTTGAGTTATTGAAAGTGGTATAAACACTTCCATGTACCAGGATAGTTCTCAAAACCGAGGGACACTTTCTGAAGACCAAAGCTTATTGGCGCAACAGAGTCCAGCTCAATCATAGGCACTTCACCACCACATGTATAAATGTGTGGAAAGTACAGAAATGTACTTCCAGGTTAATGTAGCCTTATAGCCTGTGGCGTCGTAACCGTGGTGCACATAAATGAGTTACTCAGTTTGCCACCAAATCCACTTTGTGCTAAGCATTTCCTTGTGTAACTCCTCAAACTTGTTCTTTTCAGTGTTTATGATATATGTGATAATGCAATAGAGGCAAACGGACATTCCATGCAATTCTGCAGTAAAATATGCAACTGGTTGAAATAAAGTCACCTCCAAATTGCAGCACAAAGATCAATCACATCTTAAACAGCAGAGGCAGATATCAAGAACAGCATAAATGTTAAAGAAGAAGGTACTTGCATTTTTATAGTATCTTATTACTTACAGTTGTCAACTGTAGTGACTACTTTTGCACGTAGAAGATCATTTACCGCAGATAAGTTTATTCCTCATTCTTTAGAATGAGTTTGAATTATATATACAAAATAGTTTTGCACATCCTATATCTAATAATAAACCCTCCAAGAAACAAAAACAATAATAAATTGGTCATTTTCAATCCATGACTGTTTGTGGGACACCGCTGTGCGCAATTGGCTGCCGAGTTTCGCCCATAAATACACAGACAATTCACTTCACAGTATATTCTGTGAAGTGCTTTGAGACATCTAGAAGAAGTGAAAAGCGCTATATCAAATGCAAGGATTGTTATTATTTATTATATCTAAACAACACTAGGTCACAAATCTAGTGCCATGTTACTCAAGTTGATTTCCCCCCCCCCCCACCCCCAACTCCGACACATGCTTTGAATATGTAAGCCTTTACCTGCAGGTATACAAACTCCATTTCTTTTGAAAGAAGGTGGAGGTGGCAGCAGCATTATGAATAAGTGACACTCAATAAAAATGTTTAATGTATATAAAAAATGATAGCTACAAGATGAGATGTGCCAAGTCAGGCATAGAAATGAGAGGCAGGACGAAAGATAGCTTTGCTTGTGAGGGAGCAAGACAGATCTTGCCTTTCGGAGATGATGCCAGATTCTCACATTCATTCAACCTGCACATACCAAATGAAGTGCCAGATATCTCAAATCTCTTAAGTGGTCTACTGTGCTCTTTGGTAGCTGTACCACATTCTGTGGAGGCTGACACTTCTCGGGAAAACATTTGGTCATCTGGGAGTCCGACACAGGAGGAGACCTATGCTTAACAGTATCCAAACTATGTGGAGATCCAGGTGACCATTTTCCCCCATGTATCTCTGCAAGGAAACTCACATTACAAAAACAGAGAGCTGGAAAACTTCACCGAAACCTTGACTCACTTTCCTTTCTCCTAGATGCTGCCTGACCTGCTGAGTTTTCCCAGTTCTCTCTGTTTTTGTTTCAGATTCCAGCAACTGCAGTATTTTGTGTTTTGTTCAGGAAAACTCACATTGTCTGGAATGGAACGTGGACTCTCTTCCCTGGATGACACACCCTGATTACCGAATGCTGGGGAGTATTAGGCACAGGTTGGCAAGAGCCAAGTCTTGGGGAAGCCAGATTATGCATTAAGGTGCTGTAGGAGTTTAGTCAGCTAAATCTGCATAATTTACCATTGAAAGCTCTGTCTGGCAAGCTTCCACCTACTTGTCCAGTTAGGACCACCCTACCCATTTAGAGTAGGGTTAACCAGCTGAGTGCTGCAGTACTCTGGGATCCTATTTTACATGAAGGAAGCTTTTGTTTGCAAGTTGTTGCAGTTACTTTCCTCAGACAAGACATTAAACGGAGGTCTGGTCTGTCTCAGTTTGATGTCACTATTCAAAAAGAGAATGCAGTTTCTTCCAGGGCCCTGACCAACAATCCCCTAGAAAAATTGGTGATTCACTTTATGGATGTTTGAGAACATTGTTATGTGCAAATGAACTTCTGTGTTTGCCTATAAATACAGTCACGATTCAGTAAATCTTGTGAAAGGTGCTATACCAAATGAAAAGGATTATCATTATAGTTTGTTTTGACTTCTAGCATTTCATACAAATTAATCATTAGCTTAATGGTAAATTCATTCTGAGACTTCAATCCATACTCTTAACATAAGCTTGTTTTATAAAGCTGAGATAGCATCAAATGTGCATGGTCTCTCACTAATTAAGGCTATTACTTTGGTTGCTTTAGGCTTTTACTGTATAAGTTGGACCATGATTATTTTCTGCATTATCATAAATTATCATTATCATAAAGCTTTGCAGTGTATTTTAAAACCGTAAGACCTATTTGTATCAAATTGCAGGACAGAATACTTAAACCTTAAAAAGTTAATGTATGCAATATTGATGTAATGTAGCAACATAATGTATCATCTGAGGGAACAGATTGTAACCCAAAAAATTATTTTGATTGCACATAAAATGAACATCAGTAAACGAAATACTGCACAAGGTTTTAACCTAGTCTAGTTTATAATTTCCATTTAACCTTTGTTTATTGCAGCGTTGTTATTTTCTCCCTGACATATGGAACAATTTCACTACATTCAGCTGAGGAATCATTTTTGTAAGTTGTTTTGGTAAAACGATTAGATTGCTGAAAATGGTGCAGTAGTAAATTGGTTTGTTATTGCAGGTTTATCACAAAATAAATTGTAGGGAAGTACAGAAAGATTCTAAACCCAGTACACAATACAATATTGATGGGTTATGATTTATATGTAGAATTTACAGTATTGCAGAGTTCTCTAACTCCAGTCCCAATGTGTTGAAACATTTCAAATATGATACTTAAGACAATATGCTAGCTTCCAACACACATGCTTTCAAATAATAATAATAATAATCCTTGCATTTGATATCACGCTTTTCACGTCGGGAGGACGTCCCAAAGCGCTTCACAGAACACACTGTAAAGTGAATTGACTGTATATTTGTGGGCGAACGCGGCAGCCAATTGCGCACAGCAATGTCCCGCAAACAGTCGTAGATTGAAAATGACCAATTTATTATTGTTTTTGTTTTTTGGAGGGATTATTATTAGGCTCTGTGTGGAGTAAGGAAACTTGCCCGAAGTTTCGCCCTCCGCCTGGAACTGAACTCGGGTCTCTCGCTTGCAAAGCGAGTGCTCTAACCACTGAGCTACAGGACTCCAGACTGCAGTGGGTCAGTTTGTGGCTAACCTCCCACATTGCGAGGGCCAATAGAAAATTGTGGAAATATTTTCAAAAATTGCGGAAATAATCGCAGAGAAATTTGACAAATTTTGTGGAAAATTGGTTGGAGGGAGGGGGGTTGATGTTTTGTGCGAACTGGGCTGTTCCAGTTAAATAAGAAATGTAGGTTTGTTATCCATGTAATTTGAGACGTGTTAAGTAATATGCTTATTTGTATTACAGGTGGTCACTCTTTAAACATTCTGCTTCCTTACACCTTTTCAGTGTTAGATATTTTAAACTTTATCCACAAGTTGCACTACCTTGTGGATTAGTTAGCGCAACTTTGGAATGTATTGTATTACATTGACATACAACATATGTGAGTATTATTCTCTGGTATTTTTGATTACTTTCCGATTAGATTTATTCCTCAATTTTACTTAGACCACCAACTTATTTGGGATCCTATAGAACGCATCTATTAACTGATCATTACTTAACATGCACAACAGCAATGTCAGTTTGTGCGGTTAGTTCTGGCTCAGTCCTCAGATAGACACAATAGTGGTTTAGTGAGCCTCAATGACCCAGATGAGGGATGTGGGGAAAATCAGCTCCCAATTCCTAGCAGTGTCCAATCTCAGAGCTGGAGAGGTGGAAAGGGTGAGGTGAAATGTGCTTGTAGTTTAATGTCCTGGTCAAGTCAATTTGGGTGAAGTACAGGATGGCAACTGAGTTCTAAAGAATTGTAGCCCAGAAGAACAAAAAGGGGTAAAATGTCAACTTCTTCAAATAATCACAATTAGAAAGGAAAATGTGGGTCATCTATAGAAAAAAAACAAAAAGCGTTTCACCCTTTAGGACAGAGTTAAGTGGACAGCAGTAGCTTTAAGCTCAGTGTGAGCCTCAACCACCTCCTCCAGTAAAATCTATCATCAAGGGTTGTTTGATTCCCATGCAAAGGAGGTTCAATGTGAAAAGTTAATCCAGATTGATGATCCAGACAATTTAAGGTGGACGAGGACAATTCACAAAGCAAAGAGTAATTGGAGCAACTTCTGGATCAGTTCACATCAACAGGCTGTAAAGCGCAACAGACAGACCAAAACATCTGCTTTAGTACTCTCAAAAACAATTTATTATACACCTGTTTTATTAAAAGGGTACATCTAGTGAAATTACTTATTTGAATTACAAAAGGAGCAACATGATTCAATATGAAAATAAGATACTGTCCAGTAAGCTTTGACAGTAATAAATCAGTCACACAGCTGCCAACGAAATCAGCTCCAGCATTTTCTTTACACAAAACCAAACAAACTCTTGTACAAAACAAAAGTACTTTGTAACTGTGATACATTATAAAGATTCAGTTTTCTTTTTAAAACCGGTAAATAAGAAATGATCCTTCAGGTAGGGTTAGAAATTGTATTTCTTGGTCACACCCCAGGAACCTATCAAAGCATCTACATCTATCCAGAATATAGTACGGAGCAGGTCAATCGATCCTCATCAGGTCAGCTGATAGTTTCTCTGCTCTTATCCTTGTTCATTTTCAGCCAGTAATCTGTTATCACACAGTTTCATACGTTTCTACATCTTACATTTCGATCAGGAGAACTGAATTGGTTGTACACCTGAAATCTGCAAAATTAAGAAGAGAAAAAGCAATCGATCAGCTTCCAGTAAAAATGGCCGGACAATACTGAAGCTCTGTTGGCCCATTTCTTTGTTACAGAAACAATACTCAATTACCTCAGCACAGTTTGATAATGAAGCACTAATCTGATTTTTAAAAAGTACAATCATATTTGGACTAGATTATTGATCACATTGCTGATGTATTGCATATTACAGTAAACCTCACATAAGACAACAACTTGCATTTATATATAGCACCCTTCACGCGGGATAGTGTCCTGGAGCGTTTCGAGTTGGGGCAAAGTATGAATTGTTTTGCCCACAAATATACAGTCTATTCTATGAAGCGCTTCGAGATGTCGAGAAGACGTGAAAAGCGCTACATCAAATGCCAGGATTATTATAATAATTGTAAATTTCATCAATAGTAGGAAATTCAACGAGACTTGGGCTATTATATAATTCATACAGATCATACTTGTGAAAGTTTTACTGAACTATATTAAAACTGGATTCTCTTCACAAATTCTAGTTTTTGTCTTTTTTATAGGCAGTAATAATGAGGAAATTTAGAATTAGAAGTTTTTATATTTGTTTTTTCAAATAAAGAAAAGCTATTTTAGCTTAATAATTCTTGCGTTTCATATAGCGCCTTAGCACTTCTTCGAGACGTCTCAAAGCGGTTCACAGAATATACTGTAAAGTGAATTAATTGTATATTTTGTCAGGACATTCATAAAAATGGAACAGGTTCTGTCAGTAACAAAACACATTAGAGATGAAACTCAACACCGGGATTGATTGCTGCAAGACAACAACACTGCAGTTTTAACAAACGCTTAACTCCTACCTGTTGGTAAGATGTTGTATAAACCATCACATTTTGTTGCTGGCCATCAGCAGTGATCAGTCCTGTTGTCAATTGATTAGCTGTTGGGAATAAGAATCAAATCATAAATCGTTTAACCTTTTATAATAAACAAGAATCCTTGCATTTGATATAGCACTTTTCACATCTTCTAGACAACAGCAAAATTACTTTTGTAAAGCGCCTTTCACGTCAAGAGGACGTCGCAAGGTGCTGAACAGTCAGGGATCAGGACCCAAGCGTGTGGGGTCAGAGTTGGGAAGAGGGAGGTCAGAGAGCTAGGAGGGCGGCTGAAGGTACAGTCGAAAAGGAGAGTCTTAAGTCCTGCCTTGAAGGAGGCAAGGGAGGGAGCAAAGTGAAGGGATTGTGGGATGGAGTTCCAAAGGGTGGGGGAAGAGAGGCTGAAAGCAAACAGTGCATAGCTCTGTGGAATTCTTGAGTGCTATTAAAAGGCAGGGCAAAACAAATCTTGTATTTTTCTTGACATTGACAAGTTTCTTATGACACATTAACATTGTAACAGGCAAAAACAGTCATTTATGGATACGCTGTTACTGCGACAACATGTAAACCTTTCCCTCAAAATCTACATTGGGCCATGCAGCAACAGGCTGTTGGGCACTAAGATACTTCAAACAAGGCCTTCCCGGACTCAAACTGCAATATTTCGACCTTAAGACTGCTCCAAAGTCTTTCAATGCATTAAGTTGTTTTCTACCGATTATAAAAAATAGCTGTATTTATATGCAAATATCTCTCCTGACATCGAGCTGCCAACCTCAGTAATATTTCTTAAATTCCAGCACAACAATCTATAATCAGCAGATGCCAATACTTACAGAATGATTCTTCTGTGAGTTCCTCGCCAAGCCCATCAGCACTTCCACCTGTTGCCGGGTTTATTCCTTTCTCCCCTTTCATTGCCTGAACAATTCAATTCAGCTTTATTATATTAAAAAAGACAAAGTGATTGAAAAATCAATTTGCTTCTTCCAGGTACCTCCTTGATTTTGCATGGAGCTAACATTACAAGAATCAAAAGCAACAGAGATAGTGCAAAACCACCAGATAATGGTATTCCAGTGCACTGAGACAATGGAAATGACACCAGGTGGAATCAGGTCGGCAGCAAACTTCCTGTCCCGGTCTTGCTGTCGATGGAAGATCCCAGATGAGACCAGAGACTTGGAGAGAATCCATTCCAGTTCTCTCTCTTCATTCACATTCATACACACACACACAGCAAATCAATAGTAGTTCTGGCAACAAGATAGTTTTTCCACTGTGTGAGCCAGAAACTGCACAAAAATTGCTGACTTCTAAAATAACACAAACTACCAACAGTTTACCAATACATCAAAAATAGCAATAGTTTAGACATGTAAAATGCTAAATGTTAAGCAAGCTTACCTCTCTGAATTTCTGCAAGTACAGTTTTAGTGGTTCCACATAACTATCAAACCCCAGTGTAGACATAGCAAAAAGGATGTCTTCTCCGTTGATAGTTTTGCGTTTCTCCTGGTGACACCTTTCACTGGCTTCTGACGTTATAAAACTGATAAACTCGCTCACGCACTCTTGAACACACTCTTTAGCATCCTTAGCAATCTGGTGAGAAAAAAATATCAAGTTGGAGTATTCAGAGATCAATATATTAGTTTTCTGACTTTATCATATCCATTGAAACTCACAAGTCAATATCTATTGCATTCTCAATTACAGATAGGGTACCTAAAAGTAGAGTGCTAAACAGTAAACTTGAGTGATGAATACATGTTCCTTTCTTGCTGCAGTAGCTTTCTAATAGGACTAAACTGTACCTCAGAATTTGAAGACACATTTTATAACTAAACCCTGTAACGATTATTTCCTACTCAGAATTAATGCAGAATGCTGTTTCTAGATTAACAACAGGTTTCACAGAGGCTTGGGAGTGGGACACTCATCTTTCCTTTCTCTGCGGGAATGACATTTACACAGGTCTTTCACAACAAAGAATTTTAAAAATTGTAAGACAAATAAGGTTTCAAATGACAATTTCTGTATCAATGCAACATGGTTTTGAAATCCCTGATAAGAGTGAAATCCATAATTTGGCAAGTCACTGGAGACCATGTTTACACAGGCACTCTCACACTACATGGCTGCACTCAAGTTAAACTTCAAAAAAGTTCAGAAGCATTGGTTCACTGCATCACCTTCAGATATGTTTAAAGACAGTTCTTCACTAACATTCAACCTTCATTCAGGTACAAGCGTTGGAAGCTCTGCACATCATTTGACCAATGAGAGTGCAATTTGCTGCCTCCAGTTGTTGTACATTATAAAACAAGCAATCTGGTACCCCAAGTAGATAACAGAGATGCCCATATAGAACAACATCTTACAGGAAGTCAACAAGGAGCTTGCACTTAACTAGATTAAAAGTGGTTATTCTAAAACTCTAAGTGCAACTCAAATCTCCACAAATCTTGGTGGATTGGTATGAGATTAGACACGCTAGTAACCATTTACATTTACAAGATGGACCTGTGTCAAGATTCACGCTCAATAGTAACAGATACCAAATCCACAAATAGAAAAAGGAGCTGATCATTATCAACCCCCGCAGCCTGTTGCAGGCTGAGGCACATTCCTTTGCAGCAGATTGATCAGTTCAAAATCTCCATCATGTTTCTAGTCCCACTCTGAGGATGTCCACTGCCTATCAGAGACTGCTAGCCACAGGCAGGGTTTATTATCTACACTTACAATCAAAATCAGTCACCAAAAAACATCAGAAAAGAATTCTACATAACTGACTGTGAAGTATGTTCATTTTATAACTCCTAGCTCTAAGAAAATTCATTCTTTAATATAAAGTCTAAGTCCACACACTTGTAACATGCACCAATAATGCTGAGCTATGCGCCAGAAGACATAGGTGATACTTCTCCTTCACATAATACAAGTTGAATAATACCTTTCCTGTTGTAGGCACGGCTGATTTCATTATCCGAGCGACATTAGCAATCGGAAGATAGATGTCTTGTTCTCTATAGGATTCTTTGGAGCCATTTGTGTCATCATGATCACCAAGCCCTTCATCTGTATCTCCTGAAGCATAGCAATTTTAAATAAAAAATACGGACTATATACTCAAGTGCACTTTTACATTTTTCAAGGTTAATTTTTGGAATCGGGGTGGTGCTGTCATAATGCAGCTTGAAAATGGAAGGTTTTTGCACTTTTGGTACCCAGAATTAGTATAACCAGGGGTGTTCCCAGAACTCTGCAACCCCCTTCGCACATACAAGAGACATCTATTTTTAGACCAGATACCAGGAGTCCATTTTAGGCAGCAGGGAGTAATGTTTTGGAAGGATGCTGTGCATTGACTGGCACCCAATACAATTGCCCTGGAAACCGAATTTTAATAATAATCATTGTATTTGTTTTGCACCTACAACATCAAAACAGCTCAAAAGCATGTTTAGTGTCAAGTTTGCTATAAGCTGTAGCGACTGTCTATTTGTAGGCAAACATGGCAGCCAATTTGGCATGGCAATGTCCCAGAAAACACATGTTCAAAGTTCAATGCAGGTATGTTACACTGCGATTGGAAGTACAGAAGGAAATGGTAAAAGAATTATGAAGTGAATGACCAATTTCATAGTAGGGAATGTTGGCCAGGACGCTGAGAGAAACTCCATTCTTGCAGGTTCTTACCTTCATGGGACTGTAACACATAGTGACTTCCACCTATATAATCGCCAGCAATTCCTAACTGCGAAGCATCTGTTGTGGAACCGTCGCCATCCATCTGGAAAAGGAAGAATATTTAAGTGAAACAATACTGATTTACTTCCTAAAAAATGAGCAGTCGAGTATTACGATTGCATAATACATTCTTAAAATAATGCAAATCAATAATATATGTAGACAATGTTTTAAAAGGGGATGTTAGATTTGTTTGTAAGCTTACATGAATCTTGTAAAGTAATCCTTTGACACTGTAGGATCCACATTAGGTCAGACAAGATTCTCTGGGTTACAAAGACAAATAATACTGTTTTGCTAACATCTCTGAGTGCTTTTGTACAACATCCACATAACCTGAGTTCTGCAGTGCACAGTAATCATTTTGCTTCAGTAAACACATGTTCAAAGTGTATATGCAGGTCTGTTACACCGCGATTGGAAATGCAGAAAGAAAATGGAACAAGAATCTGAATACATAAAATACATTAAAATGGCGCAAGCTGTGGAGGTGAGTTCAAATTAAGTCAATACATTGTTAGATTTCAATGGAGTTGTAGATTGTCCGTACTCCTGCGTTACAGGATTGTAACTTTTTAATCTAAGGATTCAGTTCTGCAGTATATTTTTCATCTCTCAGGAAGATATTGTAAGAGGCTCCAGCTAAAAGCAGTGCCCAGTATTTAATGACACCACACAGACCAAAAGTCCATAGGTCTGTTTCCCTGGTCTGTCCTGAAATAGCTGATCTTAGCTAGGGTAGCAGTTGGGGCAGTACAATTGATATTAGTAGCCCTAAGATAAGGAGAAGTAATAATCAAGTCATGAATCTTGCTTCTGATTGAGATCTAGTGAACTTGCTGGAAAGTGTTCATGTAAGTGACAAGATCAGATTTGTCCCTGAATTCCCCATGATTAAATATTCTCCTGTTTAGGCTTACGCATAAAGAATGGCCATTTGGACAATGTCCTGGAGGGCAATCATAATTAATTCTAATGTATTGATTTGTTTTATTGCATATACAGAATTAAGCACTTATATGGGCAAGTGATTACAGACAGAAAATGTTAATGAACTGCACAAGAACCAAAAACATACTGGAGCTGACAGGCTGAAGCATAAATTGGTGTTGATAAAGAAGTCGATAACTCTACTTACATTAAGCAGCCTATATAGAAACAGTACCTTGTGGAGAAATAAAACCACTGGTCAAGCCTACTTCTTGGAATAGCGGTCACTCATGCACAGGTGTTATTGCTGAATTTGCTGTTAAACTTGTGCATAATGCAAATTCCAGTTCATATAAATGGAAATATTAGCAGTGGGTATTGTACCTAGTTTAGGCAAATCTGTTTGAACATATTGTGTACAATGGGATTCAATCATAGTTTTGTGCACCTCAAAAGTGAAAGTAGCATGATCAAAAGGGAAATTCACCAATACTCACAGAAGCCTGGCAGCAAAAATATTTATAATTAGGCTACAGAGTTGATCAAAATAAATACAGAATACACAATTTGTTAATATACAAATTAGGGTTCTTTAAGCAAATCCTTAAAAGGAAAACATCAAAACTGTAGCAGTTTAACAACAATTGAGTCATTTTAAAAATATAACTACACTTCCTGTGGTGACTGTAAACAGCTTCGTGAACAGATCACACTATTTGAAGTATTCATTTTTTTCTTGTAAGAATGTAAATCTGTCATAATGAAATGTAAAATGCTTTTAGAAAATCACTGTAATTCTACCAATATCCAACACCCTTTATTATAACATTGAAATATTGAAATTGAAAAATGTCCTTAACATAACATCATCTCCTATTTCTTATAAGCACTTTTTAAATAAATCTCTCCAATGCCATAAATTCAGTTACTAATTTCCATTTCATAACATTTTCAACTCAATAAAGATTAATATCACACACGGCACAAGACTGACTAAACACCCCACTCACTACCTTTGCTCAACCTGTGTGATTTACACTGAATATCAAGGGATTCTGAGATTGCTTTGTAACTCGCTCACCATCAAGAGTCAGCTGACATTTTTTTTCTGAAATAAGTTAGTAAAATACTATATTAGATATCTTGTTTCACATCTATTGCAAAACAAGAATATATCATGACCTAGTGTAGAAATATTGATCAGAGCTTCAGAGTATGCACATGATATAAGATTATGGCACACTAACTTGATAAACACAGTAGCAATTATTTTTACACTCTAAATTACAGTAACAAAATAGCTTATCTGACTCTTTTAAACATTTCCCCAAATTACAATGAGGTATTATTAAAGATCTTTGAGACTCCAGCGTTCTTATCTAACAGGTGATAGAAACCATATATTCTGTTTACTCATGTGGAGTCCTGTAGCTCAGTGGTTAGAGCACTCGCTTTGCAAGTGAGAGACCTGAGTTCAACTCCAGGCAGAGGGCGAAACCTTGGGCAAGTTTCCTTACTCCACACACCTAATAATAATCCCTCCAAAACCAAAAACAATAATAAATTGGTTATTTTCAATCTACGACTGTTTGTGGGACATTGCTGTGCGCAATTGGCTGCCGCGTTCGCCCACAAATATAGTCAATTCACTTTACAGTGTGTTCTGTGAAGCGCTTTGGGACGTCCTCCCGACGTGAAAAGCGCTATATCAAATGCAAGGATTATTATTATGAGCTTTTTCCTGTTCCTCTCACACCCAAAAGATAGTCAACTGAAATATCAACTAACTGTTAAATATCATAATAAAAGGATAACACCACCTGGCTATTTCTGCTTGTTATCTTTACAACATGCTGTGACTCACCATTCTAAAAAGAGCTTGGGGATTTCTGAACCTCCCATCATATAGAGACCATCTTAAAATGTTAACAGCTGGAAAGGGGTAGCAATATAAAGTGTGAGCTTCACAAACAAGTTACTGCACTCAGAAAGTATGAACACATTGAGCTCACACCTGAACATTGAGCATTTCTGCTTATGGAATTGTGCGCGGATAGAGACTATCCAGTTTCTAAATGTACATTGGATTTCTTTTTGACAGCTTTTCTAGATTTTTTTTGTACTCTCCACGACCATCTGCGAGTCTGCCAAACCCACAGGGTGCTTTCCCCGGCTGTCTTGTACTTTGCAGTGGTATGCAACATTCTGAAACTATGTAGAGACATTTGCAGGTTTCTGGAACTTGCTACAGGGACAGAAAACCACACTAAACAGCCAGCTCCTCCATAAACTTGAAGCCAGAAATACCAAAGGAATCTACCAGCATATATCTAAAAAAATGTGACAAACCATATATCCTTTCCTCTCTAAAAAGAAGCATTTTACAGAGGAAAGTTATTAGTTATACAACCTTATCCTTTCACAAGTTGCCAATCAGTTAATTTCAATAAAATCAGATTTTAAAATACATCAGTATATCGTGATGTTATTACTACGTTCATCTGTTATTATCGAGCAAAAATGGCATACACTACTAAATTAAAAGTTGTGTTGTTATGAGAATATACAGGTGGGCGGTGCCTCATTGGGTGTGCCTTTATCTCTACCCCTGCAAACCGTAGATCACTCAGCAGCAAAAACAAACACTAATAGAACAAATTGCATTTATATATCTCCTTTCACGTCAGGATATCCCAAGGCGTTGAACAGTCAAGGGTTTGCATCAGGTGTGGAGGGTAAGCTGACTGAAGGCACAGTCAGAGGAAAGTAGACAGATCTTGAAGGAAGCAATGGAAGGGGTGAGGCAAAGGGTCAGTGGGGGCAGATAGGTTGAAAGCTGATGGTGGAATGGCAGGGCGGGAAGTGTGAAGCAGGCCAGCACCTGCTGAACAGAGGAAGCATGTGAGTTTGTAGGGTTTAATAAGTTTGCAGAGGTAGGGTGGGTAAGCCTGTGGAGGAACTTAAAAGAACCAACTGGAAAAAAAAATTGTACTTTACAAGTCAAACATTTGCAGATTTTTTTGGCTTAAAAATGACAAACATTATTTCTGTCTTATAATTTAAGGCTTTGAAATCAAAGTTTGGTTTCACTTGACCATGGTCAACATTTTAATTATCATGATATTGCAAGGCATAATCCTACAACTGCTTTTCTAAATGTAAAAATCATAATACTGTGTTTTCTCTAACCCAGATATCTTTTGGTGCCTTTAGTCGTTTTGAATTTTTTTTTTTTACTTCCATTTCACCATAAAACCAGTTCATATAAATGGAAACAATCTGATCGTGGTGAAACAGACTCCACCCACACGCTTGCCAATACAGCGAGTTGGCCAAATTGTCCATTTCCTTTCAATAAATCAAAGATTATCCAGACATTTGTAAGGAACAGTAAATGCTAAGGTGCAGCCAGCCAGTAAAGCACCACCAGCAAGGCAGGTAGCCAGTGAGCAAATAATGCATTACTGGAGATAAAATATTTATGGCCAGTATCCAGGTTAATGGCATCAAACTGCAATAATAAGCTTTCGTAGGAAATGTGGCCTCCACCACTGAATAAGCAACCTCTGCTTTTGAGGTACGGTGTGAGAGAACCTTTGACGGTCACTTTTTAAATCTTTTCTACTCGGGTCAGAATAGATATACCCCAAATACTGATATAAAATGTATAGGGGGGTGTGGGGGGAAGACAGAGGAAGAAAGGGGGAGAGAGGTTCCGATTCCTTTTATTGACATTAAGGCATGACAGACTTCACTCAGACACGACTCAAACCTGCCACAAGCCTCACTGCCAATACACTCGTTGAAATAAATACTGAATTGACCAACAGACGAGAGACACTCCTGGACAAGACATTGAAAAAGACTGGGTTTAAAAACAACTGTGTGTGTGTGTGTATGGGGGGGGGGGAGGTGAAGATGCTGAACAACATACTTCGAGATCAAGAGCACAAACACATACAGAAACCCTTTGCAAAGTAAAGGGCTGAGGAGAGTTCAGCCACGTTGCCCGGTGTGGTCTGGTCTGGTCTGGACTGACAGTTGAGTTACCTTTGGACACATTGGCGGCTGATGTCAGACCAGGTTACTGACCGGCACTCTCAGCCTCGGGTTTGCCACAGCCGCCGGTGGCAATGGGAAGAGTCTCGTCTCGCCTTTGCTCCAGACCAGGGGGGAGGGGAGAGGGGAGGTCACCGACACAGCAAAACCCCCGAGGCCTGAGCTCACGGAGTGGGCCTGAGCTCCATGTCAGGGGCGGAAGGCAGAGGCAGAGCTCAGGGCTCCCTCCCTCCCCTCCCCAGCGCGGGCCTCTCTCTCCCCCTGACCAGGGGCACCCCCCACCCTCTCTCTCTCCCCCACCCACCCACTCCCTCCCTCTCCCCTCTCTCTCTCTGGACCTTCATACTCTTCCCCCTCCCTCCTCAGTCAGGGCCCCATTTCCCTCCCCTCCCGCTTTTTTTCCCCCCCTCCCTCCCTCCCACTCGCCGCCAAAAAAGTGCAGCGAGCGCGGGCGGCACCGGGGCGCTGGTTCAGCGGCCGCTTGAGATCCCCCCCCATACCCCCCACACACCCCCGACCCGAGGGAGGGGAGAGAGGGCGGGTGGGCGACCGCTTCAGGGATATGGTGAAACCCCATCCCAGGGAGAGAGAGGGAGAGGGGGGAGGGAGGGGGGGAGGTGGGCGGGAGAGGGGAGGGGAGGAGGGGGGGGAGGGAAGAGAAAAAGAGCGGGGAAGCGAGCGCCTGTAGGCCGCGGCCCGAGCCCGAGCCCCGTCGCCCGCACAGCCCCCGTCCTGCCCGTCCGCGGCTCGAGCCACGAATCCGAGCGCAGCCCCAACGCGCCTCTTCCTGCTCGATCCGCAGCAAATAAAAAACGGACGGACATTAGGTTCAAGCGGGGGAGCTGCAGAAATCGGTGCGAATCATTGGCCAAGCGGGGACAAACCTTATTGAAGCGCTGCCGGAGCCCTGGTTGGTTAGTTGAAGAAGCGGCTGTGGTTGGACAAAATGGCTGCGAAGGAGCCAGTCCCAGCGCGGAGCCGCGCTTCCAGCACTCGGCCCGCCCTCCCCCCGCGGTCCCAGCGCGGAGCCGCGCTTCCAGCACTCGGCCCGCCCTCCCCCCGCGGTCCCAGCGCGGAGCCGCGCTTCCAGCACTCGGCCCGCCCTCCCCCGCGGTCCCAGCGCGGAGCCGCCCTTCCAGCACTCGGCCCGCCCTCCCCCCGCGGTCCCAGCGCGGAGCCGCGCTTCCAGCACTCGGCCCGCCCTCCCCCGCGGTCCCAGCGCGGAGCCGCCCTTCCAGCACTCGGCCCGCCCTCCCCCCGCGGTCCCAGCGCGGAGCCGCCCTTCCAGCACTCGGCCCGCCCTCCCCCCGCGGTCCCAGCGCGGAGCCGCCCTTCCAGCACTCGGCCCGCCCTCCCCCCGCGGTCCCAGGGCTTCCCCCAAGGCTCCCAAGATTTGGTTTGGATGGAGAAAGTTTCCCTTCGAGGTCCATTGTATCCCGAATGCCCGTCCTGGACCTTCGGCCCATCGCAGCTTCAAGCTGTGTGTTAAATGAGTCCGCTGTCCCGGCCTCGGACATCCTTCCTGATGACCCGCTCCAGCCTCAAATCGCCATCTGGATTGAAAAGGGAATGTTTCCCGGTGTCGGCCCCGAAATTGCCCTCCGCCACTCTGAAAGGATGTCCTCGTGCTCTACAGCGGCGGCCGCCGGTCTGGATGCTCTCGAGCGCGGTGATGGGATTCCGCGTACGTCACACACCCGACCGACTTGGCCCCCAAAACAACAATCACATTTTCCTTCGTTGAATTTTTTCTTCAATTACGGCTGTGCCGTAGGTATCGTGGCTCAGTAGCTACTGGAACTTTGACGCGGATGTGCCTGGACTGGTGGGGGGGGGGGGGGTTGGTTTGTGGTCCACCTCTTCATGCTCCAAGAAGTTGATCACAATCAAGTGGTCAACCGGTTGGAGCCCCCTCTTCTAAAGGATTGTTCCTGGTTTACCTTTCCAGACTGGGCAGAGCTGGTGTTTGCCCCGTGGGTGCCCCGTGCAAAGCTTCGATTCCAGGGCCCCTATCACTTGCCAGAGGGGGTGGGGGGTGAATCACACTTGTGTAGCCGGGGTCAGTAGCTGCTGTCGATGACTCTTTAACCGCGGGGGTAGCAGGCAGCCGGTTGCGACCCAATCGAGCTCTGGGCAAAGCCTAACGGTTTCTCCTCAGTTGCTGGGGTACTCAGAAAGTAACTGAGTCAGGATGGCAACCACCCCAGCTGCCTCGGGGTCACATGCAATTGGGTTGCACGTGCCTAACGCTGCCATTCAAGTGCACCCATGATGTATTGAGTGCACATACCTTCACAAAATCTAAAATCTGAGTTCAATTTGTATTGGCGTACATTTGTAAATCAATGTTGCAAGGATATAAAACCACATTACTTGACACGAATAAAACCTTAAGACAATAGAAATAAAACTAATTAGTAAACGGACATTGTGTGTCAGCCTGGTTTACCAAATGGAGGACCAGGAAAGCCTCAATCTCCCGGGATTTTTCTTATACAGCATTCATAAACCTGAGCCATTCAACACCGTGATGGGTTGACTTGATTCCAACGATCCATTGCCAAGCACGTGACCATGCTCAGCTCCAAGGAGACCCAGCTTACTAGGAGGATAGTTACTAGTTGGTCATTTGACAACTACAGATTTAGGTCTTCGATGGGTAGATAGGGATAGCAGTAACCAGACATTCCAATGTGACCTTCCTGCTATCTTAAGTGTTAGCTTGAGCTACAATGTAGTCGATTATCTTAAACATAAAAAAAGGTAACCAGGAGAGTCCACTATCTGTAGGCTGGTTCCTGAGCCAGGCAGTACTCCAGGTATTACTGATGACTTTCCTGGTGAGTTGCCCAGCTCAAAGTCAATACCTGTGAGAACATTGACTGCATCCTCCTGCCTACAGGTTTGACACACATTCCTACCCTTTGAAAGATGGTGCCACCAGTTGGAGTTGTGGAGTTTGAGCAGCAGCTGCTTACCTTTCTATATACCATTCTCAATGCCCTTGATATATAAGGGTGACACAAAAGTTGCAAGACCATTACAAAGTCTGATAAGTCTTAAAGAAATGCTGATTTCTTTTAGATAATAGGGTAGACATCACGCCTTTTTGGTCACCCTGTACATGAGCAAACAGGGAGAAATTATTTATACGGGAGGGCATCAATTTGAGGATAATTACCACTATGAACACCATAAGAAGACCACACCACATGTCTGTCTACATGAAGACGACCGGTTAAGTCCATTTTTATTTTGAAAACAATGGACTACATTGTAGCTCGAGAAAATCTCCTGCAATTCATACTGTAATTGGATTTTGAACCTGCAGGTGTCCCTAACCAACACTGACTGCCACAGAACCTGCAGGGCTTAAAGCAACCTAATGTTTATTTCATGTGATGATCTGAAGGAGGTTTGCGATATCAGCCAAAGCTCCAGCTGGTCACCTAGATCTTACACCCCTCCCTCCCCAGCTCGTGTGGTTCACAATAATTCAGCATCTTTTGGGGTTGGACCTGATTAATGTGCGTCTCAAACCTCTTTCAACTGGCCTTGTGGTGCTGCCAATCAATTGCAGCCAAAGTTATGTCACTTTGAACTCTTAAAGAATTGCTGAATCATACTTCTTAGGTAAACAACCAGTGCGTATAAAGCCACAACGGTGAGAGCAGCTATGAAGTGTTTTGCCCCGTGCGATGGGGAATTCGGTTCGCAAGGGGAAAACAGTCTTTGTGGATAAAACGCAGATCCAGAGTATGGAGAACACAAAAGCGTGTAAGTAAACAATGTGGATTTAGCTGCTCTAGGCTCCAGTGTGAACGCAGAACTGCAGTTGAATCACAGATTATATCTCCACAAATTTAGCAAACGTTGAAATGAACAATGCTGGTTCAGTTATTGTAATGGATTCAGAACTGGATTTTATTCAGAATTTGCTGTTGCTATGAGGTTCGCAGGCATGCATTTGAAGTTACTAATAATTCTTGTATTTAACATAGTGCCTTATCATGTTGTTAAAAGCTCTCACAGCGCTTGACAGGTTTTTTCTTACTGTGAGGTGTATTTGTAGGCAAACACAGCCGTCAGTTTTCATAGAGCAAAGTTCCAATGGCAACAGGAGAGGAATGGCCACATTTATTTAAATCTGGGGATTGTTCATTCAAAGCCACAGGCAGTATAGTTTTCAGATGCAATGCTTTATTTAAAATAAAGGTGAACTGCCTATTATATAAAATGTTACTGCCAGAAACGGTAGACTCAATAATATATAAACAAAATCTATAATAATAATAATCCTTGCATTTGATATAGCGCTTTTCACGTCGGGAGGACGTCCCAAAGCGCTTCACAGACCACACTGTAAAGTGAATTGACTGTATATTTGTGGGCGAAAGCGGCAGCCAATTGCGCACAGCAATGTCCCACAAACAGTCGTAGATTGAAAATGACCAATTTAATTATTGTTTTTGGTTTTTGAAGGGATTATTAGGGGTGTGGAGTAAGGAAACTTGCCCAAGGTTTCGCCCTGTCTGGAATTGAACTCAGGTCTCTCGCTTGCAAAGCGAGTGCTCTAACCACTGAGCTACAGGACTCCAAATGATAATGTATGAGTAGAGAATGAACTTTGATTTAGTTCCTTTTTTTTTACTTGTTGTGCAAATATAGTATAAACATTTCACCCACAAACTACACAGTCAATCACCTTTATGGTATATTCCATGAAGCGCTTTGAGACGTCTCAGAGATGTGATAAGGCGCCTTACCAAATGCAAGGATAATTATTATTATTGAATGCAGATGCTATTTCATACATTGCATCAATTCTTTCATTATAAAGTACCAAGAGGCATGATTGTTAATCTTGGTTTCCCTTGCTCCAAAAGGGTGATCAGATGACGTCGATTGCATGGATTATGCTGATCAGTAGGTGCCTGAAGTGAGGAAAATCAGAATTGGAGGAGTATAGGTACAACTCATACGGTGCTAACGTTTCACAGGATGGGAATTTTGTTGTTGCATCATTGCGAAAAATATTAGAAACTGAGAGGTGGATTTGCACACGGTTTCAGTACAGCAACAACAACAACAAGATTGCACTTATAGAGCGCCTTTCATGTCGGGAGGACATCCCAAGGCGCTGGACAGTTGGGTCGGGACCCGAGCGTTGGGGGGAAATGGTCAGGGTGAGGGGAGGGAAGGGAGGGAGCAAGGAGGGGGTAGAGAGTCGAGAGGGGAGCTGAAGGCACGGTCGAAGAGAAAGGTCTTGAGACCGGCCTTGAAGGAGGAAAGGGAGGAAGCAAGGCGAAGGCACTGGGGGATGGAGTTCCAGAGCAGGCCAGTAAATGCAAGCTTATGTCCATGCAAAGTCAACAACACATCAGTGTCATTTATGCATAATCAACTTGCATTGAGTCTTTAAGAAATTACTCACTGCTGAAACTAGCCATGGCGGGAGGACTTTATTTGTGTGGCTGTATGAAAATACTTAATTTGAATTCTTTCAATCCTTGCCGTATGATTTGCTTCATACAATATGTACAATGGTAAGAAAACAGGTCTTGCACCTAACAAAAATAACAAAACCATGAATCATATTTTAATCATTTGTTTCTCCCCGCCCCCCACTTCCATACTTCCGGGGGACACTTGTATTTGTTATTTCCATTTACTTTTGGTCAGTGCCTTCTCTAAAAATAATACACTGAATTAAATTGTAAATGCATCAGTACTTTACAAAAGAAACTAACAATTGAGCCGATCCAAGGTTAGAATTGAGGTCACAAGCTATACCACTAGTAAGTGTATGGGGAAAGAGCAGGAGAATGAGATTAGATTAAGTAGTTGTAATGGGTGTGTTAGCACAAACACAACAGAATGGGCTGAATGGTCTCCTTGTGTGTTGTGAACACTTAATGCAATGATGCCTGTAAATAAGAAAATGAAACCAATCTGAACTTAGTTCTTGAAGGAATCTGGAAAATCATTATTAGGATGTACATTAACTGGACTTTTTTTGTTGATGTTTTACACAAGGTGGTGAGCTACAAAAGAAAAACCAACAACAAGGCAATCTCAAAAATATCAATATAGACCCAGTCCAGACTAATGAGAACGGGACTCTTGCTAAATCAGAGATGGAGGAGTTCAAGTCAAAAATTCAGGCCTATATTGATAACAATCTGGTCATGATTTTCAGCAAAACTACCTGCAGTTATTGTGCTCAGGTAAGCTGCAACATTAAAACGACTGAACATGAAAAATGTACATGTTTTTATTCTAATCTGCTCACACTCACTCACAATAACAAGGTGTAAGAGGCACAACAATGCACTTCATGGAGTTATCATAGCTTTGGGTTTGAATGTTTAAAGGTTACATCACAAGTTTCATGTTTAATTTACTAAAGGTTTTGGAATAAGTACTCGGATTGATTGCTGAGCAAAATCCTGTAAATTGGGATGATTTTCCTCCTGTTGGTAAATTAGTTAATGGATGATAACTGGAGGTAAATTGAAGCTTTTTTGGCGCAAAGTTATCTGTTTTAAAGATGGTCAGGCTATGCATACGGTCTTGGATGTGTTTCCTGAGTAGATAAATCTTCTACATCAGTACTGTCATTGTTTTATTGTGTGAATAAAGGGAAGAACAGGAACAAGTCGTATAAAAAGAAGACTCTCGACAGGAAACTCTATCCATAGACCCAGATTACTTTTCTGGACTATAGCATAGAATGTATCATCATCATTTTATTACTTCTCTGCTTAACCTAGACTCTTAATCAATCAGTTTGCACTGGGAGGAAATAAGACATCGCCTTGTTTTCTGACCTTTAACTTTGCCTCTGATTTTTCTTCCCCTTTTCTGAATATTGCAAGTCACTCCTGGTATAGCATTTCTGGTGAAATCTTGCTCAAGTGACCAACCTTCCAATGTGATGCTGGTGGATTAGTGGAATGCTCCTTTGAATCTTCTCCATTGCATTTCAAACCTGTGTCCTCCAGCTTGTTCTCGTCTATGTATTCCTTACTTTTCTGTTCTTCCTTCTGTACACAACCTATGGAATTTAAACACAGAGGTTGTTGTGGTATGCCTAACTATTTCTTCTGGGCTTATTTCCTCTATTAATCTTTTCAACTTCAGTCATGTTCTGTATCGTGGGCTTTGTGCCTTCGATTGGATTCTCAATCAAAATGAATTCAGAGTTCTGAATAGAGGTTAGGAACAGGAAATCAGATTCATTGCTTTGCCTCTCTGGACTAAGACCGCTGAGGTTAACTGTGTGCCTATGTGTCATTTGCAAACATTTGTCCACTGACCAACTGTTTTAAAAGCAAAATAGATACAAATTTAAATTTAGTGCTCTGACTAAACTACTGCGCAGATTTGGAAGAGTTGTGCTGAATCAATGTCGAAAATGTTTACTTCTGTGTTGAGCTGAATTTGTGCCACCACACAATTTAGCAGCAGAGAAAAATATGTAACATTCAACTTCCAACACTTACAAGAGGTCGATTTTTAAAATGTCCCCAGTTTATCGTAAATAATGTTACACAGTTTTCTCTTTAATGCAGATCAAAGAATTTTTCAAGTCCTTACATGTTCCCTTTCAGTCCTTGGACTTGGACCAAACAGGTAAGATTGAGTGTCTATGGATTCCGTTCAGTGGCCTTCCACCCACTGTAGTGTCTTCACAATGAGGGCCAGGGTTATTAAAACTCAATAGATGTGTTATAAAGTTTTGAAAGTAAACTCTTTGAGCAAATGTGTTAGCTGGTATATTGCTGAGTCACGAACACCAGGAACAATCTTGTGTTTGACCTCTTGATTGTGCTGAGTCAGATAGACTCAGCTGGGAGGGGCAGTGTGAAGGTTATTATAATTGGCCTGTATCATTAGGCTAGGAGAGGAAAATTGATCAGGATTACTGCATCTAATTCCTATTTAATGAGCCCTGCTTGGGTAAGAGGAACAAACATTTAGTTAAGGTAAGCTCATTCTGTGGCTATTGTGGGACATTGCTGTGCAAAACTGTCTGCTACCTTTTGCCCACAAAATACAGTGATCCACATTACAGTATATCCTCTGATGCTCTTTGAGACATGTCAATGAAGTGATACAGCACTATATCAAATGCAAGTATTAGCATTATTATTACCAAGGCTGCTGGTGCTTATACAACAGCATTAGGCAAGTCTTCCTGAGCTAATCCATTGATTATAATCAAATAATAATAATAATCCTTGCATTTGATATAGCGCCTTATCACGTCTTCTGGAGGTCTCTTCTAAAGTGCTTTCCAGAATATACTCAAAGTGAATTGACTGCATGTTTTGTGGGTGATGATTTCATTTTCTTTAGAGCTATGCTGATAATTGTATGTTAAATATTTGTTATGGTAACAAGAAATATTTCCTGGAACAGTGATGACTTGATAAACGGAAAGAGTAATAGAAGCCAGTGTCTGCATTTAGAATCACTCCTACACCAATCAAACCTGATTCAAAATTGTTCTTTTGATACCAAAATATTTATAATATTAACCATAGCTGAACTCTGTCATTGTTTCATAACAATGTGATCTAACTAACCGAGTACAGAAAATATGTGCCTGAGTAATACAAGTTTTAACAGTCACACTTTTCTTAATGGTTTGAAACTAATGGACAGAGCAAGTGCAAATTTGTGCCAGTATCATTGCTAATTCCAATCTATAGTAAGGTCTCATACTAGAGTTTGGTCGGGCACAAACTCTGCAGTATAACCAAGCTGCGGTTTTATGCCACATTATTTACACAAGGTACATGTATTTAGGTAAATTTTCAAGCTTTCATCTCTAATCACGATTCCCTCTAATCTGGTTTCCGTGCCACCTACAGCATAGAAACAGCTTTCGTCAAAGTGACAAATGACATTCTGTCCATCTGTGACCCAGGACTCCCTCTACCTCTTTATCCTCCTTGACCTCTCTGCTGCTTTCGACACCTTTGACTACTTTATCCTCCTCCACCGCCTCTCCTCTCACCTCAACCTTCATGGTTCTGTCTTTGAATGGTTCAGATCCTACCTCTCACACTATCTCCACTTCATCTCCAAAAACGGTTTCTCCTCTAGCTCCCGCACCTTCTCATGTAGTGTTCCTCAGGGCTCTGTCCTTAGTCCCCTCCTATTCAATATTTATATGTTCCCTCTTGGTGATATCATCCGCAGAAGTGGGGTCAACTTCCACATGTATGCGGGTGACACCCAACTCTATCTCTCCACCCTTGACTCAAGGACCACTGCTGTTGTGACAGAATGTCTGTCAGACATCAAGTCCTGGATGAGAGCAAACTTTATTCAGTTGAACATCAACAAGACTGAGGCTCTCCTTATTGGCTCCTGTCAGCGCCTCCTCACCTCAGGTGCTGACAGCATCATCATCCATGGTTGCACACTCCACCTTACTAAGCTGTCCGGAACCTTGGCATCTTGTTTGACCCTCAACTATCCTTTCTACCCCACATCCGAGCCATGAGCTGCTCTGCCTTCCCCCACCTCTGCAACATCATCCGGCTCCACCACTATCACACACCGCAGGCCACCGAGACCCTCATACATGTATTCATAACATCGAGGCTTGACTATGCAAACTCCCTGCTTGTCGGCCCCTCAACTCCTCCCTTCACAGGCTGTAGATCATCCAGAACTCTGCAGCCCGTGTCCTCTTCCACAACAGGCTCCGTGACCTTTTGCATCACACAGAGGATACAGTTCAAGATCCTGGTCCTCATCTTTAAAGCCCTCAATGGCCTTGCTCCTCCATGCCTCTGTGACCTCCTAACTCCCTAACAAGCTACCCACCTCCTCCCCTCAGCGGGTTCTGGCCTGCTTTATGTCCCCTGCCTCGCTCGCTCCACCATTAGTGGGCGAACCGTCAGCCACTCTGCCTCACCCTCTGGAATTCCATCCCGCAGTCCCTCCACCTCGTCCCCTGCTTTGCCTCCTTCAAAACCCATCTCAAAACCCTCCTCTTCGACCACGCCTTCGATCACCATTCTTGCCCCCCTGCCTTCCACCCTCCCTGATCCCCAGCTCGGGTCCAAAACACTGACTGTCCAGCACCTTGGGACTTCCTCCCGACATGAAAGGCTCCATACAAATATAATGTTGTTGTTAACTCAGCATTGACAACAATAGGTTTAATGTTTCAAAGGAAAGTGGTGTTTGCTCATTGGAGTGGAATCACCATGGATTTTTGCACTGTCATTCTGCTGCTGGCTGCCAGCCTATTAATGCTCGGTAGCGGCTGGCAGCTCACTTGATCTATTGCTGTACTGGGTACAAAGGGAGGAAACGAACTATGAGATTGGAATCAATATTTAAAACGAAGCGAGTAGCTTTGTTAAAAACTTATAATCGCCAGAAAGCAATGACAGACATAGGAGTGCAGTTCCATGGTACTAGCCATCCTCTGGTACCATACTTGGATCGTCATTCTTTATAGGTGAGCATTTGACATTAAGTGTTGATAAAATACCCCAGAATGAGGGAGGGAATTATCACAGCCAAGCACTATATTATTCTCGCCTAATTTCTTAGCGCTTGGGGGTGGAGGGGGAAAACCTACTTGGGATAGTTTAGGAAGTGACTGCTACCTTACTATTTTAGAGGTACAAATTGACTGTTGGCTATCAGGTTTGCTAGACACCAATGCTCCATCCATACCCTTATATAAAGTATTTTGGAAAAGAGATGAGGCCCCTCATGAGGCAGGCTCAAATTCAGGTCCAGAGTGTTTGTTTAATCTCACACATTGGCTGTAAAAACTTTCAACCTTATGCTTCGGAGTTCCGGTCTGTGAAACACAATGCACTTGGACATAGCACCCTTGTGTATGTAGCAATCTTAACCTGAATTGGGAATGTGCTTTTGATGAGGAACAAACTTTTTTATAAATATTTTACATATATATAATATATAACTTGGCCAATCACTATGATTTGGGATATGTTCAGTGGAATTTATAAGAGCGCACCAAGCAGAGTAAGGTTCCTCTCTTTATAGGTCTAAAGAAATTATCTTGCTGCAAAATCTTTTTGCATTAAGCACTCCTAGCTTGAAAGCTGCCAGTCATACCGGCAGTTACATTTTACACGGCAATGACACGCCTAACTTAATTACCGTTGAGAAACAGTAGATGACTAAACCGAAAACTTGTGGTATAATCATTACTCAAGGGAAATTATTCATGTGTTCCTTTTGACCTCTTGGGAGCTTACTCCTCCTCCTTTGTGATTTCTACATCATACGTCCTTGAAGGGGTTGGCCTCCCCATACCCACAGTTGTCTTTTGTTCTTTAGTTGAAGGCAAAGCCATCCAGGAAGCTCTGTTTGAACTGACTAAACAGAGAACTGTGCCAAATGTCTTTGTGAGGAAGCAGCATATTGGAGGTTGTGATAAAACATTGCAGGTAAGACTCTTGTCTACATACACTCAACCTGTTAGAAACACAACTGGCACTCTGCATATATTCCATTTTACTGTTCAATGAAAATGTTCCAGCTCTCCACCCTACCCAGCTCAAGCCATTCAAAGGACCTTTTATTTTTAAAAAGCAGACTGAACATTTAGGTTTGCTTTAAAACAACTTGAGGTGACCTGCAGTCTTCTACGTTTCTTGCAGCTGTTTTTGTTCTGTACACAGAAGATTGAGAAAAATTCAGGTCTAACACGAGTCTCTTCACTGACTGAGCCAATTTCCTTTAAAATAAATTCCTGACTTGCCCACAGCTCAGAGCTGGATTTCTGCAGCTATTAAACCGTGTGCACATAGTGTTCACAGTCGAGAGGAAGGATTTAGATGCATTGGATTGGGTGTGCAAGTGAAGGAAAGAGATTGCACTCTGTTTAATTCAGCGATTCACAGATCCAAGCATTGTGTGTCGATCTGCTTGTAAAACAGGACAAATGTGAGTAGGTTGTGAATAATCCAGAGAGGGTGTTATTAAATTGCTTTTGATCTTTTTTTTGCTATATTTTCACTTACAAATTAGCTGATCATTTTGTTTTAAATGACCTTCAAGATGTCATATTTGTTTTTGTTGTCAGAACTAAACTCGTTGTTCTCAGGGATGGCAATGGTAGAATGCTATAACTGGACTCAATAACTAGGCAGGGAAAAACATAGCCAGTGAACCCACTACTGATCACTACCCACTGAGTTCTGGTCGCTCCATTTGATGATTGGTTCCATTTAATCTCCAGTATGGTCAAACATCTGTTATCTGGCTGACCCATCATTGAAAGCCACTTCGAAACTACCTCTATGGAGTGATCTAAACTGCAGTAACTTCATCATAACAATAATAATAATAATAATGTGTAGGTGGATAGGAACTAGAGGAACATTAGAGAAGAAAGAAACTATTGGGTGCCATTGCATTTAGAAAGTTGCTTGAAATATGCAAGTTTAAAAGTAACACACAATGAAAATAGTGCAGGTTTTTCCTGTTGTTCAACAATTGTGATTGCACTGAAGAGCTTTTGCAATTAGGAGAGAGTGACTGTGCAGAATTCGAGATAATCGGAAGTAAACTGAATGTTCTCAAATGACCCACAAAGGAGGGTGAGGGAATGAATGGGTGTTCATCTGATACCAGGTGTCAGGGTTCTTGCTCTTCTGCAATTTTATGGGACCTGGTATAGATTGCTGGAGAATGTTTCAGTGCTCGCTTGGAGCAAACATTTCATTCATTGTCTTTCTGGAAAAATGCAACTGCCCTCTATTTTACCAAATGCTCAAGTAAATCAATAGAAAAGTAGTCCTCTATTGCTTTTGCAAAATATGCAGGATTAGCTGTCAGTGCTTTGAGAAACGCGAACGAACTAGATTTTTTATATAACAAAAAAAAATCACATGCAATCTATTTGTATCGAGCGTTGTAAGGAATAGCTGTAATTCCCTGGTTGTAGTGTCCATTGTGTTCTCAGGTGAGAATTTCTCCTGGAATCTAACAAACATAAATTGATTGTCAACTGTCACATAACAAATATAATTGACTGACATGAACACACATGCCTTGCCCACCTACAGTTTACATTAGGAATTAATGAATCCACCCAGGGGTGCATCTAAAATCCTCACTAATCTCCCTGCAATGATTTGATCATGAGCTCATATTAGGGTGACAGCAGGTTTTGATTGAAACATTGCATTATACATTGCTGACACTGTCATATAGAGTGTGGGAAAATTGCATTCCCCTAATTCTTACTTTATTTCCCATGAATTTACAATTTCATAACACAAATTCCACAATGATAAGAAGTTAAATTCTTTTCCTGAAATGTCTTCAATTTAGTGTTGGTTTACTGTTGGTTTTATTTCACCAATAAAGGTATCTAGCCCTTCAAATACAACCTGCTCATGACAGGCAATCTAACACTACAGTTATGATTCCTGCAGCACTGAGCTGCTGTCTCCCACTATGCAACAGTTTAAAAACTACTTTTTCCATAAAGTACCGCAACTGATTTAGTTTAAAACAAACCTCACAAATTTTCCCTTCTCACTTATCTTTCCTGTGACACATGTCCTATGATGCACTTGCGTTGAAAATTACTGTACTTTGAGCCTCAGATCTGAACTTTCACCTAGTCTTTGGTCTAAGACCATTAAGAGAGAGGATTTTTTGCCGGTGTCATGGCCAACAATCCCCTGAATAAAATTGATCAATCACTTAATAACTGTTTATGGAACATTGCAGTGTACAAATTGGCTGCTGTCTTCAGCTACCAAATGCACAGTCACTGCACTTTACTGTGAAGCACTTTGAGAAATCCTCCAGATGCGAAAAGTGCTTTCTCAAATGCAAATAATGATATTATTATTAGCTTATTGCAGGTTAGATCACTCCGTAGATGTAGTTTCTTTTAGTGGTTTTCAGTGCTGTGTCAGCCAATCTAATAACACTACCACATTACACTTGATTAAATGTCATTTTTCTTAATATATTTGAACTTCCCAAAATAACTAGTTTTTGCAGGCAGTAGACATTTTGTGCACTGGGTATCTTGTCGAGTCATTTCAGAAATGTCTTATTAACAGTCCCATTTGCATTAATGATTATATGCTTGTTATTATAATTATTATTTATTGTAAATATGGTCAAAGAAAAATGGAAAAAAGATACAGAGACCAAAAATAAAGACTGCGTTGAATCTTTAATTTAGAACGCATTTTCTCGTGAAATGTAATTTCAGATCCTGTCTGCAGCAGGCTAGCTGTTCAAATGCACCACAATATAGCAATGTAATTTTAATGAACAAAACCAGGTGCAGCAGAATCTGATCTTATCCTCGCCTGACATCTGTACACACAGTAATTACGCCAGCAGTAATTGCTCACTATTTATCAGGTTCAGGAACCGGGTGTGATTTGCCCTTACTGCTGCCTGAGTTAATTTGACGTGGACCAATATTTTTGTTAGTTTTGGTTAAAGTAGGAGTTCTCAGGCTCAAACACTGAAAACTATTCTGACACAACATGATACCATGCCCTTTGCCACCAATTTGCTAAGCTTTATGTTTCCTTTGCCTACTCACTGTGTCTCTCTCTCTACAGGCCCATAAAGAAGGAAAGCTCCAGTCATTACTAGAGATGACTGAAGCTAATCAGGTAGATGGATCCTATGACTATGATCTCATTGTCATTGGAGGAGGCTCTGGTGGACTTGCAGCTTCAAAGGTATTCTATACAAATATTACCACAGAGTGATTGAACAGCTGAAGTCTACAAAAAGACACCTCTAAGGACGTAACCTGTTCAATTGTCAAGCCTGATCGGCCATTTTATTAGATTGTGGCAGCTGCTTCAGATTTATTCCCAAGACGCCTCTTTTTAATATCTCTTATTATCTTTATTTCCTTGGTAGTCTATCGATCTCCCTTATAATCATCTCAACTGGTTCTGCTTTGCTCACCTGGGGCAGTACATTGCACATTCCCAAAAACTTCTAATCACTTTATCAGCCTATTGTAGAAAGAAATGGGTCCCGTGTACTGCATTAAAGCGAGGATTCCTTGCAAATATATAGTTGCTGCAATTAGCCCACAAATATACAGTCAACTCACTTCACAGTGTATTCTGTGAAGCGCTTTGAGACATCTAGAAGATGTGAACAGTGCTGTATCAAATGCAAGGATTATTATTATTTTCATAGGCGTTTTGAACTGAGTACATAAAAAGTCCAGAGGATATTATTCAGCTCTATTCGCTAATTTTTCTATCGATGTGCACTTACAGAGGGATTTTCCATTATAAACACAAATTTAAAAAAATTACCACAATTAGCAGAATAAAGCCTGAATAAATATTTAAAATGAAACCTTGGGTGGCATTTTCAAGGGAGTTTTAAGATCACAGGGATCCATAAAGCAAATATGTGTCTGAGTTCAGAGAAAGTCTGTTAATTGAAAATATAAGGAACATCATGTTGATGGCACTGAGCTCTCTGGAGCATTTGAATATAGCTTTTAGGTATCGTGTAATTATAATGTGAGGATGTGAGTCACTTGCTTACTGATTTCAGCTTCAGAGAATTGTAATGAGCCTCAGGAGATTTGAATTAGAACTGTTTGTAAAAATAAATTGAAAGGAAGTCTATTTCATGTGACAAAAGGTCTTTACATTGATGAGCGGCATAGAAGATTGCAGATACAAGCAAGCTATTTGATTTAGACCATCATGAGAACTAAGCTAGAGGGCATGGGTTTGAAATGGAAAAGCCTCAAATGAGACTAGAGACTTGCAGTGGAAAGGACTTCTAACAAAAACAATTGACGCTGCATTAATTAGCTTCTTCAAAGCTTCAAACAAGATGAAGGCCTTAATATATGAAGGTGTGCTTAGGAACAGCATTGGAGGTGAAGGCACAAGACAATGTTTCCGCAATGCTGGTGGGGAGAGAAACAGCTGTGATCCCAGGGCTTAATAGCAATGGAGATGGTTGAATGTCCTGGAAGTTTTGCTTGGTTAGTTTGTGGAGCAGGAGGAATCTATGCAGAACATTCTTAGGGGAGAACGATGGAAGGGGAGTGTGGAGATCCAATGGCGGGTCAGGTTGCATGTAGTTGTGAAACAAACAGGCTTGATAGGTAAAATTGCCTTTTCTCTTCCCATCCTTAATTGTGTTTTTTTTAAAAAAGGGGAGGTTTTGTTGAATTTACATGACTTGCATTGTTTTACAGGAAGCTGCCAAATATGGAAAGAAAGTGTTGGTCCTGGATTATGTTGTGTCCACACCTCTGGGCACTACATGGGGTAAGCCAAGTTTCTAAGGCCATTAGCTTTTAGGATATTCAGTTGTTCAGAGGCTGTATTGAACATTTCAGCACATTGTAACTGTTTTACTGTTAGACCAATAAGTTGCCATCTCAGTCCTCTACACTGCAGTGAAAGCGTCATGAATGGAGTAGACTGAATGTGCAACGTTGGCAACCCTCTCCTGCTACATACAAGTCAGAAGGTCAAAAGTTTCATTCCGACTTCATCCTCAGATGTATGTTCATCCCTCTTAACAAAGAGTTCAGTCATGGTTTCTCACCTGCAATGCCTCTAGTGCCTGGGTAACCTGCATTTTCCATGGTGACAAGAACTATGCATAGTGCTCGAGGTGCAGCTTATCCAGAGCTTTGCATGTTGATGCAACAACATTTTGTAGTGCATGAGTTGTGAGGATCTGACGTAGTTGATCTGGCAACGTAAACCTGCATCCTTTGTCACTTATCTAAACTGTAAATACGGCAATATTTGAGTTGTGGATATTTTGAAGCAAACTCTACGCATAGAGTAAATTTTAGCTTTGTATATGATAACATAATGTGATCTCTTTATTGGTAGGTATCGGAGGAACGTGCGTCAACGTAGGCTGTATCCCTAAGAAACTGATGCACCAAGCCGCACTTCTGCACCAAGGCCTGGAGGATGCCAGGAAATACGGCTGGGAGTTTGCTGAGCAAGGTTTGTGAATGGAAACTTGTAACACAACTGAGTTTGTCTGCTTTTCTCTCCCTCCAAATTCTGCTCTGCTGAAGATACTGACTTGTACTAAGTTATGGTTCCATCAGTGCCAGCTGACTTCCAGCACCTCACCCAAGGGGTCATTCTCCATGTGTGCGAGCCTAAACAATGAGCGTTGGTAGGCTATGTAACTGAGGGGGGTGGGGTGGATTTGGGGTGTGGGGGAAAGAAAGAGATCAACAGATAAACCCAATTCTGTCTTTACCAATTTTTTTTCCAATTTTAGAGAATTATGGTGAAACTTGATGTTGAGAACAATGTTCCCATTTCTGATACGTTTGCCAAATGTGATTTCCCTGTAAAATAACAAAATTAATTACCTGGTATTTTGCTAAATACTGTAGTTATTTCTATCCTGTAAACCATCACAACTTTTGCATATTCGTTACTTGCTTATATTATATTAACCTGAGTTCAATTCCAGGCAGGGCGAAAACTTGGGCAAGTTTCCTTACTCCACAAGCCTAATAATAATCCCTCCAAAACCAAAACAATAATAAATTGGTCAGTTTAATCCATGACTGTTTGCGGGACATTGCTGTGCGCAATTGGCTGCCGCGTTCGCCCACAAATATACAGTCAATTCACTTTACAGTGTGTTCTGTGAAGCGCTGTGGGACATCCTCCCGACGTGAAAAGCGCTATATCAAATGCAAGGAATATTATTATTATTATACTATATGAGGCATTTTCAGACTTAGCTGGATAATATTTATTTTTTCCCTCCAAACACAGTCAACCATAACTGGACAACTATGAAAGAAGCTATTCAGAATTACATTGGCTCCTTGAATTGGGGGTATCGAGTCAATTTAAGGGAAAATAACGTTACCTATGTGAATTCTTATGCAGAATTTGTCGGGCCTCACAAGATCAAGGTAACCGCTTCAGCAACGTTTGAATTATTTCAGAACAACAACTTGCATATATATGGCATCATTTATGTTTCTCAGAACGCTTTATAAGGACGGGTCAGACGTAGAGAAGTAAGTGGCTCTAGGCACATTCAAAGAGGTAGGTTTTAAGGCAGAACTTCGAGACAGATGGAGAGGCAGTGAGATGAAAGAGTAAAGGGAGAGAGTTCCCGAGATTCAGGGCATTAGGCTCTGACGGTACAGCCACTGATATGAGCAGGAAGTGGCAGTGTACACACAGCAAGCCTGAGTTTTCCAAGTGGAGGGGCGAGCAGAGGAGTTCGGATAAGAGAAGATCAGAGAGATGAGGAAGTGTTAGGCATGGAGGGATATTTAGGTGAGAGTGAGGTGCTTGAAATCCACTAAAGAATTGAACTAAGTTAGATCTAAAGCGATCAGTCTCATCTATTTGAGTACGATGCATGCTGTTGCAGAAAAAGTCAGCGAGACAATGCTTGTGATTTCAATCCATAAATCAGAAGACCACTATTCAAATATTTTGGTTGGTGAGAATGGGCTAAAATATAGTCCCAAATGAGTCTTCGTTTCTTTATTCATTTCATTAGTGTTAAAGTGCTTATTGAGATAAGCACTTTAACACTAATGAAATGAATAAAGAAACGAAGACTTATTGGATTATTGGATTTTTTTAACATTGAGTATAGATTTCTTTTGTTCATATACTTATTAAGTGATGTTAACATTACATGTTTGAAAAAAACAATTACCTGGGGCTATCTATGCAGATTTGGTCTAACCTGGGTTGAATAGGTTCCAGTTACTGCCTACTAATGGCATGCCTAGATTTCTCAGAATGAATAGCATTATTTTAATGGTAATATGTGCCTCCATCTTAATGCAACAAATATTCACTTCACAGAGGGCTTTGATTTGCTTGATGGATGAAGACATCCATGCTTTGAAAGAGTATCATGTACTAAAAGCTGTGCTATTACATGTAAATCTTGGGTAAGACGCACATTCTCGTAGGCAAGCAGTGGCTTGCTTTGCCTCTAGTCTGTTTACCTCGTTTATAAATTTAAACAAATGCTCACAAGCCTGTGAAGTTCTGAACGTGCGTATTTCGCAAAATTCAAATGTTGAGCAATGTGCTTGAATTTTTCAATGGTTCCCATTGTTTAATACTTTTGCTCAATCCTTTGTCTCCATTTAGATAGTCATTATTTGGGACCGCATCCAATGAGAGGAACGAGCAATTGCACAATGCCCAACAATACAATTTATATTCATGTAGCACCTTTCATGTTGGGAGGACATCTCAAAGCTTAACAATACTTAATATATTACACTATTGAATACTTTGAAAAGCTGTTTTAATGATGGTGTTTCTTTGTTTCTAGGCAACTAATAAAAAAGGAAAAGAAACATTTTATACCACAAAGACGGTTATTGTTGCCACTGGAGAAAGGCCTCGGTATCTAGGTATTCCAGGCGATAAGGAATACTGTATCACCAGGTACCCAGTAAAATATGTGCACACTTCTTATAAGCATTTATTTTGTATATTTAAGAGCCTTTACTTTAAAGTTGACTATTTTCAATCTTGTACGTCAAGAGTACCATTGTTTAATCCTCTCAAAAAAAATTCTTCTATTTCCCAACGTGTAAACTGCAGCTAAACTTTTTTTTAAATATATATTTACCACTGTAGTTTGTGTCAGCCTGGCTCAGTTGGTAGCACTCTTATCTTTTGAGTCAGAAAGTTGTGGGTTCAAACCCCATGTTGGGACATTTGAGCTCAAAGTCCAGGTTGATTGTGCTACATTGTCGAAAGTGCTGCCCTTTGCACGAGACTTGAAACCATCTGTCTACTTAACTAGATGTAAAAGATCCCATGAGGTTATTTGAAAAGAGAAATTAGTTAGTATAATGTCTGACAAGTCCCCAGATAAAAAAAAAGTAATTTGTGTGTCATGTTAATCTACAAATACGTAGTCACTAACAGATAAACTCTGATACATTTTGAGATGTTACAACATTAGACACTATATCAAACAAAGATTATTATATTAGTGTACTGTATCCCTCACTATAACATACTGCAGTTCATTGTTTCACTGTTTTGTATCCCTCATTATAACACAATGTACTTCATTGTGTCCTTCTCTATAAACATACTGCAGTGTACTCTATCCCTCGTAACACAATGAGGTGCTGTACCTCTCACTATAATACATTGTAGTTTACCTTATCCTATGGCAGTGTCACGTGCAAACTGCTGTGTAGCATATTCTAGAAAGTATTGTAAGTGTTTTCTTTGTGAACAATGTCACACTTTTACTACTTTTGTTTTGAATACCTTTTCTAGTGATGATCTCTTCTCACTCTCCTACTGCCCTGGAAAGACCCTTGTGGTTGGAGCATCCTATGTTGCCCTGGAGTGTGCAGGCTTTCTAGCAGGCCTCGGGCTGGATGTCACTGTCATGGTTCGCTCTATTCTGCTGCGTGGCTTTGACCAGCAAATGGCAGATCTGATTGGGGAATACATGGAATCCCACGGGGTCAAATTCATTAGGCAATTTGTCCCAACTAAAGTAAGTAGCAGAACTGTCTCAATTCGGTGGTGTTGAGGTGGAAGTAAGATATTCCGCGATAAGTGTTGATCTGATTTTTGAGGTGTCTACAAGTAAACCAAACTCTGTTGAACACTGCTTGCTCAACAGCTTTGAACTTGTGAACTGTACTTATGAATTAACAATCTATCCCAGCACAATGTGTTCCTCTCATTTCTGAGTCGCATGATGTCATGCGAGTAGCACGGGTTGATTTGTGTAATTTTCCCCCTATAAGCCAGTGAAGTGCTGTCATCACATCTGGGGTGACCCCCACCCCCCTACCATTGCAAGTATTGCAAATCTTTCAAAATAGATAATGGCTATAGTCCCTAACATCACTGCTTGGAACCAAATGTCAGTCCATTCAGGAAATGGAAGGAGAAAGAAAACAATAATGTGTTCCTCAGTGTGTTCTCGGCAGTAACACAGCAAACTATAACAGTACTGAAGCACATTCTGAGTTTTAGAAATTTAATAATTACAAATTTGTATCAAGAAATTGGTTCAGAAATATCTCAAATTGAATTGCATTTTGTTTTAATTCTCTGCTTGCTGGCGAAAAACATACCTTATATATATTTGTGTAATGTATCATTGAATTTTCCAACATACAATAATAGTACCACACCCATGAATTCTAAAATCTGCATCATTTTCCAAAGACAGTGCAAGTTTAGTCTGTTGTTGTGTGTGTTCACATATTACATCTTTATGCCCTGCTCTTTTCCTTCTGTAGATAGAGCAGATTGAACCAGGAACTCCAGGGAAACTAAAAGTTACTGCTCAGGCTGTCAGTGGCACAGAGACATTAGAGGGGGAATACAGTACAGTAAGTAATAATAAAACTGTGGGAAAATCATCATTGACATTTTTAAATTTAGAAAAAACTAAAAATTTACTTCTCCGCAACTGACAGTTTTCCTTTGAAACGTAAAGTCCTCGTTTTGGAATTTCTTGTTGATCATATTTACCTTATTTCAGGTATTGCTGGCAATAGGAAGAGACGCCTGTACAAAAAATATTGGCTTGGACAAAGTAGGAGTGACGGTCAATGAAAAGTAAGTAATGTGGTTCTTTGTTTAAGGTTTTTTTTAACATTATATATCATTTAATTGACATTAAAACCACACTGTTATTTCTTAATCATGTTGTCACAGCTTACTTCTCTATGGTTGCCTGTAACTTTCCACTTCTCCTTTCATCTATCTAAATCGGGAACTTATTTCCTAAATTGATAGTGTTTTATTTCTGAGTGTTCCTTCTGTTCATCTGGTGGTTTTACTTGAAGAATCTTATATAATATTCCTTGCATTTGATGTACTGTAAACTGGATTAGCTATTTGTGGCCGTAATGCGGCAGCCAGTTGTGCACAGCAATGTCCCACAAACAGCTATGGAGTGAGTGACAAATTTATAATAAAAAAAATTTACATTGCCAAATCTTGAGGCAATGAGAAGTACTATCATGCCAGCAATTAGGAGGTAACATGAAAATGTCTCCATATAAATCATAAACATTCCAGTCATAATACAGTCATTTAGTTAGCTGGTTTCTAGTAGCAATTAACAGATGGTCTTTGATAATTTCATACCATTGCAGTTAACCATTGTGACAACTGTCTGCAATGCCATTAACCTATTGTGAAACTTTCTTCCTCTTCTAAGTTATGAAAGATAAGCTGTTAAAGTTTGTAACATGGATGCGCCTGAAATTCACATTTGAAGTTAATGTTAGAAATATGAGACATTGTGGCACATGAATACATTGCCCCTCATTATAAGCTTCTCTAATTTACCACGAATAAGTGGTATTGCTAATGCCTCCATATTATATGCTGTTTGTTTGGCAAAGACAGATGTAGAAAGGACCTGCTGTAGTTTTAAAGCTCAACAACAGCAATTAATTTAAAATGATTATTAAAACATTTTTTCATTATTTATTTACATGATTAAAACATTACTTAAAACATCATTAGATTAAGACATGAAGCCCACTTGCTTCAGTGATTTGAAAAAAAATATTTTCACAAAGAACAGTAAAAATATGCCCATCTACTGAAAATTAGTTGATACTGAAACTGTCTCCTGTGGAGACCAGCAGTCTGATAAAAGGGGACTTCAGGGGCTGGGGAAGAAGAAAGTCATAAAATGAATTCACTATAAGATCAAAATATAAATATTCTCACCATTTTTTAAACCATAAAACATTCTCTTGCCCAATAGAAGAAGTTGGCAATGGCTTCTGGATGGTGTGCTGGTGGAAAAATGGACTCTGCAAGAAACTGCAGGAGCTTGTTGTTCCTGTTCTCTGTCTAATTCAAGATGTTTTGGGGCATATATATGTGGAACTCTGTCTGATTTGGATCCTCTTAAGCATGGTTTTCCCCATATGTCAGATTCTTGGCTTACCACAGAAAAAAACAAATCCACGTCCATAGTCCAGTATTAACTCTTAATCAGACATGCCTGCTTGCCTTTCTGTGTGGCGTTTTCTGTGTTGTTGGCCATATTGATAAGGTACTGCTTGGCAACATGATGTCCACCACAAGAGGGAAGGAAAATACGATGGGATCAGTCCTAAACTCAGGAGTTCACTTCCTGGCAGTGAATCCCAGAACGGCAATGTTAGCTCTCGTTGAAATGCTACTTATCTCTCGCATACTGTCGCATCAGACCTCCTAGAACAGGAAGTGTAAGACAGCAACGAACCTTTGAAAAGTTGGGGGAGAAATTAATTTTGATTCTTGTTTCAGGACCGGTAAAGTTCCAGTCAATGAATTTGAACAAACAAATGTGCCTGACATTTATGCTATTGGAGATATTTTGGATGGCAAACTACAGCTCACACCAGTTGCAATCCAGGCTGGGCAACTCCTAGCCAGGAGGCTGTATAATGCAGCCACCTTAAAGGTAAAACTTCTGAATAATTACGAATTCTCAAATTCTTTCCATAATTGTTCAAAATTATTGATGACTTTGGAATTAAAGCATTCTACATTGTCGTAATGTTCAATTTGATACTTGCGTGATGTTTTTTAAAAAAATGAAATCTAAATGTTTTATAAATTAGTAAGTGTGTTTTATCCATACAAGGATTTTAATCTGTTTCAATAATATTAAAAGACCCAGCAGACTTGCTAATAAATCCTTACAAGTTTGCTCACTGAGCTCTCATATCTAAATACAATGTGTACTGTCAGAGGTACTGATCTTGTGTACGATAAATAATAATAATAATCCTTGCATTTGATATAGCGCCTTATCATGTCTTTGAGATGTCTCAAAGTGCTTCACAGAATATACTGTAAAGTGAATTGACTCTATGTTTTTGTTGGCGAAACATGGCAGCCAATTGCGCACAGCAGTGTTCACAAACAGTCATGGATTGAGTGACCAATTTTATTATTATTTTATTCTGATCTACTGGTACTAATTGTTGCTTTGTCATCACCAACAGTGTGACTACAAGAATGTACCCACCACTGTCTTCACTCCCTTGGAATATGGTGCATGTGGCTATTCAGAGGAGGACGCCATTCAAACACATGGAAAGGATAATCTAGAAGTGAGGAACCAAAATAAATACAGTATTGGCAACTTTGATCAGATTTTTACAAAGAAATGTAGAAAATGTATTTGTTTACTAATTTCACTTGTCCAATCTTTGATATTTTTAGATCTATCACAGTAACTTTTGGCCACTGGAGTGGACTGTTCCAGGAAGAGATAATAACAAGTGCTACTGCAAGATTATCTGTGACTTAAAAGACCAGGTGTGCACGATCAAATGCTATGTGTGGAACACGTTGACATTTTTTTACTAGGTTTGAAAGGAAGTTTATTGTGTGGTTTATATTATCCTCACATTAGACTTAGTGTTTTCATAGCAGAGGCAGGTTGTAAAGCACTTCACACAATATGCTCTAAAGTGTAGTGACTGTATATTTTGTTGTCATGTGTGGCAGCCCATTTCGGCATAGCAGCGTCCCACAAACACCCATGAAGTGAATGACTAGTATTAGTGCAGTAACAATACATTAATGTCCACAACTCAGAGTCAACATTACATCTATTAAACATTTGGTTGATGAGTGGCATGTCGATATTATACAGAATACATACATAGAATTTGTGAAATTCAGCTTATAATACATTTCTGTTCTTTTAGCCACAGTACCAATGTGGATTTTTTTTTTGACTACAGAATACGTTTGACAACATTAGAACTTCCTTCCTGTTTTTAGGGAAACATTTAGGGGATCAACAGCACATTTTTGGATGGCGTGTTATTGCAAACCCAGATTCCTATCATTCTCTGTTCACGCCCCACATAGTGATAGGATCTGGATTTGCATTAACAATTTGCTATGCTGCTAAACTGAAGGTCTGAGCAGTTTCTAGTAACTGCTGGATAGGGATACGAAAGATATCACTGAGACACTGTCACAGATTCTCCTCTTGGAGTAAGTGTACAATCCAGATGTACATGGTATAATAGGTGGAAGGGAGCACGAAAAAGGGAAGTTAATATGGTGCCTTCTTGGGAATGGAAAACCTTGCTTTGTATTGACTTCATATTAGAAATCACTTTATGGATATTACATATGAAATTAAACTGTTAACTATTACTGTTTTTCAGAATAAAGTGATAGGCTTCCATGTATTAGGTCCTAATGCAGGAGAAATCACCCAGGGATTTGCAGCCGCAATTAAATGCGGAATGACCAAGGAAGTGTTGGACAATACGATAGGAATACATCCAGTCTGTGCGGAGGTACGATGGATGTCTTTAATAAAATGCTTTGCTATATTGTTTAACTCTGTATTTTATTGTATTGTCTGTCAGTAGATACATAGATCGTAATATGATGTAAGACAATTCCAAATTAGTCAGCACCATGAAAACATACTACTATACTTTTATTTACATAAATTTAAAATGCCATGCCCCTAATCTCTGACACTCCTTCCTTCTACTCTTCCAGTTCTCTCTGTCTCCCTCTTCAAGCCACACCTTAAAACCTACCTCTTTAACTGCAGTTATGGTCAATTCCCTCTTCCAGTCTTCTCTACTCAATGTCTGACCCCATCACTGTAAAGCACTCCAAGACATTATCCTACATGAAGGTCGCTATAGAGATACAAGTTGTAGCTGTTGAATCAATCTCTTCCCCGCTCTCAGAATTTGATACAAAATACAATAACGTGAAGGTTCATTGTTGGTGCAATCCATAAGATAACCACAGCTGGGAGAGCGTTAGGGAATGGCAGCGGGTCAGGTAGTTTCAATTGTTCTATGTCTCTGAATTTTGGACCTCACCTGCACTATTGTGGAGGATCAGTTTGGCTCAATTGTTTGCACTCTTGCCTCTGAGTCAGAACATTACGGGTTCAAATCCCTCGTTGGGACTTGAGTTCGTAACTCAGACTGACATTCTTTGGCTGATTCTCTCCCTTCACCTCCAAGCAAACCAATATGATTCCTGGTCTCCCCGTATACACGGTATTCAGCGAGAACATCATTAATATCAAGTTCTTCTCCATATTCCCTATTCCCTTTCCATTATCCACAAACCAGTGTGTTTGAAGAGTGCCCTCTGCTGTATCATACAGGCGATGAAAATGTGGTTCAATAACACTGTAGTAATTATTATTGGTAGTGCCAAGGCTTGCATTCTGGGATATCATTTTTTCTTGTTTCTAATATGCCACATTTAAAATAATAAATGGCACAATACTGTAGAAAATATAAATTATGCCTTTTGTTTAAAATTATAACTACTAATATTTCAAGCTGCAAAGTATGCACTTTTTCCTTATTTATACTTTTATAACATTAAGACTCTTATAGTTAAGAGTACTATAACTCTCTTAAGCATCAAGGACAGGGTTTTAATGGAAAGCTACAAAGGAAGCATCAAATTAATTAAATTTTACACTAGTTTACAGAATAATCAGTGGTTGATGGCTCATAACATAATACCTTTGTGCTTCATCTTGTATTGCAAAGAACATTGTTTAGCATATTGATGCTAGTTTTCTGATAATTAAATTGCTTAGATGAGGTTATTTAAACTTGCATGTTCTAAAAGCTGAATGGCATACTATGTATGCAAAGTTTATTATGTTCAATTAATGGGTAATTTATGTCTCATCCACTTGATGTAGAGCTTCATGTTGTGCAATGATCATCCCTTTCTTGTTCCATTTTAAAATCGGATCAAGACTATTTCAGCTCATTATTTCCCATTATGTTTTCCCTTCTGCTTCTGTAATTTGCTGTATGAGGATTGTGCCTTTGAAGAATCCTTTGAGAGGTTTTGTGAAACCGTCCACTTTTTCTGATTCGAAACATTTTTACTTGTGTCAACATCTCTTCTTGATGAGGAGTGTTTGGTGGCTCATGACGGCCGAGCACTTTACTCTCTCCTGTAATGTTGTGAATTGGGGGCCTTAATCTGTAAGAAGCACAGTCACCAGTAAAAGAACACAATTTACATTTATACATATGCAAAAATAGTATTTATATTGTTACTATGGTTTCACACAGTGCCAGCCCTTCTCGCTCCCTTCCACTGCCTCCCCCCAAGCCACCCACCCTCTCTCTCTCACAATAGTTATGCCTTTTTGTCTCGCTCTGTTAGGTGTCTGTTTGAAGTCAGTGCCAAAGACCGTCCCGACAGAGTGGCCTCAGTGTGCATTGTAATATCTGCGCTGTAGATATTTTACCAGCAATATTTTTATAATTCATAATGCACTTTGAAATCAAATTTTTTTTCTTCTTGCAGGTGTTCACCACCCTGTCAGTCAGCAAACGATCTGGTGGAAACATCCAGCAGTCTGGCTGCTGAGGTTAAACCCTGCTGTTGTTACTGTTGCCGCTGTGGATTCACTTGCATCTCGCTGAACTATTCCCTTCCGACTTCCGTCTTGCACACCTATAAGACGACCCAATAAATGGGCCTGGTGTTCTGAGCCATCGTGGCGTTGAAAGGGATTTGGGAGTAGTAATGTGAGGCTTTGTGTTACCATTGGCAACCTGTACAACGGTGGGGTCACTTTTTATCCTCCAAGGTGAGCTGCTGCTTTGTGGGGCATCTTCTCGATGCTTTAATGAAATCCCAGCCTGGAACCAGTTTTAAGTGGAGGGCTGCGATTGATGACTGTAAAGCACTGTCTCCAAATACTCAGACCGTGGGCTTCCTCTTGTGTTCGACAAATCAAATGGTAAATCAAGAATGAGGGGGAAAACTATATTCTTTCTATTGGATTTTAAATTCTTTGAACTTTGTGGAAGCTGAATGTTTTTACTCTTGAAATATTTTCAAATTCCATTTATTTACTTCTGTTTAAGTTTATAACATTGGACTTTTAAGAGTGGCAGTCAGTATTGAAGCTGACTGTACAGATTTAGTCAGATCTCCTTAACTTTCTATTAAATATTATTTTCGATCTGAATGGACATTATTGATATTTTTGTATCTCTGAAGCTACTTAATTCATAGCAGCAGAATTATAAACTATACATTGGCTGCTGCTGTTTGAATTCTACACTGAAGAATTGAGAGGCCTTTTCTGATGGGTCTTTATTCTAGAATATGTTTTCAAACAGAGATCTTTGCATTCCAGTGCAGAATCTAGACTTCTGCAGGATCAAAATCATGACGATTAAACAGCAATTTAAAGAGAATTAGTCTGAATTTGGTTTCATTGCAAACTGTCTTTTTATAGAGATAGATATGAATCTGTCTCAGCAAAATGCTATTGAGAATCATTGTGCTTTGAACTCATGCACTTAGGCAATTATAAGAACTCCTCAAACTTCATATCACAATGCAATCACCTTTTCCCTGAAGTCATTGGAGGACATCATAGGTTTGAGAACTGTAGAGCCATGACACTCGATATTGTACATGTGAAAATATCATTTGACATTCGGTGTATTTATTAGTTATTTAAAGTGCAGATCAACTATGATCATAGAATAAGCTGCATGTTACTCTTAAGTTCCTGTTTTGTGTGTCCTAGTTCAGCTTGGTTGATGGCACAAGGGCAATAGTCGTGTATCTGTTGACATAGAATTCAATATTGTTATATTAAACAATATAGAATTAACTTGTGTTTACTGTTTGTAAAAGCATTTCTCACTCATGAGAAGAGTGGAATTAATTATAATATAGGAACTGATGTCTCTCAATTTAGATTTGTCTTAACTTGTCACTACCACTTAAGTCATCATACTGTCAATATCCTTGCCGCATTGATTTATGTATTTATACATATATAATCCTTATTATATGGTTAACTCTCCACTTTGGATAACTTTTCACTGAGCCCTTTTCCCTTGGAGTGATGAGTTATCAGGAGTTTACTGTACCTGCAGCTTTATAGTCTTACCATGTTCTCAACATAACAACAATTTTTGCATTTGATATAGTGTCTTATCACGTTGCTGAGACGTCGCAAAGCACTGCATAAGATATACTGTAAAGTGGATTGACTGTATTTTGTGGGCACAACACAGTAGACAGTTCTGCCCAACAACGTCTCACGATCAGCCATGGAGTGAATGACCAATTTTATTTGGGTGATTGTTGTAGGACACAGCGAGAAACACTGTTCTCTTTTCGAATAGTACCATGGGATCTTTGATTCCACCTAAACAGGCAGATGGCACCTCAGTTTAGGATCGCATCCAAAGAATGACACCTCTGATGATGCAATGCACCCCCAGCCCTGCATTGCAGTGTCATCTTAGACCATGTGATTCCAAATCTCAATTTGCCCACCTACCTTCTGGCTGAAAGGCAAGAGTGCTACCACTGTGTCAGGCTAATTGAGGATTAATTAATCAAAATGTTCTTGATGTACCGTAATAGAAAATGGAATTGTTCTATTAATATGCAAATGTGAGACAGAATTAATGGGCTGACTATAATTTATTCCTATTGCGAGATTGGTCTATTTAGGATTTACAACAAATCGCAACAAAAGATCTAAACAGTCCTTTATGTCCCATGGCTGTGTTGCCTCACAGCTTGTTCTTTCTAAAACATTTCTAGTGTTGGGGGATGGTCAATGGATGTTATGTGATTTGTTCACTACATCCTTTTATTATCCATTTGATAGCTTTTGCTGTAAGTCAATGAATATTAACATAATCGTCATTTAAATGAAGCGTCATTTTGACTGAAAGCTAAGGAATATCACCACCTCTGTCACCATCCTATTCCTACTCCTTCTGCTCCAGCAACTCTGAGCTGCTTCGTACCCCTACTATATTGGCAGGTGAGTCTTTAGCCACTTAACCCACACAAGCACCCTCTCCCCTCCCTTCTCTACCCTCTGAAAACCTCTCACATTATTTCTGCTCTGCTTTCCACACATAGAGTAAGGTTCAGTGCAGAAGTTGAACTGAATTCACTGAAAAAAAATAGTGGTTCATCTTAAGCAATGTGCCTCCTGCAAGTTTAAGGGATAAGAAACACAACATTTCACAACCAATTTGATGTCCTAATCATGCAGAATCTGTAACGAAATTTGCAATCCTCACTCCTAAACTATAAAGATTCTGCAGCTGCAATTCAAACCTGCAGTAGTCATTTTTTTGTGTGTGTGTGTGCCTTGTCTGCTGTGTGAAGCCTCAAGTGATTCCTTCTTAAAGGCCATTAACCAGCTAAATTGGCCTTTTTCTCTGCATTCACAAAAGAATAAAATCAGCGGCCACAGGAATGTCAAGTCCTGGGATATTTAATTTGGCATTCCAGCAAAAGGAATTCCAGCTTGAGATTGAACGTTGCCAAAACCTTATTATCTTTCATTTTGCTCCTGCCTAGATGTAATATTTTTAACATTCATTGTGTTTTCACGTATCACAACTTTTGCCCCTGTATGCAAATATTCTTGCTTCCAGCAGCCTCTTACTTAATGCTGCAGATCATCTTGCTGAGAGTACAATATATGATTGAGTACCTTCAAAGTTAAAATGGGAAACAGCCTATTAAAGCACGAGATTATAGGGAAATTCCAGAGTTTGTACATACTCAAGTACAACTTTAACTGTTAGTAATCGACTTGCAGAATTATTCCTTTTAAAAATGCAACTTACTCTGGTTTAAAGCAAGAAGAAGTGCATATTAATGCTGCAAGATCCAGGTAAGCTATGACATTCCCATAAATTGGAACTCCATTGTAATGTATTCATACATTTTGGGACACTTATTAGGAATATGAACAATAGACATAACCCCTCTCTTCCCTGCCACAGGAATTCATAAAGCTAAATAAATTAACATAACTTTTGCTCATTTGGTGAAAAGGATGTGGTTATTTGTTATTCAATGGTATTATATTTCCATAATAGTCCCAATTATATCTTCCTAATAAGGCAAGACCATATTTACCAATTCACTTCTTCCCATGCAGTCGTTACTGAGTAGCAAAACCTCAACATGATGGGAAGCAACTGTCAGACATTTACAGATGATTCCTTGTGGCCACAACTTCTGATTCTTGAATTACCTCTACACGTACCACCAAATGGTTAGTGTAGCCTGAGCTATATTAAAAAAAACGCTCTCAGCTCTTATTAATTCCTATCTTAACTTGTCTTCCACTGTCCCTTTAAATTGGCAGCAGCAATAGATATCACATAAAGACTCAAGTAGCATAACCAACCCTCACCCCCCACACACACACCACACACCACCAGAAACAAAACGAAACACACACAACAGCTGCCACAGGAGGAATTAGAACATCTCCCACTTTTTTCTCTGCCGAGCGAAGATTTTGCTTATCAACAGTACAACATTTTGTGTACTCCTTTGAAGTCTATGATTATGCAGTAGTGCACATAATGCTGTCGACAAATGAATAGGTTGAGTCTCCCCAACAGCATTGTTAGGAAACGTGCTACATTGTCAGAGGTGCTGTTCTTTTGGGTGAAGTTAAACCAAGGACCCCTCTGCCTTTCAGGTAGAAGTTAAAGATCCCATAACACTTTTCAAAAAGCAACGGGAGTTTATTCTGGCCAACAATCCTCCAGTTATAATTGATCAATATTTGTGTGGCATAATCGGCTGTGGAATTTGCCTACAAAGAAATGGCCACAGTCCTGTAAAGTGCTTTTAGACATTTCAATAAGGTGCTGTATCAAATGCAAGGATTATTATTAAAGGAAGAGCCTTTACATTGAGATCATTTGTATGCTGATTTAAGTCATTCAGTTTTAAAATGTACTTCTCTTTCAAAAGGGAAATAGACAAGTATATATGTGAAAGAGAGGAGCTGAAGGGGTATGGGATAAGACAGGGCAATGGGATTGAATTCTATGAGCCGGTGCAGACTGGATGGGCTGAATGGTCTCCTTCTGTGTTTTAGATTTCTATGTTTCTCTGTATCCAGATTGAAAAGCACTGTGGAAAAAGGAGTGGATGCAGTGGACAATTTTCCAAGGTTGAACATATTTTACAAAACAAAATCCCAAGCTGATGATGTCAAGCTGGGAGCCTGAAAACCAGTGCACTGTAATGAGTTTTGTACTCATAACAGACTAGAAGTAAAATTGATTGGAATGAAAAACAATTTCAAAGTTGAAATAATTCAAACGGAAAAGCATGTTGAGAATACAAAATACACATTGATTTCTAGCTGTTTCAGCTGTTTTTGTCCAGTCAAATAGTTTTTGATCTTAATGTTGTTCGGAGTTCTGAGACTTGGTTCCTAATGCACTTCAGTGCTAAGTTTCCAGGTCTGCTGTAAAAAAGCCACTTTGTGCTTTTATGTTTCTGTAAGGTCACAAGTACTATTACCTTCACAACATTAATACATTTATCATATTAATGACTTTAGAGACATTTATTAATATATGTTTCAAATGCTTATTTAAAGAACTCAATGTGATAAAACTCCATTTGCTGCAGGATTTAATTGGCTAATTAGCTAAACACTTCAGCTAGTGTTTCCGAAATGATAAATGTAACAGGAATAGATTTCCTCAGAAACTCCATCTCTCTGAGCAAACTTAGCGTGTTTGAAGTGTATTCTGTACATTTGGCTATTCATCATGAAAGATTCATAGAAATTAGTTTCTATTAAAAGGATGAGTTTCAGTGAGCCAAATGAAGCTTTTCTAATCCGTTCCCTTTCTTACACTCTGAATTATCGTTTGAAGGCCAGAGTTGTGCTTTGCGTTGAAAAGCAATAGTGTGACAATGCTACATCATTTTTTATTTTATTTATAGACTTGTGTTTGAGGACCTATTGGATCCTATTTTATCTTTTGTGCAAACTGAATTTTGTGCTTTTTACCGACAGTTGTAAGTTTATGTATTGGCATTAATGAAACACGTCATTGTAGTTCCCCTCGTTAGATTTGTAGGTGTAGCATGAAGATGTCAGGCTCGAAACCTGGTTTGTACTGAGCTGGTTGATCTGAACAATCGGTTGCTACAACTGTCTTCAGTGTCAAAGTGTGGGAGAAGGGAAAGGAAATCCAGCCAGAATTAGATACTACAGGACATCCAGTGACTGGGAAAGGGAAAAAATATCTTCAGGAGAGGGGAGAAAACTGGTATGAAAAATATTCTATTCTGTGTTTATTACATCAGCAGTAGCACCTTTTTCTGAAACAGATTTCATCAAAAGTTTTATTTTTCAAAAAGACTTGATGCACAACTCTCTCATCTGCATCCTACTGAAATAACCCCAGTACTCTGCTATCCAGTACTTGTTTCATAAAAATATTAAAAATATTTTATTTTGGATACTCATTAAAGCTACTTCTATTCCTGAAGGGACTCATATAACTAACCCCTTAATGTGCTTGTAAGTAGCAAAGAGTATCAGAGTATAAACAGATTAGGAGGGACACTGTGAAGATATGGGAGATCACTCAGCTCAATGCAAATGCACCACATGATGAATAATAAATAATAATCCTTGCATTTGATATGAAACTTTTCACGTCAAGTGGATGTCTCAGTGTAAGAGGTGGCAACAAAAGCTGTAATTATTTGGCATGAGTGCAAGAAAAGAAGCTTATATCATTTTAATGTATGTTTTCTTCATATTCCATGAGAATTTAAGAAAGACTCGAGAGAAAATTCCACCTA